GTTATCGGACTCTTTAAAAAAACAGCTTTCGTTACAAAAGTTATGTTAAATTTTACATCGAGTTTAACCGTTTCGATGACGATCTATACGTGTATGAATATCATATGTTCTTATCTCCTTATTGATTTTTGTGGAATGCGTGGAGAAACAAACACCAAAATAATGTTTAATTGATATACGCATAAGTCGCTCTATGTTCCCCCGTATGACGTCATCTAGTTTGCAGTCAGGTTCCTTCTCTATAATAAACACTTTTTGTCTACTTTATGATCCAACAGTATAATCTGAAACCAAAAAAAACATTAGTGTTTTTTTCTCTCTCTTTCATTATTAAATTTGATTATCATCAGTTTCGCTTCTCATTTTCGGCAGTAAAGTTTTAGTTAAGTCGCAACGCCATGGTGTCGTGTTTTAGGAAATAGAATGCGCCTTTTTCCTGAACAGGCGCAAGTCAAAAGGTAAAGTGAGGTCCTTTATAGCTAAGTGCTTCCCTATGTGCAGACGCCGTTTTCCCGTTATTGACTGAATAATAAGTAATTTGTCGCCCGGTTTAATGACTGACTGTGCCTTATAACAGATATCTCGGGTACACTGTCGCCGCTCAATTTAAAACAGGCTGCAGTTGAAAAGTTGTCTCTCTTTTGCATCTCAAGCCGATTTCTATGTTGTTTAATGAGCATCTAATGAAACGACACGAAAATGTAAATTTACCGCACCTACTTATTCGCTACTGGTGTGCGCTTCACGGCTGCAGTAACTACGGCTTACAAGGAATTCGTTACTCTTTTCCGAGAATAAAACCTCTTCGTTTTATTGGAATGAATTCCCTTTCCTTTTAGCACATTTAGTTCAGTTTTAAAGGTGAGAAACCATCGACCCCAAGTTATCACCTGCCTTGTTAGCAGGCGCCATATGCCAAACCAGCCACAACATAACTTACATCATTTTACTATGGCTTCCTGACAAAGTACCAACGCTTTCTAAATGGACGGATATACGGTCGATTGGGGATCGAAAAAAAAAGAAGAAAGACTGAAAAAAATTCTTAGAACGACTGAACGCTCCAGATAAAGAGAAGACCGCAAACATTTGCGAATTATGTAGGATTTTAATCATCAGTCAGACATCTTTCCGCCTGCCGACGAGCGGCAGCTGAGTTGAAAAGATTTTAGCTCTTGTCGCCTTGACTGAGTTTGATAAGTTTGCAATTAGGCTCGAAATCGGCATAAAATTTGCAATTTGACCAAATAAATGACCATTCTTGATATGCACTTGTCAGTTTTGTTCCAAGTGCGATATTCCGCAATATCTCAAGCCTGGGTTACTGGTGAAACTCGCTTTTGGAATTGGCAAAACAAACCTTTTAAAGCTTCTCTAGTTTATGTGAAACACGGGCACAGCATAACATAATAAAAAAAACTGTCAAAAGTCGATCTCAAAGAGAGTATGTCTGGAGAAAATCATACAAATGGCTCTTTCGGGACCAAACTAGGAAAAAGTTGATATACGCACGTAAATAGAAATAGCTGCCGGATATTACCTTCGGGAGTAAAATACGAGATATAAATATTGCTGCGCTAATTACTTTTCATGATTGGTGGTTTCGAGTGTGGCGGTTCTCCACGTATTTCTTTTGATTTCCTCCAAAAAAATCAGCAACATAAATACAAAAGATTAAAATGAAAACTATTTTAAATGATAAGATTGACAAAAGATTAGTGCCAAAGGCACGATCGAAGTCAGTTTTCGAGTTTTGATTTTTCCTTTTTTTGCCAGCGATAAAAAATATACTTTTCATGCCCACGCACTCGAGAATCTTTATGCATATACTGTTCGGGCTCCTACAGATTCACAGTCATTGTCTTGTTTGTTTTTGTCAGTGCAAATTTTTGTTTTTGCTCGGTACACTAGCGTTAAAATGAAGTCCAGGATAATCTAGTATTGTTCGGTGTTTACAACCAACGAGTTAGCAATAATTTCAGAGGTATAAGTTTCTGAATGGCAAATTACCAATTCGGAGAAAAGCCCGTGTGGAATACAATGGTTTTGCGTTATCTGGTAAATTATATTTTCTTCACTGCCTGAACAAACGCTTTTTATTGGTGCAAACAGCTGCGCAAAGACTATGATCGACATGAACATTTTAACTGTTAAATCGTCAGTTAGTAGGGTATTGTGTTCTTTCGCTAAAGCAATCTGCGACTGAATAGGAAACCCCCTAAAAGGATCCAAAGCTGTTTCATCAAAACAGTGAAACGTTTTGACACAAACGCGTGCTCACAGAATAGACCGCGCTTCAAATTTCAGATTCAGTCTTGACTTTGCAGACAGAACTCGCAAGCTGTTTGCAGCTTAGGGGTTAATTTATTTGAACAGAATGCCGCTCTTAACTTTTTTCCTTTTTGTGAAACTAAACCCCGATAAATTCTATTTTTTCAGATTTTCTTAACAAAATAACCCAGCGCTGTTTGCTGCAGTCGTCAATTTGTGGAATCCTGCTTGTTCAAAGAATCATTGCACACGTAATAGTGGGCCCTCTTTTGTTTTGCAATCCAATTTTTGATTACTGTAACGAAAACTCTTCACCTTTTCTTTTATTTCTTACACTTGTATATTTTTTCGATATTGCGTCTCGGGTTTAAATGAATTTTAATCTCGTAAATACAGCCTTTAAACGGGTTTTATGAACAATAAAGACAAACTAGTTATTTTCATGTCTTGCCTAATCTAAAACTAGAGCCAATAAAGGATTTTTTTCCTGAGCTAATTTACCCGGCCGTCGGAAGAAAAAACTGCGATAACAGGAGAGCATTTTGTCAACAATTTCCTCTTTCCTTTGATGTTGACGTAAACGGAACTGTGCATGGCCCATTTTTTCTCGTTAGAATGAATAGGAAAGTGGAGAGACATATCGCTAACACTGGCTCAATTTCCGTTTGATTCTTTAAGAGGAAAACTTATTATTAAAACACAGGATGTAAGCAGTAATCTAGTTTTGTTCTTAAAAATTGTGTTCCATGTCTAATTATGTGGTCCCCACGGCAGAAAAACTAAGTGGTTCCTTTTTAATTTTTGTTTTTTATCGCCCTAATCCCGTACTTTGGCTCAGTATCAAATTCAAGCCAGCCACCGGGTGTTTTGTAACCAAGTAGAACTCAGAAAAAAAAATAAAAATAAAATTCGGCGTAGGAAAAAAGAAATTAATTTTCAATTCTGCCGACGAAAGCAAAGGAGCCTTTAAAAAGATCAAAAGATTGGTGTTGTTGAGTCGACAATCATTTACCGCTTTTTATTGTGTTTTCTACTTATATACGAAAATCTAAAATTGCTCCGGATATCCTGTTTTTTCGCAGAATTGAAACAGCTGGCCTTAATACACGATGGACTTATTTTTGTTTTGAAAAGCCTCAAGTAATTATATGTAATATTTAATTTATCTATTCTTCGCAACGTTAATAACGCTGTTTTTTTATCTTCGCTCGAAGACTTTAATTGGAAAAAAGCTTTTACGCTCGCGTGGCCTCTTTCATACTGCAGAATTGCACCACGGTGGCGCGTAGGGCTATAACAGTTTGAACGAAGGGTTAAACGTTTTATTTCCACTGCGCTGAGAAATGAATTGTTCGTGCTGACACTGTGTCATGTGACAATTCGTTGGAGAGCAGCTGCACAAATTTTGAAAGTCTTATGGGAATCTGCACCTGCTCGCTTGGAAAATAAATACTTCATCAATAACTTTATGAAAGACATCACGGGCGACCCGAATAAAGTGCTTTAGGGCGGATATGTCCAACTTAAAACAAACAAGATTCGTCTTTGCAATTTATTGCGTAAATGTTAAAAAGCACGCTTTGGAGGTGGGCTGTCCTAGCAGCTTCTTTTTTTGTGTGTGATCTGTGTGCGCGCGCTTTGCAGACAGGTCTTATACCGCTTTTAAGTTTTTTTTTTTTTCTTTAGGTTTCAGTTCGAATCAGCTTTCACCGCTCTTACGCTAATGACGTTCTTGTCGAGATCACAACAACGGTGTTGTCAAACGCGAAAGAGCCGAACAGATATCAAAATTATCTTTTCCGGAAGGCTTTTCTTATCCATTCGGCGGCACGTGTAAGGAAAGAAGGCATTTTCCCAAACAACTCGTAAACAATTGAGCAGATGTCCGCTGGACTCGAGCGCGAAGTGAAATTGATGGTCGCTAATGCCTGTCCAAATTTTAAAGTGCGCCATTCACTGAATAGAGGAAATTGGAAATGATTTACGAGAGACTTCGGAAGAGAGATGTTGCAAGAGGGAAAATAAAATCTGTCCTTTTGCAATATCAGCGGTGATGTTTTTCCAATTTTGTCAAACCAATATTCAAATCAAACAGTAGAGCTTAATTTTGACAGAAATATTTAGCGAATTGTGATCTCAGCTGTGTTTGACGTTGCACTGGGAACAGGCTTGTGCAAATCTAGCAGAGATGCGATAAGTTAGCCAAAAGGCAAAGCTTTTATACAAATTTAGTGCTTGTCTGTACAGGTGCAGCCTGTATTTATCATAACAATAGAGCCGATATAAATGTAAAACAAAAATTGATAGCGGGAAATTTTTCATAATTAATTGAAGTATGGCAGCGGAAGCCATGGCTCGGCAGCGAAATTAGTCATTCAGATATGCTGTTGCTCTCTGAACGCAGGTAGGTTCTCAAAGATCGACTTGAAAACCTTGTAGTTAAACTTTTGGAGCGCTGAACAAGTTTCAAAGCGAAAATAGGCGCCAGGGAAAACTCCGCATCTTTCGCAAGCCTCGAATCTCGTTTGAACGCGCGTCATTGACGTAACACGAGGTCGAGGCTTAATCACAAATGCGATAGCTGGTGAACGAAGCGACTGTGTTGTCGTCGAATGTCCCATGTTTTACTTTGTGTGATCGCGCCGCAGAAATTCCCCATCTTGTGTGGGACATGGGTGAATGTGGGATGCAATCATCGGGGATAAATTTGCTCTGAAAGGGCTCGCGTAATGGATGAATTTAACTTCTCAAACGAAGATGTCGTGTTGGCCGAATGGGAAGACAAACTGTTTTACGCGAAAATTCAGAAAATTGACCGGGTTTCTGGAAAGTGTAGTCTAATCTTCGACGATGATTCTGTTGAGGAATGTCCGTTCTCCAAGATTCACAGTGGTTCGTCTTAATTCTTCCAATCTTGTTTCTCTTTTCAATCAAGGAGATAGTAGCGTTTATATCGATAGAATCCGGCCAAGGTTTCGTCATGTATGACACACAGAGTTCTCGGATTTGTTCTCGGTGTCTTCATGTGGGAAGCAATTAGCAAGTTTTTATTTTCTGTCCTGATAAAACTTCCCTCGCGTAATTTTGTAGGAAAAGCGTAATTGGATTTCTTTGTCCTCGCTAACGCTTCTCTCTGATTCCTCGCAGTGACAGAAACGACGGCAGAAATTGTATGTATTATTTGCAAAGACGGAACTTCGCTGAGACCAAACGAGATCGTGTTATGTGACAAGTGTGGAATCGGTAAGTACTCCTTCCGCGTATTCTACTTTCTATTTTGTCTTAGCGCATCTCTGAAACGGAAGGGAAGTCAGCCTTTGAAGTGTTATGATCGCTCTCTTGTCCCTACATGTGTGTTATGTGGTGAAGAAAGGACGGCCATTACACTTCACGTAAATTCCACCTGCTACTAGCAGCTCTGTTGTTGTGAAGGAAGAGGACAGGTCGCCGTGCAACGTGGATTCGTTTCAACAATGAGAACGCAAAAGCGTACAACTTCATCTTCCAGCTTTTACTTGGTTGAAGCGCTTTTCAGCGAACGAAGTTATCTGGGGTTAAAAATTATTCAGACTAAACAGTAGTGAATGTTTTCATTTCTTGATAATGACTCGCCGATTCTTTTTTTTTTTCTGCATCATTCTTGCCACAAGTACAGGGGATGTTCAGTCAGAAATAAAAGCTACGTTTATTCACTTTCCCTCGAAATGAAAAAAGCAAAAAATGAAATAAAATGGTGAACTGATGTTCTGATAAAATTAAAATAGCAGATGAGATAAAAATTGATACAGGTCTTCTTTTATTTATGTGATTGTATTGATTTCCAAAATAAGAATATTGACGTCGATTCGCAAGTGGTTTTAGTCAAAGTTGTTCAAAAGAACAGACTATTCATTATGGTTACCAAGGGAAAGTGTCAGCGTTCCATACAGAATTCAATTGAACGACTGTTGCCTCGAAACCAAATGTCTGAGTTATTCTAGCTGATACGATGTACAAACTTGAATGTCCTTTCATTTTGAATTGAACATCGGGAGCGATTTTGAGGCGAGGGTACTTTAAAATACTGAACTTGTCACTAGCCGTGGAATTCATTATTAGTCAGATGTAGTCCATCACCTACTCAGATGATTAAAACACTAGTTTTAGAGTATTTATATTTCGTTTTCGCTAATGGATGTTGTGGTTGTCTCAAATGTCAATTGAAAGTCTTCGCGCCCGAAGAGATTAAGCTTCGAATGATAAACAAATGTTTCAGTTTCGTCGGAAGTGATCGACTAGTCGATCAGATTCTTAAAATTGTTTATAGTTAGTACAAATATTATTCAGGAGAAGTAAAATGAATTTTAACTTTGACAGACAAGCAAAACTTACCAAACTTCGTGTTTGCTTAACTTTTATTGATACCCTTATAGCAACTTTGCGGATCTCAGTTCTTGATTTTGGAATAACAAATTATGCCTTATTCAGCAATATTTCTGCTATGCGCTTGTAGCTCATCACTTCTCGTGTTTTTTTTATTCATCTTTGTTCTTCTGTGTTCTTGGAGCTGTGGAGAACGTCTCTAACAATTGCTGAAAAGAGCCTTGGGCGATATTTAGAGATCTACTTAGCGAGAGCCAGCAAAATGCATCAACTTTTTTTGGAGTCTCTAGGCTTTACGTCTTCAATAGCGCATTTCATTGCAGCCTCTTAGTTGTTACACACTAAATTCTCAACATGCTTTTTGCCAATTTTAACATATGTTTGTTTTTTTTTTTAACTCTTTTGTATATATCTCAACAGGATCCAGCGATCGGTTGAGATGTTTTTTTTAAACAAATTAATAACAACTGGCTTATTTTTCAACTGAATTTTCGTTGACGAAAAGGTTTGTTTTTCTCACTCTGTAGTATCAGGAGGTGGCTGTCTCTTAACATGAGAGCTATTGCTCCCACTTACAAGTGTTATCACTCCAAAGGTGATGATGTTGATGAGCAATTTTTGCTTCATTTTCTTGTTAGGGCAACCAGCCACAATGGCCTTGGTTCCTAGTGCTTAGTAATCTGTTCTGCATAGTAAATTGCAAAATATCCACAGGCAGACAGAGATTTTCAATAACAGAGACATTTCAACTGATGATGTTGTGAATTTAGGATGTTTCCAGTAATTCTCATCAAGTACCACTTTTATTTGGGTGGGAAATGTTTATTCTAAGTCCTCTTCTGTTCTGTGAAGAACTTTAATGTACAAGCTGTGAACAAAAAAATTAATATGTTACAAAAATATGGCTTTTTAAGTGCTGAATTCTGTATCTGCAATCTTCAAAGCTCACAAACTCAAAACAACTCTATGTAGCTAGCAGATGTACTTAACTTGATACCAGTTTTCAAATGTTTTCCTTAAGTATGACTTTTCAAAGTATCATGTTTCTTCTAGATCATTAAAGAAAATGCTATTATTTCTCAAGTGATGCTGCAAAGCATCCTTAAACAGACTCCTCCATAATGTTTACTCGACTTGCTGTGAAGCCATTTTCCTATTGCTGTCTCTTTCTTCAGGGGAATTAAAAACTTCAGCACACCAACTGTCTTTAGTTATTTAAGAACCCTTAGCTTGAACGAAAGCCAAGTTTGTTTTAAATATCTATACCAGTAAATGTCTTTTACAATAGCTTTATTATTCTCATAGACTCTCTGGAGCCAGAAAATAGAATTGCTCAAAGTGTGTAGTGTTTATAAGTCATCTGAGTGTTTTGACTTCACAAGTGTCAGTTTTTTGTGTAATTACCATAATTTGTTTTACTTAAAGTGCTGTATGCTTGTGATCCAGGCAGGCACTAACATTTAAGTACCTAAACAGTATCATGGTAACATTTGATTGGTAGTTTCTTAGACTGTTATGGAACATTATGCTATTACGAGATTCATCCATCAGACAGCAGGTGTCAGCATGGATTAACATGTCTTTTTTCACATAAGGAAAAAGAAACCTAATTTCTAATTAATCCTCCTGAGTAAAGGAGGCACGTTAAATTTGCTTTCTCTGGAACGGTGAAAATTACATATTTCATTGACATCCAGTCCTCTAGATGAATATTTATTGCCCTTTTCTTTTTTTCTTTTTCTTCTCATCCTTTGACTGTCATGTTTGGGTCTTTATTGGTAATTTGAGAAGTCGCTTGAAAATTTAAGTGCCATAAAAGTCTTGAATATTTATAATGAACCGAAACAGTGATAGCCCAAACACTGGCTTAGACAGCTGTATTTCTGTCCTCTGGGGGTATTTGACAGAAGCCGACTCTGGTTTAAAGCATTTGTGTTAGTTCTTATGAGGGAGTAACCTCCCTGAAGCTTTAACCCCATCAGCAGATCTCTGCAACACTTGGGTGTTTAATCAAAAAACAGGATAAAACTTGATTGTCTTATGATGTTTAACACATTGTAAGGTTGAAGCTGAAGTTTCTTATGTTGGCTCTTTTGCATTTTTATGGCCTGTAATGTTGACACTTGTGGCTCTCATGTGGGAGGTGTGTCTTGTAAGTATTTAATTTTTACAGCTTGTGGAAAAGTTCCCTAATGTATCTCTTACATCTTGTTTCTGCATCACACATTCGTCACAGAATTGTTAGTAAGTCTTTCTCATCAGAAAATTGCTTTTGATTTCTCCAGAATGTTGTGAAGTTGATATACATCAAAAGAAATTTACTGATTTGTTTTGTCTGATTGTCAAGGGAAACTGGTCAGAATGTTCAACCTCAGTGCAATTTAGGGAAGTAGAATTTTTAGTCAAGGTGTGACTGAAGCTGAAGGATACACATACATGTATTTGCATACAAATTAGTACATTTTTTGTCCATGTTGTTTTTTTGTCTGTGAACAAAATCTAGTGGTCTTCTTTCATGAAATATTAGTTTGAGACTTTTATTAAGTGGATTAAATTTTGCAGCCAAATTTAAGTATTTATAAGTAATATACTATTTCTTGGGTGGAAATGTTTATGTCAAACTTCACTAACTTGTGATTAGTTACTCTCAAAGTATTTTCACCTCAAACTTTGGAAACCTTCAATCCAGGTCAGCTCTAAATTAAAAATGACCTACTTTTAAGAATCAACTAAAAACTTGTTAGTACATTGAAGGAGAGGGTTCATGTAATATTTCATGTATCAGTTATTTGAGAAGGTTAGTGACTAGTTTCAACTAGAGTTATACTTTATTGGCATGATCATGTTACTGGTCCATGTATCTTTTGCATGCCTAAAAATGATAAACAATTTTTTGTCCAGCAGGATGGATATGCAACAAAAGAGCAGGGGGAGGGACAGGGGGAAAAGGCAGGGGAAGGGGGAGAGGAAGAGGGTAGGGGTGGGGATGTAGCTATCTCATTTGGAGAACTCAGAGTTCTCAACTTTATGCTGATCATGTTTACTACATGATATTAACCTTTTCTCTTCAACATGATTATTCATTTCTCCATACCCACGTTGGTACATTTTCCTTCGCACAAGGAGAGTTCATTTAACAATCAAGGCTTCTTAGACTGATGATCATTTCCTTTATTCTCATGATCGTAGTGAGTGATTCAGCAGTATTACTGTAAAGAGAAATTGGATGCTGGTCACATTTACGGTTTAATGGGTTAAACAAACCAACAATGGGAAAGTAAGTCATGTGTCCAAGAAGCACTTTTGGCATGAAGTGTATGCACATGTAGTTTTGCGAGGTCTTTTCCAGTCGTTATTTGATTTAGATGCTCACTCTTTAAGAATTTATAGACACCTGCAGTGACCATGTGATATTCATAATTAAATGTAACATTTCATTTCATGTATTGTGACAAAATGAAAAAAAATTTTTTTTTAATGTCAGCAAATGTGTAGTTGTTCGAAGAAACCTTTCATTTGTTGCCTTGTACAAAATTTACAGATGAAGGGAACAGGCAAAAACTTGAAGATTGACGAACGAGATCTGTCTTTACTGCTAAATTATCAACATCTGATCTGTGTTGTAAGTGAATTTTGGATGACGTCAGGAGGAGAAATGTTTAGCTTTATTAAATCTTTGGATTTAATAATTGACGTGAATCAAGGATATATCCAAAGATCTTAGACTGAAATGTTCAGGATCAAAGTACTTTGAAATTCACTTCGATACCATTTTACTTATGGCATATAAATCAGTTCGTATGACGTCATTGCATATTTCCCAAACATAACAGTCATTATGAGAAAGAAAATACAGAAAGTTTTGGCAAAATTTTTGTAATTTACCCTAATTATCCTCAAATTACCTCTATTGTGTTTTGTAGAACGAGGCTTTTAGAACTAGCGTGGTGAGTGAGTGAACCTAGAGTTACCTAAATGTTCTTGTGTTCCTTCTGTCAGTGATATGTTTTGCATGCGTTTGAACAAACGTTAATCGGTGTCGTATTTATTTTGCCGGTTAGCCCTCAGGCGCAAAAATCAAAATAGCAACACCTTTACTCCTTTGCGTCTTGGACAGTTTATTTAATTCTCAATCTAAAGAAGGAACGTTGTTATCGAGTAATTTCAAAACGCGAAAATTGAGGATGCATATGTCAAGGAAAAAATTACGACTTGTTTTTGAGAAGAAGCTATGATATATAAAGACATGTGCACGTGGGAAGTACTTAAACTACGTCATTCCTCTTAGTCCTTTCAGTGGCATTCAGATCCATTCTGGACTGCCTTTTCGGAAAATTCAGTTGAGCTGAAAAGTTGTTAAGTGTCATAAGAAAAATCGATATCGAAGTTGTAGGAATCCGAATACCTTTTGTGAGTAAACTTGACAAGTCTTAACACGCCAGAAACGGTGATTCTGGTATCCGGAAAGATCACTTGTAAAACGTACAATAATCTTACTTCCGTAGCGCGAAAATGTTCACGAGAGTTTTGGGGGGGGGGATCTTAACGGTCCACAAACCCCCCTCCCTCCCCCTTCCACCCAACGCAGCCGCTATTGCGTACTTTTCTGACTCGAAGCTAAGTACACGAGGGTTGCTTAGCGCTTGTGTCTATCAGTCATCCTTAAATGGTTGTAAGTTAAGCCATTCTTTTGAATAGCTTACAGAGGAGGGTCGTACGTCTGAAAGTCTGAATTCTGGCGGAAATTGACAAAAAGTGCGTCAGAACTGCAGCACGTTGTCGGCCACTCTCTAATCTCATTGTCCGCCGAAAAATAAGTTTGACTTACAGTAAATCTTCCGGCTTGGATGAAGTCCTTCGTCTGAGAACAGGCTTAAATTACGGCTCAACACAGACTTAGGTTAAGCCAGTTGCGGTAGGGTCGTTGACCGCAGACTTGACCTTCATTTTATCGCGTTCATGAATAATTGAATTATAGGGAAATGTTCCTCGTTAATTGACTCTAATGGAAATACGTTCAAAAGCAATTTTGTACCATGGTTAGAATCTTCTTAATGGGGGTAACAAGAGCTGTGCTTTTTGAAAGGTTTTGAGTGGGAGATGGCTTGACACTCAGAGCAAGAGACGCCGTATAGATGCTTTTATTTCTGCTGTAAAGGACTAAACTTTGGAGCCCGCTTAGTCGCACCTGGAAATTTACAGATCCCTTTTCACAGGAACGCTTCTAAAACAAAATGGTTGCATATTTGTAAGAATGGTTCTCTCCACTGGTTAATTTGCTCTGTTGAATGAAACAGTCATAGTTTCTGAGTGCCATCTTAGTGTACTGGATGACGTCCAGAAGCTAGGTGTTGAGGATTTTCGCCAGGTGCAGCGCTGTCGTGTTCTTTTGTTTGACAAAACACAAGCACGACGCGCGTTGAACCTGTTCTTTTGTGCTGTTAGGAGGTACACAAAGAAACATATTGCTACAAAGCGCGTCAACTATTCATTTTGTTGTCAACTAACCAGTGCGCGCGTTGTTCAACAAAAGTCACCCCTTGTGAAAGACAGACCACGATAACCGTAGGACTCTCATTGTGCTCACGCATTCAAGGGAATTAAAGTTCTTTTGGAGCAGTACCGTTGGCATGGTTATTCACTAAGAAGAAGACTATTTTCACACATAGACGTTTGCTATAGTGTCGTGGTTTTCTTTGAGGGTCTCAGCTGCACAGATAAACAACGACTGCAGTTCAATTTAACCAAAGACCCCCACACTCCGACCGAATCGTTGAACGTAAAGGTTGGCTAAAGTTTTCTTTCTATTCTCGTCGTTTTGTTTTGTGTCGAGTGTCGTTAGCAAAATCGCTAAAATCGGCGGCGTTACTGTCGTTCTTCATTGTTCGTGTTGTGTTGTTGGTCTTCCTGGAGCTGAAGCAGTGGTTTCAGATGTTCACAGTAATTAGTTTTGTACGCTTATTCTTTTTTCCAAGGTTGTTGACTGTTTACAGTTTACACTAGAAAGCAACACTGAATTCGACTGTTTTCTTGTCGAAGTCGCGGAGGAATCGGAAATTTGCATATGGAAACGATCACAGTAACGCTGATTTAGGTATACTGCATACATTTAGTTAAAAATATAGGAAAATTTGTTTTTACACAGATAGTTTTTTTCCGTACAAGGCAGTAAAGTGTATTGGCAATACCTTCCTCAAATTTCTCCGATATGTTTGCTTAAGCGCCATGCCGTTTTGTTGCCAAACATGTGATGCGAATCATGATGCTGACAATGACTAATCGATCGCCATAACAGGTCACTTTTTTTGACAGTTGGATAGCATCTTCTATACAAGGGCTTGTGCGTTTAACAGGTCCATAGCTGCCCATTTCTCATACACAGTGCTTAAATGTTAAAATTTTGAATTCTGATTTTGAACTAGATGTCCTAACGATTGGGGTTCTCGCGTTCTGAATTCACTCTCAGACCTGTATTTATTTACATTGAAGTGGGAAATATTTTAGCCGCTGTAGATTATATTTTTTTAAAATATACCTGCCCTCGTGATACAGTTTCAACCGAATACGTTTGGTAACGGGCAGACAGTAGAAAGCCGGTTGAAAATACATATGGTATAATTAGATACAATCTTTTTCATGTTTTAAGCTACGTGATAATGGTGATGGTTGGCCAAAAAAATTAACCAGAATGACAAGTTAAAACACTATTACCAAGCCGATTCATGTCACAAACACGAAATTAAATATGGGAACGTGTTTGCCAAGTAGCCATTTTACAGGCTAAGCTTGAACCAAAGTAGGATAGCTCACATACGTTTTTTTATTCCGATAACGATCGCGATTTTAGAGTCCGCATAATTTTGTTTGTGAGTATTTTTTCTCTCTCTGTCCGTGATAGCGTACTTGATTTAACAGAGTAGCGTGTCAAGAGAGCATGCTCTGACAATATTCCCTAAGGCTTCTGCAAGCGTGCTATTAGATAACTTAATCATCGTTGTGGACACACGCTCCTTAAAAAAGGTTTTGATTGATACCAACGTGGCTGTTATCTAGTTCATGTTTGTAGACACTCAACTTTTTAAAGCAGTGTGAACATTCAAAATGCTCGGCATTTTTTTTCTTTGTTTTCGGACAGAAAGCTCTCCTTTTTTTTTGCGTCATTAAGGACTGTTTGCATGGGTTACATAATTGGCCAAAGACATGCAATGTTGTTTCATATGTTTGCACCTCTTTGTGATTATTAAACAGCCAAGGTGGGCAACATTCCTCAAGAGAGGCTTGTGTTGCTTACCAACGGACCTAGCGATGGGGCATAGTGCGTTACTAAGATACAATCGCAGCCTAGTAGAAAAAAAAACAATGCTATAGCTGCGAAAAGGGTATTGAAATCAAATGATATTAGAGTTTGCGTGCTTAGAATATACTTAACCTTTTTTTCTTTTCAATCTCGAACGCTTCGAGCGCGTTTCTTGTGTGTTATAGAGAGAGCGGGGAACGCACATTAAAATATTTGGTCACTTGTAGTTTCTAAATTATTTCTATGCTCTGAAGAGAGAGGAAGTCCATTCTCTACTAAGAAAGCTCTGCTAGTCTGGCATGAACAGATATCTTTCCAGCTGGGAATAATAACCAGATTAGTGAGTGCTAATTTTTTTTTTGACCGAAATATTACGTCAAACCTGTTGGACGTGCTTCACCTTGGTTGACACCAATTGCGTCAAGCTTGTTAAGCTGGTTTAACCACGCGAGAGAGCAATGACGTCAAAGCAGTGAAACTGGTCCAACTATGTTTTCTTTTAAAGGAAAATGTGAACCTCCGATGGAACTGCCGTAACTCACAAACCGTTTTGAAACAGGAAGCAGTGCCTCACGCTCAGTTAAGATAATTCAGTGCAATTAAATGTTTTCGTTTTAATTCGTCGTGTGGTTTTAAATTAGCCATTCTGTTTGAAAAGAAGGTTTGAGGGAGCTAGACTTAATTTTCCTGGTTCGTTTTTGAACTGTCCTAATCTTTTCCATCCTCTACCGTCTTTTTTCCCTGTTGGGGTTTGCTTTCTCATTTGCGTTCGTCTGTCTCACCGAAATTGTATTTTGTATGAAATAGCTTCTTTGATTAAATAAATCTTCCCTCTCTTGGTCGCTTTCCGGTTGTAAGAGCAAGGCAGATTTTCTCGTTGGGGAATAGAATAAAAACGCCTTTCCACCGGAAAGTTTTCAGGAAAATGGGAAATCCTTCAGATTTTCCTCGGAACTACAAAAGATCATTGTATAATTTGCTTCCTTCGGCAAGCTAGGACGAAAATAAATACGGCTATTTTTTCAATCAGTTGTGTTGTCGCAAACTATAGGACCGGAAGAAAAATCTTATGCTTCCTTTTTATAGGAAACACACATCAGTTTATCCGCCCAAATTGCCAAAGTGCCCCGCCTTGCGTTTGTATCATGTTACGCGGTTCGAAGTTCATGAATCAAGAGAAAAATTTACGGTGACCAGCGGTTATCACCAGCGCTGTGTACCCATGACATATAAGCATGTAGCGGTAACGGATTGCTGACTCTAACAGTAAAAGAAACCGTAAAGATGCACGTTCACCAAAGATAAGTTTAAATAGTAAGCAATGATAGATAACGAACCTGGAGAACTGAAATTATGGTTCTTCATAATTGTGTTTTTTATTCCAGTTCACTCGAACGTACGATTTAATCGAAACGGAATTTCATTTCAAAGCTGCAACACAGCGCACATTTAAGCAGGGTTTGTGGTAAAGCTTAAGATTTAGGAGACAAGAAACATTGATGGTGGTAATATCAATTGCGTTCAGTGGCAATAGTAATAATAATGATAAGATAAGAGTGATAAGTTAGTCATTTTCGTAATTTTTTTTGTGATCGTTATTAATAAAGATAATATTCATCCTGATAACATTTATAACAAATGACAAATTTCTTATTACGAAATTAATCAAACCTATAACAATATTCTCGAACGTGATTGGTAAACACCAGCCCGATTTGAGCACTTATCGAAACGCACTAATCAAAACGAATCACCCATTTCTAGTTTTTTTTTCGAATTTTGTCACAGTTTTGATTAATTGGTAACAGGACTTCGTGTCGTCCAATTCTGTTTGTAACCTTACTCGTCATAGACAAATCACTCGACGCATGATTACAGACCGAATTGGACTCCACTCGGTCCTATTACCATTACGTAACATTCATTCCTGTTATAACCCATAGAAGACTACATACCACTACTACTATTTATAAGTGTCGACGAAAACAAAGATTTCTTTGTCGGGTGTTTTTATTTTTTCATGTAACTTTGACAGTCTGGTAATAAATTTCCTGTTATCCTCGTCCGATCTTGTTTTTCCAAACGGATAATCCTAGTCTGAATTTTCCGGTTTCATTGGCAGTCCTCCCAAGTGAATATGAAATTAAGTTCTTATCCTTTTAAATATCGTCTCACTTAAGCTGTCATTTTGACTATTTTTTTTACCGTTCAATGCCATGTTTACCGATGGATCTCTAGTGTTTTGCATTTTCCTCTCACTTTTCTTGGTTGTGTTGTCGTGTTCATGTTATTTTTCTCGTTCTCCTTTCCGTGAAGGCGTTTTCACCAAGAGGAAGCATCTTGTTTGCTGCAAACTTTGCTTCTCGGTGTGAATTAAAGATGCTTTGTGTAGCTAAAGTAGGGCTGTAAAATTCTTAATTTATCTGGTGTGTGCTTGAAGTCAAGCTTAAGTTTACATAGCTCGCCAAGCGGGGAAATATTTAATATTTCTGTCAAAAAGTAAGTGACAGTACGCACGTTCTTTGTCGGAAATAAATGACAGTTTAGAGGCAGGTGAAATGACGGCTGAAGTTTTGTATGAACAGACTCTTTTCTTGTAATGTTTACGCCTAATCAGGGAGAACAGTTTTTTCAATTTTGTCGTCCTTTGTGAAAAACAAACAAAAGCTGAGAAGTTGTGGAGATGTGGTGCCAGATGGCAGCAGCGAAAGTCGCAGTTAGTGAGCTCGCAGTGGGAGGGTGTTGTTATTGCTTTACTTATAAACTTCTTTTCTTGAAGAAGAGACACACAGATCTTGATTAACAAAGAAACAGCGGGGATTCTCTTCTGAATTAACATTCTTTGTTGAAGTTTCTCGTCTAGCGATTCCTCATAGCAATTTTCATTCCGGCTCGGGAGTGCGTAACTAGTGTTTCTGTAATCCACAAATTTCACTCGTTGCTCGCCCGAAATTTTGTCTCTTTTCAGCATTTGCCGGAAAGGTTATTTTCAAAAAGGATCAAATTAATTGCTTGATCTGTTTGCCGTTAGTGAAGGAGTAATCTTTCTTATCTCAAACCATACAAGCGTTATTTTTTAATATTATATTTCCTGGCTGTAAAAAGGTCATCTGTCATAAAAAAGATTTAAACACCTCGATAGAACGGAAGTCTAAAATGGCTGATAGATTAAAGCGATTTTTCACCGTGGTGACTAATTTCTCTTGCTGGGAGGGAATTCCCTGTTGTTAGTTCAGGGAGAACTGTATAAATTTTCTCTACATGCCGTTGATGGACGAGTTCTTCTGCTTTTGAAAGACTCAGGGCTCATGTTGGTTAAACTGAGAGACGCGTATTGATCGCGTAACTATGTGAAATGATTGCGCGGCCAGGCCGGCGGGCGGGCGGGCGGGCGCTGTCGACATCTCACGAGTTCGAATTAAATTTTGCACTTTTGTAGTCACGGCTGACATTCAACGGAAACGAGTTTCGCGGCCAATTTCCTGTGTTTTAGTTGTTCGTTGATCTGTAAGCGAGCACCTGACAAAGGATCACTAACACAGGTGAAATTGATTGGTTCAGTTGTGTATGTTGTGTTGTGATGTTATTACCATGTATTACTGAGAATATCCTCCCTTCCTTGACAGCTCATAAGAAGTCTACTCTCTTTCCCTTCATTTTATCTGTTCCTCCTGCAAACACTTCACTTTTGGAATAATTGCCGCTGTTTACTCAGTTCTAGCTACGCCATTGTTCTGCAAATGGCCATTAATTGAACGAAATTATCTTCAAGCGAAAGTTGGTTTGCTGTTTCTTCAGCTGCCCTTCCAGTGCTGTGTTGTTCGCATCGCAGACGACGCGCGTCTTCTTCTGCAGACTTCGACACGTAGAGACCTAACGATATTCAATCGCGTTTATGATCGCGGAGCATTGGAAGGAAATTTTCTAAGTGAATTTGAAACTGAAAAATATACGGAACTCGTTACGAAGGTAGATTTTTTTCGCTGCTCTTGTATGTCTAGCATGCTTTTCATGTATACGTGAAAAAAAGTTACCTATAATTTATTCTTCTCTTTATTTTCGGCTTTCGTTTATCAGCTTTGCACGAAGCGCGATGTTCGCCGCCATTTCGAACCGGAAACTAAGTTTCGGATTCAAGGTTCGATACCTAAAGGCAAAGAATTGCGAATTGGGAATTTCTGTTTAATGTATAATCCCTAGAACGTCGATAATACTGCACTTTTTCTCCCACGTGGTTTCGTATATTTCGCTTGGTCGTTCGAACAAGGTGTGGAAAGATGAAATGCGAACTACGAGTGTAAGTACCGCTCGCCTACATTTTCTCGGCGACGAGCAAACATAACGAAGCGAAAGGGTGACTCCGCGATAGCGTGAATACGCACCTATATTTGAAAATTTGTTCAGTCAAGATGGCGGGCGGTATGTGTCTGTTGAACGCAGGTGGTGTTGAAACAAGTGCCTTCAGCTAACATCTTAGCCGCTGTGGTTCAACTGCGTCCGCTTGATACGTTCAACGAATTCTCTGTTCGATTGTTGAATGTACATTGTCGGCACTTACAAAATGTTAGTTTTTCGTGTCTTGTTTTGACATGGTCTGGCCGCAGAGACAATAACTTTTCTCTCAGTTTATCACAGTTTATTTTTTTGTGTGTGTTTTGATCGATATGACTTTCCACCTACCGCAGTTACACTCAAAATAGGTTAGTGAAATTTGCTTGACGGCACAAATATTTTTTCTATTTTTCACATCTGCAACTAAATTTTAGAGAATGAACGTTAAATTGTTGCCAACAAGAAGTGATTAAATAAAAGGTTTCAAAACGGAATTACACCTTAGATAATTGAAGGTCACATTCAATTTAAGTGAATCCCATATTTTTTATTTTTTATATATTTTTTTTTATTTCCAGGTTACCATCAGAAGTGTCATCATCCTGCTATTCCAGCAGAAGCTTTAGAGTTCGATGCGCCGTGGATGTGCGTGTATTGTTCAATCGGTGCATTTTGTCCATACCTGGAGAATCCTTTTGAAACAAAACCCACAAGGAAAGGAGTCAGGAAGACCAGAATCCACACGGTAAAACGAACTTGCTTTATATTAGCAGTCATCAGTTAATTTACCTAACGTAACTAGCTACAATGTTCGCTTTCAATAATTTCGTTTTACTTTCCGGCGTCGCAGGATTAGTATAGTTGATTTCGAAAGACTTGATCTCGCAGCCGGATATTAAATATTATAGCGAATCATTTTTTATAAAAGTAAAATAAACAGTGCCATTCTACCCCGCAAGAAGATACCTATCTTTCATGACACCGGTTAAATTTACACATGGGGCAGCAGAAATACCTCACAAACCTAGAACTTATTATAATTTTTTTCTTAGTTGTGTTTATTTATTTCTACCGTATTTGTACTCCTTTCAATTTCTCAGAGGATAATTAACGTCATGGCAACTGGCTCCTAAATTGTTTCGGGCTGCTTGTAGGATTTTTTCTACGACAACGTCAGAAAAAACAAAACAAAACAAAACAAAACAAAGACAATGAGGAAATAATCGCTTTTCGTTGCTTTCTAACCTTAATACACGTATAAAAACTGGTGGTCGTTTAAAAGATGCTAAATTACAGTTAAAAGTAATTTTTTTACAGTCAGTGGACTTTCGCAATTTCTACTCCGGCTTTTGGAGCAAATTTGGAGACCTGCTCTAAAGACCTAACTGATAAAACACTGCAAACTGAACGAGCCATAACACTTCACACTTCGTTCAGGAAAGAGAAAACTGTTTGGAATTGGTTTCCGGTTTTTGTATCAACATTAAGGCAGCTGCTTGCATCGTTGCCATGGGAGCACTCAGTAAAGTTGCTTTAAAAGCGCGCGAGGGTTTTCACAACGCCAAAATATGGCACTACCGGACCCCAGTGTGGACGCAGATTTTCTCTCTCCGGTCCTCGTAGATTTGTAGTACTAGTCGTTGTAAGAATGTGACTGTTGATCGGCGAAGTTTATCTTGTTACCCGTGTGTTTGAATTTTTCTTGTGATTTTATGCGAAGTAGTTATTAATCTCTGTGATAGTCAATGTTAACTATTTCTGACGAAATTATGTGCGAAGTAGCGTTATTTGTGTGAGGATATATAGTCCAAATTTACATTCGCGTATCAGAAATTGACGTGCACAGGCCAATGTTGTGCGTTCCTTTTTTTAAAAATCACTCTTCAGGTATCCTTGACTTTTATAGCAATGACTTGGCCTCATTAGTGAACCCTCTCATCTTTTGAATGGCCTTTTAATTTGCGGTCTGCATTGAATCACCATAATATAACCTTGGTATAAGTCTGTTGCAATGTGCCACCGTGTAATATACCTAAAGCTTTCCGCAACAACAATCCATAGTTTCTTCTGTAAGTGCTATACGTTAAACAGAAACATTTCATTAAAATTCGGCTTTTTTGTTCCGGAATAGCGAAAATAAGGATCTTTATGGTTAAAAGGAAAAAGGAAAATTCTTTGACAGTTGATACAAGGAACTATTTTTGGCAGAGGTTTAGTATAAATACAGTCAGCTTAATATCAGCTTGATGGCTGTGTGGTTAGTTACCAGCAAATGTAACGAAATGATGTTGAGCACCTGTATGCCTTTTAAAACTGTATTTTTTTGTCGTCTGAATCAATGTGAAAATGCCTTCCACTTTCTTAACTGAGTACATTTAAGTCAAACTTTTTAGGCTGCTGTGGTGCAATTTGGCTGAAATCGCTACCATTTTTTTCAATGTTTTTTTAGTTGCATCGATACGCTCTTGTTTGTGTGGCAAATGCTCATTTTCATTCATTTGATATTTAATTTGCAAGTTTATTGATTTATTTTTTTATTCAGCCAGCCATCCGTTATTAATTCACTTATTTTATTATTTTATTTGTTTGTCGACTGAGTTACTTCACGTTTTTCGTCTTCGTAAAACAGAAAGGTGTTTTCAAAGAAACGTGGTTGTACGCGCGTGGTCAAAGCGAGATCGCGCGTGCTACAGAAATTACGTCAACAGCATTACTTTCTGAGAAGAAAAGTTGAAGTAGCTTTGGAGGGCTGACAATCCTTGAGCCTAAGGGCTCAGAAAAAGGTTAATTTTAGTTCAAAGGGATTATATTTGTTTTGGACGTTAGACGGTGGCGAAAATTAATCCTCAGACGATTTTACCAAAGTATGTTGGATCAATCGGTCCGCCACTTAGTGAAGTTAAAATCGCCGCCCTTGCAATCACGGAATGTCGCGACTGAATTGGAAAGTAAGTTGAACAGAAAGTGAAGAAAAGAACCACAGACTGGCTGATACTCGTCTGAAAGGTCCCTGAGGCGACTACAGAAAGTAAGGTATTACTTGTTCATTCTACCCTTACGAGTAATGAAGACCAGTTTTTCGATCTGAAATTTCCTTGTTTTGAAAGGATCCCCTTTTTTATGGCAAACGACAGCCCGTTGAGTTCTTGTTTAGTTTCAACGGAAGACAGGATTATTCTGGTGAAAGCATCAGCGCAGAGGACATTCCGTAGACAGGAAATCGAAATTATTCAAAACAACACACTGAAGCGATTAGATTTCTGGTGGAAAACTAGATATCGAAGGTTGGTTTAGTCCAATGGAAAGTGAAGCTGCTTCCCTAACATTTGATCTCCGATGAAGTAGATTGCGTTGTTTTTGACTAATACCAAGTTCCTTGAATGCTATTTTCTGAATCTCTGTACTTTCGCTGAACGTGTTCGTGCGGGGTACCAACTTAAACTCTTTTTGTATGGAGGAGGGTTGATAAAGTACTTAGCATTTTACTTCATTTTGTGAATAATTTATAACTAGAAGATCGGTTCAGTTAGCCAATACATCCCGGAAGAAGGTCAATATATGTTATGTGCGGCGCCACGATTCTGCTCTGCGGAGGTCTATTTAGGGCATATATAAACACAAGTCGAGGGGTTCGTTTGACCCCGTACGTGATGTGTTGAGTATTGGAGTACTTTCAACTTTCATGGATTCAGTTTAGTAGCTTTCGCTGAACAGTCCTTAAGCGCGTTCTGGTTGAGTCACGTTCACTTGGCCATGAGAACAATAGATAGAACAATGAAGGGAAATCAGTTACGTAAGCTTAGAAAAGAACGTAATCGCCTGCTTTTGTCTGATCCGTCTAATTCTTGTTTATTTTCTGCATGAACTGGTCGTTGCCAGTTTTTAGCTGTTGCTTTCCTATGCTATGCCATGACAGAATTTTTAAAAATAGACTAGATAGGAACTTTCAGTAATTATTGGCTGAAAGGTTTGACCCATGGTGTGATGTTCCGCTAGAGCGCACTGGAAGACGCTCTTGTTTCTCCACGTCATCTTTCAAAATGAAAAAAGTAGTCTAAACAGCTGAAGGGAAATTATCTTATATTTGAACGAATATGACTCGGCATACCAGCCGGATGTGTTATTTACCACTGAACGTATATCAAGTCATGAGCAAGGGCCGATCTTGAAGCGAAAACGCTACCGAATATTGCGGTATTGTTGATAAATAATCGAAGTGGATAATATCCGCTTACTGTATTTGTTCTACACGCCAGTATTGCGCTACCAAGCCCCGCTGCTGATAGTGAGTGTTTTTACGCGACGTAAATAATCTATAGTGGGTCGAAAACGAGCCATTTCCTGATGGTCGACCTAGGCGAAACGCGTTTTATAAAATGGAACGCTATCAAGAACAGGATTACATTGTGCAGTTTTTGCTGCTGTTGTGGTAAATTGGTCGCGTTTAAGGTAATTTAGTCGTGGACGTTTTTGTGGGACTTGAAGTTTCTTCGTTTCATTTAATGGAGCCGGTCGCCTGATATCGTTATATTCATGGAACGAGAAACATGATATTGATAATACGGCATCTCAAGTGGCACTTGATAGTAATATTGATGGAGGGCACAAACTGGGTATTGAAAGCTGCCATTACTGATAGAGGCAGTCGAGAATTATATAATTTTGTTTCTAATATAATACTTCATCTAAAAAACAACGTTGTGTTGTGTCACTCGGCAGAGCTTTTCGGTAACTTATGGCTATGGGCAGATTAGTCTATAAATCTCGTAAGGGAGAGATTTTGTGGCTGTTTTTAACAAGATTTTGACCCGTCAGGGCAGCAGTAACATGTTGTTTGCTCGAAAGTTCTTTCATCACAGCACGCTAAGTCAGGTAAAAACTTTGTGTTAAACACTGAGTGACGGTGGGCAGTCGGGAAGTGACTCAGCAGTAACTAGGCGCGACAGATAAATATTTCGTTTCGAATAGGACACAGTTTAAGTGTGTGTTTTTTTGTTTTTACAGCTTAAGTCCGGAGAATCGTGCGTGAGCTCAGGAAACTCAACAGAAGACGAGAAAGATTTGCCTGCTAGGGAAAGTATCAAAGCGAGCGAGGTGGCCTCGCGCGGGATGTCGAGCTATTACTTTTCCTCGCACATGCATCCACGCGAAGGAGCTAAGGCACGAGGGAGACCAACGTTCGGTCACAAATCTAAATCATCCGGTGTGGATAAACGCGCGCGAGGCAACAGCAAACCCGCTGCGCGCCCGGGTGTGCGGGAACGTGATCAGTATTCGGAGAGAAACTCGGAATTTGACGCAAATCACCAAAGGAAAAGTTCACATCATTACCAGAGACATGGTAACGACGTTTCCGCCCGGCATTCAGGGCGCTATGGTTCTCCTGTACGGAATGTAAGGCTTCTAGAGGATTCTGAGGGAAGGAAACTCTCACCGGCAAGAGAGCAGGGAAGCAAAAGATACCAGCAAACCGAGGAGAATAAAACAGCCAAAGTTATTTCCTCTCACAGGCGCGATGCGCCGCGGGAGAAACAAAGACTAACCCAGGACTTGGCGCGACAGAAGAGGTTATTGAGCGAAGATATTGCTCGCGCAGAACTGCTGCAACGTGAGCAGCTCACCAAGAAATTTGTGGATATATTTGACAACAGGAAAGAAAGTGTTGAAACCGACGGCGAGAAAGCTCCGACAGAAAATTTTCACGAGCAGATTTGTAACGAAGGAGAAAATGACTGCATGCATGGGATGTATGAACGGTGTTACGGAGACCACTCCCCTGAGTACGATCATGACCAAGACAGCGACGATGTTTGTAAGCTTTCAGGCGAGCGAGAGTCATTGTTTGATAGATTCTTGCGTAGAGGATCTGTGCAGGAAATGAAAAGTATTGAATTTGTAAACGAGAGTAAAGTTGAAGTGAAAGGATTGAGGTACAAGAACAACTTGTTGGAAAACTCTTCATCTGATGGGCTGCAATCTGAGGCAGATACCATCACCAACTCTGAAGTTAGAAATGTGCCTGAACTCCAGCCATTAAAGTTTGAGAACGTCTCCGATGACGAGCTCGCTTTCAGTGATGCTGATAACGAAGAACCTCTTATGGAAAACAGGAAGGTTTCTACCAATGGACTCAAAGCAAATGGCGGAAGTCCAACGTTTGCAAAGAACACGAGCCCGGTCGAAAATGGATTAGATTCAACATCTGACATGAAATGCAACGGCTTAGAGGAAAATTGCGATTCGGTAGATTCGCCATTGAAAACTGAATTGATTAACAATCTTGGCTACACGCCATGTGAATGTTTAAGCGAAGGAGGAACTCCGAACTGTGATGACAAAGCTAACGATGGCAGCTTTGCATGTGACAACATGGAATGTCTACAGCCTGACGACCCAGATCACAGCAGTATCAAAAGTTCAAAACTTGCCCGCCTTATGGAAGAACCCGACATGCAATGCGAGCATTCCACCAAAAATGTTCACGACTGTGAGGCAAGCGAAACTCTTGAAGTTTCCTCCTGTGGCGTTTACAACGAAAATGATAATGAAAATGACATTAAAAATGGGGACACTGATGCAGGGAATGGTCGCGTAACATCATCTGAAATAAATACTGCAAAATTGACAGATTCAAGTGAAAGAGGATGGTTAGACAACGAGCTTAAGCACGAAGAATTAGCTCACAACGGGGAAACTTCTGATCAGCAAACTATACACGAAAACGCTGAAGTCATGGAAATAGAAAGCTCTGGAAAACACGAAAAAGGAACGGACCAGAACGAATCGTTAAGTGCCGAACAAAACTCAGAGAATGTTACCAACGAATCTGAACTTTCAAACGTGGAGGGTATGTCTGATGCGGGTGAGCTCAGTGAATCAGAAAGTCTAACACCACCGGCTCGTGGGAAAATAAAGAAAAAGAAGCGAAAGAAATCAAAAACTAACAAGAACGTTCATAAGTTAGTTTTTCACAACCCACGCCGGAAATCCAAAGGAGGGAAAGCTCGTTCTATTGTGAAGGACGCGTCTACGAGTAAAAGCGCCAAACAGGTTGACTCAGAAAGCGACGACGATGCGTCACAGACTAAAAGTAGAGACGCATGCCAAATAACAGTGCAAGCGGAGGAAAGTAAAGAGCTTTTAAAAGAGACTCCCAACATGGATGATGGCTTAATGACCTCAGGAGGGTCCCCAACCCAACCCTCTCTGGACAAAGAGACCGAGTCGGCCAGCTTCAAAGAAAGTTGTCTGGAGGAAGGAAATGATGATAACAGAGGGTGCACTGATAGGCGATCGCCATCGCCAAATGAAGAACGCCTCAGCGCAGACGCTTCCGAGGAGGTTGCTGCCATGGGAACTGCTGGCTCAGATAATTGCGATAGCGCTCATGAAGCCAACGCCCTCTCAGACTCAGCGAGAAGTTTAGTGGAGGAAAGTGGAAGGAAAGACATAGGAAGGAAGGAAAAACGAATCGGAAAAACCAAAAGAAAAAGTGACGAAAAGGACAAAGATAGAGAAAGATCTACTCCTCCTCATCTTATCAGTCAAAACCGATACGCACGTGATCTACCGAGACATAACTGGCTTGTGGAGCGGCTACTGCAACAGAACAAACTGTGCGCTGAGGATACTGTGCAGCCTGCAAAGGATTCAAAAGAGGAACAAGGCAACGAAGATAACCAAATCGTCAGGGAAAACGAGCTCTCTCCTTCTGGCGAATCGGAAAACCCTGTAGATAAAGAAATCGCAAGAACATCACCGGTTCAGTTATCGCCCGAAAATCCCGAAAAACCTGAAAGCCGAAGCGCGTTTTCTCCCAAACAACTCAGTGATCACGAAGATTCCGCAACTTCTCCGAAGGACGACTTTCAAAATGAACTTCGTCAGAGTTTCTTGCGAAGAAAGTTTCCACCAAATGTCCCAAAAACGTTGCCTCGACTAAAACCATCCTCACCTGAATCCACTGGCGGAAACGAAAGTGGTTTTAAACCAACGGATAACAAGCCCCCTCCCCCTCCGTTGAAACACGCCTTACCGTCAAAGGACGCTCCTGGTTTGGAACCTTTGCCAAAGCTTAGAAAGATTGTACCTGAAAAAGAAATTTTCCATGAACCGCACCAGGATAAAGAGGAATTAACGTCAGGGACCCCGAGGAGTAGCGAACCAGCTTCGACTGAAACAGAACAAACGCGTAAGATTATCAGCCCCATTGAGATTCTCGACGATGATGATGAGAAAAAGAAGCGTGGACTGGAAGAAACGCTAAGCGTTAATCACACCTCAAAATCAAGCTATGAGCATTCCAACACCAAACATACCGATTCAAGCCATATGGAAGGACACAAATCACCTCCAAAATCATTAAGTAGTTCTCCTCCCGATAAAGCTGTGCCTTACTCTTCGATAAAGAAGCCTTTTGGCGCTGTGACTCCTACTATTCCTGGAAGTATGAAAGACAAATTCGGCCGTCCCATGCCACCCCATCGCGCCGCCATTTTGATTCCTGTTGTCCCGATGCATGATGGGAATGGAATGCCTATTTCACCAGGTCTCGGTCCAACCTCACCCCATTTGAAGAGCTACTCACCTAGAACGTTCACACCGCATCTTCTTACTCATAGCGGTGCTATACCTGGACCTGGAATGTTTGGCGGTCCTTTGCCACAGGCAGGTCGATACCCAGCAACCAACTGTGGACACCACATGCACGGTAACATGAAATCAGGAGTACCTTGTAAGCGGGACGTGAACTGCCCTTTCCATGGCAACAACCCCAGAGGTATACACTCGGGAATTTTGGATATTCCTGGTCATCATGGCGCAATGCACGCCTTTGGCCCACACAGCCACGACCATTTGTCTGCAGTTATGTCACGCGATCGTCGTGAGTGTGACAAAAGCCAATGCCGGCAACCAGAATGTCAGGCGTACCAGCCGGATAAGCAGTCTCCACCTGACAGAGATCCTCTAGGGGATAAAGCAGCCCTCCAGACACCAAAAGTGGTGAAGCCCATCGCGCATGTCCCAGGAAAGCGCCCTCCATTGATGCTGTCCCATCTTCAGCAGATTGGGAAGCATTCCCCTGCAACTCTGAGAGAACTTGAAGCTTTACACGACGATAAAGTCCGCCGCTTTGGAAGCAATCGCTTGCTTTCTCCCCATCAACTTCAGAAGTCACCCGAAAGATCCCCCAGGGAACGCGTGGCACCCCACATGAGTTCGCTGTACGAGCGGAGACCCCTTCACCAGCCTCTCACTTTGTCTGATCTAAATCGCCGAAGAGAAGAAGAAATGTTGCGGATAAAGATTGACGAAGGCGTTAAAGCACATCCAGGGGAACTAGTTGTATCCAGCCTCACTTCTCCTTCCCGCGGACCGGCCAAGTTTACAACCCCACCGCATTCAAAGGATTCTAACTTAATCTCCCCTGGGCGGGGACCCACCTCGACGTCTATTTCACCAGTAGACAAAAGGGATCAGGCCATTTCATTGAGACGTCTGGTAGACGAAAGAAAGCCCGGCCCTATCATGAGTGAATTTATCAAGCCTGGGCCTCCACGTCTTCGACCTTTAGATGAAGCAGATGTAAGACTGTCCTCAGACAGGCAGAGGCGTGAGGAACTGAGCAGAGGCCATTCGTCGCCATTGTTAAGGATGCATTCAGCCAAGGATGCAAGCCCTCGAGATGTAGAAATCTTAGAACACGCTGGTCGTCTAGAGAGAGAGCGAAATGCTGATTCTTCGCAAGGCAATTCTAGTATCACAAACCCAGGTCTTCGACTGTTGGATGAAAAAGTGAGACAAACTGGTAATAAAGAAGAACATACCAGAGAAGGACTCAGTCCCGAAATGGAACACAGGCTCCGCTTAGAACAATCAGGAGAGCTCAAGGCAAGAGATTCAAATTTAGAGCTGTTTCAACTCAAAGAAAAAGACCCAAGAATGGATTTGAGAGACAAAGAAGGCACCAGGATACCTGTCTCCGAACGAGAGCGCCCTGAAGACCTCTTACTACTCCGTGCTGGAGATAGTGGGAAGAGGTCAAGAATGCCGTTTAATATCTCGCCTCCTCTCCGTCAGAAAGCTTATCCAGACAGACCATTTCCGATGTCGTCTTCCCTCCAAGGAAGGGTGGATCCCAGAGTGGATCCCAGGATGGCGGCTCTGCACGAGTTAGAGATGCACAGGCGTGGTGAAGCGGTCAGAGGGTCGGAACCTTCTCATCGCGAGCTTCTCAGTCGGATGGCTTCATCCTTGCCTATGGGTAAGGGCGGATCCCAGGGTGCAAAGTCTGTTTTTGTCCGACCAGATGGTTCGTTGGAACGACGGGGGCCCGACTCTATCCGAGTGCCCTCCGATATTCACATGTATTCCCCACCCAGTTCCTTAGCTTCTCGGGAGTATGGTCTGGTGATGAACTCACGTCAAGCCATGGAACGTCTGGCTGCCGCTGCTGGGAAACCTGCAGGTCTGTTAGCAGAGGTTGGTAAGGATGTGCCACCTCACATCAGACAGGTGAGTGCAATAGAAGAAAAAGTTAACCTTGCATTGTCTTGTACTCTTTATCTAGTCGAAAACAAACAAACAAACAAACAAATGCCGATTGTTATAAGTAAAACGTAGATGAGCGTTTGAAAATTGTTCCCGACTTCAGTTTTAAATCAGTCGAATGGAAATGTTTTTTAACAGTAATGGCGATAGTTTCCACGAAGCAAAATACCTTGGGTTAGTCCACCACCACAGTTACTTTTCAGGTTAATGGTAGGATTTAAACTGTTATATAGTGTATTAATTCGGTCAACTATTTGCTACTACCTTGATAGGACATTGAACGTGAGAGAGAGAGGGAACGGCAACGACTGAGTCTGGAGCAAATCGAAGCCAATAGAAGACTTCTTCATGCAGAGCTCAAAGACAAAGTTAATCCTCTTGTATTCAGTAAAGAACATCAACTTAGAATGGAACAAAAGCGAGATCACCTGGACGCAATGAGAGCGCGGGACAAACGAATCACCGATCGCGAACGCCTTCTCTTCATGGAGAGAATCGCGGAGGAGAGAAAGCGAAGATTCAGTGAAATAGATTGTCAAGGTGGAATTATCATGCGGCATCCTTCTCCTCCACATTTCAGTCACGTATCGGATCGAGAGGAGTACGAAAGAGCGAAAAGACTTAAACTCATGGAGCGTTCAATTTCTCCGTCCGCTCAGCACTCCAAGCACTTGAGCCCCAGTGCGAATGCGCTCAATCTTGAAAGGAAAGACCGACCTCAGATTACGAGTCCCAAAAACCATATAATGAACTCTTCGCAAGTAAGAGACAAACTGGGTGAAGCTGGTGACGTCAGAGTCAACCGTCCTCTGGAAAACGAACATTTAAGAAAAGCAGCAAACAGTGTGATGTTTGAACGGGATTCTCCGTGGCATCGTAATCGCGACCAAGCAATGAGACCCAATCAAGCAGTTATTGATCGCAAAAGAGCTGAAGCGCACATGAGTTCTCCCTTACAAGGGCTCATTGCCTCCAAGGGAGGTCCCCTTACATCTCAACGAGAGGAAAGTAAAGGTACCGGGATGGCGAAACGCGATAGAGTCAACCACTGCTCAGTGTGCAAACGTGAAGCCTCGTTCCTGTGTTCTGGCTGTCAAGCGGCCTGGTACTGCAGCTCCGAGTGTCAGGTAATTGTTTTGAGGTGATAAGCATGTAGATTCTCTTTGCAGTATAATTAGTAATACAATTTTCCAACAAGAAATGTATAAGGATCGTCCCAGATTCCGGAAGGTCTAAGGTTCGGCCTCCTACCTTTTTCTTTTGTCTGACGCCCGTGACAAGTAAGAACATCTTCCTTTGGTTGATGATGTTATTCAACAAATTTTTGGTGTTCGCATTATTGATTTCATTAACCCTGTAACCCGTAAGAGTGACTAACATCTAATTCCTCCTTACAAAATCGCCCCTGAATCAAACGTTACGGTTATGAGGATAAAGGAGATGATCACCCGCTAAAGAAACTCTTGATGGTTGAACAAATTCTCCTTGTTAGAACCCTAGGAAATTTCTAGGGAGTAGTATGGAGAATAAGCATGCAGATATTAGGGAGTAAAGGGTTAACAAATAGATTCCCTTTTGCCGTACGTCTGCTCAGTGATAGATGACGTCAAAATGTGGTAAGAACAGAAAAGTGGCTCACGGGGCGTATCCGAGTGTATCACTGATGTCCCTACCACATTTTGGCTTCTTTGTGATCTATTACTGTACAGACAAACGACAAAATGAGATATTTTTATTTCATATGAGAGAGAAGCAAAACGCTCTAAATGATGACGTCCTCCGTGCGTCTGTCCTTCGATAGATCATAAGTAAGAACCAATCAAATTGCGTGTATAATGCAGCTTATCGTAGAACATGGAATAGTGGCATGCAGTAAGCTCATGAATTTTTTTTTTTAACTTGCAGCTCTCCGCGTGGGGAACTCACAACAGGGAATGTAATCAAAATAAGGGTTCTTAGTTCACTTCAAGTTCCATATCTCTTCACCGCATCTCCTCTGCGCGACTCAACACAGGGAAGTTTTTTTTGGACATTTCTACGACGGACAGTTCAACTGATCGTTTAATGTATTTACTGCACCTTGTTATTCTGGAAAAAAATGAATGTGTGAGCAAAAAAAATTGGCTGAAACAATAGTTGGTTTACATACACTAAGAAATTATGTAAGTTGAAGGGTTATGGTAACAAGTCGTAGCTTGTGAACAGGCTCCCACTTTTAGTGCGTCGGCACGAGTTTTTTCGCCTGCGGTAAAGTAGAAGGCCTGGGCAACACCAGTCGGCGAGAGGTCTGCAAGGGGTCCAACAGTGATTTAAATAGTGCCAGACTCCCAGTAAACCTCTCCTCGACTCGTCTCAAATCTTCCTGCGGGCGGAAAAACACGCTTTCTTTAGCGCTGATAACGAGAGCATGCTCGCAAGCTACTGGCGTCGTAAAATAAAGTATTTTAAACAGAGTTTCGGAGACGGTACAATGAAACAATGCCTTTGGAAAATAAGTTTACATGTGTATCAAATTACTTAAAATACAATTTAGGCTTAGTATTTTTGCAAATCACAAGCCCACTATCTCCGGTAGTTAGGGCTTTCGAATTTTTCTGATTTACGTTGAGAGAATAACGTATAAACCGTACTCCAAACATAGATTTCTAATCTTAAATGCGGTTTCCTTTAGTAAGGCATTGTTGTACTCATTCATTCATTCTTCAAAGCCCATGTTTTGTATATAGCTTTTTATGAATGTAAAAGAAAGGAATTTGGGTCTCCCCCAAGATGGCGACCACGAGTTAACGTTGGAGATGTTAACTTGAGGAAAACTTAATGACATTTTTTCACACGAAATTCACGAGGAGCGAGATTTTGTTAGATTTTATTTATCTGAAAAATAGGAGAAAGTAACCCTACGTTGAAAATGAAGAAGGCATTGCAATTTGTCCAAAAGTGTGATCGGCAGCTTCACCCTCATTTCATTTTTCGCGGATTGTGATATCAGTCATGTAGACGAAGTACGTATTACTATGCTTGGAAATTAGCTCCGCAATCTCTTTCGCAGACATTTATTGCTATCACGCAATGTGTCACGCAACTTGGAAGAACTTTTGCATGACAAAGCAATAATTGGCCGCGTAAGAGACTAAGTATCATTAGAAATTCGTCGTAGTAAGGGCTGCTTCCCCGGCGTTTTGAATATTGGTGTAAACTAAGATATAAAATGAATTTCAAATCTCTAATTTAATTTATGTCAGACATCTATTTATGTATGTAAATCTTAAATTATGTTGGATTAGAAGTGTAGAATTTTTAGTAAAATGTATTTATTTGTGGATACAAATCTGTGTCCGTGGAGATTGTATAAAGAAAAAAGATAAATGTCGTTTTAACAAATAAAATGCTTTGCATTTAAAGCATCCTTTGTCAAAAGACTTTTATCTATAATGTAATAATTGAGATATTTCGAACTCCTTGATTGGTCAAAAACCTATCGTTTATTGCATTGGTAAACCCACAGTTCTTCGAAAAATTGAAAAGTTTTTCTTTCTTGATTTCTCCCAACATCCTGCGTGAGTTATTTAGCCAGTAAACCAATAAAAAAAAAAGCGGTCCCTATTACTTAATCACATTTCCCTGGATGCTTGCGTGTTCTTGGGAAGATTTCTTCGTCAAGTTTAGTGCTAGGTTTTTTCAGAAGCGGCGAAGTCAAAGGCAAATGAATTGTGAGAGCGCCATTTCGCTCACATCGTAAGCTTGGTCCAGTTGTTCTTTCGAGGTTTCATTTGTCCTTGATTGGTCTTACATGTTCCGCTCTTCTTCTGTTATACTGTACTACTGTTCCACTGTTCTACTGTTCTACTCCTCCACTCTTCCACTGCCCCACTGTTACACTGTTCCAATCTTCCACTCTTCTACTCTTCCACTCTACCACTCTTCCCCTTCTCCACTCTTCCACTCTTCCACTCTTCCACTCTTTCACTCTTCTACTCTTCCACTCTCCTCTCTTCCACTCTTCCACTCTCCATTCTTCCACTGCTCCACTGCTCCACTGCTCCACTGTTCCACTGCTCCACTGCTCCACTGCTCCACTGCTCCACTGCTCCACTGCTCCACTGCTCCACTGCTCCACTGCTCCACTGCTCCACTGCTCCACTGCTCCACTGCTCCACTGCTCCACTGCTCCACTGCTCCACTGCTCCACTGCTCCACTGCTCCACTGCTCCACTGCTCCACTGCTCCACTGCTCCACTGCTCCACTGCTCCACTGCTCCACTGCTCCACTGCTCCACTGCTCCACTGCTCCACTGCTCCACTGCTCCACTGCTCCACTGCTCCACTGCTCCACTGTTCCACTGTTCCACTGTTCTACTGTTCTACTCTTCCATTATACATCCATTCTACTATTCCTCTATTCTACTGTTCCTCTAGTCCATTGTTCCTCTATTCCATTGTTCCTTTATTCCATTGTTCCTCTATTCCATTGTTCCATTGTTCCTCTATTCCATTGTTCCTCTATTCCATTGTTCCTTTATTCCATCGTCCACGTAACTGAAAGGGATCCTTCAGTAGTGGTTCCCGCAATAGGGAAAGCAGTTATTGAATTCATAATTTTTAAGCCTAGCTGCTGAAAAATTCAACAGCAGGAGTAATAACAAAGACCTTCGAGAAAAGGGCCTGCTCATGCTTATAATATAAAGCTTTTTATATAAAACTTACTTTATCATCGAGTGTTTATGATACCATTGACATGAAAAGATAAATTGATCCGTATTCACCGATGGAAAAGTAAAGCTCTGTTTATTTTCACAAAACACTTTCATAAAATATCCAGGCATTCCATCATCGCATACCTAGTCAGCGCCGTTGATGACATTTTTTAAGTGTGCTTTTAAAATAACTCTTCCATTAGTCTTTGGGCTCTCCACCTGTTGTGGTGGCTCCGTGCCAAACCCCACAAAAATCGCTAGCTGTGTCAAACGTGACCTGGCCTCGACCGTGACGAAAATCGATCAATCGTGACCCACAATTCATTTCGAACGCGCCACGAGTTCGACAGTCACAGAAGAACGTACGTGCCTGGCATGGCTGGGTAAGCGTGCGATGAGTTGGTTGACATTCCTTCACATGTGTAAGGCTTCCACGATTACAAATCTCTCCTGGCCATGAGTGTACTGTTTACGGAGGAGGAAGTGCATCAGACAATCGAATTCGTGCGTCGATTTGTTGCACTTCGACCTGACGCTTTCGGAGAGGACGAACCCCTACCATTTCGAGTTACCCCGCTATCTATTTCTGTCAACGAGTTGGAAGGAGAATGCATCGAATGGTGTATGCAGTACCTCAATAAAAGGCAAGGGCTGTTTATAATCCTTACTTATGAATAATTGAGCCATTTTGGGGTGAGATAGCAGTGTTTACTCTAGCGTGGAATCTGTCCTTCGTGTTGCGTGTGTTTACATAGAGTTTTGAATACTGCAATAGGGATTGGCATTCAAAATGTTCTGTTTAAAAAATTAAAATGATGTAAGACCCCTGTCCTTTTGTAAAGGAAGAGGAACTTTTCACGCTTGAGATTGTTTTGTGTAATTGTGGTTTCGGACGTGAAGAAACTAAAGAATTCAGTTTAACAAGCTTGGACGGTGATTGAATTTATTTCTAAAAAGATTTTCTACTCGAGGCGAGATAAGCTCATACAGTAAAGTTAATTAATCAATATTATCTTGTTCTAAGCGTGTTTTGAGCGTGAAATTACTTCATTATGTTTCAAGTAACAGGTTTGAGTGAGTGTAATTTAGTTTCTCATTACCTCAAACTTCAATATGCGGCATTTTGTAGCCAATATTTCGGTTGTCAACGTAAATCGTCAATATCTTTCAGATATAAATAGTAAATGAGTTACAGATCGGACAGTCGATATTTATCATGGGTGGGTGTTGATATCATCTTTCCAATAAAGGCTGTTCAAACGAAAAAAAATAGCTGAAATGATATTGTAGAGTTGGTGCGATTGATTATTGTACAAGAATTTTCAAAGCTTAAAGTACAGTTGAGCGTGATTTAACGCACATCCCTTTGAAGAAAACATTATCACTGAAAATTGACTGAAATATCAGTATGCACTTGTGGTAAACTGGATACACTAAAATTCAAGTCATTCTAATTTAACTTTCTGTAAATGTCGTTCCCTGTTTCAACCAGTGTGAGCAACAGGAGTTGGCTTGCTGTTGTAGCATAATTAATGTGAAAATTAGGTTATCAATGTACAATTGAGTTAGGCTTTTAGCTTATGGGATGATCAGGGCAGACCACTGTGCAGTTGATGTGTTCAGCAAACTACATGATTACCACCCTGTTGAGAGAAAACCTATATTTAATTATAATTTTCTGGTAGAAGAGAGAGACATCTTTTTTTTAAACTAAGCCCAAGCTTACAAAAGTAATGCGTGAGGTTTTTAGACTTTGATACGAATGAGATGATTGTGTAAAGAGCTGTTCCATAGTCCAAGGATCAATCAAGGAAATGTTGTTTTCCTTTTTAATAACAAGACCTGCATGTAAATATGCTTAAAGATCAATAGGTTAAGTGTCATATACCCCTTTTGCACAAGCAAAACATGTTTAGTTAAACCAGCTGTAACTGGATGAAAATCAGAAACAGAGAACTGAAAAACTGAAAGAGAATCCAAGTTATTGCTTACTTGTCTTTCAATGTGCTACTTTTAAAGTCAGCAAATTTTGTTGGAAGCAGCTTTAGTGATGGTAGAAAGCCAGCATGAAATGACAGAGAGTATTGTGATTTTCCCCTGCCTTTCCTTTTTCCTCCCAGGTTTCCCAAGCAGTTTAATCCTTTCAACCCTAAGAGTGACCAGAATGTAATTTCTCCTTATCAGAATACTGCTGATCATTCATTAAGAGCATAAGAATAAAGGAAATGATTGCAAAGCTTAGAAGCTTCTATTGATAAATGAAATGTTTTGCTTAAAGCATAGCAAAGTGACCTGACTAAGGTTTTGACAAGTATCTTGTGATCTGAATCCTGTTTATCCATATAACTCATTATTGGAGCATGGTGTTTTGTTTTCAGTGGAGCACCTGAAGCTGTGGCTGCTCTTATGACTCGTGCCACCGTTGATGAAATCAGCAAAAAAGATCTCTCCATTTATAAGCATGAGGAGGATAAGGATGCTTGTGAGTACATTCAGAATGCATGTGCCTCTACTTTATTACAGTCAAACTTGTAATACACATTAGTGTGCAGTTGCCAAAGTTCCCAAATTGTCTCTCCTCAAGTACTGTAATTTTAATCTCTATTAACCCTAGTGACCTACATAGAATTTCTCCTTACACTATCAGTACAATGTCAAGGAGACAAGTAATGAGAATAAAGAAAAATATCAATTAGGGCATTATTGGTTGATCCAACTCCAAATTCTTCAAACTAACATAATTAATATTAGAAGACATATATATCAGACAGTAAGAAGAATTACTGGTTAGATCTTGGGAGTGAAAGTGAAAGGATTGAAGAATTAACTAAGGCCATGAAAATTTTGCCATTGAATTCTGTGCCATAGCCAAATACCTATTTTGATTCCTGGTGCCCCATGAGCCTCTGGCTCAACATCATTTCACTGCAAGGAATAACTGCAAAGGAGTTTCTCAGTACGATATCAATAAATTTTAATCAGAAAAATCTGATGACACCTCATGCATCAATTTCAACCAGAAACATGGCTACATAATTCCGAGTTAACTAAGTATAATAATTCATAGATGCCACACATGTGTAACCTTACAATATTTTTTTTTTTTTTTTTTTTTTTTTTTTGATAGTACTGGACTCCTCCAAAATTGCCAGAGATGCCATTAATAGGGTTATAGAGATTTGTAGGCAATGGAGCAGTGAGCTGCCCTCCTTCCACAAGTCAAAGATCACGTATGAATCATATGCTCATGCTATCAAGAACACCAGAAGAAAAATGGAGGATAGACATGTTATCTTGCCTGAATTTAACTGTCTCTTTGGATTTCCACAGGTAATTTTTTACTCTTGAGATGTTGCCAAGGATGTCATTGAAATTTGTTTAACCTGTTAAGTTGAACTCAGCTCAACTTTGCAGGTAAGCCAGCAGTCAATGCCTGGGACAGGTCATGAGTTGGCACTAAATGTTCACATACAGTACATGTGGGCCATAACATTGTCCTTGGGCGTGCCTGCAGCTGCTCTGCCAGCCGTGTTTGTGACAAATGCGAACTAGGTTTATTTCATTTTTTGTGGAATGATAGAAGTATTAGTATTTCTTGTCATTCCGTCAAATAGGATATAATTATACTTTGTAAGCTCACCACATGTAACCTTCCCCCCTTTTCCCCATGGAAATTGTTCAATATCCTGTACTGCACTAAATTTTAAATTATCTATTAATATCTTGATATGAGATTTTATTCTCTTTTGATAAGGGCTTCAGCAATCAAGCATTCTTTGCTGTATATGATGGTCACAGTGGAGTGGATGCTTCCAATTTTTCTGCTACTCACCTTCACTGTCATCTTGCAAGGAACAAAAACCTTGATATTGATCCTAGACTTGCTTTGAAAGAAGCATTTGAAAAGACAGATGAATGCTTTGTAGCAAAGGCCAAAAGAGAGGTAATATTTCTAGTCTAGCTGTAACTGCAGTGTTTTATAAGGATCCATAAAATAGTGCATGGTTGCTTGTCAATATGGAACTCATTTACGAGATATTGCATCGAACACTCAGAGAAATTCCAAATTTATGCACACCCTTGTGTAATTCTATATGTAATTGCCAGTGTTTCTTCTTCATTGCTTGTTCTATACTTGTCAATGACTGATAAAATTGAATGATATACATAGAACTTAAGGGACACTATGGTGAAGAAGATTATACTGTATTTATACTGTATGTTATTAGGGCTTAGAAGTGTGGTTTGTGTTTTGTAAATGCACCTCTGTTTTACAAATTAATCCTTTCACTCCCAAGATCTCATCAGTAATTCTCCTTACTATTTGCCATACAATTCTTATGATGTTAGTTTGGAGAATTTGGTATTGGATCAACTTAAAATCCCCTAGTCGCTATTTTTCTTTATTCTCATCACTTGTCTGCTTGATGTTGCATAAACGCTGTAAGGAGAAATTCTGTCTTGGTCACTCATGGGAGTTAAAGGGTTAAAATTTCTCCAGTTTACAGAAAATCACCCTCTCACTCACAAAATTGGTGCAGGACTGCAGGTCTTAGAAGCATTGTAGGGGTTGACTGCCAGCATTCCATGAAACCTGTGGGAACCTCAGCCAGGCTAAGAGAGATCCTCTTAGTTTTCAAAAGTGCTCTTTGCAATTTATCCATATAAACATCAACTTCTCTTCGTGATATGGCTAAGGGAGCAGTTTGAGAGAATGACACTGGCTGCCTTGTCTTTGTGTTTGTGTTGCCAATGTCCATCAAATTTTTAGTGAGGATACTGAGGATAACATCATATATTTCTGCAAAATGAATTGAGACAGAACATGAGAGGCTTGTCAAATTTGATGTTTTTCTCTTTTATCTTCAAAATTTTTTAGGGTCTTCGAAGTGGTTCCACAGGCGTAGCTGTGTTTATAAAGGGTCAATCGCTTTATGTTGCATGGTTGGGAGATTCACAGGTTGTACTGTGTAAAGCTGGGCAGCCATATCTCCTCATGGATCCCCACAAGCCAGATAGAGAGGTATGGTGTAACACTAGAAACTTGGTTGAATACATCAACAGACTCAATTTGTTACTAAAATATATACCTGAGGTTTGTACAGGTCCTGGCAAACACTGAAAGAAATGGAATTTTATAATTTCATTTTCCAGGCCTGGAGAGTCTTTGGATTTAGGTTTGGCTCTTGGAAAATCATGGAAAGTCGTAGAAAATTAACTGGCTTTGAATGAGTGTAAAGATAGATCCAAAGTTGAAGAATTAACCAAGTTAAAAAATAAAATTTAATTTCAGTATAAATAAATATCAGCACATGTTGTAAGATCTGCGCTTGCGGCCATTTTTGTTTATACTGCATTCTTATATGACAATTTCCTAGATTTGTGTGCCATTTGGAATGAACCAATCAGTACACTTGCTTAACTTAGGTCATGAAATTTTTTGAAGAGTGATAGAAAAAGTCATGGAATTTTTGCAGCTCAAAAGTGTACAAACCCCTTATATCTCTTACTAACCAAGTTCAAGGTCTAAATCGTAAGTTATGGACCAAGTTATTTCTACTTAAATTTATGGCCTAAGTGTAAAGCATGCAGGTCATAAATCTTGAAGCAGAAGAAAGGAATTTTCATAACTTACAGTGCAAACCAAGAAAAGGAGGGTAGTAAGATAATTTTTATGTCTCTGGCTTCAAATGTAGGAGGAAGCTTTCAATTCAAACAAATTTTTGAATTTATTGGGCTTTAACCCTTAAACTGCTAGTTCAAATTTGTCATTCTCCTTACTGTCAACCATACAATTCTTGTAATGTTAGTTCAGAGAATTTAGAATTGGATCAGCTAATTATCCCCAAATTGATATTTTTCTTTATTCTCATCACTTGTCTACTTAATATTGTATTGATATTGCAAAGAGAAATTCTGTCATGGTCACTCATGAGAGTTTAAGGGTCAAGGTAAAAATTGACTAATCAAAGTGCATGTAGTAACTGAGAGATATAACAAGCTCCTATATTTGTTGGTGTGGAGCATGTTTAGCTGGCAGGTTAAGTCCAAGGACAACAAAATGAGCTTCTTTTTGTGCCAAATGGAGCCTATTTTAGGTATAACCCTAACACTGTTTGGCGTTCAAAATGGATATGAACACCTTACCTTAAAAAGTATTGTGAATCATGTGTTTTGTGTTAATTTCAATTTCTGCAACTTTTTAGTGATTTCTAGTTTGGTGTCACTCTCAAGTAAAATTTTCTTCTTGTTTCAAAGACAGTGACAATATCATCTCTTCTGTTATTAAATAACCATCTAGTGTCATGTTGGCCATAAAAGGGAATACTTGAACAGGTTTTACTTATAGCATTTTGAGATGAAACTATTTTCTTTGTTCCTATAACCATATCCATTTATTTACAGTAGCAATGATATTGTAAGGAGAAATAATATGTTGGTCCCTGGTAGGGGTAAAAGGCTTTTATGACTGATCAGGACAGAATTTCTCCTTAAAATATCAATAGAATTGTGTGGCATACAGTTGGAAGAATTACTACTGCAATCTTTAGAGTAAGAGGATTAATCAGTAGGAGTGGTTTAGTGGAAGTTCTCCTCCATGTTTTCTTGCACACCAACTGATGTGGACTATATTCGGCAATGTGTTTTTAAGTTGTTGAAGTAATAAATATTTTTTACTTCTTTTGAAACAATTGTTAACAGATAAAGGTAAATTGCTTCTAGGATGAAAGACAGCGTATTGAAGCTCTTGGAGGTTGTGTTGTGTTCTTTGGTGCATGGCGAGTAAATGGAAGTCTCTCAGTCTCCCGAGCGATTGGTGATGCTGAACACAAGCCTTACATAAGTGGAGAGCCAGACACAGAGGAATTGGATCTTGAAGGTATTGTAACTTACCATACCAGGCACTTATTTGAAATTTTGGCCAAAGGAGGGGGGCCTATTGGAAGAGGGTCTTAATTAAGGGGGGGTGCCTATTGTTCTTCTGTTTTGGTTCAGCTGTAGGTGAAGCTTTAAAAGTTGTAAATAAAGTGGCATTAGAAACAGGTTTTCCTTGTGTTCCTGCTATCAAAGAAAGGGATGAAGGGGGTACTCTTATTCAAAAGAGATGCTTGTTTTACATTACGGCCTAGTGGGTGAGCACTCATTTGGGGGGAGGTCACTTATTAGAGTGAGGGAGCTTATTCAAGGAAATGCAGTATTTGATCTAGAATTGCAGGTTTGGAAAGAAGGATAGCTCTGTTTAATTTAATTTTGACTGTTTCAAAGATCCTCTTTAACACCCTCTTCCCAAATCAATCAAAAGAGTTGTCATCTGGGACCCAGTTGTGAACAAGTCTGATACCTCTCTCTTTTAGTTAGCTCCTTTCCCACACCACCCCCGCCCCCTCCCCCTTCTGAGAAATGGTAGTAACAAATAGATCCCTCTAGATGCTAAAAACAGAGAATGCATTTAGGATAAGTGTCTGAAAAGGAAAGCCAAGTGCAAGGAATTGTTATTATTGAATAACATGTTTGTGTTACTCAAACTCCATTGTATCTTTAAATCTTTACTTTGTTTACTTCCTGAACAGGTGATGAAGACTTCCTAATCTTAGCCTGTGATGGTTTGTGGGATGTAATTAAACCATCGGAGGCTGTGGATGCTGTGCGTCAGTACCTTGCTGAAGGGGGAGATAGGGCATCTGTAGCAAAGTGTCTTGTGGATGGTGCAAAAGAAGCAGGTTCTAGTGATAACATTTCAGTAGTTGTTGTCTTCTTGGACTCTCACAAGAAAGAAAATTCTGGACAAGAAGTTTGTGACAGTGTTTCCAGCTTATCATCAAGCAGTGTGCATCAACATGTGCCTTATAATGACAATGGTACTAATTCTTCTGAAAATGGCACCAACCAAGAAACTAATTGTGGAGATTTGGTTGAAAAATCACCAGTACCACCATGTAAAGTCTCACCAAAATCAATCAAGAAATCCTGCGAACCGTCATCTAAATCTTCTGAGGATGGAAGTTCATGTAAAGAAGGGAGTTGTCCAATGACATAATATTGAATCAGCCCCTCAAATCTCATCAGTCACCATGCATTCTCTTTTATAGGATATATTTTAAAAATAAATTTTTATAACCGCAATTTTTGAAAGTATGACGCAATTCTTATGAAGAAAAGTTTTCACCATGAAATAGTGGTGGTCCATTTCTATTAACTGTTCCAGAGCCTTTAACCTTCTAATTCCCAAGATCTCATTAGTAATTCTCCTTACTGTCTGCCATACAGTTCTTGTGATGTTAGTCTGGAGAATTTGGTATTGGATCAACTTGTTATCCCTTAACTGATACTTTTCTTTATTCTCATCACTTGTCTGCCTGATATTGTATTGATATTGTAAGGAGAAATTCTCTCTTGGTCACTCTTGGGAGTTAAAGGGTTAAACATCTGATGTGTTCATAAATGTAAAAGAAAAAACTGAATGTGAGGAATTTTCTTTTACAAGTTTTGATTTCAAACAGTCATCTACTGGATAAAGGTTTGTCAAGGCTGAGAAAACTATTTTCAAGAACTTATTTATTATTTTATTAGAGTTACTCACTTGAAATACAGATGGACAGGAAAAGATTCAGTTTTTGCTGCAAGCAGAAGTGAACAAAATTGTTGTTTATCCATTTTCAACAAGGAACAATATTTATTAAACCCTCTTAGACATCACAACTGTTTTGTAAGAGGTCTGCTACATGATTGTAAAATGAATTTTCACAGATGTTTTCAAAAAGCGCAGTAACTGTTGTCAAACTTTTTTTGCAACAGTGCTATTTGCGCGCAAATATCATGGTGTGGTTGGTACATTCATTGAAATGTAACTTGTAACTCGAGGATTGTAGGTGCATTGAGAGGGAATTGCCATCCTCAAGACAGAACATCATATAGAATGACCTTAAACATTAATTAAGATGTGATATTATTGATGCAAGTTAGCCATATGTTAAGATATGTTTATTGATTACCTTTACCATACAATGGTTTGTAATTAAAAGCTGTTTACTTTACATCAACCTTTTGACCCCAAAGAATGACTAACATCTAATTTAATTTCTCCTTACAATCTCACCCCTGAATCACACATCAAGGTCATGAGAGTATAGAAAATGATCACCAACTGAAAAAAAAGCTGTTGATTGTTAAACAAATTCTCTTTCAAGAACAGTATGTAAAGGATTAAGTAAACAGAAATTTACAGTAGGATCTGACCAAGGGGGAAAATGACTTAATAGTTATATATTTTATATATATTGTAATTAACTGAGAAGAAAAATGTGAAACTTATACATATTACTATACATTTAAACATAAATTGAAAGGTATGTTTTGTGGTGTGTGAGTTTACTCTGGTTTTAATTTATGTTGGATGAACAAATGGGTGATTTTGTGAGATTAATTTGACTGGATATTAAAAATTACCCCTTTGACTCTAAGATTAACCAGCATGTAATTTCTTTCGACAATATTACTGCTGAATCATTTATTAAGATCATAGCAATAAAGTAAATGATCACCAGCCTAAAAAGCTTTGATTTTTAAATGAATTCTCCTGAGAAATTGTATTAAGGACAGTATGGAGAAAGTGGATACCGATGTTAAGGTGTGAATTCATATCGGGTATAAAGTTAAATCTTCTCGGATGAGCAGGCGTACGAGAGCTGCATGGATGAGTTAAGATGTTAGATAAATAACGCTGCTGACGGTCCAACTCAAACAAGTTAATTCAAAGAAGGGTTTAAGGGTTCTACGAGACCTCCTTTTCTGCCCCCGGGATTAAAAGAGTCTGGGTCAATAATGTGTACTTTTAGACAAGGTCTTTTATATTCTCTTAGTCAAGCGTATACTTAACTTATGCAATGTAACCACTGTTTCTGCTCCGTTTCCCCCAAATAAACAAAGCTCTCAAAAACGCACGTTGATTCAGTAATTAAATTAACTTTACTTTGCAGTCTCTGGTTTGTGAAATGTGGTCGAACTAAGTAACGCAAGTGATGAACTGCCCGTAAGTTGCTTTCCTGATCACAATTGTCGAAGCAGTTCTGTATTTTGGCGGTGTTTTTTGTAAGAAAAATTTGTTTCGTGTCAAGCTTTGCCAATGAAGAGAAATTCTTAAGCCAATTAGCTTGAATTAATTTAAAAGTTTTAAAACCATCGGGCTGACTTGACGTCTCGCTATCAATGGTTTTTTTTGTTGTTGTTTTTTCACATTACTATGTGCATTGCTTGCCTATAAAGATTTTTTTCCTCAATTTTTAGCTGCGATAAGAGAGAGAGGAAAAACTGGCGGGATATAAATTCATCCGAAACTTAACAATTCAACCGCCAACATTCAATACAAAGAAGCCCTATCGCTTATCTCAGCAGGCGCTGTCTAGAGAGCGGTCTCTACAAAGTTAAATGCGGATTCTGCAAAGTCTGCTCGCTCTTGGTAAGTTTAAAATCACCAACATTTAATTTGGGAGCACTCGCTATACTGAAAATTATAGTCGTGGACAGCAATCAAAGGGATTAATTTCGTCCTCGTGAAGGTTTTCTTGTACATCGAAGACACCTTAGTCTTAAAGTGCATCCCACCACTATGGCGGACAATGATACGTATCGTACATCGGGGATTAAGGCGGATTCCCATCGCATTTCTTTCTTTCTTTTTCAAATTATTCCAATGCACTAGAGGTTAAAAATCCCGGATTACTGCAAGGTAAACTAGGTGCGAAGTAAATTAGTTTAACGGCTTTTTAAATAGGCCCGTTTCTCAGAAGTCCCGGTAAGTTAACGAGCATGAAACTATATTTTACAACCAAAATTTAAATAAAAGAAAAGTACGGGCCTGATAAGTTACCAGGACCTTCGAGATACTATATACTCCGGGAAAATTGTGAACGGGACCTCATACCTTAAATTATTAATTTGCAAAGTTATTTACCTGAATGGACACTAACAAAGAGCTTGATTATCCCGCCAAAAAATTCAAACATTTTATGTGACACCGGTTTTGGAGAGCTCCGTTGTCAACGCTTTCTCGAAGCAAGTGTTTTCAAATTCGTTTATTCTGAAGTGCGTTTTCAAAACTTAGCCTCGGCAGATTTTGAAAAAGTTTTATGCAATTTTCCCAGAAAACCGCTAAATGTTGTTGACTCCCAATTTCGTCCCCATCGATAAGGAGCCTGGAACTGAAAAGGCTAATAAGAAAGTGTTCAAACATTGGGCATGCGCAAAAGATCACTTTTGGCCGGCCGCGCGCAAATTTCCCGCGCAAAAAACCGTGACTTACTGGCTTGTGAGTAAGTTTATAACTCTTAGATCTGTTAGATGACAACTTCGTTCAGAAACCCTGGAAACAAATAAGCAGACGTTTGACTGGCCCCGGCGTTGAACAGGCTAGGAATTAATGAGAACATTTCCTAAATATTTTGTAGGCCTCAAGTAATGACATCAAAAGGCGGTTACAGGAAAATCTCTGGTGATGACGATCATGAAGTCAGTTTTGCGTCTTCTCTTTTTTTTCGTTGGATGAACGGAGTCCTTAAGGGGGGCAGTCAAAGACCTTTGGATCAAAATGACTTTTTACCTTTGTCAGACGAAAACTCTGGCCGTTTTGTCACCGACAAGCTTCGAACAAGCTGGGAAAGCGAGAAACATCATTGCAGGATAAATGGGAAAAGGCCCAAACTTTGGAAAAGTGTGTTCGATATACTTTCTGTCAAAGATGTCATCATCATTTTGACGGGGAATATATTGTATACAATGTCTCGCCTTCTCTTTCCACTGTTTATCGGGTATCTCGTTTCTAAGCTTATGTCAGCTGAGGCAGAGAAAACTTATCTGCTCTACGCCTGCGCATTAGCTTTGTGTCTCAATGGTTTTATCGGTGGCCTTAGTATCCACCAGCAAGACTACAGATGTGAAGTGCTGGGGATCAAAATAGGAAGCGCTCTAAGGGGACTTGTGTACCACAAGGTAGGCACGATCGTAAAGTCGTAATGTCTTATGGTTTTGTCGCAAGGTCAATTCGATCTATAAGTACTTTTTTCCCGAAACCTTAACCGATTGCAATAAACTTATGCCATGGTGAGACCCACAAGGAGGCCTTCATTGAACGTAAAAATTGGTTTCTGATTCTAGGAGAGAAATTTAAATTAAGAACTCAATCGATTCTGCACACCAACAAACAAACAAAGTTACTCACAGCAACCTAGTCCATTAAACCATTAAAGAGTACTTCAGAATTGTAAACTCCTACCGGGCTTTGAACCTCCAAAACTAACCTAATCATTCGAAAAATTTCTTCAAATGTGCTGATAATGGTCAGACACAACGCACCTGTTGCAAAAAATTCTTCCACGGCTATCGCAGAAAAGATTTATTTGATTCAAGAACGCCTCTTTGTGTGGCTCATTACCGGTTCAAGTAGATCGCCTCGAGATGAGAGAAAGAAGAACATTACTTTCACACGTCACAAGTAGACGGTCGCCCTGCTGAGCGACATTCAAAAATAGCGACTGATTTGTCGCATTTTTGACACATTTGAAGATAGTTTGGTAAAGGCTCGATTAATCTCGTCTCGATAAGCGAACATGGAAATCATTTGTGGCGGAGATTAAAATCTTATAGGTTTTGGAACATACTTCCCCTTCAATGTCAAATCTTCACTTTCTTTCAGACGCTTCTTCTCAGCAAGCAGACGTTACTGGAATTCACTTCAGGACGCTTATTCGACCTGATATCCAATGATGTTAAAACAATGGAAGAAGAGACAGTCAAGTTTTTTTTCTTGACACCTTTTGCAGTCCTTTCTTATGCAGGAACAATATTCCTCATCTACTATTTAATTGGCTGGCAGGCTGTTATGGGTGTGTTCCTCCTGTGTATTCTCATGCCATACTTTGCCGTCTTGTCCTATGCTAACGCTAAGCTGCGCTTGCGCACAGCTACAGTGTCCGATCAGCGGATCTCCTTAATGAATCAAGTAGTTTCCGGGATCCGCGCGATCAAAACCCATGCGTGGGAGGACGAATATCGGCGAAAAATAGAACACATACGGAGGTAAGGTGAATAATTATGTTCAATCAACAACTTGGAGGTGTAAGCTGCATTAACTCTTTGTATGAATATATTTAAATTTACTTATCATATGTCTCAGTTAGAACGTGCGCTATGAACGGCTGATGTATGCGCCGATCAATTCAAAGAAGAACGAAGAACGAAATTATTCTCACAACAATCGACTGTAGAAGTGAATGTCGATGTAAATCTCTAAAAAATAAACTTCAAATTATTTCATTTACGTCAAAACGCTTAACCTGATCAGACGGGAATATTACCAGACGGTGGAGTTCTTTATGAAATAGTTAAGATCGCATGCTTGTTCTCATTGATCGATAGGCGTGTTCAGATGAAGGTGTGTAGACAAGGTCGGACGTCTCACCTTCCGGTGCTTTCTCACAAATACTTCATCAAAGCAATGAGAACCCTTTTTTTTCTCGGCGTTTATATAGCCTCATATAAACACGAGAGGACTGGGAGAATTCTCGAAAGTTATACAAACCTTCGACTTCCACTTGGGTTTACATAACTTTTCCGACGTGAATGGCTAAAATTTAGTGGCATCCGTCATTCCCGTGATCGTTGACCTAAATTATTTTAAAGTTCGAAATGTATATCCACTAATCTATTTGTCTCTCCACTAAGAGCTTTATTACGTAAGCAACTTAAATAAGCCCTAAATAAGGCCTTGGACAGCTGAGTGAGCCGATCAGAATGCCCTTTTCATAAAGAATAAGTGTGTCACGATACCCATTTCATAACCAGAGAACTGGTCCGTTAAAACCTATTAGTATAGGGGACACAGGTTAATACCGCTTTTCTCAAGCGCTTTTAGGCTAGTTCGGAGGTGATCATCGAGTGCTAACCACCTCCCTGTAGCCGATGAGAGAAAATACTACGTCAAGAGTTTTCGTTACATTGACAGAAATAAAGTGACTTTTTCGGTTTCTGTATCTAAAATTATTATTCACCTCTAAAAATGAAAGGGTTTGATATTCACCCACTCTTCGGAAAATAATTGTTAATTAAAAAAAGTAAAACGTTTCCCTGAATCTAACTCGTCTTCAGTTGTGCCTTATTTTTTATACGCGGTCCTAGGGTCGCGGTAGACAAGCACTTCCACGACGAAGTAGACGATGGGAAATATCTTCGAGGGAAGGGTGCACTTCTAGCGTGTTCACTCATCCATGCTTCTAAGTAAAGAGAAGACTGGGGACGAGTTTCTATAAAAGAATATCCACATAACATGCTATGAACTTTTTATCTTCAGAAATGAGATCAACGTCATTTCGAAGAGGACAGCCATTCAGTCAAGTATCGATGCCTTGTTGTACAGTGCAACGCCATTAGCTACTCTGGTGTCAGTAATTACTATGGTGCTTACGGGCCAGACTCTCACACCCGCCAATGTTTTTATGCTTCTATCGTTTATGGGTGTTTTAAAATTTTATGGCATGTTGAATATAACAAATGGTTTCATAAGAACATATGACGCTTACGTTTCGCTTGGAAGAATCGAAGAGTTTCTTCATTTAGAAAACTTATCAGAAGCCTCGGAGGACGATGAAAGTAAAGAACACCCACAAAAGGCCAGGAGTACCTTCACTAAACAGAGTCACGGCTACTCAGAAAAAGAAACCGAAAATATGAGGAACGTTTCCGGTGCTCGTAAAGCAACGGAATTAGGGCCTACTCATCTATGTGTGTCTAATTTAACTTGCACAAAAAAGAATCGTGAAGATGAATTTATTCTCCAGGATATCAAGTTTGTTGCACCTTCAAAGAGTTTAACAGTCATCACCGGCCCAGTTGGAAGTGGTAAGTCTACTCTGCTTTCAGCTATCGCTGGTGAAATTTCCAACACGAGTGGCATGATTTCTTATCGAGGCAAGGCCATTTACTTGCCTCAGACTACCTGGGTGTTCTCGGGAACGATAAAAGAAAACATCCTTTTTGGCCAACCCTACGAGGAGTCCAAGTACGAAAGAATTATCGACGTCTGCGCTCTGAAAGAAGACTTCCAGCGGTTTCCTAGTGGTGATCAAACAGTAGTTGGAGAACGCGGCGAGGTTCTGAGCGGAGGACAACAGGCGAGAGTAAGTTTAGCTCGTGCAGTTTATGCTGACGGAGATATTTATCTACTGGATGATCCACTGAGTGCCGTCGATTTGAAAGTCGGCCAACACATCTTTAACAAGTGCATCAAAGATCTACTGGGCGATAAAATCGTTCTGTTTGCCTCTCATCAGCAACAGCACATGGAAAATGCCGATGAAGTGATTGTGTTGTACAAAGGGCGTGTCCTCGACAAAGGACGCTTTGCTGAACTGCACGAAAAAGGTGTAATCAGTTCAACTGTTGACCCGCTCTATAGAGCAGCTCTGAAGGACAAAACAGACTCATCTGAGCCGTTTGCTTGGAAAAATTCAGAGAAACAGGATGATGCTCATTTTCTGCCCGATAAAGCCAGTAGTTTGGAGATAGCAAAAGAGGACCGTACAATCGGAGTACTGACAGCCAGGCTTTATTGGGACTATTTCAGAAGTGGAGTACATCCCTTGATGATAACTGGAATGGTTGGTTTTAGCCTCATTACTCAAGGTAAACTTTTTGTTATACCGAGTTAGAAGCCTTGGGTCAGACCATTAAAGGGGAAAACATCCTTTTTTCTATTTCGTGAAAAGCGTATGATAATCTCTATCGTTTTAACAAACACTATTTGTTAAAAGGAAAATGAGCTGGCATGAAAACCTTGCTAACCACCTGCAAAACGGCGCCATTTTTCCGTTTCCAGGCGTGCGAGAAAGTGCGTGATGCACACAAGAGGACAACACAAAGGGCAAATGACGGGCGATTGGAGAAGCACGTGTCTAGCTGCTCCCTTTTGCTTCGTGCTTTGCTTACGCTTACCTTTTGCTCGTCTGAAAAACACGAGAAAAGGCTGCCTGTCGTGTAGGCTACCATGTTAGGAGATCTCGAGGGCAATGGTTAACAGATTTATCTATCCTCATATATTGTGGCGCTTACAGAAACATCCTAAACCTGCAAATAGTCATTTGTTGAGGGTGGTGCCTGAGCCAAATAATTCTTACAACTTGTTCCACTAAGTGATCATATGGAAATAAATGCCAATAATAACATCTTAATGGTGTTTCTTTCAGCCATCATAGTTGCTCCAGACTTGTGGCTCTCATTTCTTGCAAAGCTAGACCAAGAGGATCAGAAGAACAAGACTTATCTATCTGTCTTCGCCTGTGTGGTTGGCGCGTGTTTTACATTTACTACCATTCGGGCTTATGGATTCCTCTTAGTTTCTCTTAAGTGCGCCGAGCGTCTCCACGATAAAATGGTTGTGGCCATTTTACAAGCACCTGTCCTGTTCTTTGATACAAATCCGGTGGGAAGAATCCTAAATCGCTTTTCGAATGATATTGGCTGCGTGGATGAGTTGCTACCCAAAACAATTCTATGGGCAATGCAGATGCTCTTGCTTATATTTCTTCAAATTCTAGTGACAGTTGCCACAAATGTTTGGCTCGTTTTTGTTGTTGTTCCAATTTCGATGCTGGTCGTTTTTCTTTCCAATTATTACTTGAAGACTGCCAGAGAACTAAAGAGGTTGGAGTCGATATCCCGAAGCCCAGTGTTCGCTCACTTTTCGGAGACCCTGATAGGACTGGACACGATTCGTACGAGAGGAAGACAGAGAGATTTTGTGGACACACTTTACAGGTATGTTAAAGACATTGACTCAGGCTGTGCTTCTAGAGCTGATAAATGCACAGGCCACGAATGAGTCGTAATTGACTCTATTTCCAACTGAAATCACCCTTCAATTTTTGTCGTTTCTATTGCAATCCTTCCTGCCATGTGCCGAGACACTGGTCTGCAAGTGAACCTTTCCTTACGGGAGGTTCTTGGAAAGTAGTACCTTTTCGGGGAGGGAGGGGAGAGGCAAAAGGCTGTATTTTACCCCGAATAATCTCCTTAGAGCTTTTTAAGGCTGTTTTCGAACAACAAAACAAAAGTAATCACAACAAGCCAAGAAGAACGAGAACTCGAAGTAAAAACAAGGAAACGGCATTGAATGCCCGAAAACGGCAAGGACCAGTAGGTGGTTGGTTTTGCTTTTACTTCGGATTTAATAAGAAGTGGTGTCGAGTTTGCTGGTCTATTTAGAGAGCAAAATAATACAAATAACAAAGCTAATGCAGATTTTTATCGACACTCAACTGATAAATCATTTCATTATTAAAACGTATTGTGATAAAAACTCGTCCCTCCAGATATCAAGATGTTCATAATCAGGCGTACATTATGGTGATGGCCAGCGGTAGGTGGCTCGGTGTACGTTTGGATTGTCTCGCTTCCTTGTTAGTCGGTGCTGTTGCTCTGGCTGCAGTCTTGGTATCTCAAGATGCCGGTAAGCCCAAGATTCTTAGTAACGTTTTTGAGTCTTCCTATTTATCACGAATCTATATGGTCATGAATTGAGACAGCACACACTACTGAATTATAAAATAAGCGAGATTATACGCGCACTCTCAATGGTCGATAGATGTATACAGGTGAGGGTTGTAACATTTTAGATTCGCGATAATTCTTGGAAAATGTATTATGAAAGCAAAGTAATAGAGGACTATTTCCGTGTCTAGATAGCCTCAACTAAACACGAGTAACTTGGAGAGTGGTGTACCCGAAAGTTATGCAAACCCATGGGGTATCAAATTTATCAAAGGGTCGTTTCTAAGCACGACAATAACATAAGAGTCACTCGGGCCGCTTAAATGCTCAGAAAATTTTCAAGTGTCTCTAATGATTCAAAGTGAAATTTGGGTATTGACTTCACTGTTCCAAAATTAAATTTAAAAGAAAACAACAACAACAAAAAGGACTAAAAGGAAATTTAGTTGACAAAAAAAAAGACGGGGTATATAGCAACAAAAAAAACCGTGTAAATATCTCCGATTAACTGACTGCCAGGAACAGGATACGTCGCTATAACCTTGACAAGTTCCCTTTCAAGATTCGAGCTATCGAAGAAGACTGGTCCAGAAATATTAAAATAAAGCTCTTTTTCTTTCAGCTTACGCTGGTCTCGCTCTTGTTTACGTCATCCAAACTCTGAGTATGACTCAATACGCTGTTAGAAAAACCTCTGAAGTGGAAAATTACATGACGTCAGTTGAGCGAGTTATGACCTACACCAAACTTGATCAGGAGCCTGGATACGAGGAAGAACGAACACCCCCAAAAGACTGGCCTCAGGGAGGAAGTATTGTGTTGAGAGATGTATCATTGACGTACTATCCGGGGGGACCTCAAGTGCTGAAGCACATCAATCTTAGCATCAAAGGAGGAGCAAAGATCGGAGTTGCCGGCCGTACGGGAGCTGGGAAGTCATCTTTTGTAGCAGCTCTTATGCGCATGCCCGATGCTGATGGAGAGATAATCATCGACAATGTTCCAATTAAAGAGATAGGCCTCCAAGAAGCTCGACGAGGTATCTCGGTTCTCGGCCAAAGTCCTGTTCTTTTTAGTGGATCACTGAGAAAAAATCTCGACGTTTTAGACAAGTTTCAAGACGCTGAATTGTGGCAGGCTTTAGAGGATGTGCAACTGAAAGATTTTGTCGAGACTCTTGAGGCTAAGCTGGATCACGAACTGCTGGAACATGGCGCTAATGTGAGTGTCGGAGAGCGGCAGTTAATTTGCTTGGCTCGTGTGCTGCTACAGCGAAGTAAAATCGTTGTCTTGGACGAGCCAACTGCGCATGTAGACCCAGACACAGAGCAGACGATCTGGAATGTAGTGCGGGACAAACTGAAAGAGTCCACTGTTATCACTATAGCTCACCGTTTGAACACGATAAAAGACTGCCAGAAGATTTTGGTCTTGAAAGATGGAAAAGTTAAAGGATTTGACAATTTTGATTTAATAGTGAACATTAAGTAAGATGCGGTCTAAGGTTGAAATACCTCGATTGTCAGATCTGACTAAGGTTGCGGTCTAAGGTTGAAATACCTCGATTGCCAGATCTGATCCTGCAGAGCTCAAGATATTATACAGTTTATAATCTCTTCCAAAGCTCTGATTCTGCACATCATGGAGAAAAATGAAATTTGATGCTTTTTGCTCGGATTTGGCTCCTACATACTGCCAAGCATTTTTAAAATCTCTCTCGTTGTCATGTGCTGGGATGTCACGCAATGCCAATTCTGTCGTGGGTCAGTTCAGTAATAGATCACAGATGAAGTCATTATCTTATAAAGAAAAACTGGAACACTAGGCGCAAGCGAGTGTGTCACTGATGTTCCAACTGCTCTATGACGTCCTCTGTGACCTCCCCTTGCCCTACCACACCCAACCACTTACGAACAAGGAGCTCTGTGTTACGCATTCATTTGTTCTGACAACCGAGCACGCTAACACACCTCTTGCGATAGTAGTCTCAGCGTTCTCACAGAGTGTGGAGATCACAAACTTTCCCTTTAGCAACTTATATAAGACTTTCTTGGACACTTGAAATTGTGTGAGATTTTCCTCCTCACATCCCACCTTTTAAAAAATTATATTGCGCACGCGCCATGCTTTTCGTGTGATCAACACACTCCTTTCGTCGCGTCGAACATGTGCCACGGGCATATGACCTACTTCCGCTGAATGGGGATTTTGAACCTTGCCTGGGTGGAATGGAAAATTTGAACCGGAACTTTCAAGTCTTTCTAACAGAATAAATGTGTTATATCTTTGATATGGAGTTGTTTTAAGGTTAAAAGTTCACCCTCGTAAGCAGATGGCTCAGAAGAAGAGGTCTTCAAGAAAGTCACTGTCACTTATCTTTACTTTTACAAAAAAAATTGCCGATCAAATCCGGCACTTGCGTGGAGCATTTGAACACAGTTTGGTATTGGGGGGCGGAAATTTGAAGGAAATAATCTCCAAAGTTCAAATGCCCGGGGGGATCTTGGAACTGATCGACGCATAATTTTTATCGCTTCGGTAAACCGATGTGTCGTTGACTCGAAAGCTTTTTCAGTTGCGTTTAAGAGTTTGATATCCATTATTTCCCGAACGTAGTTTTCTGACGCATCGTTCTTTTTCATCTCGTCGAGCCAATGTCGTCGCAACGGTCGGCAAGTGAACTCTTACTTCAAGGCACGGTTGAAGTGCAAAGCTTTCCGTATCACCATCAACGGTAAGCCGTTTTTTTACTAAGATTATTTAGTTTCACCAATTATGTTGATAATGAGAACTGGCCACCGTTGAGAGATTCTGAAGTAACGTTACGAGTCTCAGCCCTTCGTCAGAACAAATTTGATGTAAGTCGATTGATACGGGTGAAACAAACTCAAGCGCGGATCGCATTACAATTAACGATTGTGAAACATAGTCTAGCTAATCCGCGCAATCTTCAAGTTGAAACGAACAGAAATATGACTCATTCTTGTTTATCCAGCTAGTTGTCTTGCTTTATTTTTCTTTTTTATTTAAAGAACATAAGTGCGTGAGTTTGATGTTGAGTAATTTGTTGGGAGTTGGTACCTTAATCACCTACTATTGCATAATTTTCTACACGGTATGCCGGTTTGAAACTTATCCTCGTCCTATTTGTCATCTTTTCTTTTAACTTGTTAGGTGATAAATTACTAGAATGAAACGAAATTTTTTTCTTCATCTGAAAACTGTGAGCGATTGATAAGAAATGTTAAGCTAAAATTTTCATTTAACCATGAATTTGAATAATCACTGATGTGTCACATAGCACTGTCTGCTTTCTTGTGAATTTAAGACTCGTCCAAACTAACCTACTCAGAAAACTGATCTACTAGATGTACTACTCGTAGTATTAATCATAGGTTTAAAAGGTTGGAAACCATAGGCTTTGAAGGTGTGGGCAATGAGGGAAATTTCTCAGTACATCTGAAAGGTATGAGTAGATAAACGAAATGTTTAGTGAAAATGTGCATTTCACCACCAATTTGAATAATTTTATTTACGACAGCACAAAAGAGCGAGAATCGTCTAAACTAACTTTGCTCACAAAACTAAACTACTAGATGAAATATTAGTAATAGTGACTATGTAGGTTTATAAGTGCGGGCATTGATGCGCTGATAGAGCCTTGCGTGTGAGCCATGGGCGAAAAAAATTTCTTCGTTCATCAGCGAGTAATGAGCGTAAAAACGGATTGTTCAGTTGAAATGTGCGTTTGACCAGAACGCATTAACAATCGCGTGTTTCGACACGAAGCGTCTATACTACTTCTAAAAGGTAAACAACTGTTTTGTTTTGACTTTATGATCTTAGAAAATTTTCGGGAAAATGAAAAACCTTAAGCGTCGTGACTTCGTGCTGTTCTTTGTTTTACAGCGCGTTGCTAAGTTTCAAGAAATCAGGCGATTCTATGCCGCAATAGAAACTGTTAAATAGAACGACTGCCTTCCAAAGCAGTACACACAAAAAGTCATACAGTTTTACAAAACACCATGACTTACTTACTGACCTGTGAGTAAGTTTATAACTCCTAGATGACGACTTGGTTCTGAAACCCTAGAAATGCACGAGTAGACGCTTAACGCTGCGTTGGACAGGCTAAGAATAAATGAGGATATTTTCTGAATATTTTGTAGGTCTCAAGCGATGGCACCCAAAGGCGGTTGGAAGTCAGTTTTGCATCGTTTTGCATCGTCTCTGTTTTTTTGTTGGATGAATGGAGTCCTTAAGAAAGGCAGTCAGAGACCTTTGGATCAAAATGACTTTTTACCATTGTCAGACGAGAACTGTGCCCATTTTTTAACCAAAAATCTTCGAACAAGCTGGGAAAGCAGGAAACATTACCGTAAAATAAATGGGAAAAGGCCCAAACTTTGGAAAAGCGTGTTTGATATGCTTTCTGTCAAAGATGTCATCATCATTTTGACGGGGAGTATATTGTTTTTCATAAGTCGCCTTCTCTTTTCATTGCTTCTCGGGTATCTCGTTTCTAGTCTTATGTCAGCTGAGGCAGAGAATACTTACATGATCTACGCCTGCGCATTAGCTTTGTGTCTCGATGGTTTGATGGGTGGCCTTGGTATCCACCATCTAAGCTACAGGTGTGAAGTTTTGGGGATCAAAATAGGCAGCGCCCTAAGGGGACTGGTGTACCACAAGGTAGACACGATCATAAAGAGTATTCTATTATTTTTGTCGTAAGGTCAATAAATCTTAACCTATTCGAAATAGAATTTTAACCAATTGCAATCAACCTATGCTAACCAGGAGGCCCAGAAGGAGAGGTTCATTGAACATGATAACTATTTGCTGATTCTCCGAGAGAATTATAGAACTCAAGCAATCCTGCCCACCAACGACCAAACAAAGTAACACACAGTAATTTAGTGTAGAGTTTATGGAGAAGTATGCTTCAAAAGCCATAAATTTTTTATTAAACCATTATGAAGTATATTCAGTATATTCGAAAGTTTCTTCAAATGTGCTGATAATGGCCAGACACAACGCGCCTGTCTCAAAAAATTTCTTCCATGGCTATTGCGGGAAAAATTTATTTTAAGTCAAGAATGCCTTTTTTGTGTAACTCCTTGTTCGAGTAAAGCACCTCGAGATGAAGAAGGAAAAATTACTTTCATACGTCACAGGCAGACGGCCGCCCTGCTGAGCGATATTCATCTGAAATGGGGACTGAATTGATGCGTCTGACACATATGAAGATAATTTGGTAAAGGTTCGATTATTCTCGTCTTGATACGCGGTCATGGAAATCATTTGTGGCGGATATTAAAATCTTATAGGGTTTAGAACATACTTCCCTTTTAATGTCAAACCTTCACTTTCTTTCAGACGCTTCTTCTCAGCGAGCAGACATTACTGGAATTCACTTCAGGACACTTGTTCGACCTGATATCCAATGATGTTAAAACATTGGAAGAAGAGACAATCAAGTTTTTTTTCTTGACACCTTTCGCAGTACTTTCGTATCCGGGAACAATATTCCTCATTTACTATTTGATTGGCTGGCAGGCTGTTATGGGTGTGTTCCTCCTGTGTGTTCTTATGCCATACTTTGCCGTCTTGTCCTATGCTAACGCTAAGCTGCGCTTGCGCACAGCTACAGTGTCCGATAAGCGAATCTCCTTAATGAATCAAGTAGTTTCCGGGATCCGCGCGATCAAAACGCATGCGTGGGAGGACGCATATCGGCGGAAAATCGAAGATATACGAAGGTAAGGTGAATGATTATGTTTAGTCAGAGGTTGGCTATAATAATGTAAGCAGCGTTAAATCTATGTATGACCTCATTTAAATTTATTTATCATATATCTCAATGAGAATGTGCACTATAATTGGTCGATGCATGCGCCGATCAATTCGAAGCTTCAAACTTTCCCCCACGGGTACCCCCCTGAAGCATTCGTACTTTTGAACATTGGTTCATTCAAATTTCCGCCCTTCCCCCCCCGTTAAAATATGTCACAAACCGCGTTTTCTTAGTTCATACTATTAGTAACGTAACCTCGTTTTTTCGAGCAGAAAAATCGCTCCCAAATTTGCAGTGCGGACCCCTAACTAGGTTAGTGAGGGGTATTTACCTGGAAGACAATTACGGATTACTCCATGGATATAGCTTTTCAGGGCCTTTTTCAATCAGTTTGATTCTTAAACAGGAGAGCGCAGTATTGAAACGAATAACGGTGTTATTCTTACGATAGTCGACTGTAGAAGTGAATCTCGATGTAAATATCTTTAAAAAACGCAAGCTCAAATATTTCATTTACATCGCAATGCTTAACCTGATCAAACAGGAAAATTAACAGACGGTGATGTTCTTCATGAAACATTTAAGGTGGTACGCGCCAAAATTTTACCAAGTTTGGTTGCATCCGTCATTTCCGTGATTGTTGACCTAAATTATTTTAAAGTTCGAAATGTATATCCACAAATCTATTTATCTCTCCTCTAAGAGCTTTATTACCTAAGCAACTTAAATAAACCCTAAATAAGGCCTTGGACAGCTGAGTGAGCTGGTCAGAATGCCTTCTTTCATAAAGAATAAGTGACTGTGTCACGAGACCCATTTCATAACCAGAGAACTGGTCCGTTAAAACCTATTAGTATAGAGGACACAGTTTAATACTGCTTTTCTTTTGCTCAGAAATGAGATCAATGTCATTTCGAAGAGGACAGCCATTCAGTCAAATATCGATGCCTTGTTGTACAGTGCAACGCCATTAGCTACTCTGGTGTCAGTAATTACTATGGTGCTTACGGGCCAGACTCTCACGCCCGCCAATGTTTTTATGCTTCTATCGTTTATGGGTGTTTTAAAATTTTATGGCATGTTGAATATAACAAATGGTTTCATAGGAACATATGACGCTTACGTTTCGCTTGGAAGAATCGAAGAGTTCCTTCTTTTAGAAACTTTATCAGAAGCCTCGGAGGATGATGAAAGTAAAGAACACCCACAAAAGGCCAGGAGTACCTTCACTAACCAGAGTCACGGCTACTCAAAAAAGGAAGCCGAAAATGTGGAAAAATTTTTCGATGCTTGTGAAGCAACGGAATTAAGGCCTACTAATATATGTGTGTCTAATTTAACCTGCACAAAAAAGAATTGTGAAGATGAATTTATTCTCCAGGATATTAAGTTTGTTGCACCTTCGAAGAGTTTAACAGTTATCACCGGCCCAGTTGGAAGTGGTAAGTCTACTCTGCTTTCAGCTATCGCTGGTGAAATTTCCAACACGAGTGGCATGATTTCTTACCGAGGCAAGGTCATTTACTTGCCTCAGACTGCTTGGGTGTTCTCGGGAACGATAAAAGAAAACATCCTTTTTGGCCAGCCCTTCGAGGAGTCCAAGTACGAAAGAATTATCGACGTCTGCACTCTGAAAGAAGACTTTCAGCGGTTACCTGGTGGTGACCAAACAGTAGTTGGAGAACGCGGCGAGATTCTGAGCGGAGGACAACAGGCGAGAGTAAGTTTAGCTCGTGCAGTTTATGCTGACGGAGATATTTATCTATTGGATGATCCACTGAGTGCTGTCGATTTTAAAGTTGGCCAACACATCTTTAACAAGTGCATCAAAGATCTACTAGGCGATAAAATCGTTCTGTTTGCCTCTCATCAGCAACAGCACATGGAAAATGCTGACGAAGTGATTGTGTTGTACAAAGGGCGTGTCCTCGACAAGGGACGCTTTACTGAGCTGCACGAAAAAGGTGTAATCGGTTCAACTGTTGACCCACCATATAAAGCAGCTCTGCGGAAAGAAGAAACAGAATCATCTGATACCTTTGCCTGGGAGAATACAGAAAAACACGTTGATGCCGAAAAATGCAAGAAAATACTTCCTCTGTCCAATGAAGCAAGGAGCTTGGAGATAGCAAAGGAGGATCGTACAATCGGAGTAGTGACATCCAAGCTCTACTGGGACTACTTCAGAAGTGGAGCGCATCCCCTAATGATAACTGGAATGGTTGGTTTTATTCTCCTTACTCAAGGTAAACTTATTGTTATACCGAGTTACAAGCCTTGGGTCAGGCCCTAAAAGGAGATACAGTGATTTTTTTTTCTATATCCATTTAACAGTATTTGTTAAAATTAAAATTAGCTGGCATAAAAACCTTGCTTACAACGTGTAAAACAGGTGACATTCCTCAGGCATACTACAACGAGTTTGAGACACACACGAGGAGAAAGGAAAGGGCGAATGACGCGCAATCGAATAAGCACGTGTCTAGCCGCTCTCTTTTGCCTCGTACTTGGCTTGCACCTACCTTCACTCGCCTAAAAAAACTCAACAAAAAGGTCGCCTGTTTTGCAAGCTACCATGCCAGGAGCTTTCGAGGGCAATTTATTTTGATGCGTACCGTGGTTAACCGATTCATCTCACATATTGTAGTGTTTATAGAAACATCCTCAACCTACAGATAATTGTATCTAATGTAGGCAGGTAGTGCAGGTAGTAGCCTAATAAATCTTACTGTGTTCAACTAAATGATCATATAGAAATAAATATCAACTATCACATCTTAATTTTGTCTCTTTCAGCCATCATAGTTGCTCCAGACTTGTGGCTCTCGTTTCTTGCAAGACTAATCCCAGAGGATCAGAATAACAAGACTTATCTATCTGTCTTCGCCTGTCTGGTTGGTGCGTGCTTTATATTTACTATCGTTCGGGCTTATGGATTCTTCCATGTTTCTCTAAAGTGCGCCGAGCGTCTTCACGATAAAATGGTTGTGGCCATTTTACAAGCACCTGTCCTGTTCTTTGATTCAAATCCAGTGGGAAGAATCCTAAATCGCTTCTCCAATGATATTGGCTGCGTGGATGATATGCTACCCAAAACAATCCTGTGGGCAATGCAGATGCTCTTACTTATATTTTTTCAAATTCTCGTAACAATTGCCACAAATGTTTGGCTCATTCTTGTTGTTGTTCCCATTTGTATGCTAGTCGTTTATCTTTCCAATCATTACTTGAAGACTGCCAGAGAACTGAAGAGGTTGGAGTCTATATCCCGAAGCCCAGTGTTCGCTCACTTTTCGGAGACTCTGATAGGACTGGACACGATTCGTACAAGAGGAAGACAGACACATTTTTTAGACACACTTTACAGGTATGTTAGAGACATTGACTCGAGCCGTGCTGCTAGAGCTGATAAAGCACAGGCAACGAATGAGTCGTAATTCTTACTGAACTCACCCTTCAATTTTTGTCTGTTGAAATCCTTTCTTCTATGCGTCGAGACACTGTTTAGCAAGTGAACCTTTCCTTACTAGAAGTTCTTGGAGAGAAGTACCTATTTAGGAGGGAGGGGAGAGGCAAAGGGCCGTATTTTACCACGAATAATCTCCTTAGAGCTTTTTTAAGCTGTTGTCGAATAACAAAACCAAATTATTCGCAACGAGACAACCAGAACGAAAACTCAAAGTAAAAAACAAGGAAACCGCATCGAGTGCCCGAAAACGGCACGGGACATTAAGCGGTTGGTTTTACTTTTGAATCGGATTTGATAAGAGGCAGACTCGAGTTTGCAGGTCCAATTAGAGAGTAAAGTAAGACAAAGCCAATGCTATACAGCTTTTTTTCTACAGTCAACTGAAAATTTCTCTTTTATGAAAAGTAACTATGATAAATTGACTTGTCCCCACAGATACCAAGATGTTCATAATCAGGCGTACATTATGGTGATGGCCAGTGCTAGGTGGCTCGGTATGCGCTTGGATTGTCTCGCTTCCCTGTTAGTCGGTGCAGTTGCTGTGGCTGCAGTCTTGGTATCTCAAGATGCCGGTAAGCTCAAGATTCTTGGTAACGTTTTTGAGTCTTCCTATTTATCACGAATCTGTATAATCATGTATTGAGACAGCATGCACTACTGGATTATTAAATAAGCGAGACTATACGCGCACTCTCATTGGTCGATAGGTGTGTACAGTTGTGATATTTTAGATTCGCGATAATTCTTGGGAAAAATGTATTATGAAAGCAAAGTGATGAAGGACTATTTCCGTGTCTAAATAGCCTCAACTATACACAAGTGGCTTGGAGAGTGGTGTACCCGAAAGTTATGCAAACCCATAGGGCATCAAATATGTAAAGTTTGACTTTTTTTTTTTTTTTCAGCTTACGCTGGTCTCGCTCTTGTATACGTCATCCAAAATCTGAGCATGGCTCAATACGCTGTTAGAAAAACCTCTGAAGTGGAAAACTACATGACGTCAGTTGAGCGAGTTATGGCCTACACCAAACTTGACCAGGAGCTTGGATACGAGGAAGAACGAACACCCATTAATTGGAGTTCGTTTATATGAGGATAACGCCAAGCGTCAAAATAAATCTTTAACGATTAAATATCGTAATACGAAGCATTTTGACAAATCCGCCTTCGTTTCCGACCTCAAAGAAGTTCCTTGGAATACTGCATTTGTCTTTGACGATTTAACTGATATCTTAAATGCATGGATGGGTCTCTTCATTAACATCTTGGATGCCCACTGTCCGTGGCGAGTAAAGAAAGTAGCCAAACAAAATCAAGCTCCATGGATGACTGTGAATATTTTACAAGCGCTTCGCAGAAGGGATTCTTTACTACGTAAAGCAAGGCAAAGTCGTTGTGTCACGGATTGGAACTGCTTCAAAATCGCGAGGAATAAAGTTGTAAACATGATTCGCAGTGCGAAATATAAATACTATAATACCTGTTTCAACAACAACAAGGGAAACTCTAAAAAGATGTGGAAAACCATAAAATCACTAATGGGCGATGTATCAAAATCAGTTGAGACGCCAAATGTTGTTTTGGCCGAAAAGTTTAATGATCACTTCACTTCAATTGCTGATTCACTGAGGAATCTACTACCTAATGTACCTTATTGCAATTCAAAGGTTGAAAACTTTGTTTGTTCAAGAAAAGATCCGGATGTTCTTTTCAATATTCCTCCTGTTACCAAAAAGATTTTGTGCTGGGTGCTCTGTTGGGACTTAAAACAAACAAAGCTATGGGTATTGACAAGATAAGTGCAAGATATCTGAAAATAGCAGGACCAGCTATTGCTTATTCAATTACTCAAATCTTGAATATTTCAATTAATTCTGGTGTATTCCCTGATTGTTGGAAGATAGCGAAAGTCATTCCGTTGTTTAAATCTGGGGACCGTGAGGATCCTGACAATTATCGACCCATTTCGATATTACCTGTTTTGTCAAAGATTCTGGAACGTCATATACACGATCATCTCTATAATTACTTATGTGAAAACAATCTATTGTACCCTTTACAGTCAGGTTTTCGGAAACACCATGGAACAGACACTGCTCTTATACGAGTCATAGACAATTTGTTATTTAATCTAGACAATGATCAAGTCAGCGGTCTTCTTTTAGTTGATTACAGGAAAGCTTTTGATATGGTTGACCGTGAAATTCTTTTTGCAAAAGCTGAATGCCTATGGTTTAACTCCAGTTGCAAGTAAATGGTTTAGTTCATACTTGACTGATAGACATCAATTTATTGCTATTGATAATGTGACATCTGACTCTACTCTTGTGAGGCATGGTGTTCCACAGGGTAGTATCCTTGGCCCTTTACTTTTTGTCATTTATATCAATGATTTGCCTCTACATGTTAATGGTGCTGACCTGGATCTCTATGCTGATGACACCACACTGACATTATCGGCAGATATCTCAGCGGTTGATTCTCTACAAGATTCACTAGCTGCTTCTTTTGAAGGAAATTGAATGCTGGACGCACACCAATAAACTTCCTCTCAATGAAAAAAAAAAGACTAAAACACTACTGGTCACAGGCAAACGCCTTGGGAAGAAACTACCAGATGGTTATAATTTATCTCTTAAAACTATGAATGGTGTATCATTGGAACAAGTACCCTCAGCTAAACTTCTTGGTATAGACATTGACCACGATTTATCAATGAACACTTATGTTGACAGACTGTGTAAAAAAAATTTCACAAAGAATTGGAATTTTGAATAAGATCAAACTTTGTTTACCATTTAACCAAAGACTTTTATTTTATAATAGTTTAATTAAGCCATTATTTGATTATGCCAATGTTGCATGGCAGTCACTTTGCTCTAATGAATCTCTTTTAAGAATACTTAGGCTACAAAAGAGAGCTGCTAGGGTTTTATTAGATGCTGAACCACGTAGTTCATCAGTTATGCTATTCAATCGTTTAAAGTGGATACCATTTTATGACTCTACTAAGATGGCTAAATGTTCAATACTATTTAAAAGGATTAATTATTGTGTACCTAATTATCTTAATGATAGCTTAAGATTATTAAGTTCAGTACATTCACGCAACACTAGATTTTGTAAATACAACTTTTTATTACCTAAGTTTAAAAGGGCTAGAGAAGGAGGGAAAACTTTTCTAGTTTCTGCCATAAAATTATGGAATCAGTTAAAGCCTGAATTAAAAAAAAGTCTAATACACTTAAGGCCTTTAAAGACAACGTATTTAAATATTACTATAAGGACCAATCATGCTTAGCTCATTTTAATCCGTAAATTTTATTGATAGTAGTTTTATATATTCTTACTTGTTTTAGCTAATTTTCTATTTATATTTCATTCTATTAATGATTCTATTGTATTTATATATTTATTGTAATTAGGAGGACCACAAGTTTATTAGTGTTTGTGCACTATCACGTGCTATCCTCAATAAATAAAGTCTTCTTCTTCTTCTTCTTCTTCTTCTACCCCCAAAAGACTGGCCTCGGAGAGGAAGTATTGTGTTGAGAGATGTATCATTGACGTACTATCCGGGGGGACCTCAAGTGCTGAAGAATATCAATCTTAGCATCAAAGGAGGAGCAAAGATCGGCGTTGCCGGCCGGACAGGAGCTGGGAAGTCATCTTTCGTAGCAGCTCTTATGCGCATGCCTGATGCTGATGGAGAGATAATCATCGACGATGTTCCAATTAAAGACATAGGCCTCCAACAAGCCCGACGAGGTATCTCGATTCTTGGCCAAAGGCCCGTTCTTTTTAGCGGATCATTGAGAAAAAATCTCGACATTTTAGACAAGTTTCAAGACGCTGAATTATGGCAGGCTTTAGAGGATGTGCAACTGAAAGATTTTGTCGAGACATTTGAGGCCAAGCTCGATCACGAACTGCTGGAAAATGGCGCTAATGTGAGTGTCGGCGAGCGGCAGTTAATTTGCTTGGCTCGTGTGCTGCTACAGCGAAGTAAAATCGTCGTCATGGACGAGCCAACTGCGCATGTAGATCCAGACACTGAGCAGACGATCTGGAATGTAGTGCGGGACAAACTGAAGGAATCCACTGTCATTACTATTGCTCACCGTTTGAACACGATAAAAGACTGCCAGAAGATTTTGGTCTTAGAAAATGGAAAAGTTAAAGGATTTGACAAATTTGATTCAGTAATGAATAATGCGTAGAATGTGGCCTGAGACAAAAGAGCTCGATTGCCAAGTCTGATCTGATCCTGCAGAGTTCGAATCCTGCACATTGTGGAAATGAAGAAGAGGTAATGAGCGACAAAAATATTTCGCTCATGGCTTGGTTTTTGCCTCCACCGCGCCCCCAGTTTGTTTAAAATCTCTCTCGCTGTCATGCCTTAGGATGTCACGGAACGCCGGAAGCGTTGCGTGACATTCCATCGAATGCCTGCGAAGGAGAATTTGCTATCCGTTGGCAAAGCCCAATATTGGTTGCAAAACGTACACTGAAACAAGGCATTTTGTTTGGTTTAATGCCTTCACGGTTTCTCGTTATGGTTGTCGTGATATTACCTAGTTTCCGGCTAGCGGTTATCACACTTCAAGGCCACCTTATACAATTATTCACTGGTGATTAAGTTTTTTGACTAGTTCTGTTTATTGTGCTTTATAACAAACGGGTGTGTTCTTACTTCTCCTGCTCTTGACAGAAGAGAACCACAACAATTGTCTTCTCGTCTTGGCGTCTTGTGAGTAGAACTTAATTAAGATGGTGTTTATTAAGAAATGTTCTAAGCTTTACCGATGTTGTTAATCTACATACAGCCCTTTGAAACAACTTCAATAAACGGGCTACGCGGAAAATATTACGTTTCAAGGTCGCCACATTATTCACATGTATAGGTCTCAACCGAGTTCAAGATGATGCCCTCTAATATATCAGGTGATAATCGTTAAAATAAAAAAAGAGTGAAAAGAGAGAATCTAATCAGCATATCACGTCACTCTATAACATAACATGAAGGTCTTATGACTGTTGTGGCCCCAGACGGTTCGTTTATTAACTGAGACTCAAAGGTGTCATTCAGTGTCTTCCCGTCTTGAAATTGCGTTCAGTTTTGCATTTACGACTGTAATATTTCCGAATTGTTTACTCAAATTCCATTATGATTGACACGGATTCAAGGACAAGCTTTGTGGCTTTTACTTTCCTCCTTACTATGTCAACAGCTGCATGCCTCTCAAGCTCCGGCGCTAACAAGTGCTCTAGAGCACAAGACTGCAGTACAGGAAACGGTTCATATGAATGCTGCTCTGGTTCTTGTGTCCAAGGAAGCAATTGCCTGGGAGAAAACTGTGAAATAAACCGAGATTGCTCTACATCTGAAATTTGCTGTCGCAAGAAATGCGTCGATAGCTTGGATTGCGTAGGACAAACTTGCTCTTCTGACAATGACTGCCAGAGGAAAGAAGTGTGCTGTTACGGATCGTGCAGAATAGAACTATTGTGTAGCGACTTCACCCTGCTGATTCTCATTTGTCCTGTTGGTATAATCGCCATTGTATCCATTTCCTCCTGCGTCTGTCGAAGAATCTGCTCCAAGACTTCCATTTCCATGAAACGGTATCCATTTTCACTGGAGTTTTCATCGGGGAGCCTTTTATCGAGTTCGCTTATCAGCTCTTCGCGACCGCTTAAGCTATCGTCCAATTTCGTCGCACATCTGTTCGATACACCTCCAAAGGACGTAAATTTTCCTGAAGACTTGACTCACAAGGTGGCTAAGATACACGAAGGTCCAAAGCCCGAAAAAAAAACCCAGTATGGTTCATTTTAAGAAACATCGAAACTTTGAATACATTTATTGATAATGTGTGTATCGTACAAATGGCAAAATACTGAGTGTTGCTGTTTGTCTCAATAATACTTTTACTTTTATGCTTTTCAGTTCGAACATGTGGTGATTATTAGGAGAGGATATTATGATATTTTGAACGAGTCCTGACGGTTTTAAAATGAATTACATTTCTCGTATTTGATTAACCCTTAACATACCACGGGTATGTTAATATTTTTAGAGAAAACTGAGTGATGTTAACAAGACCAGTTGTAGATAAATTTCCGTTTAATAATAATAGATAAATAATAAATAAATAATAAAGCCCCATATGACCACTTATATTCATAACCAATAGAAAAATTTCTATGAACTTGTTTAACTTATTATGGGATATATATCATATGATGACGTCACAACACGCATGATTAGCATAATTGGTAGAAATTTCATGCAGGACTAATTGAAAGAATACTATAACAAATTTATTTTAAAACCAGTGCCTTTCTCAAAAAAACATGACCTTCAAACATTGAAAATAACATTTTCTGGGTTAATAACACTTCTCTGCACACAAATTTGGGCCATTAAGGTTAATGTAAAGGCATAAATTATCTTATGAGTGACAAAATCTTGGGGCATTATCTATGGGAAAGTCTTAGAGTAAGTCAATTTCATTGTCTCATATATCACTTTTCTTTAGTTACTTCACTTCCACCATCATGTTTGTCTTTACATGGTCAATTTTAAAGAGCTATTCCTCTTCCTCTGGTGCGAGGCCTCCCTCTTCCTTCTTTCAGACTTTGGGCGCCTTCATGATCTCCATTATTGAAATAGAAGTCTTTCAATGTGTAGTATCTGAGAAAACAGGGCTCCAGGCACATGCGCACTCCACACTGCACAGCTCTAAAAGGTATCTACATGCTGTAGGTGAACCTTGTGAGTAGACCTTTTGTCCTTTCTCACTGGTTGGTGAAAGCATTCTTGGCTAAATCTAATTTCAGGATTGGGTGGCAGCCACATTTGAGTGTCCCTCCTGAAGGAATTTCCTTCAATCAAGTCACTTATCTATGACTTTCTGAAGTCTAAAGCAGTTCTGGTGGTATGATTTGGAGATTTCCTTTCCAAAATGTGTGCATTTAAAACACATACTTCTATAAGGTAGGAAAAAATCTTATAATACCACACAGCACCTCTCAATAGTCTTGCATACAAGTTGACTCTCTGATCGAAGACATCAACATCACCCATGTAAGCATTGTACAGAGGCCAATTACTTTCACTGATCTTTCCACAGCACCAGAATCATCTTCTCTTGTGGGTTCCACAGATCTTCTGTCCAGAATCATCTTTTTCTGGTTTCTTGCATCACAAATGAGGCTTAGCCCGTACCAACAAGCCAAAGTTTTCCTTTCCTCAGTGTAGCCTTTGTCAAGAGGTTCTTTCCATGATCTTCTGTCACCTTGCTCCCAGCCTCTGGTTGATTCAGTCCACGTAAAGGCCTTGATTCCAAACCTGCCTGGTTTTATGAGATGAAATGCCTAAAATGAACTTTCCCTTTGACTTGATCAAGGTTTCATCTACAGCAAGTTGCCTCTAAGGACTGTAAACTACCCTAAACCTCGGTATAATTAAATCCAGCAGAGGCTGAATTTTGTATAACTTGTTGAAATTTGGTGAATCAGGCCTGGGAGCTAAGGAATTATTAGCAGAGTCTGAAGAAATCTTGTTCTTGACATAGTGGTATCAAAGAATGGGGTGGACAGCATGGGGTCAGTACTCCAGTCGGGAGGGATATTTACCTTATTAATAATTCCCACACACAAATAAATAACAGCCTAACCTTTCATTTCTTCCACAGACAATGGATACCACACAGACTTTTCTGCAGCTCCCCGTTTCTGATTCGCATACAGATTAGTCTGAGCAACTAACAACTCCTATACCTGAGCAGTGGAGAACAGATCAAAAAACCCTTTGCTCAATGTCAAAGATCTAATGTTTACATTTGCTGCCAATCCCGCGAGTTCACTGAAATCAATATCATCCCTTCTTGTTATTTCTTCGCTCCATGCCGGTACTTCTTCTTCCTCCTCTAGGTCTTCATCATCCTCACTTTCCAGTTCTTCAGACTCATCCCCACTAGATTCTGCAAAATCATCGGAGTCAATCTCTTCTTCTGACTCGCGAGCCAAAGGTAAATAGTCTTGGTCGATAAATTCGATTTCCACATCGTTTTCATCAATTCCAGAATGCTTCAGGTGATATTCCGCACCCCGCGATTAAAAAAAAAAACCGCACACAAGACGCACTCGAAATTTAAATTTTAAAATCCTTTATTTAAACTCACTAAATCTCACTGCCTCAAACTATTCACCACAATTGCTCGTTAAAATGACCTCGTATATTTCTATATAAATGCATAAAAGTTAGGAGGGAAAATTTGCACTGAAAGACTGACAAAGGAGGCGTTAACTGTTAAGGTGATTGAAACCAATGTTGCGATTGGTTGATTTAAAGCGAAACTTTGAATGTGATTGGTTTATTGACCTGTTCGAAAACAAGTTGTCCAGCAATAACTTGGCAAGTGGATAGGTGGAAAACAGGAGTTTTTTTAAACCGACCACTATCGAGGAAATTGCAATTTTTATGATTACACGAGTCACAATAATGATAACTTTCGGAGTGAAATTCTTTCTAAGGCACAGTTGCTTGGTGTACTTGTATGGTACATTGCTAATTAATCATTGCTAACTTGCGTTTATCAGTTAACTCCACGAGTAAAAAAAAAAAAAACGAGAAAAAAATTTTTTTCAGGGAATGGCTGAACCGGATATTCACTTAATATTGATAAGAACACAGGCCTGATAAGGCAAGGAAACAGGTGCGACTTTTAAGCTTTAAAAAGCTTAAACCGCTGACTTGATTATTCCGCGGGAATTATATCGTTCAGGTAAGGAATTTTTTGCGTCTTGAAAGAACAATTTTTGCGGTTCGGAATAACTGAAACTTCGACTAACTATGCAGCACATAAGCAAGAAAGGAAACAAAATTTCCACATCTAAATACTTTTAAAATTTACAGCGAGGAAAGACACGGTAGATATTTGTATATTGTTATTTTCAAGTGAGTTCGAGTTTGAAGATTAAGTGTCGCATGACTTGAGTGTCCACTGTAATTTTTTGCAGGGATTTCACTTTGCGGATGGTATTTTCCACTAATCTAAAGCGTTTTATCTTGATGGAACACCCAACACCAAATTCCCCGCTAAACAAACACATTCCACGCTGCAATGCGTATGTTCCGCAAGAGGTCACACATGACGTAAAAATGTGATAAAAACGAAAAAAATGGCACACGAGGTGCTGTGATCTATTACTGTACAGACCCACGCCAACATGGAATCTATTTGTTTTACGAGATAAAAAAGCGAAATGTTGTTTATAGTGACGACATCCATGCGTCTGTTCCTCAATAGATCATATTTAGGAACCATCAAAATCCCTGTTTAATTGAACTAATCGTACAAATTTACAAGGAACCGAATGATCGGTAGGTGAAAGAGAGAAATTTTTAGCAGATAATGGGGGCCTTATGCTGTAATCAGCCATCGAATATGAAATGAACGCAATCACCCTTGACTTATCGATATTAATTTGTTCAGAGATAAATGACACCTTTTGGTTTCTACTGGGGCATAAAAAGTAACCCTAAGAGCTAAATAGTCGTATTACAAGGGCGTTCTATTGTTTTTATATTGTCTCATTGGAAGTATGAGGTATGACTAGCAAACATCAGTTAACGTGGAGTTGTTACCTTAAATAGAACAGCTCTTCTCACCATAATCATCCTGAAACCATTCAACCTTTAAAAATATTTTGACTATAGTTTTTGGCGAAACTACAGCTTTTGTTGCAGTAATTAGATAGAGAAAACAAAGGGTTTTGTTACCCGTCATAATAAGCCTCGCAAACGCGCACTTAATGTCAGATGACCTATATGACCCTAGAAATCTATCTTCGGTAAACCTCTAGTTCTACTCAGCAGAACAATTTGTTTTCGTTCTCTTGCCGAGCTGGATACATTTTGCTCTACTGCAGTAAACCCATTCAACAACGCAGTTAAATTTCCTTCATAGCCACTGGGGACTTTAGGAACACCACGATGGCGACGGGTGTTACTAAACCATGGATCGGCAGACCGCGGAATCTCCACAACCACCGGAACCAGCGGAACCATTAGTTTTTTGAAAAAAAAAATAATAATGAAATAAAATGAAATAAAATAAAAGCTAAAAATACCGTAACATTGTTCGAAATTTCGTTTACGGGTATAAAAAAGATAAAGAGAGAACCTTATCTACCTTGACTACCTTGACGTCCAACCACAGGACATCCAAGCTCACACAAATAGCCTCTGTAAATATGCAAATATTTTCAAAATGCGCAATGGGGGAGATATAAGGATTTGCATGGAAATGGAAATAAACATTTATGCTCTCAACCTTAAAAGATCTGAGCTTGTTCTGAATAAGGATTAATTTACCCCGCTTAAGTGGTTGTCCTTTTGCATCACGTGAATTTCTTGGGCTGATTTAGGGAAATTCGGTTTTACTTCATTTGCTTAGCACTCTACATAATCCTTTCCAAGACAAATTTGTGAATAACGCCAACCAAACGAATCCACTGGAAGCAAAACACTGTGAATTCGCGAGTCCGGACACCCCGATCACGTTTTTATTTTGAATTCAACACGACATCCACATGTTAAGCCGAAGTAAATATGTCTTACTGTCAAAAACGGTTAACGAATCGAGCAATTGGCGAAAGTCTTAAAAGAAAATCATGTTTTTCGGCAACGTTTTACCACACGTCGCCATGGTGACACCTTAAACTCCCTACCGATTGGGCTAGTCTGAAAGGAGCCTAATCGACCGCTACGAAGGACAATAGTTGAGGTTTTCAGCTTCCTTCTAGGCTAGTACTGTTGTATGCTCTAAACTGTGAGGGAGGGGTGAGCTAAAAGCTCTTAAATTGTTGTATCGCAGGGAGACGCAGTGAATAAGTACGTGAAAGATGGCTTCTTCTTTTTGTCGTTATTGTTCTTAATAGGGACCTTGAAAAAACAACGTCGACGACGGAAACGAGGACATGGCAAAACAAAAGATATAATGAGCAGAACAATAGCTCGGCACGTGCGTTTTAAACTATGTACATTTCTTAGCCGTCCTCTACAAAATAACGTGAAATCATCAAAATTTGCGTGGTCTGAGAAATGAAACCCCGAAGGCAACTTGTTTGCTTCCATTTGGAACTCAACGCCGCTCTCATACGTTATGCTGAGGTTAACTTGCGGCGCCATAAGAGGTGGTAAACGCATCCAGTCATTCGCGAAATTCCAACTAAAAAGATATAATCATTTTTCAAATGGACGCCTTCCTTGGTGTTGCCGTCTTAACTAAAAGTCCCTAGTATACTTATAATACATACGTAGGGTCTTTGCACTGCTAAAATACGTCCATTTTGTGTGGCTCTTTTCAACTAACCGTGTAGACAAGTTTTTAGGAACTTTTGCATATGGATTTCGTTGGTTTCTTGCAAACAGGACATATAAATAGGGCTGCTAAGACACAGACACGAGTGAAAAAATAAAGAAGAAATAAAATAGGCTTGTGCTGTGTACTTGAACCTTGGTAGCACATGCGAGAGAAGGACATTGCAACGCTGCAATTAACACGACTCTATCTGATCGCATTTAAAACTGAAACGTGTCAATCCTATTGACCTGACAATATTCGGACCGATCTTCATCAAAACATCATTATCAAGCCCCATTCCTTGAAAGAAGAGAAATATGTACCCCACAGGCAGCACAAGGTAGGCCTTGTTCTTAACATAAGTTTGGAGATAAGACTGCAAGTCAGTACGCTTTTCGTCTGAAATATTTTAAGGTTCTGTAAGCTCTTCAATAAGAAGTTATTTCCCTTTTGAGTTTGAGGTTTAAGTGAAACACAGTTTACATTTATTTATTTGCGAGTTAACCAAGTTGCGTGTCTTTACCCACTATCAGAGGGCGAACTGAGCAATTACCACTCACAAAAGTTCCCAAAACATCGGATAAAATTGCGCTTTTGTTTTGTAAATAGATTCCCTTGTTGTGATACAATGGATCTACTTCAAGCTCCCCGCCCCTTGGCGCATCTCACTGAATACTGGTTTAACGAGCGGAGTGCAAGTTACTGACCATCAGCTCAATGGAAAGGAAATCTTCAAGAGGATTCTGGCTCGTGCTCACCACAGTTGTGATAGTTTCTTTAGGCTTCTTTGCAGAAGACGTAGCATCTCAACGAAGAGGTCGCACAAACTGCTCAGTATCCACTCCGCCCAACACCAAGCAGCCTGGTAGTACCTGCTTCGGGAAAGCCACATTCGCCCGGTGCAGTTGCATATATACTGAATTAGAGATGAGCCTCTGTGCAGCATGGAAACTATCAAACAAGACCTCCATAAGGGTATTCAACCACTTCATGAGAGAACAGACTAGTCGCCCTAGAGCGGCGCCCGTGACGGGAAGTTGCACAGGTTACACAAACATTATAAATAACTTGTACGGAAGCGATAACAGTGGTCTTAACTACCTCACGGACCAAGAGGCAAAGTTTTACGGCATCAACATGAGTTTCTGTGAAGATATGTCTCAGAACAACCACCATGGTTGCAATTACACTCTTGTACCGGTCACCAACTTCCACAACAACTCCGCCGAAATGATTTTTTTTTACGTGGGTTCCTTCTCAAACGTCTCCCACCACATGATAATCGGTAAACACTATCAGATGAGCGCGGAGAAGTGCCAAGGGCTTGGAAACGCGTCTGAGGAACAGCAAATGGCTATTACAATGACCAGCACAGAGGAAACGTGCAATGGAAACCCGCCACGCAGTTCTGGTATCATATTATTTGCCTCACCCATACTGGAACAGATGGTTTTCTTCTTCTGCGTGATCATCTATCTCAATTCTTTTCCATAACGGAGTCCTTGACCTATTATAACACTTCAATTTCACGATATTGAAACCTAATCATTCGCGTATTTTTGGTGAATGTAATTGAATACAAGATATAAGCTCACGCCGGAGACATTTATACTGATGTTCCAATCAGGATGTTTTGTGCGTAAACATAGGAGTTTCCTTATGCCTACGAATAGTCATGGTCAGAGATTCGACTCCTATTGAAAGCAATCGTAGTTTACTTGTAGCAGGAATTCAATAACTTTTTAGCTTCGTTATCAGAAGAGTGCGAAGAATGGACGAAATGCATGCCGTCACAAGAAGAAAAATTAACCCTTTAATTCCCATGAGCGATCAAGATAGAATTTCTCCTTACACTATCAATACAATATCAAGCAGACAAGTGATGAGAACAAAGAAAAATATCAATTAGGCGACTAGTAACTCATCCAATACTAAATTCTCGAAACTAATATCACTAGAATTGTATAGCAGACAGTAAGGAGAATTACCAATGAGATCTTGGGAGTGAAAGGGTTCACGCAGAGGATGGAATAAACAATAAACAGTAGAATATCCTCGTTTATGTACTTTGAACTAATTAATCTATTTGTTGTTATGATAACTATAAATCTGTTATTATCAATAAATTCCAAACAACATTTCAAATGTCATGCTTACTAAGTACAAATCTGTCTTTCTAGATCAGCTCATACGGGGGAAGAGATAAGTTTTCCTAAAAATCTCCATGTTAAATTTCGAGGTCAATAACAAAAAAGATACCTATATACATTCAATGTACCACTGTAGGGATGGCGCGCTCTCCCTTGTTTGTACTTACAAATACTGTTAATTCATACATCTTCTTGAAAATTTGAGAGAAGTTTAAACTCTATGCTAAAATCGAAAAAGGTCTTAAAAAATACTACTTTTTCTTCACATTCTTACGTGCCTATCTGTAAATAAGATAAACTGTCGAAAAATGTTGCTACCTTTTAATGTCTACACCTAAATGGCGCATTCTAACGAAACAACAGTTTTCCAATTTAACGTGGAAGATAATCTTGGAGAGCATTCAAGGATTTGGTTTACAAGCTCTCTGATTGGTTTAGAAAACCTACGCTACTTTGCCAGCCAATCAGAAACAAAGCCATTGCTTAGACATTCGCGTTTTCCCGCGTTTTCCCGCGCTTGAAGCTGATCACATATGTTGACTTCGGCTCGTAAGATATTAATCTTTGTTTTGATTTTATGGGTTTGGTTTAAATGGCACTTCACTAAAAGAAAACTATTTCAAGAAAACAGGGACATTATAAAGAGTTTGCCTGACAGTTAACCCGAACACATTGTGATATTGAACTGTTCCTTTCCGATTCAGGCCATATCATCATCCTCTGTCCATAAGCCTGCTGAAGTATTTCCAGTTTGCTCTTTCTTTACGTCTTCAATTATCATTTTAGCAATTTTCCAAGCCATTTCTTCTTTAGCCTGTAATAGAGAAGGAAAAACTAATTATGATGAACTTACACAAAAATTATAGTCTGCATCTGCTAATTTGGTTTTACCAACTGAGATGATAATGTAAATTGGCCACCGTAAAGAGTTTCTAACGCTCTGACGCCAACACTCAATAAAAACTCTTCACGTTGGCCAATTCACATTACTGAACTCAGTTGATAACACCAAATTACCTTGCAAGACCCCAACCGACGCAGCACCACAGTTTCTTTAGAAACTTACCCCCTTTATGCACCAGCTAATACTACCAATATACTGCTTAATTAGCAATAGCCTAAATGTAATGTGAAACTAAATGACTTTTACCTTATCTTCTCCTCCAGACACCAACTTCCTTAGGGCCTTCCCAAGCTTGGAAGCTTTAAAAACATCAATCAATCAATCAATCAATAAACAAATCAATCAAATTATCAGCCATACAGCCAACAAGCCTGTCACTCAGTCACCCTTTAACCCTTTACACCCTAACATCAGTATCTAAATTCTCCATACTCTTCTCTGTAAATTTCCTTTAGAACTGATCAGGAGAATTCGTGTACCGATGAAAGCCTCTTAGGCTGGCAATAATTTCCTTTATACTCATGATCTTAATGAATGCTTTAGGAGTATTAATGTAAGGAGAAAATAGATGCGGGTCACTGTTAGGGTAGTTGCACTCAAGTAGTTGCAGTCAAATGTGGACAGACATCCACCTTAGAAAAAGGAATAAGTGCCTAATAGCTTGACAATTGTGAAGAAATGGCCATTAAAAAGAGGTTAGCAGAGGTTTAGCTGTACTTTTGTCGACTGATAATTTTGACTTTAGTCAGGACATACGCACCTTTGGAGGTACCATTTCCACTGTCTGGTTCAGGCTCAAAGACTGGTTCAAAAATTCCAAACTCATTCACCTTGCCAAGTGATAGCCTGGAAATGAAATAAATAATTGCTACACTTAAATGACCTTTTTACGAGGCATCTTAGTGATAAGCCATCTTTGGACAGAAGCTATATAACTTGCAGTGGGCAACTCAACATTGGCTTAAGTTGTTTCCTGGAGACATACAATGATGCATTATTTCAAAACTAACTACTTTAAGAAAAAAGCCTAAAGCAGAGAGGAACTTCAGTCAAAAGTGACAAACAGACTTCTCCCAGGGACCTACCCAGCATAAGGTCTTTGCCAAAGAGCATCTGGGTCTTCTGTAAGATCAAGGTCTGAGCCAAATGTTGTCTTCACTAAATGACTATTTTCATATGTGTGAGTACCAGGTCTCCTAACATCATCTTCACTTCCAACAGAAGCCGACAGGGTCTGGGAGGATTGACTCTCACTAACAGAATTGAGCAGCTCTGTGAGGTACTTGTAGTAGATTGGGCTTGTAAGGAAACTTGGGAAAAACACCTGAAATTCAAGCCAGCATACTAAATTAAAAATACATCTGCAGGAATAAACACATTTAACAACCAAAACATTGCACCCTTGAACTCCCTGAAGTGATTGAGAGGTAACATCTCCCTATAATATCCATACACTGTCTAGCAAACAGGTAATGAGAATATTTAAACTTATCACATAGAGGTTGTTTTTCTTGTACTAACACCAAATTCTCCTAGCTAATTTAAAAGGAAACGTGTAGCAGCTAAAGGGGAGAATTAACAATCCGATCTTGGGAGTTAAAGGGTTCAGCCCCTGAACCCCAGTACCTTTCCTTTCTTTTGAACAATGTTCGACCTACATGTATGAAAAATTTTAATGATTTTACAGAGGAATTTATATGAATATGAGGAATATTGGCAATGAAGTATAATCATTTGTCTCGCATTGTATTCACTTCCTACAGCTGTATATGAATTGGTGAGTCTTCTTCAGGCTTGAAGGTTGACTGGATGCATCTCAACCTTATGAACCATTATTCTCAGCTGTGATTGAGTTGTGTTTAACAGCTACAATTGGCCCATTCATACCCTAAAGAAACCTGCAGTGTGCTATTGAAATTTCACAATCCACATTGGCATAACACTTTGAGAAAAACCATCATACTTCCCTACAGGAGCATAAAGTGCAACCCTTTTTATGATAAGAGGAATATGTTCCCAGACATTATCACTATAAAATCCCTTTGGGGGAAATAAACCCATGAAATTATTGTTTTGTTTGGGTAGGCAAAACACCAAAGAGGTAGGAACAAACCAATAAGGGGCAAGGATGGTGAAGGAAGGAGCAGATTAATGTTTTCAGAGGTTACAAGGAACATCAAAAATCTAGGACAAAATATTTCATGATGGATGAACAATGTTGAAACTCCACTAACATACCCATCAGATACTGGGTTGTGGCTAAAGCCAAGCATCAACAAAACATTTCACCTTTCCAATATGGAATTAAATTTCAACAAAATTCTCAGCTATTTCTTCTATAATATGATCGAGTGGAATACCTCCTCAAGAAGGCAAAGGACATGTTCCATGGGTTTTGTAAAGCATTCTGGTAGAGGGCCACCTTCACGACAAATACAGTTCTCTATCTCAATTCTTGTAACATCATCAAAACCAAGAGGTACAGTTGCTTGCATGGAAAAATACCTACAGTGGTTTACAAATGCATCATAAATTCAGCATTGTGAAATGTTACAAAAGATTGGGCAATCTACCTTAAATATAAGTCATGGGATGGGTGCATACAACTGTTGGCAGAAAGGTTGTTAGAAAAAGGACAAAGTACAAGCCACAATCTCAATTAGGGTATCTGGTAATCAATGAATTTTAATAAGTGAAACAAATAAATTTGGACAAAAGGACTGATGAACTGCGGATAAATACTGACATGCACATGAATACAAGAGGAACAAAACAATAGAATATTACAAAGTAAACATTATCCTTTAGTTCATCTCAAATCTGCTCTTGTTAAGTTCACATTGTTTTCCTTGTTCACCTTTTTTTTAATTCTTTTTCATCAGGTATAGAAATGAAAGTCAGTCTTGCAAACAAAATAAATTCATCAAACGTACTATGCTTCTTCCTTGCAGTGATGTTTTCTAAGATTTCCACGAAAACCTTAGCTCAAGGAGCCATGACCTGAAAACAACCCACAATGCCTTCCAAGGTTTTCACATGCACTTTTGTGTTTTTTCCAACAAGCTTTTGGCAAACAGCTGTATGTAACCATTTGTGGAAGTTTAAATCTGTTAAATTGCCTGTGAAACTAGACTAATTGGAAATGAAGGATGTAGCAGTACACTTACTTGTCATATATAATCATAGCATCACTCAGAGCATGCTGTGCACTGTACTGGTTGATTTGGATTTGGGATTCTAAGTGAGACTGAAAATTATCCGCTGTTAGCCAGAACTCCAGCATATGTTGAGTTCCTTCTTGTTCTAGATACTGAAAAGGAAATAAAAACTTGGTTGATTATCATTTCTTTTTAGGCCTTCTACTTTCAAATTTGTTGACAACCTAAATCACATCACAATAAATTTACAAAAAGTACTGACCTCCATAAAATAAAACATGGCATTTTGATTGTACAAAATGTCTGAGAGAAACACTTTTCCACTTGTTAAGATATCAATTTGATGCTTACAATAAAAAGGACTGGCAAGAAAAGCAGGGAAGTACCTATAAAAAAAAGACAAAAACAACAAGATCACTATGATTACTGGTAACAGGACTAAGAGGAGTCCAATTTGGTCTCTAATCATATGAGTGATTAACAAAATTGGATGAATGTGAAGTGAGAGTCTGATTTGTTAATCACAAGTAAGATTAGACAGAATTGGAGGACACAAAGTCCTGTTACCAATTAATCAAGACTATGACAAAATTTCAGAGAGAAACAAGACATCAGTTATATGTTTTCACAAAAAAAGAAACAAAAGTTATCAGGGAAATAATGCAAGACAACAGCATGTGCATGTGATGCCTTCTGTCCACTTACACACATGACGGATTAACTGTTCCTTTAACTGTCCCATCACATTATCCAATGACAAGCATGATATGTACACTGTCCTTTTAGTGCTCAAATCAGGCTGGTGTTAACCAATCACATTCAAGAATGTTATTATAGTTTTGATTAATACCCCAATATCATGATTGAATTGGATTGCGACTTGATTAGATGGTGAAAGGAAAAATGAAATACTGCATTCTTCTTAATGATATCTTCAACAAAATGGTAAAATTGCAACAACAAAAGCAAAGCTTCAGAAATAGTTGCATTCACAAGGCCTTATTACAATCCTAAATACTTTCAATCAAGGCTTAGCATACCACATTAACACTTCTTTAGCAATGTTAGTGATATTGATATAAAATATGTTTGACTGTGTAAAAGACAACAAGAATGAAAACTTACATTCTTTCCATAACATCAAATGCAAACTTTTGAGCTGGTTGAAAGGAATCTGAAGAAATCTTTCCATCTTCACTGCAGATATTAACTGTTTGTATGCGACAAAATAGAATTACAACCTTTTCAGGAATTATAAATCCTATTTAAAAATCAGATAGAAAATAAAAGTCATACGACTCACTTTCAATCTGTCTTCGAATTGACTCCTCCAACCCTAATGGATTTGATGCTTCAAGTGAAATGTACTTGCTATAAATACTAATAGCATCGATGACAATACTTCGTGTTCTTCTCCGACGAAAACTACGTTCTCCATCCTCAAAGTCTGGTCTTAAATCAAACGTAACTTTAGATGTTCGCACTCCTTCTTTCATCTTTAAAGAACCCTGATTGTTGACTAGTGACTGATTACTACAGTCTGGTTGATTAATACCATTTTCTAAACTACTATTCATAATTGTCTGTTGCTCATTAGAGCCAAAGGATTCATTAGATCCGACAGCACAATTGCTGGTTTGTTTGTAATCAAAGTTATGTCCACAGTGATTACATACATCCTTCTTTGACAAGGAAAGGTTGATCAAATGTCCACAGTTTTTGCACAACAACAAACTATCACTAGCATCCTTTGAAATGGAATGAACAGCTGAGAATGGTTCTGGCCTATAACCGGTGAAGTCACCAAACTCATCATCCTCCACAGAGCACAATTGATTTGTTGTCCCACTTGAAAGGTAAGCATCATCTACTGAATTTTTTAGAGTATGTAACTGAGAAGAATCAGATGTGCCGTCACTAGTATCTCCGATGGCATTAACACTTTCCCCTTTTGAAGACTTTAACTGCGACATAGTATTTATTCTCAAACGATTTATAGTTGATAATTTGAATGTCTCTACAGTAAGCCAGAAGTTTAACAAATTTGTGGCATTTTGCTTTTGCATGTATTCCATGAAATAAGGTAAAACACTGTCATCCATGAGCACTTCCACTAGAGTCTTGGACAACTGTGACCTTCTTCGAAATGTCGCCACACACTGGAATTAAAAAAAGCAATATTTAGTGTTATCCACAAGTTGTATACCCCTACTTAAATTTCCCAAATTATCCTTTCTGTAATTCAGAGGCACAAACCCGCCCTTTTCAAAACCTCAACAGTGCATTTCATCTTTTTCTTTGTAACAAAGCTGAACCCTTTAACTCCTAGGAGTGACCAAGACAGAATTTCTCCTTACAAATCAGTACAATATTAAGCAGAAAAGTGATGAGAATAAAGAAAATATCAAGTAGGGAGATTATCAATTGGTCCAATACCAAATTTAAAAAAAATTTTTTGCAGAGCCAATTTCATACTACTCTGACCTATGATCATTTCCACATCAAAACCTACTAGGCTTGCCACCCCAGAAAAAAAATTGTTGTTTCAGGGAGATCCCCCTGCTCCAACCTCTACATGTACAACAACCTCCATGACAAATTTAAAATCACATTAAAATGCAGTGAAAAATATATTCCAGTGTAATACCTTGGCAGACTTCTTCTTTGAAATGCTTGCCAGCAACTTCCTGCATTCTTGAACTATAGAGAGAGTAGAGCAAAGAGAGTGCATTTAAGGAATTTGCCAACTATCTGCTATATGAATTATTGGGCCAATTGTCAAATTAAACGAATGCCACTACAAAGTGCAAGCAATTTTACTTTGGATGCCATCACTACAAATATTTAAGATCTTAAGCAAACTCTGATAGTAACTGCAAAGAGAAAATGGCAAAACAAAAGATCTTGTGGGAAGAACAATAGCTCAGCACAGATGGTACATTTTAAAACTTTGCATATTTCTTTGACCGCCTCTGCAAAAGAAGACTGTAAAATCTCAAAATTTTCCATTTTTTGAGGACAGAAAACCATTTTCCATTTTGAACTTGATGCTGCACATACATGTTATGCTTTAAGTTCCAAGGTATGGTGATGTAGGATTTTTTTTATGATAACCAGTGCAGCAGCTGTCGGAAAACCACAAGTTGAGGTTTGTGTTTAGAGTCAGATTAATGAGCAGCATTCAAAAGGAAAGACACTGTGGTCAAATTTGTAGCAATTTTTGACTGGATAGGTTACAGGGAAGAAAGAATAATATAACCTCTAGAAGTAATTATTGTTCTTTGCTACAGTTCACAACACTTACTCCCAATCAAGTTATTTCTTCCATCTCTGGTTTCAACTGGTACAACTGGCTGCTTATTTTTTCCTTTACTTTTTCCAGGTTTAGAGTTCTTCCCTTTTGCCTGCTTATCTGAAAAATTAAAAAACAAAGATTATACATTACACTTAATCTCTCCAAAAAAATGGAACATCTTAAAATAACCTGCCTAACCCTAACACTCACATCTAAAATACCTCTCAGAAAAAGCATTTAAAAGACTGCTTCATGATTATGCATTCCCAGGTCAAAATGTGGTAAGAACAAAAAAATAGCACATAATGAACAGCCAAGTGTGTCAATGATGTTCTCACCACAATTGACATCTTCAGTGATCTATGACTTAAAAAACCCATGGTGACATAGAAACAATCAAAACTTTTGTAAAATTCAGCTTATAATATAATTGAAAACTTAAAACATGTCCACATTCCACATAATAATTACCAATGATTTATTGTAATTATTGCCATGATTTGATGAATAAGACTTTGGAATAAACACCATCATTGATTACATATAGCTACAAAAAGCCCTAAAACTTTAATTGAGGCTGCAGTATTTAACCTAGTAAATTATATATTGGCGAGATGAATTCAGCTTTTTAGAGGACATCAGCAGAACTAGGACAAAATGTGGACTGTGTTACCCCAATCTGACAACTGACAATTTTCATTAGAATTTCATTCCTTGACTTTTAAATTACATAATAATTTCTTCTTTCAAGTAATCATCAGAAATCCTCGTTCATAAATGCAACATTAAGATCAATACGCAAAATGTCTGAGAATTAATTTTTATTGCTAATTAATCTTAATCCAAAATCTACAGCGCAAGGCACGTAGTTCACGATAATACAAGCTGCTTAATGAAATAAGATACATGTTTGTAAAAAATTTCTCAAAATTTTGTATATACCATACTGAATGCTACAGCGAAGAGAAAAATAGCAGTAGAGGATGAAAAAACAGCTGACTGTATATAGTACGAAAGACAACGTGCTCTGATTTGTACTGTCAACTTAATATGTACAGTACACGCTGAGTACTCGCTATGTTAAAACAACCTCCTTTGCAAACTTTGTTCACACAGCCACTTCAAAAATCATATTAACGACAAGACGTGAATGTGTGAGAAAATATTGAAACACAAGGAACGTTTAAATTTCACTTGCAAAGGCTTCCGTTTTGAACAGGGCAGGCTAGCCGCAGAGTAGATGCTTACCTTTGGCTGAAGGTTTCCTCGAAAATCGCAGCATTCGAGCAACGAATTACCTTCTATATCCTTGGAAAAGTATATGCGACCTCCGGCGCTGAGTACAAGGCTGTCTCCAAAAAAGAAAACATTCCGAAAAGCGACGATTTCCGTGTAACTATTCCGAAGTTACAGACATGTCTGCTCTGAGCATTTTCAATATATTGCATTAACAAGATAAACAGCTGACCATACCTCAGGAATGCAGGCGTATAGAGGTAACGTGACGTTTGATGACGCATCATTGGAGCGTAAAAGAATATGCGAGAGGTCTGGGAGAGGCGGTAAGGAATAATGAGAAAGAAGTGGTAGGTAGGGAGATGACTTCCTTTGTAGCGGAACAAAGGGCTGGTGGCGGGAACCTCTTTGATCAGAAATTAGCGCTACTCAGAGCGGAAATCCGTTCATTTCAGCTCCAATCAATCTAGATTGTTTTTTGATGAAAGTATGTACAGGAGATGAGTGTTTTGTACACGCCTCGAATGAATGAGATTGCTGTGCAAAAATTCTAATTGACAGGATATTAGTGACTGGGGACTGCTGACAACGATTGTTGTCCTCTAAATTTTGCAAGTCTTGGCTGTCATCTGCTTTCAAATAGGAGGGTTGTGAAGGTGAGTTAAGACTTTAAGCTTCTTTGTTTATTTTTAGAACTGGCAAGTGTCGCGATTCGAGTATTTTATAGTTAATACCGTGTTGCGAGGGCCATTGTTTAATGTCTTGGTAGTTTACATACACAGTCGCTAAATTAAGATGTTTAGGAAGAGCTCAAGTGCAGATTTCTTGGTACGAAATTGTGGTTGCTTTACTCTTAATTAAATGTGTAACTTTTTGAGAGGCAAATTTAGCTTCAAGTTGTTTTTAAGTTGCGATCTTTCATGCGTGCAATGCGTTTCTCTTATAGTTTTCATGTTCGTTGCGTTTCAATTGGAACCAGACGCTCAAGAGTAATCTACTTAAATAAACAGCGGCTTCCTGCAGATTCTAGCGCTATACCTCCGTCAATTCGCTTCAATGTTCGCGTGGTAATATTCAAAGTGTTCTTTATGTGTTCTTGATTGTTTGTTACATCAAAGACTTATGATATTAATCGAGCGTCTTCGAGCGTGTCTACATGATATTTAAGAAGGGAACACTTCATTATCACCTCTGGTGACTAAATTAATGGTATCTCTTGAGAAATCTCTTGGATTTTTACCACATATTGCCCTGTGACCACATTTTGAAACGTGGTGAAACAATTTTTCAACGCGCTACGCATGTATTTTTGGAAGTTACGAATTAGCGAATGAACGAAGTTTCGGTGAAAAAAATATTCACTAGAGCATCTTTTGAATGGTGTTTATTGCGATTAATATAGTTCAATTTGTTTTCACTCGAAGGTCTTTGCCTCTAAATGCTTTTCACGCTTTGTCAGTTTGCTTGTTATGGAAGAGGATATGTCATAATTGTTCCCTTACTTTGTCTGTTTTTCCCACTTTTTTTTTCTTTCAATCTGCGTTGTTCGCACAAGGTCCATCAAAGTTTTGAACATGATCAATTGATCATAACTTCACCTGTCGTGAATAAACTTTCGGAGACAATCGATCTTGTTTACCTTTGCTTCCCAAAGGATCACCAGAACCTTTTGTGCGACAGCTTGCTTCTAAATTTACATAATGTGGCGGTAATGTTTATTGTGGATCCTGTTGACCATATGTTCCTCGTAGATCGAGTAATTCGTATAGTACAAGGATTTATGTCCTACGAAATATGTGTAATGTAGGCAGAGAAATTTAATATAATCTATCAAAACATTGTCCTCTCCTAAGGAGACAAACTGATCATTCCCTTGAGAGCCGATTTAATATCGCAGTTAGCGTCATGATTACGTGAACATAAAACATGAAAACACCATGCGAACATCCCGGAAACTTGAGCTTCCTGTTGATTATTAGTTTCGTAATAGGTAATTCATAGTATCAGATGGCTAATATATAGTTCTAATATGTTTGTTTTTGTTTTTTTTTCTTAAAGGCAGAAATGTCAGCAATTTCAGTGTTATGGACAGTTTTGTCTCTAGTTCTACTGTTCACTTGTACCTTGGCATTATTTTCTCCGTTTTGGCATGAACACCTTCCTGATCCTTTGTCAACAAACAACAGTGAGTCCTTTACAGCATTTGGTCTTCTACGATTCTGCTTCCAGGAGCAATTTGTGACTTTACAAGAGATAGATGCTTGGAGATCCTCAAAATATTGCTCTTTTTATGAGAATATTTTCTCTGGAATCCCTTCTATTTACTGGAAGGGTGCTGCTAGTACCTATGCACTTGCACTGGTTCTGTTATTGGGTGCACTTTTCCTTGCACATGTAGCATGCTGCCAAAGATTTATTTGTGGAAAGTCTGTCTTTGCCATTGCTGGAGTTATGCAGAGCATTGCAGGTAATTACGATATGTGGATGAAATAGTTCCATATATTTTTTTATGGGAAAATGAACTACAGGAATCATTATGCTCAGTCTTGATTTTTCAGTTTTCTTTTTTGGTGTTTCAGTTTCAGAAATTGCGACTGTTTTTTCTGGTTACAGATATTGGGTGGGAAGGCTAAAACTAGGGGAATTTACTCTCACTCAAATGGCAGGCTAGACAGTTCAACTAATACTGACAGATTAAAATGGCATTGTTAATCAGAGCTGTTGTTTATGAGCCAGAATTAGATCAGTCAGGTCATAAGCTGAAAGCAAAATTTTACACAGTTCAAGCCAAACGAGAGCCCTACACTTTTGTAACCCACAGAAGTCTATAAGCAGATCCAGATCTAAGGAGGCAAATGTTTTGACTTTGTCATACTATTAATCACTAAGGAAGCTTTCTAAGCATGAAAGCTAGTTTTAATGTTGTTAGAACTGTAGTTGAACCATCAAATGCTCATCATCAGGTTGGAAATGCACTCTGGTAAAAATAACTTCTTCTCAAATTCAAAGCAGACTTTGCTTGATAGAGGTTAAAGTTGTCATGTTTAAATCAGAAACTTAACAAAAGGTTGGTGGGCACATAATTTTTTTAAAATTTATGACCCATGGTTCACCAAGATCTATGGGTGTTTAATATATATAATAAAGAAATATAATAAATAGTATACTTTTGTGTTTTGCAGTGGCTCTTTTGGTAGTCAGTCTGCTGGTGTACCCATTTGGTTTCAAATCCACTTATGTTCAGCAGCACTGTGGTAGCTCAAGTGGGTTTTTTACATCTGGGGCTTGTGACATTGCCTGGGGTTATGTACTAGCTATTGTAAGCACAGCATTGCTTTTTTTCTGTCCAATGATTGCCTACCATCTCTCAGTGGCAAGACCAAGGTCAAAGGCAACCGTGGTATAAACAGTTTCACAATGGTCTTCTTTTATATTGACAAAGAACTTCAGTAGAAAAAAAGACAAGATCAATTAATTGCAAGCCCACTAGTAAATTACTAAAATGGCTGATAGTTTTTATTTTTCTTCCCAATATTGAATGTCAAAAGGTCATAGTACCAGTAGTTGGTTCAGATCAGATTTTAATCAAATTAGACTCATTTATATAATTATACAATATATAGTGCGCTTTGAAATAATTAAAACATAGTAAATAATGTTCATACATGGCTGGCTCCATGAGTGGGTGAGATGAAGGAATCCTGTGTCCCAATTGGCCACTAGAGCCAATCAGGATTATGTAGTCTGATTCTTAGAATAGAGAAAAAAAATCGCCGTGTAGCCAGTTTTCCTTTTTCGGTCATTTCTTAACAAAAAAAACTCAGCATATTTTACAATAACTAAGCCTCTTTTGTTTGTTTTCACCATTTTTTGTGTTATTATGGTCCTTGACTCCGTCCAGGTCCCTGATGAAGCTTTGAAAGAACTTAGCTAATATTAGTTCAAGTATGGATTGGTATTCATTTAAAGCAGTAAAGCAGTATTTTCAGCATGTACCATAGAGATTATAAACAAAGAGCATCTTTGGCAACAAATGGTTAAATGAATACATGACTAATTTTAGCAGACCATAAGATGCTATGCCTCAGTTAGAACCTAAGTTATTTGCCTCTTTTATTTCTTTTTTTTTTTAATTAAGTAAGGTTTTATATACTTTTTTATTCTACTGAGAATCCTTGAATGGTCCTAGATTTTCTCTTTGCTATGAAACTCTTAACCAGGTGAACAAAGTTTTATCTAATTGTATCTTGTCCACCCAGAGTAACTGTGTTAAATTTGAAAAAAATGATTGTATCCAAGTGAATTTTCCCATGGAGTTGGTAGATCTGTTATATATCTTACAGAGGAGTGTATAAAATTTTACATTTATAAAAACAAATCAAGGATTTAAGATTTGCTCAAGTGATGATGAAAATGGAATATTTAGCTGTTGTGAACACAGGCAAGAAGTACTAGATTTTTTCAGTTATTCAACGAGTTGCCTTGGAAAACAAATACTATATTTCCCTTTATATGTGACATATGCAAGGAAAAAATGAAATTTTATGGTTGCAGAACATTATTCAAACAGTCTCTGTGCACCTGCTTGAAAAATTTTGAAAACAAAACTTTAGTTAATGATATGAGTTCTATCATATATTGAGTGACTATGGCAAGTCATATACTGGTAACTTATGTACTGGAGACAGAGCAAAATGTTTTGCACATGATAATGGGTAAAACATACTCTATTCAACACATTAAAATACATTTTGCACATTTAATTTTGCACATCAAGAGTATTAATTAGAATGGTATAATTATTAGAAATCTAATAAATAAAAAATACATTTCTCCTGGCTTTTGTGGTTTACCTCAGTGTCAGTGAAAGAGATAGATGTTTAAAAATATAATGATGAAGAGGGCTGAGACAAGATGAAGTACAAAATATTTCCTTGAAATTTCACTTTTGCCCAAATTCTCTCGAAGATGTAAATACAAGGTGAAATTCCGATTTCCCTTGACCCTGAAGAAATTTATTTTTCCTTGACTTTTTCCTGACCGTTGGCAACCATGGAGTGTGAATCAGCTGATTTTTGGAAACTTGGAACTCTAAAGGAATACTTCCAAGGTACTTTGAGTAATGACTAAAAGATATTAGTTCGCCAATAGAGAATAGAAAAGCAATGATGAAGCTGGAAGGAACATGGATGGCTGAAGATGGAAAATAATAAAACAGATTGAAAACATAAACGAACTTGAAAAATCGAGGCCAAATTTTCACACAAACCGAAGCGTAGCTCCTGTCGTAAGAGGAGGCAAAAAATAGAAAGACAGAACCCTGGAGCAAGAAACTCAGCTCGAGACAAAAGAGGAAAAGACCCAGGCAACAAACGTAAGTTTATCAGTCAAATTGTCATGTGTTACACTCTTTGAATAAAGTTGTTACTTATTTACTTGTTGTAATAACAACACTTATCTTGCCATACTTATTTCGCCCTTTCTAGTTCCTGCTGGTTCTTGTCATCTGATCAATTTTGACCAACTGCTTTCATTCCTCTCCTGGAGAGCAAGGGAATTGAAAATAAGATTGAATTATGCATTACAGCTTAACCCCCACAGGAATATAGCGCGACTTTCCTCTTTCAATTCAAGGAAGAAACTCTGCAATGCGTTGTTCTGTTGCAAAGTGAAGCGGGCTTGACCGTCCTGAGATGAGCGCAGGCCTAATATATCAGGTTTCTGGTTTCAATTTCGACAACACATTGCTCAAGGTTTGTCACTCTTTTTAAAGACGATTTGGATATTTTGCAGTTATTTTGTTCACAGTTTAACTGTACAAGGCTCAGACACTCGCCAAACTTTTCAAGTGCAGAAATTACATGCGTGGCTTTGCGCGCGCCGCGTCGATTGTGTTTTTGGCGCGAAATGTGTCGGAAGTGCTTCTAGGTTCGTGTCCCTGCCTGAGTTGGCTATTTGAAAGAAATGATACTAGAGCTTTTTGTTTTTTAAATATCATCTCTGAGACTGATGTTGTTCTATTGATTGAAATTGTCTTTATTTCTTAAGAACTTTATGCGAACGCACGATGAACGATAAAAAAAGCAAGTGAAGAACACCCCGCTAGCAATATTTCAGGAATATTTCCATTGAAGTCTCGCTTCTTAAAAGTTACCTTGTTCTCCATTTCATGACCCTTCAAAGCACCGAGGCACGTATAACCGGAGTGGTCAAGAAATGGTCTGGTATTCAGCCGTTAACCATTTATTAAACCAAAATAAAATGATCTATTTGATCGAACTTTTAGAACCCACGACGAAATCCTGGTCTACATGTCCACTACGGTTTGACCACCCGAAGAGAAATACGCCGTGGGGCCGAGGTGATTTGTCAGGAAAATTTTGGCGCGGAATAGTTGTAAGTTGAAGGAGTCTGGACACTGGACTTGTTACAAAATGGCGGCCCGTTCAACTGTGGGCGATTCACCCTTTGTGTTTCGAATTTCACACGACGAACTGGTAGCCTATGCTGATGAACTAGACAGAAAAAACGAGAAAAAGAATTCAAAAAAGATAAATCACGGAAAATATGAAGAAAAGGATTCCAAACCGAAGAAATTCGATAGGAAAACTGACGTCAGCAAGAATGCTTCTCACTCCAAAGCCGAAATGGAAGAAAGTTTTGGGGGAAAAGAAACCAAGTTTAATCACGAAAAGGATAACGAGGGTCTCAAGAAAACAAAAGCTGAAAAAAGGAAAGATAAAAGAAAATCGCCATCGTCCAAATCTCGGCATAATTCCTCCTCAAACACAGAGGATGATGTCGATCCAAAGGAGAAATGTCCGGTTACTAATAGCGACCAAATTGGAGTGAATGAAACAGGAAAGGCTACGAGAAAGCGTCGTGGAAATGTAAGCAAAGCAACCAAAGCTGATGAGGATGAAAAAGACATTGAAAAATATGAACTTGATCTGAGAGCTCGCACCGGTGGTGTTTTGAAGCTTTCTAAAGAACCTTCTTATGCTGCAGAGGATTCGCTTAAGGATGAAAAACCAAGGGGAATAATTAAGTTGCCCGAAGGTTTCCATATTAATAGTCACAATGCAAGTGAAGAGGAAGGTTTCGCATCTGATATACCTCCCCGCAAGAGAACTTCAAGCATGAATGATGGCAGTAGCAGAAGCAGTGGCCTTCATGGTCCTGCTCATACAGAGAAATCAGTGTCTCCAAATAAAGAAGTTCGGTTTAGTACAGTAAATGAAAAGATTAAAGTACCTCCAAAAAAGCATAGCACAAGCACAGGACAATCTGGAGACAAACACGCTGAAGTAAACAATGTTGACAGTGATAAATGTGTGGACATTCAAAACACTTCAATGGAGAACAATGTCATTTATGAGACTAAAGCAGAGAAAACACTTAAGTCTATAAATCAACAAAGAGCTCAAAGACTGTTAAAAGTTGTGGCACCTAAAGGGGCGCAGCTGATTCATTTGTTATCTCGTGGGACACTTGACAAGGCAGCTTTTGCAAAAATTTGTAGCCTAAGTAAAGAGATACAAGACACTTACAAAGGGATTATGATGCTTGACATTGGCCTGGCTACTCAACTAGAGATTGATCAAAACCTCTGGAAGAGTGCATTTTATAAGGTTATTGAAACACTGAGGAAGTATGGAAAACTCTTTTTGGGATATGAAGAAAAATCAGATGTACTCTCTCCTAAGGAAATAAATAACTGTTTGAAGGAATTCTTGAAAGATGCGGAGACATTTTATAAAAGTCTTCTGGAATTGTTACAGAAAGAGCATGATTTCTCAATTCAGGATATTGTCAGTCAACCAAGGAAGGCAGAAAAACTTGGGAAGAATGTAAGTACCTCCAATAATTTTTCCTCTTCATGGGTCTTACACTTTCTTTAAGCCTTTTTAACTAGGTGCTCATCTCCACAAAGGCAAGTTTTCATTCTTGTCAATACTAGAATCCTTCTCCTCGATAGATTGCCTTACAAAGTAATCAAGCTCCATCTGTTTGGGTTGGGAATCAGAGTTGTCCTTCTCCTAGACTGGCTGCCAACCATGGCTAACAGGTCCAACCTACCTATCCTTGCTGTACCACTGGGTTCTTGGTCATGCCACAATAGTAACCCTGTAGAAACATGGGGGGGGAAAGGCCATATGTAATGACCTTCTGCCTAGCTAGGGGTCATGCAGCAATGACCACTCCTGACAAGGAGAAAAGGAAGAGTGATCAAATTGCACATCCTAAAGTGAGCATGATGTTTGGCTCAGACCTCTCAACCCCACAAAAGCCTCATGCACTCCAGGGCCAAGGAGAATTGAAGAAAAAGTTAGTTGTGAATGATTGTTTTTTTGTTTTGTTTTTTTTTTTAAAACTTTGCAAGAATATGACCCTTTTATTCCAAGGAGTGATAAGTTCCATGCTTAGCATGCATTTATCAATGCAAGCAGGACGTTTTGAGAGCACAAGAAAAATGGAAGAGTTGCTTCTTAGGGCCATGTGTAATAATGATTTTTACTATGGTAGCATAGGAGTTAAGTAGGACTTGCACATGCTATGTTGTGCAGAAAGGTCAGTGCTTGTCATTAGGCAACTTCAAATCACACTTAGAGCAAACACCAGCTGTATGTTACTTTATTATTTAACACTGTGATCTAAACATTTATTCCAGGCTAAACTTGCTCTTATGAGCTCACAGCACATTTTAATTTCCCTTGGAGACATAGAAAGATATCAAGTGCAATTTCAGCCCCGACCAAACTGGGCGTCCATCAGATCATGGTATCTTAAAGCAAGCAAACTGGCTCCAAAGAATGGTAAACCTTACAATCAGCTTGGCGTAATTGCTGTGTCAGCCAATCGCAAGCTAGACTCTGTCTATTACTACATAAGGAGCCTAGCTGTGAGTAATCCAATTTTGACAGCAAGGGAAAAGCTGACAGCCATTTTTTATGATATCCAACTGAAGGTAAGCAATTATTCCAGGGTGTCAGAAACCATCAAAAGTCAATGTAATTTACTTAACTGCTCAGCATAAAGGTTAGCTGTTTTGTCACCTAATAGGTATAGTTAAGTTGAACCTTGATGATCTGGATTCACGAGGACTGAGTTGAAAAGTGCAGACAGTGAAGAATCCAGATTGAAAATTGAAAATATATGAATATTAATGACCAAAAATAAAACTGAATAACAGAAAAGACAATACATATCGTTCAATCAATATTTATGCATGAATCAAAGCATATTCTCAAATCATTGTGCATAGGCCGCTAATATTTGCCAGAAGTATTTTTACAAATTTACAAAAGCTAACCAACAACATAACAAAATGCAACCAGAGAATCAAGTCCAAATAACTGAAAAATTGTAATAATCAAGGTCTGATCATGAAAATGCAGCCAAGTACAACCTGATTATAAGAGGTTTCTCTAAGTTGCTGAAATAGACAAAATTAATTCCACCATGATTAAACAGGATATCATTTCCAATGTTTTTTTTTTACTGTTTATATTATATCATTGTGTAGGCAGACAGAATCCAAAGAAATGAGGATCAGAGGAAGACTCATTCGGAACAGCAAATCCATCAGAAAAGAGAGAAGAGGCGATCCTCATTTGGAGAGGGTACCAAGGCTGTTGAGCTAAAATCTGATCATAAATCATCTCATGGCAGGTTTGAATTCATGTTGAGTTAATTTCTTATTTCATTCTTTTATTCTCATAGAAGGTGTGATTTGTTATTGATTTTGTTAAAGCAGACCTTTTATTAATTATTAAGATGATAGTGTTTTTTTAGCTGTGAGTCACTGCAAGTTGTGTTGTGCTTAACAAGTAATTTAATGAGTACTGTAAATGCTGGTGCACTGTAGAAACTGCACCATTTTTCCAGAAATTTTTTTATCAAATCAGGGGTGCAGCTTATCTGTGAGAACATCTGGAAGATGTGCTACAAACACCAGTCTAAGTTGGTAGATATGATGTCTATATTCTAACAGCTAGAATTATAGATAAGGAATCATAAATTAGTGTTTACATAAACATGAAATGGGCATAAGGTTCAAACAGGAAATAATATGAGTGGCCAGTGCTCAATATAGGAATCAAAATTTTGTTTATATAGGCATGAGGTGTGGATCTTCATGTGCCAAGGAAAATACAGAAGAGTAGTGGTCACCGACCATGGTAAAGTACAAGAAGTTAATTCAAGAGGAGAACCCATCCTGGAAGGACAAACTGAGGAGCATTCTACAGACCCTGTAAAAGAATCACAAAAGATTTCTCTTCAAGAGGTATTATCATTTATAACTTAACAATTTTAGCAAAGACCTTTTACCTTCATTGCCATGAATTGTTTAATTTCTTTTTTTGCAAGGTCAACAAGAAGTTCATGCTCCACTATCTTTGTGCCCATGGTCTTTTGTACTCAAGAATTGGGTAAGATACAAATGTGTATTTTCCTTTTCAACCCTTTGATCCTGAAGAGTGTCTAGAGTTTTTTCTCACAATGTTGCCTTAAAATCACACATTAAAGTCACAAGAACAAATGAAATTACCACCCACTAAAATTTAAAGCTTTTGATTGCTAAACAAATTATCCTTGTCTGCACCTTACAAAATGTCTAGAGAACAGTATGGAGAAAATGCATAGTGATGTTAGGGTGGAAAGAGTTAAGCTAAATGTGGTTAAGATACTTAGCTCATCTGGGTGTATAATACAAAGCAGTTAAGGATTGTTACCCTTGTTACTTTCAGATCAAGTAGCTTTTCCTATTTACTCTCATTGAAGAGGTACACTTTTTTGGGTGGGAGGAAGCTTCATTTTCATCAGTAAGGCAATGACGATTTTTAATTTAATTTTTTTTGTCTCACAGTATGGAAAGGTTGCCTACATTACAGTACCAACTCCTGGGTGAGTTCCATACTTTGCTGGAGTACCCATCTTGTTCTGCAATAAGCAGGTCTAACCTTCTACAAATGATGGCCATCAACATGTTTGCTATTGAACACACTTCAAGCCAGGGTGAGTAGCTCTACTGTTGTTACTTAAAGTTGTTTCAGTAGGCAACTCATCACTAGGTGCCTGAAGCTTGTGGTGGTGGAATTTGAAAGTGCTTAGCTCTTAAAATGTACCTACTGACTGAGTGGGAGGACTGGGATGTCCAGGAAAATATTTAGTGCAAGGCCATAACTTACAGACTGAGTACAACAAGATGTATGCTTTGAACATGATTCATGACTCAGTCAATAAGCAGTTTATCATATGTCTGAGGTTCTTTCTTTTTTCCTTTCCTCTTTGCTAGCTGCTCACTAAAGTGGTATGGCTTTTTCTAGCCTTGCTCATTCCATCTCATATAGCCATCACACAGGGATTTTTGTCTTTTGTTTTATGTCTTTTGTCTAAAGAGTGCCTGGGGTAGTAGGAGTCATATACTAATTTACACCATTCTCCTGCTTCTACATTTCTTAACCCTTTAACACTTAAGAGTGACTAACATCTAATTTCTCCTTATAATATTACCACTAAATCACACATTAAGGTCACGAGATTAAAGGAAATAATCACCTACCAAAAAAAACTCTTGATTGTTAGACAAATTCTCCTGGTCAGCACCTTATTACATGTACAGAGAACAGTAACAAGAATATGAATACTGATGTTAGGGTGTAAAGGGTTAATGGAAACCAAGAAACTTTGGCAGCAATAGGCCATCAGGTTTTCAACACCTAAACGCATCCTAACTAAACTTGAAATAATAAATGAAATCTTTTTTCTGCGGTAAGTAGATGCAGCAGAACCTTATGTCAGAGTGGGCACACCTCAAGACCAAGCTATGAACCTTGCTGTTGAGATGTTCATCATGCTGCTCAAGGCCTGCTGTGCCCTGCTACTGAAAATAGACTTTAAAGCAAGAAACACCTATGAAGGCCTCAGTGATACCCTTCATCAGTTCCTACCCTCAGTCAAAGTGTTTGCAGATTGGGTGGTCTGTCATGTTGACCTGTGGCAAGTCTCCTCTATAAGGTAAGTTGTCAGTGTGTGGGAGCTAAGCAAGAAGGGCAGAAAACATGTAGAAAAGTTTTTAAAGTTAACCCTTTCACTTCTAAGGCTCAATTTTTGATTCTCTATGCTGTCTGTTGTACAGTTCTAAGGTTTTCATTGAGAAATGGAGTTGAAGGAGAATAGTGTAAAATAATAATATTCTCCATTGGGAGTACAAATAATGCATGAATCAAATACAAATATCTTGCAATATTGTATGATTATTTGGACAGTTGCTTACTTAGCACTGTTAAAAAAACTGGTTTGACGGGTTTTCTTCACTTGTGTGAGCTGTTTCAAAGCTTTATAATAGATAATCACTTATACTTGACTTTCTATTGTGGCTGCACAACTCATAAACTGCTCAGCAATACTACACACCTAATGAGATATAAGTCTGATTGTGGTGAAAAGATTAGCTGTATACTTCTTTATTGTCATTGTAGAATTCTCCATTGAATACTCCATACTTGAAAGAAATCCTGCTTTTCTTGTAATTTTAGGTCTGAAATTTGGTGCTAAATTTAAGCTAAATCAAGCAATGTCCCTTTGTTTATATTTTTTTTGTTCTTTTCTCTGCCTTTCTTCTTGAAGATATGTCAATGTTGTGGGGGGAATTATTTTTTGGTTGCCCATAAGTGAAAGGTTTAATACAAAATCTAACAGAAAGACTACAAACCACATAAAGGCAACTAACAAATGGCTATACTTACACTTTTTCTTTAACCCTTCAATTCCCAATTGTGACCATAGACAGAATTTCTCCTTACACTATTAGTACAATATCAAGCAGACTAGTAATGAGAATAAAAAAAATATCAATAAGGGGATTATTAGTTGATCCAACTCCAAATTCTCCAAACAAACATCAAATGATTATTTTGACAGACATTTAGGAGAATTGATAACGAGATCTTGGGAGTTAAAGGGTTAATATTTGTTGACTGATCAGAGGACACACTTTGAGTGCACTTCTTCATTGTACTTTAGCACTCACAGAAGTCTTTGGGAATCAGTGAGTCAATTCACAAATGCCATATCTTATGTGGATATTGATGACCTTCATGATGATGATGGTAAGAAACTAACTAAGCTTTTACAATTCTTGTCACTGTCGTATTTTATTATATCTGTCAGTTAGTACATGTCTTGTGGTTGGTCAATTTAGCAGGCTGTATTTCACTGTATGGCCTGCTAAATTCAAAAGTTTGTTTGAATTGAAGTCTTCCCTTCTATTTTAACTCAGATGTCTTGCTAGCATCATTTTCTCAGTCTGTTTATTAAGTTACTTAACATTCTTCAAACTCAGTTAACTAAAGGTATTTATCATCAAGTTGCTGAAAACTTGACATCAGAAGTATATAAATACCCAACTGCCTTCCTTTTCTGTGCAAGATAGAAAATTACATCTGTGATTTGAACTTTCAAATGAACTTTCTTTATTACACGTTCTATTGACAGAGCCTTTGTTGTTGTATGGTTAAGCTGCCATATTAGTTTTCAACAGTAGCTTACATATTGACTATGAGCCTTCTTTACCTTTGTGGTAATCTTTCTGTATCATGTGCTAGCTAATGAGATGGTAACCTTGATGGAGGATGAATTTCTTGCTGGATTTAAGCCATTGAACACAGCAGTGAGACCAATGTGTAAAATTCCAGATGCAAACAGTAAGGTAGAGTAAACCTGTAATAATTAATAGTTATTTGTTTTTCTAGGAATCGATGTATAAAAAACAACAGACCTAAATCACTTTCTTTGGTGAAATGTGGTTTTTTGCGGGATGACATCAGATGAATGGGGTGGGGGTTTTTTAGGGTCAAATGTTATCAGTGTTTAACTCATTGCAGATCTCTCATGGGCTCACATTGTTCAAAGTCTCATACTTTCCTACAGACAAAGAAATGCTTGGGTCAAAGCACTAATAATGACAGCTTGCTTGCAGGCTAATTTTAATTGGTTGATATTGCTCAATGTTTACCATTGTGCATTTTTTCCCTCCAAAAGGAAAAAGCAGAACAAGGATAAAAATGCAGAATGATATTTATCATTTAATGGCCAGCTAGTATGTGACAATTTGGATCAGATCTTCAAAACACACACTATTTTTAACCTTAAATTAGCCTAGAGTTGTAGTGGTGAACTTTTTAACTAATCAGAGTCACAGTTGTATAATACATTGAAAAACTTTTTTTAGCTTGAAAATCAAATTACAGTTAGGTGTCACTTTTGGTGAGAAAGTAGAAGTTTCTTATCAAAGTGAAATTTTTTCATGTCTTCCACAGAATCTTGCTGAAGATTACTTGCGATGCCATAATCTAAAAGAGTTTGCTGCATTTTTGGTCTCACTGGAGCATCCACCACTGGAGTTTGATAATGACAAAGGAGAATTCTCAGCAGTGCTTAAAAGTACACCAGTGTCACCAGCGAAGGAGTCACAAGTCATGGTTCACTTGGACACATCACAACAAAATGAACATGAGGTTTGTACCTTGACCCCCCTTATACCCTAACATTGGTATGCAGGTTCTCCTTACTGTTCTCTATACATCTTCTATGGTACCTGCAAGGAGAATTTTTCTGACAATCAAGAGCTTCTTGAATTTGCAATCATTTCCTTTATTCTCATACCTTCATGTTTGATTCAGGGATGAATTCTACTGGTCTCACTGTTTAGGTTAGCAATGGGCTGTTTAGTGACAATATCCAGCCATTCCATCCAATTCAAATCACCAGCCAGAGCATACAATATAAATCATATGTATGTTGTCACACAATTTTGTTGGGTCAAGCAGAAGAAAAATTTGAACCTCCAAATATTTTTGTTTGGTATAGGACTCGGATGAGGATGCTGATGTTATCATTGAGAGTGAAGAGGAGCAGCTGGACTCAGGGTATAACACTCATCACATATAACAAAATACGCTTGTTAGAAAATAGTTTGAACCAGGAGTAACGTTATAATGTAGTGTGATCGTCCAGGTGAGTGTAGTCCTGAGAAGGACTATTGTCGCCATAAGTGATTAAAGTTTCGACAACCTTAGTCGAGGTCACTATCAGAGTCAAGTGAATAATTGTTGTCAGTTGAATGTATCAGCGGTAAGTCTGGTTTATGTAAACTGATTGGTCACTTAAGCCATGATGTTATTGGCTGGTAATCAATCTCCAATTATAATTTTTTCAATTATTATTGTGACAAACAAATCCTTTTGTCATGTTGCTTTCTAGGGGCTACATATTTGACACAGTTTATAAAGTATTTTAAATACTTAGCCTAAATTTTTTTATGTTAGTTGTTTGTCACAAATTTTTCAAAATTTTGCTATCTTCAATGTACTCTTTTGTTATTTTTTTGTGTCCATGACCAAGTAAACTTTAATTTAATGGAAAGTTTCACAGTAGAAAATCTTCTTTTTGTTCTGGTTTACTCAGTAAATTACATTTTCATAGGATTTTGTTTGTTTGATAACCAGGCTGTTGATATTAGCTATACCTGACATGTTTGTTTGTGTTCTTTCTTGTGTAAGACACATACCATTTGGTTATGTAAAACTTCTTTTCTGCCAAGCTGGTTAGCAGCAGGTTTTTTGAGATCATGCAATGCTGTAGCTTGGAGAAAATTGGCTGAGCTTTGTCATTTAGCATTTCATTAACTTACACATGAAAAATCACATCTACTGGATTTTTTGCTTTACAGTGATGAGGTGGAAAAAGACCTGAAGGAACTCAAGGTAAAACTTGTCTTTACCTTAATTATATCACTTTTTTTTCCAATAAGTACTCTCAAGAGGAAGGGCCTTAAAATTGTTTTGCTCTCTTCTGCAGGCCAAAAAAGATGCCTTGAAAAAGCAAATGGAAGTTCACAAGCAGAGAGAGGATAAGGCAAAGGTCAGTTTCCCTAGGATGATCTCAGGGTGTTGAGCATAGATCCAAATTTACTGTGATGCACCCTGTAACAATGATTTGTTTCCACTGACTGCAGGCAGTGATAGAGGAACACATTTCTAAGCCACGTCTTATGTTTGAGAACTACCCAACATACTTGGTACCAGACACTAACTGCTTTGTGAATCATTTGGAAGGGGTCAAGGCCATTGTGGCCAGTCAGGATTTCACTCTAGTTGTGCCACTCATTGGTAAGTGAGTTGAAGTGTTGGCTCAATTGCTGTTCTTACACCCCTCCATTATTTTTGTCACCTTTAAAGTGTTTTTTTTGTTAAATCTTCTGCAGTAATTAATGAGCTTGATGGTCTGAAGAAAGATGTCCTCCTTGATAAATGCGATGATTTACAGCATGCTCATTATGTCATGGAGAATGCCAGGTGTGTGTGTATTATAAACAAAGAAGCTCTGGTGGCTTGTGAAGGAAATGAGAAAATTTTTTCTCATTTTCTCTCTGTGCACTTCATGTTGTCCTTTCCCAAATAACCTAAGCACCACTAGTAGTAGTTTACAGGTGTGGAATTTATGGAGCCTGAAATTTCCTCAAAGATATAGTAGATGTATCTAGTAGATATATATAGTAGATAAGATATAGTAAAAGTAATGAGTTAGAGGCTTCCTAGACTCTTGTGCAAATTCTTTTTGAGGTCAAACCCAAATAACTTTTCACCAGAAGCTTGTAACTTACGTATGATGCCTTTGACAGAGGAGAAAGACAATTTTAAGTAACTAATAGCTTTTACAATTCTGTTTGTATTTTCATTCTGTTTGTATATTTTAAAACTGTTGGCAAAAAGGTTGTATTTGTAAAGGAAAAAAGGAAATGACAATAGACAAAACCTGGAAGAAACATTTGTATATGTTACAATTTTTTTTATATATCTGTCTGTAGATCTGCAATTCATTTTCTTGAGTCTGAGTTTAGCCAGAGAAATCCTCAGGTTAAAACAGTTACCAGCAAAGGAACAGAGTTGGATACAATTCAATTTAGAAGCGAGGATCCTTCTGGAAGAAAGGTGACATTTCATTCCATTCCATATATCATGAATATATTACATTAGCAGACAGCTCCAATGGAATCTGAGCAACTGACCATGAGACACAGATAATGTATACAATGTTTTAACATTGCAATATTTACATGCTCCAAGCCTTGTGGTGTTTGGCACACAGGAAGGAGCATACAAAATGAATTTATTTTATAAATTATAACTTTTCTGACAATGATAAGTGGGGGAACACATATCCTAAAACCACCTCCCAGTTACACTTTTGGGTTCCCTGTTTATCACAACTTATCAGAGACAAGCATCTTTTGATTTATTTATTACTTGTGCGTTGACTAAAACCTGTTGGTCCTGATGTATATGGGTTGTTTCAGGGCAAAGGATGCAATGATGATGTTATTCTCTCCTGTTGTTTACACTACTGTGAAGAGAACTTTATCAACCGGTTGGCCACAGGTATTGTTTTCTTTGTCAGAAAAAGTTGAAAGTTCCTTAGAGCTGAAAATAATCTCATATGGTTTGTTTTAAGTCGCTCTTTTTTTCTTTTACCTATTTGTCCATCTCAATGTCAATCTAAAACATAGTGCATGTAGTTTTCAGTTTTGTTTGCAATATTTTTGCTAAAATATTAAGCAAAATGAGTTGATAATAGAGTTTTTTCCAATAGTGTTGTAAAACTAAAGCCAAAGTAATCAAAATGGTCATGCAGAAGATAGCAAAGTACTGTATAGAACCAATGAGAACTCAAAGTCAAACCAACCAAACTGATTAAAGCATGGGAAAATACAAGCGACCTAGTCATGATTATTTTTAGTTTTGCTTCTGTTTTATAAAGAGTGGTGCAAGTTTTCTAAACTAAGCACAGAGCAAAGTAACACTGCTCTGATGAGGATCATGTTTCCTTTTTTGTTTCTATTGTTGTCATAGTTTGCAAAGATTTGTTAATGGGTAAGAGTTATGAGATTATTGTACTTTTATCCTTCCCAATATTGAAGTTAAACAGGGGAAGAATGAGGCTCTGAATTATTATCCTTTTTGCAGCCTATGCTCAAAGACAAGGAGGCTAGTTAGTTTTAAATTATTGTTACATTTTCCACAGCAAATCAACCAATAACAATTCAGAGGAAAGTAGTTTTGCTGACAGATGACCGGAACCTAAGAGTGAAGGCTTACACCAGGAATGTCCCTGTACTTACAATACCACAGTTCAGACAAATGGCTAGGCTGTAACAAGCAATGAATGGGGTTATGTTTCAGGCTAAAGCCTCAAAAATATCATGACCTCCAGTAGGTATTGTATCAAGACCTGACACAGATCTACCTGTGAGGAGAGTTGGAAGATGCTAATGAACTCTTCACTGCAAAGCCAAATGAGGTGCTCATCACAACTTTCTCATCCAGCCCCAAGCACCTACAAATAAAACATCATTCATGACTGTTTCGATATGTTAAGTTTGGAACAAATAAAATGCTCTTGGTATCCTCATAAAAAAAAAAAAGTGTGCCTGTCATGGTGTATTTTTTTTTTTTTTTTTTTCTTTTCTTTTTTTTTTTTTTTTTTTTTCATTTTAACTCTTTAACTCCCAAGATCTGATTGTTAATTCTCCCCTCTAGCTGCTACATATTTCATAGTAAATAAGTTGTGAGAACTTGGTGCTAGATCAAGATAGCAACTTCTACCTGATTTGCTGAATAGCATATAGAGATTATAGGGAGAAATTTCATGTCAATCACTTTTGGGAGTTAAAGGGTTAACATGTATGTCTCACTCTCCTTAACCCTTGACACCTCAAAGTCAGTCTGAATATTCTTATTATTTTCTACACATTACCTAAGGTTGTGACAAAGAGAAATTTATTAATAACCAACAGCTTCTTAAGTTTGTATCATTTCCTATTTTCTTGTGACCTTAGTGGCTGATTCAGGGGTGATATTGTGAGGAGAAATGAAATGTTAGTAACTCTTCAGGGTCAACAGGTTAATTTTGCCTTTGGTTTTCTAAGTGCCAATGCTCACCTTTACTAAGGAAATTTATTCTGAGGCAGCTTGTCTGTGATGTCAGTCTGTCACACAGGTGGACCTGCCAAGCCCCAGTCGCTCAAATGATGGGTAATGCTATCTTCTTGATGGCAGAGTGTGCATTGTTGACACTTACAGGGTTGTGTTCAGAAAATAAATGCAGCTGAGTGGCTAGCATGGCATGTTAAAATGCCCTTTAAGGAGGGTGGGGGGAGGTGGTGGTTGTCATCCTTTCTTGGAAAAAGGTGAATTTGAAACTTTACAAGATGATTTCTTGCATTCTAAGACATGTCTGAGCCATTTTTTTAAGCTAGACATCAATGTAAAAATCAGTTCAAAAATACTTCTTTTGCGTTTGATCACAATTCACAAAGTTGATAATGCTAAATGATCCCTTACTGGCCCCTAACGACAACCCTGCTTTCTTCTATTGGATGGCAATGAAGGGTAGATAAAATTGTATTCTGGAAAAGGGCAAGTTTCTGTGGCGTGAAGGGTGTAACTAATCCTTGGGAAATATTACACAAATCTTGTTACCTTTATAAAAAATTGGAAAATGATTATCCTCACCAATTTCAGTCTATTTAGTCTATTTCTGGAAATGGTATCACTAGCTCTAAAATTATGACAACTGACAATATTACTAAAAGGTCAGCACTTAACTGAGCATAATTTTGTTGGTAATGGATTTGAACTGCATTCTTCTTGACTGTTCAAAAATGGTTGTTCCAATGATTTAACCTTTTTTTTTTTAACAATTCTTTAGTGCTAGGTCTGCCTCATTTTACTCTACAATATTGCCTAAGTGATGATAGCACATGCCATGTTGACCACCCATTATCAGGATTTAACTATGCTTTTTTTCAAAACAAAGTACTCCATGATGTCTGATTGCTGGTAAGAGTCACTCATGCTCAAGGTTTAAGAACAGACACAGATCCTGGAGGTTACAAAGATTTATTTGCTTTTAGTTAGAGTTGCTTAATCAAACAAGCCAAATCCCATGTCATCATCAGATTCTTCTTCTTCCTCCTCCTTCTTCTCTTCTTTCTTCTCCTCCTCTGCCTTCTCACCAGCAGGAGCAGCAGCTCCCCCACCTGATGATGCTGCTGCCATCACAGCACCACCTGTGGGAACTGACGCCAGTTTGGATTTGCCTGCTTCAATCACCTAAAAAATAACACCAAATTCACCTTTAGAGGAACCCATACTTGGAGAAAATGTATCTACTGTAATAGACCTGGTTGTCCCTAAAAATAATAACTGCTATTACACACTTTAAAAAAAATTGGGGATGTGGCACTGGCTTTGGAAGTCAGTTGGTCTTCCTAAATTTAAACAACTTAATCACCACACACAGAGAAGACACACATCACTCACAAAAAAACAGGTTCTTTATTTAGATTTGTAAAATGTTTAAATTCAACTAAAGAATTTTTCAGAAAGGTAATCAACCTATTTAGTATACCTTTTGGTTAGTACATTCACTGTGATTGGTCAATTTCATGGGCCACACTTCAATATATGGCCTGCTGAATCCAAAAGTTTGTTTGAACTGAAATCTTTCCTCTCTATTTGAAGCCAGATGTAATAAATATCTGACTACTCTTATTGTCTTGGTCTGTATTGTAGGCTAAACAACCTTGTTTTTTTTCTGGTTACATTTATCCCAGGCAAAAACACCCAATCTGTAATTTGAAGAAGGGACCCTAAACTCCATTGGTTAGAGGTATATATCCTTTGAATGAGATTCTGCACACTAATTGGAATTTTCAAGAATATATCACTGATTGGCATGTCAAGCACTTAAATCTACCTCATTGATGTCCTTTCCACTCAACTCTTTAATGACTACATCAAGGCGATCAGAGTCGACATCAATGCCAACACTTTCAAGGATGGCTTTGATGTCTGATGCAGATGGTTCTTTGTTCCCTCCAAGAGTGGCAAGTAGATAAGCGGCCACGTAACGCATCTGAAAAATAGTTCCAAGTTGATTCCATCAATGTTTGTTCTGAATGATGAGTTGCCAAGTGAGGAAAATCTCCAAAGGAAAAGGATATCAGATTTTATATCTTTCAAAATCATCCTTTGATAAGCTTAACCTGTGACAGACTCTTGCTTAGTGGGAATGGGCAAAGAATATGAGCAATAAAAAATTACAGGGGTTGCCACCACTTGTCTCCTGCCAGCTGTTTCAATCATCTCACTAACTGGGAGCCTGGAAAAGGTCTGTTCTGCCGCTAACAAACACAGATGACCCAGCCTCCCTTAGTTGCTAACTTAGCTACATTGCATTTAAAAACTAGGTTGCCCTGTATATATGGGTCACAGCCTGTCCAGATCCCACCATCAGTGGGCAAACACCACAATCTAAAACCAAGGCCCTCACACCACACTGAAAGGGCCTCCCATGGACCAAGGGATTGAAATCTCAGCTTGCAAACCTGGGCCCAGTTATTCAAAGGGTGAATAGCACTATCCAATGGATATATCACCATCCAGCAGATAAGGGTTAAAAAAATGGACTATGCCATCCACCGCTAAGATATTTATCCACCATTTAAACAACTGGGGCCTAGTTTAAATTCCCCCTGAGAACTGAAGGCAGATTTCATCCAACCAACCAGCCCAGCTAGATTAATTAGGAGGAATACACTATCAAGGGAGCACAGTAAACTTGCTAAGGATACTCATCCCTGAGTTCTAAGAGAAGAGAAGGCATCCACATTAAACCGTGCCCAGATAAGAACCAAGAGTTTATATCTACATGGGAATCAAGATCCACTGACTTGCACTCTGGGACATTTTCAGATCGATCGTGTGCATCATGATCAACTTCCTTTAGAAGCTTTTAAAACTTATTAGGCCTTTCATAATCAAGAAACCTAATCTCCTCCACATCCCACAACAAATGTACGGAAGCTAAAAGTAACACTTTGAACACAGCTCAAAAGAGCTGATATTCACAGCGCAACGTGGTCGACTAGATGTGTCGCATATTTGGAGTTTTTTTCTCCCGTTAAACGTTTATATTACACGTTACTTTATTCTTTAGAGACTAAGGACCTTTATACTCACTTTTTAAGTCAACTAAGACACGAAACGATGTGCACGCCACAGATTATTGTTCTCAAAATTTTCGAATGTTCGTCTGAATCGGACAAACGAGAGAGGGAGATCGAGGGCACATGTCCTCATTTATGGTTCTCTGGGGCGGACCACACAAAAATTCAGGGGATTTTTGCCAGGTCGCATGGATATTCAACATGGCGGACAGGATCACACAGTTGCAAGATGCTTTGAATCAGGTTATTTTACTTTTTATGATTCTCCTATAGAGGAAATAGTTGAAGTAACATAAAATTTGCGAATTTTGGTTTTCATACGTCATGTGGAATACAAATCATCGTCTTTGCTGCTTTTATTCTCGTCTTCAAAGTAAAGTAAATCTTATGGTATTTTTTTTGCGATGTTTTCTAGCTTGCAGATCAATTTTGTAACAGTGTCGGCATATTACAACAGACAGCTCAACCTGGAAACGTTTTTTCAGGTTTTGAAAAGAGTAAGTTTTCTCTTCTGGATATTAGAATTGCATTGAGATGTAGGATTGCAGAAAATCCATGAAGTTTCTAATTTGAAAGAACGAGGCATGCTGTTTAGTAAAGAGATTTTTTAAAATTTGTAGTGAATGGGTTAATTGATAGGACAATGGGACGTACAGTAGATTATATGCCCTCCAAGGTTAAAGCTATTTTTTGCTAGAACCTCTTGTTATTTATTACCAATTGCTGAAACTTTTGCAGGCAAAGGGAAGTTTAAATTCCTTGCATGCCTCTGTAAGTTAAATGTTTAAATGCGTCAGTAACTGAAACACAATTTTGCTCTTGAGGTTAGTCAGTCATCTGAGGCCATTCCAATTCCCAAACCTGTCAGATGCCTATTAAGATTTCATATGTATCTTACTTATTTAGTCATTTTAGTCCAAACCCTGGGTGAAATTCTTGTCATCCCTCTTAGATTTATTACCCAAAACAGAAAAAAATAAATTTTGGAAGTGGAGAGGTGGAAAAAACTCACAGTTAATGACACACAGTATGGACCCAAAACTCTGTCAGTAAGGGATATTTATTTTCATTTTATTTTCAGATGGTGACAGTGGTGATGTGACACAGGAAGGTTGGTTAGACTTAACCCTTTCACCCCTAAGAGTGACTAACATCTAAATGTCTCCTCATAAAGGTCACAAGAATAAAAGAAATGATCACCAACTCCTCTTGATTTTTCAAATTCAACTCAGTGCCTTTTTGATGAACAGTATGGAGAAAAGCATCATGATCATGTTCTGTCAATTTTTTAAATTTTGAAACAATCTCTGTATATTTTTTCCAATTCAACCCAGTTTTTTACTCTAAGGAAAAGTCATGTCATGTTCTGTCAAATGTTTAGTTTGACAATCATTAAAGTTTCCAGTAAGCCAAGATTTCTCATGGAAGCATTTATGCCATCTCCCACTATTTAGTGTCTCAGCCTTGCTACTCATTTTGATCATAAGAAAAATTATTTTACATTCTGTTGAAGTTTAAGTTTACAATCTTTCAAGTTTCCAAAAGCTAAGATTTCTCAGGGGAAGTAAGTGTATTGTGTCTCCCACTGCCTCTCATTTTGATCATTCCCCTTGCCAAATTGTGTTTTGTTGAGAAAAAGAATACCAGCTGCAAAACCTTCTAAAGAGCAAGGTATCTCAATCCATAAACAGCCAAAATTACCTTCTTTTAATGATTGAATAATGTGAAAAAGGGACAATGGTTTGCTTTTAGGACATGCTGCTTTGTTTGCCACTCTTATTGCAAGAACTGCAAAGGACATTGATTTCCTAATTGAATCTCTACCAAGTGAGGAGTGTTCACCAGAGCTTCAAGTAAGATCAGTGTGTTTTTTAATTGTTTGTTTGCACGTATTCTTCTTCTTTAAGCTGTAGCTTAAAAATACTGTTAACAGTACAAGTCAGCATCAGCAAATGAAAATGTTACTTTAACTTTTTGTTTCAGACATTTTGTGACTAACCTGTAACCCTTAAACTTCCATAAGTGACCAAGACAAAACTTCTCCTTACAATATCAAACAACATTAAGCTAGCAAGTAATGAGACTAACAAAAAATTTAAAGTTCATCACTTGTGCTACACTTGTATACATTTTTGTTTGTTTGTTTGTTTGTTTTACTTATTTAAAATGATTAAAAAATTATGGACAACACAGGCAGCAAGCTTGCACAAGTTGGAAGCTGAAAGTAGCGCAGCTGGTAGGAAACTGGAAGAGGCTGTAGCAAGAGGAGGTGAGAAGCCTTTACTGTCTATTAGAGGGATTTTCCATTTTGTGTCATGAAGAAAGATAGTAATCAAAACAAATGGGCTGTTGAGTGTTGGGGAAGATTTGATGAACAACTGATTGGCTGGGTTTGAAAATGTTGTAATCAATTATTTACATTAGTGGGTTGTTTGGATCTCATCGTCTGAGTGGCCCTGGTCTCATAGAATGCACTGCAAAATGTTGTGACTTAGCTCCCAGACTCTTAACCCTCTACACCCCAACATCAGTGTGGATATTCTCCATACTGTCCTCTGTACATTTCCTAAAGTGCTGACAAGGAGAATTTGTTTAACAGTCAAGCCCTCTTGTGGTTGGTAATCATATCCTTTATTCTCATAACTTCTGCGCTCAATTCAGCTGTAATTTTGTAAGGAGTAATTAGATGCCAGTCCCTCTTGGGATTATTGGGTTAATACTCTTTTTTTTTTTCCTCTTAAGAAAAACTGTTAGAGCTCATCCAACAAGCCCTGACTGACATTGCAGAATCAAGGCTGCGCACGAAGTGACCAATGGCCTGTTTCAATCAGGGTTGGTCTTGGAGGACCGAATAGTGTCAAGGAATTCCATAGCCGGCGGAAGTTCCAGGGCATTACAGTCACTGTTTGCCGATATTGAAGAAGAATGCCACATGGATTACCTTCGTGATATGCACCAAGGACCAAGAGAGCATTTCTGGCAAAAATTGACATTGGTTTTTAATGGACGAGTGCGTGAAAGCGAAAAGTGTATTCATAGAGAGGACAATACTAGTTCTAGGTGATAACAAGGGTGGCAAGGAATCAGGACGATAAATCAATAAACATTAATCAGAAAGAACTGAGAAGCAATCTAATTCATTAAGCATGAAAGCGCAGCTATTGAAATGGAATGTAGTGCCAACATAACGTGAATAAACAGGATCATTCGGTATCTTGTGATTCATTTGTGTTTTTCCTGTGTCATGCTGAGTAGGGCTTGTTGACGGACCAAAACCTTCGCCATGCCCTCACGCAAAACACAAACGAATGACCTTGACTAATCGTAATTTAAGGGTGGCAAAGGGTTTTCGCGTGGTATGTGATTGAGCCCAAAATAAATTTGTGACGCGCGGGTTTCACAGAAAGGCAAGGTAAGGTGAAAGTTGAAGTTTCCTCTTTTAAATTCAGGACGCGTGAAATACTGTTTAATGTACGCGTGACGCGTAAATTTTTCTAAAGTTCGTGCATGGAACGGGATCAGGACCCCATGCTTTGCAACCCTCTAAGTAGGGATTGTCAACAGGCCAAAAGTTTTGCCGTGCGCTCACGTAAAACGCGAGCTAATGACCATGACTAATGGTAATTTAAAAACGACACCCTATACCAAATTGCGCTGACATCATTATGGAGTTTCTGTGACGTACAAGAGCTCTTGGGGCTCATAAACGTAGATTTTAGGGAGATCATGCACGTGCATGTCAACGAGTACCACGTAACGTGGACATTTATAATCTGATATTCATCGATCCGATAATGTAGATTCCCGCTGAAAAAGATCCCGCAAATATGTACCACATGGAGTCAAGTAAAAAAGTTCGCACGTGAATGAATTGTCAGTTTGCATCATTCGTGGTCTAACTATTTCGAGTTACTCATCTACGAATCAGTGCTGTGCAGCTCCCTTTGTATGGAGCAGTTTTGAACTGAGTGTCAGAAAACCAAAAACAAAGTAATTCCAGCTTCCATTCACAGAAAAGATTACCATTATCATCAGCCAATGAGAAATTGGAAAACAAGAAAACTGCTTGAGGTGAGGGAAAACGCGAGTGACTTAGTCGCGATTGTTTTGAGTTTTAAATCTGATTGGTTGAGAGAATAGGGCGGGCGTTCTAGATCAATCGCGGAGCAAAGTCGAGTGAAACCAAAGCAAACCCGGAATACTGAACTGAAATTGCTCTGACTGAACAGTGCCGACAGAAATTGCTGTCATCTCGAGCTGGAAAAATTCGTTTCGCCAAAGACAAAAAAGCATTGAACTGAAAAATAGACTCGTGAAATTTTCAAGCTGCACGGTAAATCACCTTCATTGCTTTTTCTAAGGATTCGCGTAACGTTCCTAAAAATAGGCGCGAGTTTTCTGGACCAATCACTAGACGAGGGGTAATAAAGCAAAACAAAAGCAACCCTAGATTACAATCGACACCCAATTGAACACTCCCAACAAGAAGTAGTTCCACAAGAGAGCACAGATCGGAAGATAGACAATATTAACCAGCTTCATTTGCTTGTATTCACAAAAAAAAATTTGATCGAACCATGGGCTTGTGAACGAAGTGATGGCAAAAAGGCCGCAAAAGTAATGAAGGCAGGGAGGAAAAGATGGAAAGCTAAAAGGGCATTTATTTTTGTAGCTTGGCAGTTTGTTTCAAATGGTGCAAGAAAAGTCATTTCAGCTGAAAGGTTAGATTAGTTGTGTCATGCAGATATTATGCACTCTCGAGCGAATAAACGTTGTGTAACCGAAAATGACAAGTGTTCAGTTCTTCACTTTATTAAAATTGTATCTCTACTAACAATAACAGCAAAATGATTGTGCAGTGCAATCAATTACAATCTGCATGGATCACTTGAACTACTTTTAAGCCGTATGCTATTTGACTAACTCACTTCAAACCCGTAAACCCTTGCCACCTCTGAACTGTAAACCAGTTGAGTCTCCCCAAAAGTTCTTAAATCGTATATCTCCTTATAGTAATCCCCCAAATTAAATATTTAAGTCATGAGAATAAAGGAAACGATCACCAACTAAAGAAACTCTTGATTGTTTAACAAATTCTCCTTGTCAGCACTTTAGTAAATGTACAGAGAGCAGTATGGAGAATATGAATATTGATATTAGGATGTAAAGGGTTAAGGCGTGCCTGAGAGTTAAGGACACAGGGGGGTAAGGAACAGTTCTGAGCGGGGTGTTGCTTTGGGAGAAGCCGGGCTGTTTTAATAGTTAACCCTTAACCCCTAAAAGTGACTAACATCTAATTTCTCCTAACAACATTACCATGGAATGAAAGGTTAAGGTCATGAGAATAAAGGAGATGATCACCAACTAAAGAGGCTCTTGATGTTTGAACAAATTCTCCTTGTCAGCACCTTAGGAAATGTATAGGGAGCAGTGCGGAGAATATGTATATTGATGTTAGGGAGTAAAGAGTTAAGCGCAACAGAGTGTCGTGAAACCAAAACCGAAGGAAAATATCAACGAGGAAAGAAAAATATCCTTGAAGGAATTATTAGTTGATCTAATACCAAATTCTCCAAACTAACATCTTAAGAATTGTATGGCCAACAGTGAGGTGAATCACTTAATGGATCTGGGAATTTAAAGGTTACGAGCGCTTTTCGATATAGTGTCGCAAAACCAAAACCAAAGGAACCGCATTGGCCAATCAGAAGAATGGAAAATATCCTATACAGCCAATGAGAGAACGAGAGAATGGCGCGAGTTTTCTGGACCAATCACAGAGAAAAGTTAAGTAAACCTTGAATACTTTCAACGCCCAATTGAAAATTGTTCTCAGGGAAATAACAAAGTTTCAGGGGAACTGGGTCTAGCGGTTTACACGGGTTAATTTAAGATTCTAATTTGTCAACGCTTAGATGCTGCTAGTGTTTTTTTACGTTACAACGCATAAAACAAAAAAAGCTAAAACTAAAATATACAATTAGTCTGCCTCCTAAATTCCTAAATTTTATCACCAGGAAAACTGGCCAAGATTTTTACGATCGGATGAGAATTAGTTTACGATTTTGCATAATTCTTGATTTTGCCCTTAACGGCCGTTACAAGAAAAGCCCTTCTAAGATGATTATAGTTAGACAATTTTCAGGCAATTAAAAAGCAAATCGACTTCGAGCAAAATATTAGCGCGATGAATGCAGTCTCGTATTCAGAGCCGCGATCCTTTAAAATCAGCGGTACAAATTAGCCTTGAAAAGCTTTCGGGGAAACAATTTTTCGTAACTTCAGATTGGTTGATCGAACCTTGCAACTGGCCCCGATCGAAAGGATTGCGTATCTAAAAGTGGAATTACAATGAATGCCGTTTGATTCAATCATTAGCCTTGCAATGGCATCAACAGAAAGCGTCGAAAGAGACTGGAACTAAAATCGAATGTTCTACGTATCAGCGTTCTCCGAACTGTGAGCTCAGGATGATGTCATCTCGGTTGACCTTATGAAGCAAGCTGTTGATTATATGAGCTAAATACTGCTAATGCTTTTATATAAATATAAAATTGTTGAATTGTTTATTTTGGCACGTACAATTAGGAATCTTTGGCCCAATCTTCAGCCAGCCACCGTAACAGCTTTTGAGGTCGACTGCTTCCCACAACGTCACATCCCCAAAGAGCCCTTGGCCCTTACACTTTCCGTGCTTGTTCATGGCCTCGTCTTGGCACTCAACACAGATTGGGGTCTGTGGGTCAAGCTTGTCTGCCCAGGTATTCCTACAGTGCGGGTGCTTGAAGTGCACCTTGTAATGTATACAATAGCTTGGCCTACACAAATAACAAAAATAGCTTCGTTAGAATTTCAAAATAATCCAACATAGTATGAAGATAACCATTACCAGAGTGCCCCCTCCTTGAGTAATTTTAAAAGTTTGACAATTAAATATATTTATTTGTAATTTTTATCCTCTGGAAATCTATAATCATTTTGTCATGTTAGTATATTTTAGCCTTTTAAATGTTCTTTAGAGTTTTTATAATTTTTACTCTAATTTGAAATTTTTAAATTGTACTAATTTTTTAGATTTTATAAATTGCACATATCTTTATTCCCAAGGGCCCCTATGGGCTACCCTGGTTAAATAAAGTCGCTTACTTACTTACAGAAATATATTTACAGTAACCGTTGCATGTTGTCTTTCAGTAACAATTTAAAATCATATGCTGAGCTGAATACTACACGCATTTAATTGGTTTTTACCGCTGATCTATGGGAGGACAGACGCATAGATGAGGTCATCATTAGCACCATTTTGCTTTTTATCATATAAAGGAAAAAAAATATTCAATTTTACGGTGGGTGATGTTATCACCACCATTGTCACCTACGTGTCTGTCCTCCGAAAGGTCATCGGTAAGAACCATTAAAAATACGTGCATAATTCTGTCAGCTTGATAGTGAAATGGTTTCAATAAGGCCTTTAGCTACTGTAATGAAAATAAGCTTCCAAACTGTCGCAGATCCACGGCGTTATCAGGGATGGAAAACATTTTTGTTGTACAGCTATCTATATTGTGGTGTGATATAGTGGCAGACAATGCTAATGAAAAGGTACACAAAGAAAGATGACATATTGGAGAGTGTAGGTGCATGTGTGGTGCTCTAAGGGATAAGCTAGGGTCTACCTCACTACCAATAAATTCACGTCTTTGAGGCGAATAAGGCAAAGCGCGAAGCATTAGGTACGCGCGAGGGTAGAAGCTCCACCCTCGCGCGTGAATCGCATTTTACGCCTACCTGGCACTTGCCTCCGTTCGCTCAAAAACGCAAACAATTGCGCCTGTTCTGCTGGCTACGAAAGTTAGGGTGGAACGCAAAATATTTTCATTCCCTGATGATGCCGTGGAAACATTATACAGTAACGTGATAGCTTCAGCCTCTACCATTAACAACCAGTATTAGCTACCGGGATAAATCAGCCATTGCAGTCACGCAGTTTATTTAAATCGTTCCTTATTAGAGCCAGTTTTATTTTAAGTTGAATCTTCGAGTTGCAAAAAGAAAAACCAATTTCCAAATTGCAAACTATAACGGGCAAAGCAACGAGATCGAGGCGATGGCAAACAAATTTTGCAGGTAGAACAAACAAAACTCCCGTCACCTCTTTGGTGCCTCCGTAGTCTTCAATTCTTCCCTCGGCGCTGGTAGGATTTTGTCCCACACTGAAGGAGCGCGTTCTTTCTTGAACTTATAGGGTAAAATTCTTGCAAAACCTAAAAATGGAGATATGAATTTAAGTATCTATTACAATTGTTCTGTTTTTCTCAGGAAGTACTCGACGTTCTTCTCCACATTGCCCTAACCTGCAAACTCTAACGCCGTTTTGTGAGATGGACTTTCGAGCATTCTTCGCGATTTTTGAGTCTAAGTCTAAAACTATAACTTTCAGTTAGAAGATAAAGATGTTGCAGAATCCAACTAAGCCTTGTCTATTTACATTGTATGGCTAATTTTTATGTTTTCCAAGCAGAAGACATAACATAAAAAAAGAAGAAATTCCAGAAGCTTCCTTACCTAATTCTTTGCCTCCACAAAGTTTTGTAAAACATCCGCTATTTTCTATAAGTGGGGGACATTCTCTTCCGCCGTTCATTGGTCGGAATGTCACAGTCCGAGTCCTCCGTCTGAACCCTATGCCGCATCGCGGACGACAGGGACCCCAATCCGACCATGGAGAAACTACGCAGTCTTGTTTCACTGCCAAGAAAATTGAAGGAAACTACTGAAAACTATTGTTTAAAATAGTTTTTTTTTTATCAATTTCTACTTCCAGTACACATTTTTTGTTACTTGTTACCTACGCCTCGAAGCATGAAGTTTGTTGTATTTCATAGCAACCTCTGATTAAGTTTAATATGAAAACAGAAGTTGAGAACAAAGTTATAATAACAATAATGATAACGGTAAGGTCAACGTTAACATAAACCATGACGATGACGATATCGATGACGCTAATAATGATTATCACCATATCCATGACAATGATATTGATATTATAATCCTCAAATATTTGTGGTCGTTCTCGATTTTTCTTAACTAACCATGTGATCGAATATGCCCCAGCTAAAACCGAGGACGTAACGCAAGTCATATTCCCCAATTTCAAACTTTCGGTCTACTACGAGAAACGTGTTCGTTTTAAGTTTAATTCAAGTGACTTTCTGTAGCACGAGCCGCAGGAAACAACAAGTTCCAGTCGAGGGGCACGAATCCGCACAATTCCATTGAACTTAAAAAACCATAAAACCAAACCCAGACTTTATTTATCATTCCTCAGAATCCGTCATTAAGAAGTAAGATAGATAAGATAACTCTCAAATCCATTCTTTAAATAGATACAAGGCACGATTCATACGGAAAAAAACCGGAAAAAAAACTAAGAGTGCAAATATTTATAGGTAGGCTATAATAGTAGGCCTGTGGAGAGAAAAAATTAATTAGTTTTAACCCTTAAACTCTAAAGAGTGACCAAGACAAGAATTCCTTCTCACAATATCAATACAAAATCAAGCATATAAGTGATGAAAAGACGGGAAATGATCAATAAGGGGATTTAACCTTTTAGTTGATCCAACTCTAAATTCTTGGAATCATCATCATAAGAATTTTATGGCTGACAGTGAGGAGAATTATCAATGAGATCTTGGGACGGTACAATAGTGCTGAGGATTTACCATTCCTGCCCTCAAGAAGGGTCTTAAGAAGCTCAGGGGTATTTAAAGAGAAGAGGCTTATCAAGGCACTTGGAATTAATTATGGACAGGCTTATTCCTTACGGATTTCATTAAGACCGTCGGGAATGTTTCTATGATAGCAATAGCGTTTATTTTTTGTAGTTGGAGCAGCCCGCCAAACAACTATGTGCATATTTTAAGTCGCGGTCGATGAAAGCGGAGTAGGAATTTATGTCACTCATTGAAGGATTACTTTCAGTTATCACGCTCAAAAGCACTCCGGAATGAAACAGAATTCCGATCATTTCATGAACGAAGATTTGCGTTGTTTTGTGCGTTGCAGATGTGAAAAGACAATGAACAGCGAAACCATAAACACTTCCAAAGAAATGACGAGTGATCAAGAATTTCGAGAGCTATTAATGTGACGATTGTTTGTGAAGATTCTATTGTAAAAATGCCTAATTAATTTTCAACGTGAATTTTTTGGTCGGTTGCCGCATCTTTTCTTAGTTACAAGGTCTTCATCGATACCACACATCTGCAAAGGTTAAGGTAATTACCAGATTAGATTTTAAAATCCACTTTTTACAAATTAATCCGAAGTATGTCGCCACCTTAAACAGACGGAATTAACCTGCATATATTTGGAAGATGGGAGGGGGGAGAGGGGAGAGGGGGGTAGAACAGTTTAACCTCGCCTTTAAAATTTGCTGTTTTACAAAGGATCATCAGTAATGAAAGAAAAGATACCTCATGCGCTGCCAGGCTCTAAATACTCGTAGAAATAAAATATTCAGTTTCTTATATGAACAAAAAGCCTATAAAAACTTAATGTTTTCAGTTTTATTATGTATTTAGTTTTGGGTTCAGTCATTCGTCATTGGAAAAGTTCCACTCGTGTTTTCATAGGGCTTGAGCTACGTGGGGGGAAGCTGCAGAAGAAGACGTTTTCTACGGGTGGGTTCGCTTGTCTTTGCTTTCTTCTCAAATTTCTTGATATCATTTAATATATATGGTACTGGAGGAATTTCTAGTCTGTTCAGTTTGTACCAGGGTGAGTGAAAATCGCCCGACTTTATGTCACGACAGTTATACCAACTTTGCATTTCTCGTGAGTTTATCCGCGAAGAAAGAGATCTTCTCCTGGAAGAAGTTTATATCATCAAGAACTATTGCGATGAAATTATGGCATCTTCACTTGGTGAGGGTTTATCTTAGGCTAGGAAGATTGACTGTTTCTGTTATGGCTTGGACGAATTGAAGCAGAGAATGGTTTTGAGATAATCATACAACTGAGGACAATATGTAGATAGAGGAGGTTAACAGAAGGATGAATGAGAGACTGATCATTTGAGAGGAAAGGGAGGGTGGGGGATTAAGTTAGTCAGTACTAGCTCCACTGAAAATATATAGAGCTTTACTATTAATAGAACTGTTGGTGTCTTGATCTCGGATTTTAGAAAACTTTCAAAAAGGAAACCATATCAGACAGCATTGATGGAGAAAGGATAATAACAGGTAGTTTAGTCAGTTCATAAATCCAAACAAGTTTGACATATCCTTTTTAGGCACGAAGCGTGTCTCCCAAAACTGAAAACCGCTGAAAAGTAAACATCTTCTTCAGGAATTAAAGCAGCAATTTGATATTGATATTGATACAAAGATTTTAAGAACATAATCTAAAGATGAAAGAGCAAGATGGCTGGAAAAATCGACGACTGTATCTAATTATTTAAGCCGAATTATGGGCTTTTCTACAATAAGTATACAGTAATCTGGTCTAATCCCACTTAATTAGAGATAAATATAATGTACATGTAAACTACCAAGATTAATAACGGAAAAAATAAATTAGGTGAATGGCGTCACAAATTCAAAAGGAGTCGAGAAAAGGGATGTGGCAATTACCGTTTCGTTGGTCCAGTTCAATAAAACGACGAATGCAAAAAAATATTACGCTGTCAACGGTAGCGTGTTGAGGTCTGTTAACGATGTCCTTTTAGCGGGTGAAGCCATTCCGAAAAGCTCATTATATACTCCTTAACTGTCTTTTTTCAGAGTGTTTGTCCTTTGAATAAAAACAGGATTAATTTTCATAAACCGGACACCGAAAGAACTCTCTCGACATGTCTTAAAGAGCACTGATTTAAGGATTTACTAGATTTTCTGGTCAAGTCCAAATTTGATGATAAAAGATTAATAAAAGAACAATGGAGAAGCAAAAGTTTCTAATTATAGCAACTGTTGAGATTTCTCCTGCAAAAAAATTCTTGGCCTTTTAAGAAATATCTGCTGCCAAAAAATTAGAGACTTTGTGGCTTGACCGCGACAAGGTCAGGCCCATGAATGAGCTCACAATATCAATCGTCTAGTTTTGAAAATATTCTTAGTGTACAAGTTGGTACAACAATTTCAAAACTTTCTCTTTTTTTTTTTTTCATTCTTGTAATGTTTAATTCCAGGAATGTCTCTTTGTTGTTGTTCCAGTGTTTGCCCGGTAAAAAGGTCATTCACCAGAAAAGTTGTAAATAGTAGAAGAGGTAAATGTTTTGACTGCAACTGGATGGTAACACATGGAAAAAATTATATTACGATTGTTCAGTTTATGATATCCACTTAATATCAATTCTGCAAGTTAACAAGATGCATTCGCCCACCGGTAGCTAAAAATATTGCGGAAGCTTCATTCTACTCGTTGCCGATTTTTTTGCATTTTGTGGGAACACATTTTTGCGGTTAAAGATGAATGAAATATCTCCTGAGAAAAACTTTTTGTGAATTTCTGTTCAAACAGCCAAACATTGGAATAAATTTGGTGTTAAGTCTAAGTGTTCTTATTTTTTTAGTTTCTTAGAGGAGGGACACGTTTGATGATCTGATGATGGTTATTTCGAGTGTTCGGAACACAGAGAATGAGAAATTGCCCTTAATTAGCACGTGATGTTTTTTTCTTTTTTTAAACTCAAATGTATGAGGCAAATCATTTTTGCAACGTTTAATTTCGCAGAGAGGGAATTTTTTCAAGTCGAGATCAGCAGATTATCCCCAAAAATTAAGCGCACACGGTTTTCACGATAAAATCGAGTTGCCTTTGAAAAGGCTCGCATTTGGTGAAAATGATATCGTAGATACGAAGACTCGAGAGCAGTTGCTGATATCTATAACCCCGTTCTTTGACGTTAAAGCGCGGGGATACGGATATCGCACGCGTACAGTGATCTTGAACATGCAGCCGTGCTCATGCCTATTTGCATGTACTCAAGAGTCAGGTTTTCAAAATAAATCCCCGGTTTTACGAGTAAAACACGTTTTTCATGCATGAGGTACAAAGCTTCCTCCATGCATCACTGATTAAACAAACCCTTAGTGCTTTTGATTCATGGTTAATTGTCTTAACTTCCGATATAAAGATAAAATACTCAGTACTTGTTTGATTCGCCTACATACTACATTCAAATCAGCCTGCGTACATTCGTTCCCGTTATTTTTATCTCTCAAAACATCCATAAGTGCTTAGATTTTATCGATCAAGTAACAATAGTGACTCGCAGCCAAGTTAGACTACACATAATATGCCCAAGCGAATGTAAGAAGAGAGTAAGATAAACAGAATGCAATGGCGCGTTTTGGGTCTAAAAAGGATACTTTGGGTTTATCACGAGGCTTTGACGAGCGGAGATTCACCCATAGCTAGACTAAATTGTAATAAGACCCTGCTTAATTCTACTTACATTGCTGTGAAATGACCTTCATCCTCAAAACAAAGCGAGAAGAATTCTAGCCACTTACCATTTCCCCAGCCGCATGGTCTCTTCACACTTTCAAAATCAGGACAACAGTCCGCGGCCGTCTCACAGAATTCATCGCAGTAGCAAATAGTATTATGAACGTAATCCTCCATGCCACAACTGCTGTTTCTGCCGCCGCAACATTGAAGAGAACCGCCATGTTCTCTTTGATCACAGCAATGAACGGGACCTCCGTTTTCTTCCTGAACGCAGGCACCGTCGGCTAATGAACACAGCGAAATACTAAGCGCCAGAACGAGCATCATACCTTGGCGTTTCGTGCGGTCCATTTCTCTAAACGTGTTGTTGCTCTCGCTCGAGCCGGACGTCTGGAAGAAAATCTTAGTAGCCGTCTTATTTAACACAAATACGAAAAATCAGGGGATGACCCGAGCTGTCACGCCGGAAGTTTCAAATGTTTTCTCTTTTTCCTTGGCAGCGTGTCAAAGTGCCAGGATCCAAAATATTTCACGGTGACAGAGGGGTTTTTTCGGGCACAAAAAGAGACTTATGTGCGCGCCGTGGGTTTGACAGCACGCGAAAAGTGGCTGACAGATCACACCGACTCAAAGCCTTATATTAACCACGTCACTTTGTTTTTTCAACAAACTACGGGGTGCTTAAAACTAAGCGGGAAATGGAGGAATCTTGGCAATGTCCGCGCTCTATGAAGCCTCTTTATACGGCTTGTCGTAAAGCCGTTTCAAACGCCGGCATTTTTAGTACTTAGTCGCTAAGTTAAGTTCTACCCAGAATAGCGTGCTACAAATCGGCTTCCCGAACAATCTGCGAGCCTGGGTATAGTGGATTTCTGTAGGGGGTCCGTTCTACAGGTTGTACCAAGTATTGTTTTACAGCAAAATAAAGTTATTTATGACTGAAGAAACGTAATCAGCAAGTTTTTGTGTAGACAATTCAATTAACAGTGAGACTGTGACAAAAAAGTGCGATTCCTAAAGATCAGTTAAATGTTCTCCAACACAATCCTCCATTATTGCACAGCTTTTAACCACTTTTCACAAATGACTTTACACAAATTTTGCTGGTCGTGAGGGTTCTAAATTTTTCAAGGTGAGTGAGTTTTCCTGTTCATCGTCTTTGAAATAAAGTTCATTGCCGTTTCATCAGTTTATCACTGTCATCACGTTTGATTGCTTTTTCGTCACTCAACTCATGAAAGGGTCAGTTTTTGACTCTCAAGGGAGGCAATAAACTTTTCGGATAGTCTGTCAGAAGGAGGGATGTGTTAATATGATTCTCACCAGCTTTTCATACCGAAATATCGTCTCGAAAATAAAATCTTAGTTGAAGTGCGAGTGAAGCCTATAAAAGCTACCGTTGAAAGAAGCCCGAAAGTGCTTTGATGGGATCTGTATCTGTGACTCCCAAACATAAGTGGGGCGCTACTATCAACTGAACGACGAAGCCACATTGGCAGCGCCGCAAATTTTAATGGGTTCTTAGAACCTTGCCTGGACAGAAGATTTGGACCCCATTCGAACTATAAAATGCTAACGTTGAACAACATGTAAAGATCATCGTAAAATCTTTTGGCGGAACAAAATTTTCAATTCCAAGCAGTAGTGGCAAACCCTGATTTCACTTAACGACCTTGTCGAACAGTAACTTTTAAGTGTCTCGGCCCAACCTTTGGCTCAGAGCCTGAAATCTAATGTAGTGAGCGTTGTCTTTGATCCTATGAGATAAGCAGTCGATTGGGAAAATTACTAAAAATAGAGGAAAACAAAGGTTGTTTTGCTTTGTTTCAGTTTGCGAGAAAGTTCTCAAATAGTCAATGACATGATTAACGAGATAATAGATCACACAGATAAATCGACGGAGAGAAAAAGTTCAATTGCGCATTGAAGAACAAGCAAAGGTACGCTTCACAGTAGAATGAGGGGGCGTTAAATTATTTCGCCTTTCCGGTTTTGGTCATGTGTGACTTTGACTTTGGGGTTTTTTGGTGCTCTTAATCTACTCTACAGCGGCTTTTCATTTCTTTCTTTTTTAACAGACCAGTTTTAAGTATAAAAATGGTTTTTTTCGGTTGAGTAGCGCCATTCACCTCGGATGAATCACCGTTTTCGCGGCGGTGTCGCGGTTTTCATGAAAATCCGTTTTGGTCGGTTTTCCAGTTTTGTGATGGCCACAAAACCCCTCACGTATCTCTTGTGATTGTCTCTGTACGCTGCTTGGGATTTTTTCCTCTGTCACTTCAAAAAAAGGGCGGGTAACTTCCGAACCGCCTAGGTGCACCATTTCCTTAGAAGAGAGACTATAGAGAAAGATGTTTCATTTTGTCACGAGCGTGGGTCAAAGCCAAAACAAAAACGACGAAGAAAAGCATAAGAAACAAAAATTTCACTAACTCATTTTCTCCCTTTGATACAAAAGTGATTACGTTTAGACAAACGCACGTCCATATACACTAATAACAATCGGAACAAAGCAAGTGTATCTACTGAGCTTGAAGGTTAATCCGCTACTGCTCCCTTTTGTGTTCGAAACAATTTTCCGCTTGAGACAAAGACGCTTGAAAGCAAATGCTGCGGTATTAAAACGCAGTTGGAGCAAACTTCGAAATCACGCATGGTTTTGGCGGTTTCGGAAATTACTCTGCGTTATTGTTTCAAATCCAAAAAAAAACCAAAACAACTGTTTCCACGAGGTTAATCTGAAACCACATTTCATCCGATCACTTGAACAAAGCGAGTGTGTAAATTACCTACTCTCGGCCAAGTTATTATTTCTCTCAACAACAGAATGCTAATAACACCCAACAGATATAGCTGATCATAAGACCGCGCTAACCATGCGTGCTGGCTGTTTAACAATGAGTAAAGGAACACGTATGAGGAGAGGGGTCTCTTCATTCGTTGGTTTCCGGACAAGACTCAGATGAAGATGTTTTTCAGCGATTCTTGTGCCAGAGACGAGTGTGTAATCTACTTTGATTGACAAAAGAGTGCTACTGGCAAGCTTGAAGAGGGTAAATTAATTGTAGATACTGATGTGAGGGTGTTGAGGGTTAAAGGGAAAAATAAAGCAAGGTTTTTGGGAATCGCCGCATTTATAAAGGTCAATTTAGTATACGAAATAACATGATTTCGAGTGCAATTTAGAGTAAATAAGCATGAGTACCTTTTTCAAAGACGACAAAATTTCACAAGCCCGCAGGGCGAGTGTAATTTGTAGTCTTTGAAAAATTTATAACTCCTTATTTAAACCAAATTACACAAGAAATCATGAAATTATTTATTTATAATTAACGCGAAAAAGACATTACAGAAAGTCTAGACAGACGAAATTTTGACAGCGCACGCGCTATTTGTACTTTGCACTCGTGTAAAACTGCACTCATGTTACATGAGAAATGCACCTGTTTTCAGCCGATCAGAAGCGCGTGATTTTTTCATGTGTATTAATACAGGGTTCACTGAAAAACTCGGTCATGCTTCCCTTTTCACCCCTTAGGAAAAGATGTTCGAGTTTTGCCAATGTTTGCACTCTTGGCTGTCTGTAATTTTGATTTACTGAGAGTATGTGTTATTTCAACAGCGCTGAAATGCCGTCGGAATTAATTGAGGTATAAAGAAACACAGGCAAAGATATACAAGTAAGAAAGACTTTGAAGATGCGCTCTGATTCTAAGAGATGAGGACACAAGTGGGAGAAACTAGAAGACTTCGAATTCCTTTGTGTTGCGACGCACTTGAACCACTAATTACTTATCTGGTTATTTTCTTCACTTGATAATAGAGCAATTTTCAGTTGAATGTCGAACGTAATCTGATGTTGCTTCAGTTTTCTTTTCCTGAACGGTCCAGAAAACTCGTACCACCCTCTCAACCAATCAGATGCAAAACTGAAACCAATCACGACTTGGTCGCCCGCGTTTTCCCGCGCTTTAGGCAGTTCGGTTGGTTTTACTTTGAGTTCTCATTGGCTCTTTGAAGTATTTTCCTTACTTCTGATTGGCCGTTGTGATTACTTTGATTTTATGTTCACAATACTCAATCGCAAAGCGCTCTAACAAAAACTTACAATGAACAATGACGTATCAATCAATCTTGCTCAATGTAACAATCTTTTTTAATCATCATTTTTAAAAGGAACCGACTACAAATAGAACTTGGCTTCACGACTTCATAAATATTCTCACTTTAAACTTAAACTGAATGGGTACACCTTCTTTCTTTCACAAGATCGTCATCCAACAAACGACACAATTTGTTGTAAACTCAGCTAGCGTTCATTTTCTTTTTATTTTCATAAAGCTTACTTTTTTCCCTTAATCGACAGTTTCTTAATTGATAACTGCTCTAATTCCTTGAGGATTTATCCAATTCAAAACCCCGTCCGCGATCCTGAAGCTGTGAAGTATGACTTTCATCCGGGACATTTACACAAATTTCCAAGCACGTCATCTTTGAACTGGACGATATATTTTCTCATGTTTTCCTTCCTCTTTGGCGACAAATCGCGCCGTGGTGAAGAGAAAATCACTTAGCCTTGGAAAGAGAAAGACGATAATTAAAAACGGTTGTCATTACGGACTGAGTTCACAGAGAATTACATTAAAATAGGGTTGAAACCTCCGCAAAAACGAAAAAAAGGTAGATTCCAGTCTGATTTGTCACTGCACAGAGGGTGGAAGTTCAGCAAAAAACCAACTTAGTCAATCATAAATTGGCCACCGTAAAGAGTTGCTAAAGCTGACGTTTCCTGCGTTAGCCACACATCGGAGCGAATGACTAAGGGCTAATGCTCAAAACTTCAGCCTTGGAAACTCTTCACGGAGGCCAATTTGCATTCTCGACTCGGTTGATAAAACAAAATTATCTTGTTATACTCCCCTACCGACGCAGTAACACAGTTTCTTTACAAACTTACCCCTGGTTGGACAGGAAGCAAACTTAGCTCTGACTGTTACATGTAAAAAATTACATTACTTCAGTTGAACTTCCTGAGAAAGACAAATCGAAGATACGAATCCTTTCTTAAGATCACCTGTTTAAGAAAGTTCCAACTTCTGGATCTACGCTTCCGCTCTGGACCAAAGGAACAACTCTACACAAGAAAACCACAACCAAAGAACATGTTAAACTTTGTATAGAGTTATCCTTCGGCTTACTAGTAACACAGGGTAATTTTGTATTATCAACTGGGTTGATAACGTAAAATGGGAACCGTAAAGAGTTTCGAAGCTGACGTTTCGAGCGTTAGCCCTTCGTCAAAGCCATCAGCTTTAAAACTCTACACGGTGGCCAATTTACGTTACTAACTCAGTTGATAACTCTAAATTACCCTGTTATACTCTTCCACCGACATAGCACCACAGTTTATTTAGAAACTTACCCTCTTTAGTACCAGTAACACAGCCGCACTGCAAAACTTTGACTAGCTTTTTTTCCTACGTACTCATATACCATTGTCATGTGGTTGTTCACAAATGTGGATGCCAATAACACAAGATCAACTACGCCTTTCAAAAGGTTCATCTTTTGAATACAGAATCTAACAATAGTAGCCAGCATGGCTATAGGTTTTGTATGTGCTTTGCAGCATTGAATGGTGTATCCACAAAAATTAGTAATGAAGTCGCTAGAGGTTTGGGGCGGAAGAACCTCCGCTGCTCAAAGTGGTGCTATTGTCTTTATTTTAATCAAGCCCCCCCCTTCAAATGAAAAACCCACACACAATGCAGGCCAATGAACTGAATATAGGCACGAGAGAACTATGAGCAAAGAAATTACATTAGCATAACAGCCTACCTTCTCTCAGCTCGACGACAAACTGATCTTGCTACATGTAACGTTGCACTGCTTTTCCCTCCTGACTGAAAAACAACAACAACAACAACAACAACAAAAAAAACAAAATCCTCATCGATTACTACTCTTAACATTCCAGGTAAACTAAACATGCTTTCTAATCTCAGGAACAGAACAATTAATCAATAAACTGACTTGGCAGCTATTATTATTTTACTTGATATGAACAATTATATACTGTTTGCTAAGTTTCTTCTGCCTTTCATCAGGCTTCCTTGACAACATGTCAGCACCTATTCATACTTCTGGGTGGAGAGAGGCATTTTAAGAATGAAGTGTTTTGCCCAAGAACACAACTCTACACCCAAGGCCCAGGGCACTTCTCCAACCACATCTCCCATCTGCTACCAATGAGCATGTTCAAATTTTCCATGTACATATTACCAAACATAAGTGAGCTATGTTCCTTAAATTAAAGTTTAAGTTGATTCTAGCCACTCAGTAAAATCAGATTGACACTCACTGGTAAAATAAAATTTCTGAGTGAAGGAAGTTGCGTATGATAGGAATCTATCCATTCTTCCAGAGTTTTCACATTCTCCTGGTTAAATTTAGTTTTTTCTGAAAAATCAAAATAACAAAAAAATTCTTTTTATTTTAAAGTTAACATACAGCTTGCAGAAGGTTGCAAATGGAGCCAAAATGAACGTTTTTGACAGCAACATTGTTTGTAAGCTAATTTTTTGTGTAATGGGCCTATATTTTTGAGCAATTTCACCACTGAAAAATAAGTCACAGCTATATCTGAAACATCAATGAAAATAACAGAATTACAAAATACTCAAAAGAACAAGAGAAAAGCCAAACAAGGAAGTGGGAACCTCACCTAGTTAAAACAAAATTAAAGCCTACTATTCTTCATCTTTGTCTCAATTTGTACAACTGTGTGATTAAGAATTCTCAGAAGTTATAGTATCATGACCTAATGAACCAAATATATTACTCTTTGGCCCTCCGATTCAGTCAATAAGTATGCTTTATTTTAGGTTTATGTGACAGTCAATTTGCAGAAAAGTGGTTGCCCTCCACCGATTTATCCTCAACTTGTTTTAAAAAAAATGAAACTTGGCCATTACAGCTGTCCATTTCAAGGTCCCTATGATAACCTAGAAGCATCAGGCTGATTTAACAAATCTTCTATGTCATATGATTAATATATTGTGTTTCTCTTACCTATTTTCCTTTCAGATGAAGATTGTCGAGGTGTTGCGATATTTGAACCAATGTCCTGCAGAATGCACTGAATCTGTAGAGGTTTCAAAATTGGCAGTGTTTCTGTGAAATGCAAGTAAGGGGTTGTTACACACAAGAGTGCTGCTGGGGAAAGCTCCTCTAAAAAGGCCTTAATCTTGAAGTGCCATTTGCAAGAGAAAGATCACCCTTACCCAAAATGAAATGTGTAAACCCTGTTACTTGCTAGATCATATTAGTAATTCTCTGGACTGTCTCCTATACCATTATTGTAATGTTAATTTGGAGAGTTTAAAATTGGATCAACCAATAATCCCCTAATTGATATTTTTCTTTATTCTGAACGCTTGTCTTCTTGATATTATATTCATATTGTTAGGAAAAATTCTGTCTTGGTCACTTGTGGCAGTTAACCCTTTAACTCCCAAGATCTCATTAGTAATTCTCCTTACTGTCTGCTATACAGTTCTTGTGATGTTAGTTTGGAGAACTTGGTATTGGATCAACTTATAATCACCTAACTGATATTTTTCTATACTCTCATCACTTGTCTGCTTGATATTGTATGGATATTGTAAGGAGAAATTCTGTCTTGGTCACTCATGGGAGTGAAAGGGTCAAAGGGTTAAATCAGAATAAACTACAGGTCAATCCCATCAACATATTAATTGTCTGCAAAGCAAATAAAGTCATTACCTGCTCGAGTTTTTCTACAACATCTTTATGCCCTGCCTCTTCACAGAATTCACTTGCTAGTCTACGACATAATAAAGCCAATAAACTTGATTGTTATCCAACTGCATTAAATAGAGTAGGTATAAATAACATATGAGTCAAGTACAAATATCCCTTGATACTGAACAGTTGGTTATTTTGTACTGTGAAAAAAACCTGTAATAATAGTAATATCCTTTACTTAAACATGATAGGGTTTAAAGCTCAAAGCTTTTGGGGTTGTGTGAAAATAATTATAACATGAAACTACATTAAAATAGGGTTAACATTACTTACAAAACACAACTACCATAGTAAAAATTTTAAAAATGTTCAATAAGTTTCTAAAAAGAGAAATATTTCATGAGTTCACATATTTACATCTGAATAAATTGACTACAGCAATTAAGGCATGGAATATTTAGAAGCATTTAACATCATGGTAAAGCCTGGGTAGCAACTGGACAGATTTTACATTAAAATCAAGTTCCTTAAAATATTTCACTGATCTGCTGGGCATGCTAAGCTTCTCTATCTGCTTTACTTTTCCCACCTCATATGAAATGCATATCAAATGAACCAGTTGGATATTAAATAACTTATTAGTCGTTTTAGTGTGCAGTATAAATAGTATTTTTACTCATTGTTGTATTTGGTCATTTTCAACTCACCCATCTAAAAAATATATGGCATAAACTTACAGGCGTGTTTAGGTGGTTGCCCACTCATAAAATTAAATTTTTATTTTAATTAAATACTGCAAACAGGTCTGTAGAAAACGTCTAATAAGAAAGCACTGTCTTACATAATATCTTTAATTTATTTTTAAATTAGCCAAACAAAAAGCAGAAATGTCAGAGGAATCCCCTCATTGAAGTTATACCTATCCCTTTTATTCATATCCAATAAAGCTTCAAACAATATAATGCATAAAACATAATATTTACAGAGTAAACAGCAATGTTCAAATGTATTACCCAATGAAAGAATTTAATTCATCATTTTCTCCTAATGCCTCAAACAGTTGGTCAGTTTTTGCACGACGCTCTCCACCGTATGTACTTGTGTATCCTGATAAATCAATATTCCCATTGAAAAAATAATAACTTTTAGTAAAGATTAGGTCTCCAGGATGGGATGTCAGCCCAACAGATTTGCTCGGGTTTGCTTTGACACTTTACAGACCTTTATGAATTAATTTTGCAATGAGGGAACCCAAAAGTTGCATGGATTACAGTTTTATGGTAATGGTCCTGAGGTCAATTCTTATGTGTAAAGGTTTCAAAAATTTAGGCACTTTGGGACATATTTTGAGGAGCACTTTGTAACCAATTTCAAGCAATCAATTCTTTGTTTACAGCTTGACATCAGTATGCATCTTCTTCATAGTGTTCTCTATATGTTTCCTTTTGTACTAGACAAGGAGAATTTATTAAAAAACCAAGAGTTTCTTTAGTTGGTGATCATTCCCTTTATTCTCTAAACCTTTAAGTTTGATTCAGCAGCAATATGGTAAGGAGAAATCAAATGCTTGAGGGTTAAATGTGTCTATCACCCTAAATCCACCTATCCCATGGTCTTTGCTGACAAATGGTCATGTAAGAGTGAATAACCATGAAAAGGTGGATGACAAACCAGGGCTCAAAACCAAGACCTCTCCATCTACACTCTTGTGCATTAATCACTGGGTTACAGCTAGCCTGTGATCTGGTGTTCTCGTTGGAATAAAAAGAATGCCTGATCATAGGCGAGGCCAAAGCATCTTCTTCAATATAGCCATACTCTGAGAGCAGATCATAAACATGGCCAAACAGGAATTAAGGTGCACATATCATTCTTGGTGAGAAAAATAAATGATAGCATAGTGGACTTCGTACATTGTGCCTTATATTAAGCAGGTGCATTTCATCACTGGTTTAAAGCATGTTGTGATATGTTCCGGTGTAATATGCTCTACCCATGAGTTCAAATTAAGTATGGGAAAATTACCGTAATTATTTTGGTGTATCTTCAATTACCTGTATCTCCAGTTCTGGTATATATCTTTGGTCCTACAGGGCTGCCATAAAAACGAAGAGGTTGTAGCTTACAATAATGATGTGAACCTTACAAAATTTTGTAATAATGTACACTATTTCAGGTCAAAAGATCAAACGGCCCAAACATTACATATGATGCACAGTCGTGGTGCTCTTAAGTGTGAAAGTGAATTTTTTTGCCAAAGAATACAACATAGTGATCCTTCCAGGACTTAAACTTGGAAATCAAAATCCAACTCGTCAATCTCCTAATGCGATATCTTAGACCACCGACCATCTCGAGTTTTGTCAGCCTACGAGAACTAGTCGCACGGCAAAGGTCGTACTAAGATCAATCATCTTAATGATAAAATCATTAATGGAATAAATTGATTTTAGCATACTACCTCGATGAGCTCCATCTTGCAATAAAACTTGTAAGTAAAATACTGCGCATTTTTCTCAGCTGGAATGTAAAAGAAGAGGGGCAGAGAAGGCGCTTACAGGTGAGAAGAGCCGCCATCTTTAATTGAGGTAAGGAATTTAAATAAGTATCATCATTTGTAATCTAGTACCCAGATCACTTCAGCATGCAGTAGGAGTACCAGACTTCAACTGCGCTTTAAGTGACGTAGCCAGCCAATGGGCCCGTGCACCTGGTCTTCATTCTTATTCCCGCCTACTTTAGTTTATAATGTGACCATTGCAAATGTTGAAAAAACTTGAACTTTCTTAGGGAACAAGCCTAAAACAAATTGAAAATGCTACACTCCTGCTTTGGTATTCCATAGGAATATGGTTATTGCTAAAGAGAAAGATGAAAGTTCACATGTCCAAACTATAAAACCTGAAAATATTCTAACTCAAACAGAAGCCAATAGGTTTGAACCCTTCTGCCCCAATGTCTTGCAACCAAGGGAAAAAAAACAACACTTCCTTCTCCACCAGTTAAATTTTATTGTAAGCTTTGCAGATCTGTCAGAATGACAATGGAATAGTTTTCTTGGTTGGTTATTCCATTGGAATATCTTCAGTATTTTCCTCTTTTTCTTTGGAGAGGGTGGGGGAATCATAGAGGCTAAGAGTGACTACGTTCTATTTTCTCCTTAAAATGTATAATGTACAATGAATCTCACATTAAGGTCACAAGATAAAGGAAATGATCACCAACTAAAGAAGCCCTTTATTGTTGAACAAATTCCCCCTTGTTGTAGAGAACAGTATGGAGAATATTCATACTGATGTTGGGGTGTAAAGGGCTAACACATGTCTAGACTTTGATGTGAATGGGATCTAAGAGGCATGAAAAGGTACTTGCATGGTACTTTATCCTGAAACTTTGTCTTGCTTTGTCTTGCAAATGAGAACTCAACTGTGCACAATAACTCATTTAATAAAAATCAGTAGATTAAATTTTCCTTGCAAAATATCATTTACTCATAAATATGCTTTAACTTTAAGGTGTTTAAATGATTACTTACATTTTGCTTACAGCAGTCAATGATCAAAAATGTCTGGTTCCAAATTTCGCTATTTTCAATATCATATAACTCTTTATAACTATAGAGTCTGACATATTTAAAGAGTGGTTTTCATTTTAATACAAAGACCAGCATGTGGTAATAGATTGCCAGAAGTTTAAAAGTGACAAATCTTAAATTACGAGTGTAAAATATCAAGCAACAAGATTACAAACTTTCATCCTTAATCTTCTGTCACTACATCACAAATCTGGTAAACCTTCATTAACCTGAATTTCTCCTTACAATATTAATACAATGTTGACTAGATAAGTGATGAAAATAAAGTAAAATATTAATTTGGAGTATAATTAGTTGATCCGATACTAAATTCTCTGAACTAACACAATTAGAATTGTATGGTTGAGAGTAAGGAGAATTTCAAATTTAATCTGGGAGTTAAAGGCTTAACTGGTTCTTACTTATGATCTATTGAAGGACAGACCCAAATATGATGTTGCCATTAACAACATTTTGCTGTTTTATCATATCTAGGATAAAAAAATTTACATGTTGCTGTGGGTCTGTACAGTAACAGAACACAGAAGATGTCAGAATGTGGTGAGTACATCAGTGACACACTTGCCTGTGACTTATGTGCTATGTTTGTGTACTTACCACATTTTGACGTCATCTGTGATCTACTACTGAACAGACGGCAATATGGAACCGGTTTGTTAAATTTTTTCTGTACTTCAAAATAATGTTACACTGAGTCATTACAGACCTTTATAAATGCTGTCACATCATACTCCAAATAAGTGGGAACAATTAAGCAACAACTGTCTACCATATTTTCTTACACATTTTTCATTCGACCTAAAGTAAGACATATGACCTTAATTTATGAATAATCAATAAATACTGTTAACCAAAGAGGATTATGGAGCTAACTTGCAGTAGAAGAGTAAAAATGATGGCCTGCCCTTCAGGCTTCAGCATGAGTGTTACTTTACCCACAGAAATAACAAGCAGAAGAGTAAAAATGATGGCCTGCCCTTCAGGCTTCAGCATGAGTGTTACTTTACCCACAGAAATAAAAAGCTGTGAGAAACAAAAACCAGCAAGAGGCCTTGGCAAACCCCTTACCAACTTGTCTCAAATCTTCCTGTGGGCTAAGACACCAGCATCCTGCTGCACTAATAATGATGGCCTGCTCGCAGTTTATGAAAATGGAGGCTCAAGAACAACAACATTTGCTGCAAAATATTCATTTACAGCACTGTACATTAAAAAAGATGAAAAATACTAATTTAATTTTTGAGAAAGCACAATGATAGAAAATTAATGACAAAGGTAATCCTCTTTGGCCACAAAATAAATAGATCACATTTCTAAAATTTTATGAAGTTATCCCTAACTCATCAAACAATCCCTGATGTTGGTTTTAAGAATAGAGCATTAAATGTGGACAAACACTGCACATTGAACGAACTTGGTTTAAGATACCACTTCACAAAACTGGAAAGTGGTAATCACCACTTGTCCTGAAGACAACTCAGTGAATAATTTGAAATAAGTTTTCTTTTTTCCATTATTCTCTGAACCCTGGGTATGGCAGCTGAACCAAAAAGAAATTCAAAACTACTGAAAAATACTCACAAACATTAACATGACAACCCAAAACTAAATGGGGTAAGTCTCATCGGTGAGGGGTGGGGGAGGTTGGGGATATATACAGTTAATTTGATTTTATCAACTGAGTTGATGTTGTAAACTGGGCTCTGTAAACAGTTTTTAAGCAGATGTTTCTGATTGAATAGAGGAAATGTGGGTTGTATGAGGTGTCTATGCAGGAAAATGGAACTTTGCTATTCATAGGAACAAGGTAACTTGAAAAACACAAGAATGAATTATTTGAATGAAAAGTATTTGTAGATAGAATTGTGAAAGTGGACAGGTAGTGTACAATGTATGCTACTGTTGTTGATGTTTATGTCAAGGTTTGGGAAATTTTGCGTTGTTTGCTGGTGGCTACAAAGGTAGGGGATTACATTCAATGTGTTCCCTATTCTTTGTAAATACCTGTTAAAAATATTTAACATATGAAAATTTCTTTTCTTGTTTAAGTCAAATAATCATAGCAGGGTAAGTGTGAACTTAGTACCTCCCTGTACTGATCAAAAATGAATTTACAACTCATAAATTTTCTTCTTTTATCGCGTGGCATCATTTTGGTCCTTTAGATGCCTGATGTGCATGTTCCCTCTGAAGGTCTTTCTTGGTGAGCTTCAAACTAAGAGACTGGTAAAAAGTTAAAAAGTATGCATTAGATTTTGGCCTAGTGTTAACCCTTTATCTCCTGAAATATTTGGTGTTAGATCAAGACAGCAACCTCTACCTGATAAGTTTGAGTATTCTCATTATCTCTTTGCTGGATAAGGTATGGATATTGTGGGGAGAGGTTACATGTTAATCACTTCTGGGAGTTAAAGGGTTAAGTACTAGGTTGTTTGTATACCATGTCAGTCTTTTCCATCCATCCTCAATCATCCTGGTTCCCTTTTGCTTTATTTTGGTGTTTGTCTAGTCAGAGCAATTCCCAATTGAATGTGAAAAGAAACTGCTTTTGATTTGCTTTTATTTGCTTTATGATTGGTCCAGAAAATTTGCACCACATTAACAACCAATCAGATTCAAGACTAAACCCAATTGCAACTTGGTCACAGCACAGGACAACCAAGCTCCTTTAGCTTTGTGTATGAGTGGTGTAACTGTGGCTTAATAAGTCTTTTTAATTACATGTGATTTCTGATCTTGGTTCTTTTAAAGCATTTTAAGTAAAATATTGGAGGTGATGCCAAGTAAACAATAATGCTAATTCCAGTTATTATCTAAAATGATCAAAACAATAAATTAAAACAGTTAATATATCAGAGTTACTCCTCATACTCTTTGCATTGTGTCTTCACTTGCAGGTAAGTTGCCAAGTTAAAAAAAGGATTGTAAAATTACAGGTGTACAAAATTAACTGGTCTTTCAGTTGCCTTACCACTGGTATCAGGGAATCTTCTTGCATTAAGTTCTTTGGTAAGTTCCTGAGCCTTTGGTTTGTCTCAAAGAGCCTGTTGACAGTTATTTACTGATCACCAAAAGAGATCAGACAACAAGGACACTAACCACTACACTAGCTTTGAAATCTTTATTTTGAATACTCATCTTTATCATGAAACCTGTTTGCAGGCTCTGTTTTATGCAAAAAAAGATCTTTTGCATTGCAGTGTTAAACTTAGATTCAATTTAGATTATGTACAAATTATATGCATGAATCAGTTTTCAATGGCCAATAAAACACAGAAACATCCACTTTTCATCTCCCCTTGCATCATGCAGCAACATGGTTTTTCATCTTACCCTGGACAACGCTGAAGATCTCTAGGAGTAAGTGCTGATTTCATCATTGCCAGAGTAGTTCTGAAGAGCACTTTTATTCCTTAAGGAAAGAATAAAATAGAATACAGTTTTCACTTTAATTCTTCTCAAATTAAATTTGACTACCTTAACTAAATAATGAAAAAAAATGCCAAGCTATGACAACTTCATATTCAATCCAAATATCAATTAAGCTGAGAAATTCACCCTTGTTTCCATTGAAAAAGAATTGTGAAAGCAGACCTACACACATGAACTGATTGTTATAGTAAACTAAATCTTGCCTACCCTCATTTCAATCATGAAACCGAGGGTGGGAGGACCTTTAGCATATCTGCGACAAGATTGTGGAACCAACTACACATTAACCAAAAGACAAAGGCAACAACAGTTGCTTCTTTCAGAGAGGCCCTTGACAAATATTTTTTAACAAGCTATGATGAAGTAGAACATTTCAGTCCAAATGCGATTTAACCTGACCCAAGTGGCATATTTCATTTTATCTAGTTTTTAGCTTATAGTCTTATAGACCTGTCAACCAGTTTTATTATCCTCAAATACATTTTAATTCTAATTATTGTACTTTTAGGATTGAGGGCCACTACTATATCAGTTGAATTACAGTTGTGTGTTACCCTCCTTAAATTAAGTTTGTTTTAGCTGTTTGTTTGAATTCTATGTTACTAAATTTATTGACATGCATACATTCCTGCATTAAAAGTACTCCACATCCCAACATGGATATGGAGCCCACCTCCCTTATCATCAAGCAAAATGAGACAATAAGGACATAATCAAACCATATAGCCAAAGGCCCTCACTTCATCAATCTGATCTGTAAACCAGTTAATTCAAAAGAAAGCTAACAAGCTAAACAAAACTCAGAGATCAAGAACACAAACCTTCACAAAAAAACATGTCCCATACTCGAAGTACAGTGGCAAACGGGAGGTTCCTGGAAAATAATTCAAATATAGATTGAACAGACCTTGGGCTAAGAAGACTCCCTTTTAACTTTCAGAGGTGATTAACATGCAACTTCTCCCTATAATTCTCATATCTTATCTATCAAACAGGTAATGGGAAAACTCAAACTTATCAGGTAGAGGTTGTTATCTTGACTTAACAACAAATTCTTGTACCTAATTTACAAGGAAATGTGTAGCAGCTACAGGGGAGAATGAACAATCAGATCTTGAGAGTTAACGACTCTCACCTAGCCAGGAGACACATAAACCATTCTGTCATGTACATCAAAGGGTCTATGTGGTGTTTTTCCTGAAAGATAAGAAATGTGTGTGCATGGTTAGGATTTTGTAATAAGCACAATCAATAAATAAAGCAAACACAGTATCTTCTGAAGTTTGGCATGTTCTTTTTGGCTTTTCTATTCTTTTAACAAATAGAACTTGGTCAAAGTCACATCCAAAGATGATGAGTTCTTTCCCCCTACTCACATTACTTCTGGTCTACACATAATTCATGCTTAAAAATATTGAATGTGACAAATTGTCATTAATATAACAAATTGAATGTAAAATACCTACCATATGTTTTGCAATATGAGGTGCAATTTTTTCCAACAGACCACCAAAGATGGCCCCGTCCAATTTAACAGCTTCCTGCATTTCAGTGAAAATAACTATTTAGATGTTGTTGGAGCAATTTCAATTGGGAGCTGAAAGTAATCCTAGATTGCATTGATTTTTCCTAACTTTCCTTTGTGATAGGTCTGGAACACTTACACCCCCCTTCCCCTCTCCTTTTGATCAAGTAGATCGAAAACCTTATCATGTGCTTTATGCAGTTTGCTTATTTTCAATTTGAGTTCTCATTAGCTCCTTAGGATGTCTCCCTTTTCACTGAAAGCCTTTAACTCAAAAGCCAATTGATGATATTTTAAGGTGATTTGTTTTGACTTACTAATTTGGGCTTGTAGTATCCAGGAATGTAGCTTTCACAAATTTTAACCAAACACCAGAAGGCTTCCTGTAGGGTAGAGGTGAGAGGTTAAGTTTCATAGGTCAAAATGTAAACAAAAGTTTAAATGATCACCAACTAAAGAAACTATAAAATTGATTGTTAGACAATTCCCACAAGACTCCTGCCTCAATTTTTTACTTAACCTATTTTATAAATATAGTAACTAAATGCAGAATTGTTTAAACTCATGGCTCACCTCTGCTGTCATATGCATTAAAAGCACTGCTGCAACTGGAGCCATTGCCTGTGCAAAACACAGCAGATGAATAATTCATCAGGTTTAAAAATCATGCTTAAATTTCACCACAGGAAGTTGAAAAAAAAAACAAGATAATTAATTCTACCTGACAGTATCCTGTCTCTGTGTCATATTCTGCATAAGCTTTCAAGATGTCGAATAAATCCTTTTGCCCCAACCCATCCTTTTCACAAAACATCTCATGAAATGGGAAGGTTCTGCTTAGATCTTTAGTAATCACATCCTGCCATTGTGAGGATTCTTTCATAACTAGTTCCTAGAATAAGTAAAAATATTTTAATTCTCATATCTAATTTGACCATTTCATAAACAAACTTTTATTGCAAGATAGCATGATTTCTACACTGTGCTGCCCTACAAATAATCCTAACAAATAGAAATGGTGTGATTGATGACCAATTTTTTGAAGCCATCTGGACTGGTAAGAGAGAATTTACAAACAAATACCTGTATATACAAAAATATAAGATTCTGCAAGAATGCTGTTTGTTAGTTATGAGAGTTTGCAACTCATTCATTTATCTGAATACAAAATTTTTACAAGATATTTGACATATGAGTTTCATGTAAACACTTCTACCTTCTGACACATTTGCCTTCTTAACAAGAAAGCTACCAAAACCATGATATGGCCTTAAGCCCCAAGTGAACTATGTCGTATGTCAATTGCAAACTTCAAATTAAAATGTGAAGTCTGTACTCAAGCTAAGTGGCTTCATCCCAGCTTCCATGGCATGAAGCAACTTAAAATATTGTTACTCTCTCCTAAATTGGATGCCAGTCCATCACATGGTCACCCCTAGCATTTCATCAGGCTTCCCTGATAATTTGCAAGTATCCATTTATACTCCTGAGTGGAGAGAGGCATTGTTAAATTTAAGTGTTTCGCCCAAGAACACAACACAATGACCAAGCAAGGTCTTAAACTATAACCTCTATACCCAGAGTCCAGCACACTAACCATCTGGCCACTACAAGCTTCAAAGCCATCTTTAATTACAAAAAGGTGGCTTATAAAGTTTTACTAGAAAGCAACATTTAAATTAAAAAATAGTGAGACTAAAATATATATGGCAGTTGCCTTCCAACATACTTGGAACCTTCCTTCATTTTTCTTCTTTAGATCGGCACTGCCTGATAAGTGCTGCCAAGCCCTCCCACGAACTGACGAAGGAATACCTTTGCGGCATCTTTCCTTCACCTAGTTGCATGATTATAAAGTACATCAAAGTACACTCAGCTTCATGCTCCTAATCATTTTCTTGAAAAAACCAAAAAACCTGACAATTTCTCAAAATCTTATGTCTTGTGAAGAGACTTGTTGGAAATTAAATTTGAAATTTCAAAACAAATACACAAATGTGCATGTGTTTTATTTTGAAATCATGCATATTATTTCAAACCAAATTGCACTCCCCTCGGTTCAAACTGACCTTTGAGGACTTTTTGGTCATCCATTTATCCCAGTCATCAAACATGTGCACCCATTTCAACTCTCGTTGTCTTATAACTTCAATGGGTAAACTAGTTTTGCTGTTTCTGAAAAAGAAAAGGTGGATTACACATCACATTGAAAAATTATGTAACAAAGCACTTCCATATTCTCTTTAAAGGTACATCTTTTCTTTCATTGTGCCAGCTAGAATTCTATTTTTGGCCACTATTTTGGAAAGAAAAGGTGGGATAAACATCACATAAAAAATTATGTAATATGGCACTTCCATCTCCTCTTCATGTTTCCTTTTTTACCTTTCTTCATGACAGCCAAAATCTTATTTTGGTGACCATTTTGTGGTTTTAGGTTGCCAACTTTCAAAAAAATAGGCATGCATAGCATGCAAGAGTTATTTTTTCGGCTGGGTAAGTTATGATGTTTAATGTTTTCATTTTTGTAACAGAAAAAGAACATTACTTTCAAATGGATGAAAATATCGCATTACTTCACCTTTAGAGAAAGAAAGAAAAACCTAATTTATCTGAACTTGCAAAGGTATTTTGTGGTCTATTGTCTCTATTGTCTTAATACTTCCAAGCAAAAACAAAATGCATCAGTGCAAGCAACATACCACTCTACATGCTAACATAGCTTAGAGCTTAGGCAAATATGTAAAAGGCACAGTCTTGGTTTAAAAAGCTCCCACCGTTATCTAACTTAATTTTAATTAACAAAATCTTTATTGCAGCCGTATAATTTCGATTGTGTCCCTACCCACCCCCCCCTGCTCTAAATGCGCCCTGACTTATTTTGAATATTCGTACGTTTAACAAGATTGCAGTCGACTGACAGAAATCACCATACAAAAGAGCTATTACATACTTACCAAGCCTTACGTTCCACCCATGTAAGCTCTTTCGACTGCAGAAAGTTATTTTGAACTATATTAACATAAATTAAACACAGGTAGACTTACGAGGCTTGTTTGTGATCTCCGACAAAACCGTACCGGTCGACAGATGGACCTGCAGTTAAATTCTCGTCTGGATTGATAGGCGTAAAACCATTCAGCTGAATATTTTGTGGTTCATAATATTCCATTATTCCAACGAAGAAATACAGGAACAAAGTCCATTACAACTGCAATAATGTTACCGTCATTCGTGCCAAGTCATTTCCTCCGTGAGGTTCACCAGACGCTACACAAAGGTGCAAAATTTTGAAGCATATGTATCGGGCGAACGCCTTATCAGTAGATATCAATGTAGACTGCACTTCGTTTTTGCGAAGAACAAAAAAGACTCAAACAGGAAAAACCTCCTTTTCAGTCGGAAGTCATTTCGAAATTCAAGAAATTTAAAAATAATATTGATTTTGAGGCTGTCTCCTTTGTCGGATACCGCATACCGCTAATACTGCGATCGCAGAGCGGGCTCAGCTGAGAAGCAGAAAAGTGGGTGATCAGTACTAAAATTCTCCTTAAAGTTTTAAACAAAGTCTTGTAGTCAGATGATGAGAGGAAATGGATAAAACACAAAACACAGGACGAAAAATTTTTTACAGGTAAGAGAAGACCTGGCGCTTTCGCAGCTGAAGAGTTTTCTCCGATCAAGTGGTAGTTTAACGGGTTAACGAAAAGCCAGTAAGAAGGAAGGAGCTGTTATGTAACAGTCTACAAGTTGTACAAGTATTCAATCAACGTTGCGCAATAGGCTTCTGCACATACTTGCAGCACTTGCAAGACGATTTATCCACGTATCTGGAGATTTGAAATCACCGTAAGAATTCAATGGTGGTTTGGCTGAAATAGTTAATCTATTTTACCTTATTCGCTTTTCAGACAAACTGCATGCATCTTCCTTGACTGTTACATAAATCGATAAATAGCAAACCCTATCTGATAAGTCCACTGCAAACCCTATCTGATAAGTCCCCTGTGTATTCCATAGGTGCCCTCTATAAAAAAAAACAAACAAACAAACAACAATAACAACAACAGCTATAACAACAACGACAGGTGTAAGTAGTGCGTGAGGGATGTGGAGGGGCGAGATGTTGAGGGGCATGGGCAAGAGTGAACAGGGCGAGAGTAACGCCCTCAGCAGATTGCTGATGTGACTGTAAGCAAGCTAGAGACGATTTCTGTATGTTGGTTTGGATAAAAAAGTAAAGCTTTTATAACAAAGAGAACGGCACAATAACCGAGCTTCTGTGTGCTCAATGTTGATCTTTCCTTTTTTTCTTGTGAGAACCTGGTAAGCACTGATTATCAGTGCCAGACCCCCGGCAAACCTCTCCCAAACTCGTCTCAAATCTTCCCGCGGGCGGAAAAACGCGCGTCCTGCAGCAGTAAAAATGAGAGTCTGCGGAAGGCTTGGTTATTACTTGCTGAAGGGGTTACAAGTCTAATGAATAATTGACTTTTATGTCAATAAATGGCGTGCATTGTCCTTTGTCTGCAGGTGCCACTTAAGTGACCTAGTGGAATATTGATTCTAACAACTGAAGTGTTTAAGAACTAACATGTGACCAGTTAAGCCAACAAAATAAATGTCGTAAAACAGAAAGAAACCTTCAAAGATTTTACCATCAACTGGCATGGAAACATGGCGACCCATTACGTTGCTATGCTAGTCATGTTCTACTCCAAGGCGCAGTGGAAACTATTTTTTGTGCTGGTGGCGTATTGTGTTTTGAGACTAAATTCTCTGCCATTACCTGATGAAGCGAGAAAACTGGAGGACTCTCAGTCTGGTAAGATTTTAAAATAAATTTCAGTCGTTTCTTCTCATTGCTTTGTTTGTTACTCTTGTTAGAGAATTGACAAACTAAAATATTAGGTTTAACTGTTCCGCCATAGACTTGGGTCTAATTGAAGTGGTTCAAAAGGGTCTCAAGTGGGGTCTGACGATTCCATGGTTTGACTCTTCGACTCCCACGAGCGTTCAGTACGTTAATTCTCCTGGCAATTTTCATATATTATCAATCAAAGCAAGCGAGATTCTGGGGCTTAGTATTGGCATCATATCCGGTCCAGATAAAACAACAAATTCTCAGAAATAGTACACAAATCTAGTAGCCCCAATTCCAGCGCCGGGTGTCATGCAACGCTCTCATAAATTGGGAGATTTAGCCCTCGGATCTTTGGAACGTCACACAACGCTCTCGTCAGTTGGGAGAAATTGCTCTTGGATCTTTAGGATGTCATGCAACGCTTAAACAAAGTAGGCGAGAAGGCGTTCAAATCTCAAGTTGTAGAAACATCATCCACTTCTAACACTTCTTTGAGCATCAACCTTATCTAGAAGATTTGTGAAATAAGGATAATTTGCGATGATCCAATGAGTCTAAACTGTTCATTCCGTACTGTTATTTTATAACATTTGTAAAGGGTCTATTTCGTTTGTGGCAAGTAAGTAGCAAGTCCGGGTACATAAAGGTCGATCGTTCATTTCATTTATCGTATGTCGAAGGAAATTTGATGTATACTGAACTGAGCAGAATTCCAACTTGAAAAAGGTGCGACTTCGTGCAAAAAAAGGATTTCGATTTGTCAATAAATCGCACTGCTGAGGGCCAATCTGATTGCAAGGATCAGCAGTGATTTTAAAGTGGAGTGGTCAGGGTGCCCTAATGTAGAATAGAAACTTTTTCAGCTTGTGTGCGCATCTGACATGAAATGTTATCTGTTCTGCGCATATAAACTGTCATTCACGTTCGTTTTTGTTTTCCTAACTCTCTCTTAGTGAGCTGTGTAAGCGTCAGTTTTATCAACAACTGCAAAAGGCCAATAAAGATCTGGAAAACGATGTCGCCGACAACATTCAAAGGCTTCATTATTTCAGGAAACATTTACCGAATGAAGACTATGGTGCTTAACCAAAGGAAACCAGTTGTATTTCACGCAGAAGATCTGGGTTCCAACCAATCCGATAAACTTTTACTAGAAGGGCAGGAGTCCCTTTCAATTCTCCCGTTTGACTGTGATGACAAATTTGTTAATGTTTCAATTAGCTGTCGGTCTAAACTAAGCTAGAAGAGTAAATCAAACTTAAGACGTGATAAACCCTCTCACCCTTTAACTCTTTCACACCGAGTGATTGGTATCCAATGTCTCCTCACAGTATCTCTTTTGAATCAAACATGACGGTTACGAGAATAAAGGAAATGATCGCCATTTAAAAAAGCTCTTGATTGTTCAACAAATTCCTCTTGCTATTCCCAGAGCCAATATATAGAGAACGGTTTAGAGAATATATATGCTTATGTCAAAATGTAAAGGGTTGAAAAGTAATTGAGAGGAAATAAGGGACAGAGAGCAACGCTATGCGTGTTAGCTAAAAAATTATTCAACGGTTCTGTTTATTGTGGCAAGCTAAGTTTGAATAGAAATCGCCTGCGCCGGTAAATTATTGCTCAAGAAATACAATTTCCTTCTCTTTCGAAGTGGTTTTTCATTGAAATTGAATTACCTGCTCGCTCTTCGCCGTCACATTGCTTTCAATTTGAACATCGTCTTTAGGTTAACCTTCATGTGGACGTCTCGGAAAGTAGATGTCAGTTCGAGGTAGTATCCGTAAGGACTTAACCCTTTGACAGGTTAGAGTGATTAGCATCTAATTTCTCCTTACAGTATTACCCCTGAAACACAGATTAAGGTCACGAGAATAAAAAAATGATCACCAACTAAAAGAGCTCTTGACTGTTAAACAAATTCTTCTCGTCAGCACCTCAAGAAATGTGTAGAGAACAGTATGGAGAATATGCCTACTGATATTAGGGCGTAAAGAGCCCACTTCGGTTTAGATATCTCAAGGCCCAGACCGCGAACCTTCCTCTCTGTTTCCTCTTCCTTTGCATAAAAAGGTCACAAACTTAAGGGCGTTACTGGAGTGTATACTGAAGTGTCCAAGACTACCCTACCCCTACCAGCTCAACAATTCAGGGCCCAGTTGTTCAACTAGCGCTAACACTAATCACATAACGTTAAACACCCAAAGCTAACGCTAACGATAACACCATCCATTGGATAAATCGCTATTCAGAGGATGAGTGTTAGCAAAATGTAATGCTTTCAAGGTTGCTTTGATCATGTAAACCGATCAATGTTCCAAAATCACTTAAGGCGGTGCTTCTAGCTCTTGACATAATGTTCACACTCATCATCTGACATGTATCACGCACGAATCAAAGTCTCCGACGGCAGGACGCAGTTTTGTTAATAACATAGCCTTTAAAGATAAGTTCAATAGGTTAGTTTAATGAAGCTTAAATCGTGGCGGTATTCATTCCTTCTCTATTAACAACTATTCACCCGAAGTGGAGGTGGTCAGTGGTGGATATCTACCGAGGCGCGAATAGTTGTCACGGTTTTTTTATGCTAAAACAGTGAGTTTTTTTCAATACAAAAAGATGATTTCACTTATTTATTCCTGCAACGATTACAACATTTCCGGGCGGAAATCCGGTGCGCGTTGCTCAGAGGTGAATAGCAAAGGATATTTGGAGTTTGAGTAGCCAATCGGAGCGCGCGTTCAACGCTATTTTCCGTTTTAGTATATACAAATTATTAATTATTCACCGAAGTGTAGGTGAATAGTACTTGCTATTCGCTTCCAAATTAGCCAATAAGCGCGCGCGATAAGCACTTTTCACCGAGTGGTATATTCCCTAGATAACCAAGCGAGGGTGGGGCGGAACTGGGTTCCAGTATCTTTGCGTGATTAGATCTTATCCACAATGCAAAGCGCTGGTTCATTTGCTGCTCCTTACGTAAGTATTTAGCGAAGTTACGGAGATTAGGGACGGTCTGTGTTTGGGAAATCAGTTTAAAATTGGCTAGAGCTTAAAATAAGTGAATCTTTAGGGATCAGTCATGTCTACAGCTGATGTAGCAGAAAAGCCCTTAGTTGGAACGGTTGATATCGTCCTGTTTGCTTCAGTCATCGGCGTTTTATTGTATTGGTTTTGTGGACGCAAAAAGAAAGTAGAGACTGCCGCTCTCACACAGAAGTTGGTCTTAGCGTAAGTTTTCCCGATTACCTTGAATTTGTTTTATTTAGGGTGCAGTGATATTCAAGTATAGATTCATTTTGACCTTTCATCTTGTGGCAGACAGGAATATGTGCAGTTTTGCTTGAGCTTAAGCCGGTTGCAATTTACATTTTGTGTTGTTGACATATGTCATTCTTTTTATTGGAGCACTCCTGGGAATATTTTAAAAACGTTTTGAGTTTACGAACTTCTGTTAATTACTAACGCGTCGTATGAATTTAGGAGTAGCAGTAGATGTAGGCTGGCACAAATTGCTGACAAGGCTAACTGCAATCGCACGTAAGACCTAATTATAGTGTTCCGTCTCCAAATTTCAAATTTCAGCAGCTTTTTCCTGTTTGTACAGGCCGACTACCAAGATTTCTCAAGATGATACAAGTTTTATTGGAAAAATGAAAAAATCTGTGAGTAAATATGCCATGATAGTGCTGTGTTGTGTTACTATAAATATTAATTTACTGTTGTGGAAATATGTATTAAATTCTGCTTGCTTTCTAGGGAAAATCATTAGCAATCTTCTATGGTTCGCAAACTGGGACAGCAGAAGAGTTTGCCGGCCGCTTATCAAAAGATGCTCAACGTTATGGATTAAAAGCTCTTGTCTTGGACCCTGAAGAATGTGACATAGTAAGTTTAAAATAATATTTGAGAAACACGTTTTGGTGAGCTAACATTTTTACAGAGCCACTTACTCCAATGATCTGATCGTTTATTCTCCCTGAACATTTCCTTGTAAATTAGTTACAAGAATATTTGGGTTAGATGGAGATAACAACTTCTACCTGATAAGTTTGAGTATTCTCATAACCTGTTTGCTGGATAATGTGTGGATATTATAGGGAGAAGTTACATGTAAATCACTTCCGGAATTTAAAGAGTAAAGAAATTCACCCTTCCTGATATTTTCAATGATAAGTTCATTTTAAATGATAAGTTCATTTTAAATGAATATGTTTGTTTTTATAGGAGGAACTTGCACGCATGGGAGAAATAGAGAATTCAATGGCGATATTTGTTATGGCTACATATGGTGAAGGAGATCCTACAGATAATGCTCAGGAGTTCTATGAATGGTTACAGAATGACAGGGATGACCTGGATTGCCTTAGTTATGCAGTAAGCATCTGAAGGAGAACAATAATTGTCAAACACAATTGATAAGGATACCATGGGAACTATAGAATGTGACCATGATTAGAGGGTGTACATTTCAGGCTGTGTGTATTACAGTTGAACCTCGATTATCTGGACTTTTCCTCTGGCCCTAATTTTGTTATGAATATTTATTGGTCATGATCAAGATTCGTAGCCATATTCTTTTTAAAACTACAGTGTTGAAAAGTGAAGTAAAGGGAAGTTTGTTTTGCTTTCAAAAATAAAAAGCAGCCCTCGGTTTGATTGGCTTAGAGTTTCTTTGTTGTTAAGTGAGATTTCAAGCTCTATTAGCTCGTTTGGTATGTTATGCAAGATAAACAAGCTACACAGCATCACAAATGTTTGTTCCTCACAAATATTCGTATTCTTGATTATCGGGTCACTTGATTATCAGGACTATTTGGTCCAGTCCCAATGAGAGCAGATAATGAGGTTCGACTGTATGCACCTGTTGATGGTTTGCCTCGGGATGAGGAGGGGGAGGGGAATTGACATTTTCAAGTTTTCAAAATCAATTTTCTTACTCATAGGTATCCATTATATATTGAAATTCCATTCCCAGGGTCCAAAGAGATTGTATACCAATTTCAATAAACAAATTTTGTAGGGTAACTTCTAAGATGGCAAGTGACTTCGATTTCCAGTTTCACCCAGCCTTTCAAGATGGCAGCCAGGTCAAATTCCTGACCCTGAGGTGGTACATAAATACCAAAATTCCTACTCAGGGGGCCCTCTTGGTCAATTTCCTGTGGGTGGCCAATCTCCCCTCCCCCTCATATCTTGGCGCAAACCACTGATAGTTGCATTGATCAAGCTAATTATATAAAAAAAACTGAAATAATGTATAAAATGAAAAGAGCAGACCTGCATGTTTTTGTTGGAAATGGGAGGATGGTTGATTTTTAGAGAAAAATCTCTCAGATTCCTCGTCAAGTCAAGGAACACTTAACAAATGGATTTTAAGAATGAATAAAAAGATGGGAGAGATTTTCTAGGTTAAGGAAAAGTTCTGCTAGTTAACTGTTACAAGTGGTTTTATTAGTTCATTAATCTAGCTAGTCTGTTCCTAATTATTTTTCTGAATATTAGGTCTTTGGCCTTGGTAATAAAACCTATGAACATTACAATGCAATGGGGAGATTTGTGGACAAACGGCTGGAAGAGATGGGGGCTGTAAGAGTATTTGAGAAGGGAGAGGGAGATGATGATGGAAAGTAAGTTCAAAAGAGAGCAGAAAGTTATCCTTGCATACAAATTTATACATGGGGGGTGCTAGTAAACTAGTTACTACCAATTTTATTCTGTTCTAGAACAAAAATAACAAATCGTCAGGCTCTGAGGCCTTTTGTCCCTTAGGTTAGCTAATAATGTTTTTATTTTTTTCATATTTTCTAAGTTTGGAAGAAGACTTTGTACGATGGAGAGAAGCATTCTGGCCTGCAGTTTTAAGCAAATATAACATTGATGTCAGAGAAATCAAGAGGTACATTTCTACTAGAACAAATTTGTTTGTTATGTCTGTAATATTATACTTTTTTTTGTTTTTTGAGATTTTTTTTTTTGGGTGACGCTTTTCAGTGTGAGGGTTATGAGATGTGCTCTCTGGTAGCAGTTGCACCTCATTGCCCAAGATGACTCATGACTCTGGGGGTAACCTTTTGATCCTTTGAAAAATCGAAAAACTGTCAAATATGTCTTAGGTGCCAAGTACCACAAAATCGTCAAACTCCAGATATCTTTAATTGGGAGATGTTTGATTCAGCAGAAACAGCCCTGACCCCAAACCCCCTCTTAAAAATGGGAAAACGATATACTTTATCTGACATAACTTATGTGTGTAATTTATATTTTTCAGGAGACTATCTTCTTGCATTGATCGACAATTCAGACTTGAAGTTCTTAAGGATTTTCCAGAGGACAAAATTTATACTGGAGAAATGAATAAACTGAAATCGTACATCACTCAAAGACCGTAAGTGCAGACAGGAAATTGGTCATAATTTTGTTGCAGTCTGTTCTTAAATGATGAGCTTGATGTTAGAGTTTATGGCTCAAAGCTTATGGATAATCTGTTCTTGTTTTCAGGCCCTTTGATGCTAAGAACCCATTCATGGCTAAGGTTCTAGTGAATCGGGAACTGCACAAAGCTGGTGAACGATCCTGTATGCACATTGAACTTGATATCACTGGCTCCAAGATCAAGTATGTTTTCTATCATAAACCTGTACATGCATTTTTTAAGATATGTGTTCCCCTTTTTGCTCTTATACATGAAAGCCTATTGTTATAAATGACTATTAGTTGCTATGGGATAAAGCAAAGGTATTCCTTCCAAACCCATATTGGCAGATCAATGAAGCCAACAGTCAGTATTAGGGTTAGAGTGGTCAGAAAGAGGCCATGAATGTGCAAACTCCTTCATAGAATGTGTTGCTCTCTTGCTCTCCTTGGCATGTTCTTAATTAGAATGTGTTATTCAACCAAGGTATGATGCGGGAGACCATGTTGCTGTTTATCCCATGAATGATCCAGAACTTGTGGAGAAACTAGGAAACCTCTTGAATGTGGATCTTGACGCAGTGGTTTCACTGAACAATACAGATGGTGAGAAGTTAATGAATATACAACTACTGAAATTCTATCAAAACTCCTTGTCACCTTTGCTTTCTTTGGTTCCCAGCATTGATCAACACAATTGAATTCAGTCAAAAGTTTGTTTTCCATAATAAAAAGTGACACTACTGCTTTAGTAGTACTTTTCAGTAATCCTTTGTACCCTAACATCAGAATGGATATTCTCCTTAATGTTCTCCATACATTCTTGAGGTGCTGACAAGGAGAATTTGTTTGACATTTGTGAACATTTCCTTTGTTCTTGTGACCCTAATGTGTGAATCAGGGGTGATATTGTAAGGAGAAATTAGATGCTAGTCTTTGTTAAGGGTCAAGGGATGATCTTTGTGGCTCATGCGATCAAGCAAAGTACAGGGCGTGAAATTAATTTTTTTTTTCTGAAAGCCACTTGGCTCCTAAATTCTTCAAAGTGGTAGCCAATTCGAAAAAAGTTAGTCGCCACTTCCAAAGACAAACAAGACCTTTTTTACGCTGTCAGCGTTCTAGATAGACCCTCCAAAATTAAGTTAAGGAAAAGATCTTTCACGTGCTACAAGTGGACACTAGGATGGATGGTATACAACGTTCAAGCTCACATTAATCCAAGATGGCGTCTAGTTATCGATCGAGATGCATGTGCTGCGTTTTGGAAACCAACTTAACGAGGAAGTTTGCCGCGGATTTATCTTTGCAAATCTTTTTAATTCACTATATCTCTTGGTAAAGTTATGATGAAACATTCTAGTCGCCAATTTGGCGGCTAATTTTCAGGATTTGGCAGTCAAAGTGGAAAAATTTAGTCGCATTGGCGCCTGTATTGGGCGTATTTCACGCCCTGAAGTAGGATTGAAAGTTAACTCCCGTAGTTTTTCTAGAAAGATAAAAATACTTTGATGAAGCAAAATTGTTGACTAAAACTCTCCTAGTGCTAAAATTGTTTTTTATTTATTCAAAGTGTTGCAGTGCTGGTAAATTTTATTTTTTATTCTCTATATCAAGTTTAAAGTTACATGTCTCGAGAATTCTCCCCTCTAGCTGCGATATGTTCCCTTGTAAATTAGTTACATGAATTTGTTGTTAGGTCAAGAAAATAACTTTTACCTGATAAGTTTGAGTATTCCTATTACCTGTGTGATGGATATTGTAAGATATATCAAAGGGAGAACTAAGATGTTAATCACTTCTTGGAGTTAAAGGATGAAGACACATGCCCTTGACTAACTAAGCAAATATCTTTGCCCATTCTAAAGATAAGTTATCATGTACTCATAGGCATGCTAAGAACTTGTCAGAAAGATTAATGACTGAGCGCTCTTCCTTCAACCAACATATCTGATACTTGTAGTATCAGAGGGAGAACATTGAGGCCAACATCTTCATGGATCGTTTTTAGGCAGGAAAGTCTTATGATATCATAGCCTTTGAGATTTAATTTCAAGGGTTACGAATCATTGGATTATCAGCCTTAAGACACTGGGAAAGAGAATCATTTAAATAGTCTATTGTGGTCTAAGATTATCTTATACCCCTGCTGGTATATCTTTACAAGCACAAATATTTTGACAGACATCTTTATGTGCAGTTGTGGGTTGTAAGATGCAGCAATGTCATATCCTTTAAATTGATTTGAAGGCATATGAAATTGCTGCGTCTTACAGTCCTCTCTAAAATTGCAATTTTGTTACTTCTTGCTTGTTTGATATTATTTGTTTGCATTTATGACACCCCTGCTAGTATATCTTTACGAGCCCAACTATTTTGAAGGATCTTTATGTGCAGTTGTGGGTTGTGAGATGCAGCAATGTCGTATCCTTTTAATTTATTTAAAGGCATACGAAATTGCTTCGCTTTACAACCCTCTCTAAAATCTCAATTTTGTGACTTCTTGCTGGTTTGATATTACTTGTTTGAATTTATGAGCAAAAAACTTCCGAGATTTCCTCCCCCTTTCCTTGATACTACTTGCAGCCTCCCTGTCAAATCCTCATTGCAGATAGCAAATGGATGGAGTATTGTAACAGATGGATTCCATGTTGCTGTGCATCTGTTCAGTAATAGATCTCAGATGATGTCAAATTGCATTAAGAACAAAAGAGTGGCATGTGAAGCACAGCTGAGTGTGTCACTGGTGTTATTACCACATTTTCACATTTTCTGTCATCTGTTATGGTACAGACCCATGGCAAAATGGAATCTACTCATTTTCCATGATAAAAAAGCAAGATGTTGTGGACCCTTTTTAACTCCCAAGATCTTATTAGTAATTCTCCTTATTGTCAGCCATATAGTTCTTGTGATGTTTTTGTGGAGAATTTGGTATTGGATTAACTAAGAATCCCCTATTTGTAATTAATATTTTTCTTTATTCTCATTACTTGTCTGCTTGATATTGTTTTGATTTTGTGAGGAGAAATTCTGTCTTGGTCACCCATGGGAGTTAAAGGGTTAATGGTAATGTCATATATAGGTTATGGTAACATTATTTATACAAACAATAACCTTGCTGTAATTGTTTATGTTTCAGAGGACTCACCTAGGAAACATCCTTTTTCTTGCCCCACAACATATTTCACTGCACTGCTGCACATCATCTATAGGTTAATGGTAATGTCATTTACACTCAATAAACTTGCTGTGATTCTTATGTTTTCAGAGGACTCACCTAAGAAACATCCTTTTCCTTGCCCCACAACATATCGCACTGCCTTGCTGCACTATGTAGACATTGCCAGTGTAGTAAAGACTCACGTGTTGAGAGAACTAGCAGAATATGCCAAGGATTTTGAGCACAAGGAGTTCCTCATGAACATTACTGATACAACAGAGGAGGCAAAGGTAGTTTTTCTTTTTTTCACACCTTTGAATGAATTGTAATCATCCCTTGATTACACCTTATACAAATTCTCCATGCTGTTCTTTTTACAAAGGGAATTTGTTTAACAGTCAAGATCTTTTGTTGTTGGTGATCATTTTGTTTATTCTTGTGACCTTAATGTGTGATTCAGGGGTGATATTGTAAGGAGAAATTAGATGCTAGTCACTCTTAGGGCCAAAGAGTTACAAGGTTGTAAGGATTACTCATTCATTATTTGACTGAGGTGTATCCTACACCTCCATTCATACAATAAAAAATGTTTTGGTGTTTGACTGGGAAATGTTAAACCTACTTGCATTCATTCAGCCTTTACTTATAGTGAATAAAGCTAAATAGAAATAGTTGATTGCTTGCAAAGGTTGAAAAGGTATTTGTAAAATTTTTATTTCTCAATAGAAACAATATCAAGATTGGGTTCTTACTCCACACCGGCATGTTGTAGCTGTCTTAGAAGATCTTTCCTCTCTCAAGCCACCTCTTGATCACTTGTTGGAGCTTTTACCTCGATTGCAGTGCCGTTACTACTCGATATCATCATCACCAAAGGTAAAATAGCAAACATTTGCATTTGAAGTACTTATCATTAGTAGAGATTGTCTCTATTAAGTTGGTGAGCGTAATAGTATTTGCATTATGTTAACATACAATTTTCATTGTATTGATGTTAAAGTTACATGTATGTTTATGGGGGGGAAGGGGTGGGTGAAAGAGAATTGTAGTCATTTCGCACCTACCTTACATAACATGGCTTGGGCATGTACTTTCTGATATGTACCTTTTAAAAAAGTAATGCTTGCCAAATTGTATATAGTAGACATTTTTTTCAAGAATAACTTGCTATTGCAATTGAGGACTTGAGCTAACCTGCAAAGTTTGCATGTTAATTTTCTTGTAGATGTATCCCACCTCAATTCACATCACTGCTGTACTTGTAAGGTGGAACACATCCACTGGTCGAGTACAGAAAGGTGTTGCTACTAACTGGCTTGCCACCAAGAAGCCTCAGGGTAATGTAAAATAAACCATATTATTATTTAATGGATTAAAGTCTAGTTGTGAGAAACACTGAAAAGGTGTAGGGTTGAAAAGAGTGTAAAAGTGCTCAAGCACTCTAACGTGGTTGGTTATACTACCTTAGTGACTATCTTACCAAGTGTCAAAAGTCCATTATCAAGATCATCACAATTCCTTTAGTTATTGACAGAATTTTTTCTTCTAAGCCTTGGATACTTCAAACGTTTTTCTAAACTAACTGATTTCCAGAACATGCCAAAAGTTAAAACCTTTCAAAAACATTATTGTTGGAAAATTTCTGAGAAACATCTCTCTCCCCAAATCTGATACCATTTACTCTATGCTTACAAACAAAATTGTTATTTTGTTGCAGACCTGGAAAATGTTTGTGTACCTATCTTTGTTCGTAAAACACAGTTTCGTCTACCATTCAAATCAGTGACCCCTGTTGTCATGGTGGGCCCTGGAACTGGCTTTGCTCCTTTCAGAGGATTTATACAGGATAGGCATGTCCAGAAACAGAATGGTCAGTAACTTGTTGCTCTATGCTGGAAAGGAACGTTTAGTTGGAAGAAAGATTAACCCTTTACACCCTAACATCAGTATGCATATTCTCCATACTGTTCTCTATACATTTCTTAAGGTGCTGACAAGGAGAATCTGTTTAACAATCAAGAGCTTCCTTAGTTGGTGATCATTTTCTTTATTCTTGTGACCTTAATGAGTGATTCAGGGGTGATACAGCAAGGAGAAATTAGATGCTTATCACTCTCAGGGTATATAGGGTTAATGAACACCTACTATCAGGTCAGGGCTGTGGACTCTGGAGCAAGAGCTCTGGGTTCATGGGAGTGAAAGGGTTAGCCTGACCTTCTTAGACAATGGAGTAACTGTCTTCAGTTGATTATGATTTTGTTATGCATAGACTGTTAGTTTTCAGTTGGTTAGAAACAATCAACTTAATGCTCCCAGACATAGAGATTATATAATTTTGTTTGTCTAGTGAGTTGCATCAGTCTTCGTGATGTGATATACAGCTGTATTTGCTACACTCTGTCATGACAACTGCAAGGTTAAAATCCATCTTTAACAGTTGCTTAATGGTTTATCGTGGGAACTATCACCAAAAACAATTCAACTGATCATATTGAATGATTAGCCCTTTCACTCCCAAGATCTGATTGTTTATTTTCCTCTCCAGCTGCTACAAATATCCTTGTAAATTAGTTACAAGAATTTGATGTTGGACCAAGATAAATTATTTTTGATTAGTTTGAGAATTCTCATTATCTGTTTGCTGCATAATGTATAGATATTATGGGAAGAAGTTACATGTTAATAACTTAAAATTGGAAGTTTAGGGGTTAATTAGATATGTCTGTCTTAAGACTATGTTAACTGAGGAAGTGGCAACCTTTTTTCTTCAGGAAAACAAATTGGTGACATGGAGTTGTTCTTTGGCTGCCGCAAAAAAAGTGAAGACTACATCTATGAGGATGAGCTGTCATCATATACACAAGATGGTACCATTTCAAAATTGCATGTGGCTTTTTCCAGAGATCAGGTAATTTCTTATTATGGTGCTGTCTATTGTCTTATGTCGATTAGGCTAATTTACCTTACACAAACTCATTAGAGGTATTTAAACTGCTACATCACAACGTCAGTATACATAATTATTCTCCATACTCTTCTCTATACATTTGCTAAGGTGCTGATAAGGAGAATTTGTTTTGTAAGCAGAGCCTCTTTAGTTGGTGATCATTTCCTTTATTCTTGTGACGTGATTGTTTGATTCAAGGGTGATATTGTGAGGAGAAATTAGATGCTAGTCACTCTTACGGGTCAAAAGGTCAAAGAACAAGACTGGTTGCTTATCCTCATATGCTGAGTGCGGCTAAAGAGAGCAGCTTGGTGTAATGTTTTTTTCATTTTGTTTTTATGTTATATTTACAGGAGAAGAAGGTCTATGTTACCAATCAAATGACAGAGAATAAGGAGAATATTTGGAACATATTAAATAGTGGAGGCCACATCTATGTTTGTGGGTAAGGAACTTTTATTTGAGTTCGAGAAAAAGCAAATCAACTCAAAATGAAAAATCAGCAAATCAAAGTACTGTAATTCTAAGAAGTTGGACCTGATGTCAAAGCTTTTTTTATATAAATAGACCACACAAATTTGGGAATCAGTTGGAGTTGGGTACAATTTTGAAAACAAAATGATTTTCCTCTTTAAAGCAACAAACTATGAATAACTGATGACAAGAGAAGATTTGATAAAAACTACCAAAGACAATCCATGGTAACTTTTCTCAGCTCAAGCTTGCATTGGTGAAATTACACTTACAAAGATTGGCCAATGAAAGGAGCATTTTAGGGTGTTATTTCAAATTATATGTATAGTAATTTACAGATCTCTATTATTTGTTATTAGTTATTATTAGTATTTATATATTTCTATTATTATAAGTTATTACACAGGAATTTTGATTGGTTCTTACTCATGATCTATGGGAGGACAGATGCATAGATAATCTCACCATTAAAAACAATTTTCTTTTTTCATCATATGAAACAAATAGAGTCAATGTTGCAGTGGCTCTGTTCAGTAATTTATCACACAAGACATCAATATTTAGTGAGAATGTCAATGACACATTTAGCTCTGTATGGTGTGCTACCCTTCTGTTCTTGCCACATTTTGATGTCATATTTGACCTATAAAACAGACAACACGCTATCTATTTTTTTCATTAAAGAAGGGTTTGTTGAGTTAGTTTGATTTTATGGTATAAGAGTAATGCATTAGACACACCAAGATGTAAGTAATTTGGGAAAAAATAGGAAGTACATGATCAACAGTTTAACTATTCGACTTCTTTATTTTAGTGATGCTCGAAACATGGCACGTGATGTGCACAACATACTGCTGACAATCATCAAGGAAAATGGTAGCATGTCTGAAAATGAGGCAGCTGATTATGTAAAGAAACTCAGTGCAAAGGGAAGATACTCGGTCGATGTTTGGAGCTAAATTGTAGATAACCAGCCATTCCTATTGCAACATGGAATGTATGACTATTTTTTCAACACAGAAGGATAAACATCATACGTGCTTCTTTTTTTTTGTTTTGTTTTTTTTTTTAAATATAGTTTGTTATGTAGATTTGAAACGATTAGGAAATTGTTTTGAGGAATTTTATTTACGTTCCAAGAGCACTCTCTAAGTATGTTAGCCCTTCAAGAGTGACCAGCATTCAGTCTCTCCTTGCAATGTCATCCCTAAATTCAATGTGAAGGTCATAAGAATGAGGAAATGATCACCAAGTGAAAAAGCTTGTGATTGTTGAACACGTTCTCCTTGCTAGGCCCTTAGGAAATGTATAGGGAACTGTATGGAGAATATGCATACTGATGTTAGTGTGTGAAGGGTTAAGCCAAATTATTCTTTAGTTAATTTAGATATGAGGCACATAGACTTTGCACATACTTTTCAAAAATATATGAAATAAATAATATTTAAACCAGGTCCTGTGGATGATGTGTGACAAATTGATCTTACTCAAAGGTAAACTTCAATGAAAGAAATTATTGCTGTAAAAAGGAACTCAGGCTTTGCTGGGGCCAGAATTTGTGTAAGGCAGAATTTCCTTTTTGCAGTTTACCTGGTAGAATTGCAAAAGCTCATTTTAAAGAAATCTAAAGATCTTGATTCTTTTTCAAAAGTCAAAATTCAGAAGTCAAAATTTCACGTCCAATTGAAATCTTGAGAAAACAATTCTCTTTTCTTAGAGCAAGAGGTGTTAACCCTCCTCTGAAGTATTTTTTACAAAAGAATTAGTCAGTTGCCTCTATTTATAAGTAGATGTTAGGACATATGTATGCTGGAAAGGACACATTTTTTTGCAGTTTGAAGGGCAGGAAAGTTCAAAGATATACAAATCAGAGCATGACTGTAGTTGAAGCATGTTTCTCGGTTAAAAATTTTTAAGGTCCAACAGAACTCCGAGTGTGAAAATTTCCCTAATGAGCATATTTTAAGATGATGTTTAAACTGGCTGAATCACTCTGCTCACAACAAGTTTACATGAACTATTTAGGGGGCAATTTGTCACTTGAACTGTTGCAAAATTTCCAATTTGATGTTGAGTTAATGATTATATATATTTAATCTGTATCAAAATAATCAGTCCATGAGAGAGTGATGTAGTGAGGTAGTGATTTAGTGATACAGTTGTTAGGTAGCTAACTGAATAAACTGCATTCTCAGAAATTAGGGGATGAAGTCCCTTTGAACAAGAAAATTCCAAACTCTTACTTGTACAACAGACCCAAAATTGCTCTTTGTACTTGCCCAAAACACCAGTGAATCAACACCCAGTTTGGCTACATTTATCCCTTTTAATCCCAAGATCTCAATTAGAAATTCTCCCTTCAAGTCTGATATACATTTTCCATGATTTTATTTCAGAGAATTTGGCATCAGATCAAAAAGTAATCCCCTAGTTGATATTTCACTTCATTCTCATCACTTATGTGTGTGATATAGCATTGAAATTGTAGGGAGAAATTATGTCTTGATCACTAGGTGATGGGAAAGGGTCAACTCCTAAGCAACATCATCTTGTAAATAAATTGTGATGTACAAAACAATAAAAATAATGACCCATTTTATTTGTAGATCTTAGCAATACTTCAAAACTAAAAGACAAATTTCTAAATTTTTCATGCATTCCAATAGATATCTGTCAATGGAAGATTATGACAGGAAGGTACTAAAATATAAATATATTTTGCTTATAGTTCCACATGATCTTGTTTTGGGCCACTAAATTCTTCATGGGAAATAACACCATCTTTATCCTTGTCTTCATGCTCAAATATTTCTGATACGATGGTTTCACGATGGGTATCATCATCATTTGGATATCCATCCTGTTCCTCTAGATACTTTTTTACTTCTTCTATGCTAAGTTCCTTGTTTTTATCTTTGTCAATCATGCTAAACACATTTGGGTAAGCCTCTGACTCTTTTTCTCCATCATTTTTTATTTCCTTTAGTTCAACATCGAAAAGCAGATTAGCCCCTGGAGGGATCACATCATCAACTCCTTCATTTCCATAGCCTGTGCAAAATTAAATATATTTAAATCAGTACATAAATCACATCTATGCCAGTTTGAATGATTAACAGGGTAATTTCTCTGATATGCGATGAACCCCTCCAGGTTCAATTTAGCTGGGTTCTACCAAACAGTTGGATGCAAAAAGTTGCAACTTTCAACCCCTCTAAACTTGAACAAAGCAAAAAGTAGCAGAATATTCTTCTGTTTGATGACAAAAGCTCCCCCCCTCCACATCATATCAATTCTCCCCACTAATACATTCAAATAAATTGCAGAGATGGGAGAATTACTCATAAGATCATGGAATGCGTGATACACAAAAGGACAGTAACAATGATGTCTCTGTAGCTTATGTGACTCGGTCGAAATATGATCTGATAACTTGAAGAAATACACGTGGAAACTTCTAGAAATCTGCTTTATTCTGATAATATCTGTTGATTGCTGTTTTCAAAATTTGTATTGAATGCTGGAAAGTAGATTGGTAATGGCTCTGTGCTCAGTCATCCCTATCTTGACAAATGTTTACAAAGATCGTTGAAGATGGTAGCGTATTTAAAAGCACTCGTGGACGTTTGCATAATTTATAACAAAGGCAGCTTTGTGCGTCCTAGATTTTTTTGAAATTTCTGTTAAGATATGTCATTCTAAGCACTGGAACATAATGCTGACAGGGATGTTTCCATAAAATCTTCCTTCTGATAAATTGCCAAGTTCTTTCGATATTTATGATCGGACATTATTTGCTAAATACCTATAGCGGTGGATACCAATCGCGTAAAAACTTACCCAGGTATGATGGAACCCTAAGTTTTCTTTTCTCCCCAACACACATATCCTGCAGTCCTTTCTCCCAGCCTTGGATTACCTGGCCTCTTCCCAAGATGAAATCAAAGGTTCGTTGGCGTTTGTGGCTGGAGTCAAACACTGACCCATCTTTCTCAAGGCGGCCTGTGTATTCCATCGCAAGATAGTCACCATCCTTTGTTTTACGCGTGCATTCCTCTGGTTTGTATACGACTTCGATTGTCACTCCGTTCTCTTCCCCACTGCACAGTGTGGAAACAAAAGCAAGCAACACCAGCAGGTTAATCCACTCCGTGAACCACATCATGAGGAAGTACTGATCGACACTACCGCAAATGATTCGAAATTATTGTTCAACTTTGATTTTTATATGCTTCGGTCCCAGTTTCCCTAGTCATGACTTGGCCGGGTACATGGCCCCGGGATCAAACCTAACTATTTTAAGCGGGTGGATGTTTAAAATTAAGGCACCGCTGTGGTAGTCAGCGTTAGACGGGAGTATACTCAATTGGAGAACCTGTACAAAATTCCAGACGCGGGAATTTTTCCCCTTATGTGCATTTATCTTTAAGTACGTTCGATTTTGCTTCCTGCAATTCCGTGGTACCTGTCATAATTTCCCACCTCAAAGGAGGCAATTTTTGAAAACAAAAACAAGGTAAACGATAACAACAATGCAGTTGTCGAAGGCGGTATCGCTGTCACCAATAAGATTCAGTGGCGTATGTAGCTCGCACCAATCAGATTGCGCCAGGTATGCTGATGGCACCAATATGTAACGTCGGGTATGCTGCTTGTTCCAATCAAATTTCTCAGGGTATGTTGCTTTCACCAATCAGATTCCGCTGGGATATGCTCCTGACACCAATCATATCGCGCCGTGTATGCCACTCGCACCAATTAGATTGCGCTAGGTATGCTACTGGAACCAATCAGGTTGCGCCGTGTATGCTGCTCGCACCAATTAGATTGCGCAGGGTATGCTGTTAGTACCAATCAGATTGCTCCGGGTATGCTACTCGCAAGATCAAACTGCGCAGATATTCTGCTCGCACCAATCAGGTTGCGCTGTGTATGCTGCTCACACCAATCAGGTTGTGCAGGGTATGCTGTTAGTACCGATTAGATTGCGCCGGGCAAGTTACTCGTACCAATCAGATTGCTCCGGGTATGCTACTCGCACCGATCAAACTGCGCAGATATTCTGCTCGCACCAATAAGATTACGTAGTGTATGTTGCTCGCACTTGTCACATGCGCCGGATATGTAGCCCGTATCAATCAGATTGCACCGGGTAAGTTGCTCGCACCGATCAGATTACAACAAAAAATTATGTCGCTCTCAGCATTGGGGCCTGTTGTAATTTGTAAAGTATAAAACAAATTGCTGCCAACGTTCGAAGATAACTTTTGTCTCCCGAGTATTAAATTGAAATGCAGTGATACCTGTTGGGTGACAACGCTACTTCACGATTAATGGCAGGGTTATTTATTTAGCCTTGTTGTTGCCCATTTTGGAGAAGGTTGAAAAAATCAGTAAGGTAATATTTACTTTCCGCATCAGCGGCCGCATTAAATACCCGTCTCTTTGCTTTTGGAAGTTTAAACAGTATTTTTCCAAAGTTGGTCACTCTAAATTAGGCTTTTCGCTAAAAGTGATCAATTTACAGCAAACGACCTAACCTTAACAGCATAATCTAGCCCTACTGAAAAAAATTCACATGGCCCAAAATGCTATTGTCAGTTTTCAACTCAATCCTCACGCGCTTTGACGTTTCCTACAATCAAATTAGCTTTTAGCGATCTTGGAAATTACTCCATCACGCGTCAATTCCTTATAAACAACCTGAATTTTATTACGTATTCCCTACGCAGAGGGCAAAGTCTAGAAAGACAACAACCAATCATAAAGCCCACGTGGTTATTCCATGTAAAAGCCTTTGAGATATGATACTTTGCCATTCTTTGAAAGAACGGTGGAAGGCGTGGCACATTTGCAGGTTGTTTCTATCATGGTTCTACAAATAACAGAGTCGATAGGCCACGCAATACCTTCTGTCCGAGGTTATTTTCAAATAAATTTGGAGAAATTTTCTCCCTCTTTTATTGTGAAGTAACGTGATTTTTGTTTTCTTTGGAATACTTTGAAAGCCAAAGCCCTTTTTCTTTTCCAAAAATGAAAACATCCGTTAAACAGTAGGCCATTCCAACTCACCCATCCCAAAAAGGTTACAGGATCAATGTCAGTATCTGATCAACTGCGCACCTACTCCTCCCCCAACCAGTTCGCTGTTGTTGGGTTAGGGGAGGGGTAGGTGCTCAGTTGCAAATTACTCTTGCATATGTAGCATGCCTATGTTACATTTAAAGTATTTAAGATTTAGAAGATATGGATTTCACGCGTTGAAAAACACAAAAGTATAGTAACATCTGTTATCATCCTTCAAAGACCTTTGCCGCTTCCGATTTCATTCTCTATTTTCCATTTCCCGATTTCAAGTGATAATAGAACTTTCTGATAATAGGGTAAACAATTTTATTTAGTCACAAATAACACACAGTCAAACGATTTCCACGATGCTTGGAAATCTTCGAGGAAGATAAAATACTTTTTTACATTTTTACAGTACGTGATATTATTTTTTTTTCATGAAGATTTACATGGAATGCTTAACGACATGGGCCGCTTCCACCACAGTAGGGCCTGATCTTTTGATGCGGGGGTCAGTTACCGGTATGGCCAGCCTGTAAAAGAGAGCGGATTACTGCAATTTCAATGCTTTGTTAGAAATAGCCTGGAAATTTATTGGTTTTCCTCTGCCCTATGATTGGTCGAAGAAAATCGTACCACCCGTTCAACCGATCAGATGCAAAACTAAATCCAGCCGCGACTCATACCAGAGTTCTCATTGGCCGCTTGCCATATTTTCCTATCTCGTGATTGACCCTTGGGATTTCTTTGGCCTAAGTCGAAAACATTCATCCAAAATACGTTTTCTTCCGTTTACTTTGGTATGATTTAATGCCACCCACACAAAAAAACAAAAACATACCTGACGTTGGTTTTGCTATTGACAATAAAAAGCGGGTTGTATTGACTAAGTATCTCGTCGTTCACGGAAATTCCTGAAAATGAAGACAAAACGCCCATATCAATACACGGTCCATGATCTATATATGTGAAAATAGGAATAGATTTCTAACTCTGTAAACTAGGTCCCTGAATAAAATATCAAGAGTTTACTCTCAATATTTGTACAAGATAGGATTGCGTGAGAACCAGCGTGCTCTCGACAACTTAGCATGTTGATACTTCTGGATCAAACGCAAAATTAGAGCTTTTTCAAAGACAAACACTCACCATCTAAGTACTGTTTGAGGACAGCCCTGAGTTGCTGATTTTCTTGGAGAAGGGTGTGCTTCTCTTTATCAAGAGCTAACTTATCAAGTAAAACCTAAAAATAACATGACTGATGATAAGTAACTGATACTGCAACAAATTCAACCTCTAATTTCAAACATTAGTACAATTTTCATTTGTATCCAAAATAATCTGAGATTGCATTGGTTGTAATTTTCTCAGCAGTTCCTGAAAATTCGCGCTATCTTCAACCAATCAGAAACAAAACTTCACCAATCCCGACTCGGTGTGCCGCGTTGTCCTGCGCTTCAAAGAAATTTTCAACTGAGTGTCAAAGGCAATCCGACATTGCATTGAGTTTGCTTTTCTTCGCTCTGACCAGGTTCGTAAAATTGCGCCCGGGGCTTGCGTCACTAACTCCGCCAATGAGATTCAAAACTAAGATTAATCAAGACCTGGTCGCCCGCGTTTTTGTTTTAACTTTGAGTTCTGATTGGCTCTTTAAGGTATCTTCCTTTCTTCTGATTGGTTGTCGTTATTACTTTGGTTTTGGTTTAACGACACGTAATCGAAAAGCACTTCATTATTCTCTCTTACTATGATTCACTATGGGAATTGCTTTCGTATTGGTTCACCGACACCTTATAAAAAAGCACTCTAGGTACTGCTTGGCTTTTGATTCCAGCCTAGGGCCCTTTTTGGGCTGATCAATTTCTTACCTTGTTGTACCTCTTCCAAAAGTTCTCTAATGCAGAATACTCATGTAGAATCTGATAAAGAATCATTCAATATAGTTAGCACTTAAACAGAAGAGAGCCACTCATTTTAATTTTGCCGTTATTAAATGGGCACCGTCCAAATGCGATAAAACAACCGTGACACAATCCCCAGTGGCTCACGTGCCTCCGTTTTGTTCTCACCACGTTTTGACATAATCTAATATCTTGGACTGAAAAACACACGATAAATGTGAATCTAGTTATTAATAAGTAATCTAGATTTACATTGGTTTTGCTACACTCTGCTCTGTGATAGGTCTAAAAAAACTCGCGCGACCCTCTCAATCAATCAGACGCAAAATTAAAAAAAAAACCATCACGACTTGGTCACCCACGTTTTCCCGCGTTTGAGGAAGTGTGCCTGTATTTACGTTTGAGTTTGTTCTTCTGATTGGCCATTCTACAAGCCTAACTTTTTTTTTAAACAACAATTGATCAATGGGACAGATGAACGTTCAAACTGCGTATTTTGTTACCTCGGCAAGTGGTTCAGAGGGTGCTTCCTGCATAGCAGCGGCCACGTCATCTTCCTCTTCAGGTAACAGTGACGACACATAGAAAGGCAACACCTTCTCGGCCTCTGTTTCCAGTTTCCGGCACATTTCAGCCAGCTTTAGGATAAATTCACCCTAGAAACGTGAAGGGGACTTTAATGTGTATTCTAAACAGTTAAATTTAAGACTCATCGGGTATTCGCCAGTTTTAATTAAATTTATACTACAAAAAGAAAGATGGCGAAGGAAAGAAAGACGCTGTTTGTGTTGTTATGAGCTTGGGACAAGTTTCCATGAGGAGTCGAACCCAAGACTTTTAGATTCCGCGCTCCGATACTCTGTCACGGAGCTTAAGAGACGATTGAGTGACTTAAGTGATTACTAGTTTCATCTGTGACAAACATCAAGGATCACCGATATCGAAAGCATCGTATGAGCAAACAGAACTTGATATACATGGCAAATTTGGAACTTACATGAGTAAAAAAGAAATACCAACTGCCAGGATCAGCAATGTCTCAAGACCCAAAAAGGGCTCTCAACCCCCTTCCCCCCCCCCCTTATAAAAAGGTAAGATATTTACCCTTTCTTTGGTCTTTGTAAGTTCTTTTATGGCTGCATTGCTTTGAAGTGTCAGCTGGGTCAAACGTGATCTACGGGAAAAACGGAACAAATTTAGAAGAACTCAATTACCAAGCTTTTAGCCAAGCCTACATCGTGATCTGAATCTGGGTTTTTCACCCTACATTGCCTCTTTTACCCTTTGACCATTAAGAGTGATTAGCAACTTATTTCTCCTTACGATATCACCCTTGAATCAGACATCAAAGTCATGAGAATAAAGGAAATGATCACCAACTAAAAAAGATCTCGATTGATGACCAAATTCTCCTGGTCAGCACCTTAGGAAATGTATAGAGAACAGTATGGAGAATATGCATACTGATGTTAGGGTGTAAAGGGTTAAAATCAACCCATATCTAGGGCTCATATTGGTATCCCTGATGAAATTGGCCAGCTTTTGGGTGCTCATTTAAATCAAAGGTGAGTAAGCCTGAAAGAAGGGCGGCAGAAGTGTAAGTTACAATTCCTTCCTTCTGCAATTCTCAGCCAAACTGCCAATTTCATAGTTGCATTCACATTTTGATATCTTTATCTTGTGTATACTTGACTCCCTATTTATGTCAAGCACCACTTATAAATTATTATTGCACACACTGGAAAGAATACAAACCTTTCTGAATCCCTCATTTTGTTCATTTCTGCTTTGAGTTCATGGAACTGAGTAGCAACTACTTCTCTTTGCTTGGAAAAGATAAGAATTTTTACAAACTATTAATCCAAGGTTTAAATATAGATGTATAAGCTGCAAGACTTAAACCATGTTATCAAGTTGATCCTCATTGTAGAGCAGCGCAGTTTTTGAATATTTGGGCAAAAATGGAAAAAAAAGATAATTATTATCATGGTTTCAATCATGGTTTCGGTCTACAGCTGAAGTGCTCCTCTGTTTATGCAGCTACACTGACAAGTTATTCCCACAAATTAGGTAATAAAACAAGGTACCCGAGGCTCTTTTTTAGACTCACCTCTTTTATGAGTCTGTTCCTTTCATCGCATTCTTTAGCATTTGTTGCCATTTTACTTTTAAGCTGAGAAATGTTGTCCTGAAAGGCAAATGTCAGGTTTGAAGTGTATAGTTTGTGGAAATGTGCAGATATTCAAGCATGAGGCCATCAAATTTTTACGGCAAGATAATATATTATTAATCACCTGTATTCTTTGCAGTTTTCTCATTTGGGTTTCTATTTCATAAGAACTCTTCTCATCTTTAGCTTTGAGATTTTCAAAAGCCAATTTTCTCTCCTCTGTTGTTTCATTGTAATTCTTGAGTGCCTTTAAAACAAAAAAGCTCACATAAGATCTAGGTACATACAATTTTCAATAGACACAATATGTTAACATCCATGTTTTTCTTTGTTTTTGTTTTTGGTGCTAGTAAATAAGTATGCAAGGGGAAACAGAGAGTGTAAGTGCTCCAAATGGAGAGAAGCCACAGCTCTTTTAAAATTTGCTTGTTCTCTGTGATATTATTCAAGAGAAAAAACCTTTTGTGAACAGGTTACAGTCAAGAAAGTAGCAAAGAAAAACATGAACACACTTCAAACTGGTTACAAAATGGATATGACCAAGAAAGTTTTCTTTACATTTGTCAATCAATTGTACTCGAGGTAAGATGAAATAATTATAAACTTACCTGTTGAAATTGTCTCCATAAATCCTCCACTGTTCCTTCCAGTTGTATTCTCAGAGCATGTTTCTCCTCCAGGTTCTAGCAAACCAAGACCAGAATAATTATTCTACACAGCTTTTAAATCATTTCAAACAAAAGTAGCAATAGGGTATGCTTAATATTTTATATACTAATACATGTATAGTGGTATTGACCGTTCACATCAGATCAAGGTAATCTGATTTATGCATTAAATGAAAAATATGCTAAGGTATGCCAACATGCAAATAGAAGTTAATTAATAGTACATGTAATGCATTACTTTGTTTTTTATTTCATCTCTAAGACTTTGAAAATCTTGCTTAGCCTCATTTTCCAGTTCATTCCACTCTTCCTCCATTGCAAACATGATGTCCTGAATGTCATGCATCTCCCTTCTCTGTTGGCCTATGATCTTCATTCTGAAGTTAACACATTGTTTACTTAACAATAGTATGTAATAATAATGGTTGTGTGACTGAGTGGAGTCCAATTCATTCTGTAATCATACGAGTGATTAATAAAATTGGATGTCCTCTATGTGGGCATCTGATTTGTTAATCACTTTAATTAGTATGACACAAAGTACAGTTACCAATAAATCATAACCATTGCAATTTCCAAAAAAAAACAAAAACAGTTGAGGAAATATATCAGATGAAGACACTGTTGAAAGCAAAAACTCCTCCATTTTAGAAAATTCCTCAGTTTTGTAGGTTAAGTGGTTGTTGCTATGGTTATTGTAATCAATACTGTGGTTGGTGGATTAAGCTGAGTGGACCTAGTACATGTATGATTGGCTGACTTCAGGGCGTGAAATTAATTTTTTTTTTCTGATAGCCAATTGGCTCCTAAATTCTTCAAAGTGGTAGCCAATTAAAAAAAAGTTGGTCACCATTTTCAAAGACAAACAAAACCTTTTTTTACGCTGTCATCGTGCTAGAAATTGTGTTAGGGAAAAGATCTTTAACGTGCTACAAAGTGGACACTAGGATGAACGATATGCAACGTTCAAGCTCACCTAAATCTAAGATGGCATCTAGTTATCGATTGAGACGCATGTGCTGCGTTTTGGAAACAAACTTGACGAGGAAGTTTGTTGCAGATTTATCTTTGCAAATCTTTTTAATTCACTATATCGCTAAGTGAGGTTATGACGAAACATTCTAGTCGCCAATTTGGCAACTAATTTTCAGGATTTGGTCGCCAAAGTGAAAAATTTAGTCGTATTGGCGCCTGTATTAGGTGAAATTTCACGCCCTGGACTTAAATGTCAAATTAAAGGGTTTAATTACAGTCAACTATCCGATGACTCTATAGCACAATTAGTGAAAAATAAAGCAGCTAATGCACCAATCACATTTGAGGAAATTGAAATAGTTATGATTAAAACAAGTAAAAGACAGAGAATGAAATGGCTATAATAAAAATAGACTGTTAAATTGTATCTTGTGGGTCTAACAAACTTTTATCCAACCTTAAACTTGTGCTTTAAGTCTCAAAGATTTGATATACAGTCCATCTTATTTTTGGCACAACAAATCAGTTTAATTTCATGCTTTAGTTACAGTGTTGCATGCAAGTTAGGTGAAATTCTTATCAACAGTCATCATTTCTTAATTAACTCACCTTTCTGTATCAAATTCTTCTTTAAGGATCTCTTGCTCTTGATCATACTCAGATTGAGCTTCTTCTAACCTTCTCTGTTGCAAGTCTACACATGCAGAAAATTGATAACCAAATGTTAATTCAGTCTACAAATCTAAACAGGCAAATCAGTGCATTAGGCAAATCCCCCTCACAAAAGAATGTGAGCCCTTTTCAGATCAGTGGTGTCTTTAACCCAAAGCAATAGCCAATCAAAGTTGGGGGAAATATCACGAAGAGCCAATCAAAGCCTGAGGTAAAAACAAGCAAAATGCCTAATGCATGGGAAAATGCAAAATACTAAGTTATGATTGTTTTAGTTTTATATCTGATTGGTTGAGGAGTTGGCACAAATTTTCTGAACCAATCTGAGAGCAACGCACATGTTACCAAAACTAATGCAATCCTCGGTAGTAACTGGTAAAATTTACTGCCTGTAGCACCTCTTATTCCTGCAATCTCTTAAAAATTCAACAGGTAAAAGAATATTTCTCTACTCATCTGAAAATTTCTTTAACCTCTTGTGTTTAAAACACTAGTTACTTTTGAGATCTAATAGAAAATTATTCTATCAAATCTTACAGTTAAAAGATTACCTATAAGCCTATCAACATTTTGCAAGTGACTTCTGAGGGCCATCTGGTATTGTTCCTCAGCTTCTTCAATATCTTTTACTAAAGACTTGATTATTGCTTCCTTCCTATCTATCACTCGTTCAAAAGTCTGACTCAGAATCTCTATATCCTTTTTCAATTCCTGTGATTTGGCTGAAAAAGAAATGATAATATGTAGACTTAACAAAATTGTCAAAATAAAGATGATTTAAATTGTACATTCTCAAAGTGACTTTTTTTTATCTAGTATACATATACACCTGCTTAATAAAAGGAAATAACCAGTGACATCATTATAACTGATGAATAACTGTCACTTCATTAAAATGAATGGAATCTTAGTATATCGCTAGGAGCATGACGAGAATTCCCATCGATCCTACTGAGATGTTTTGCATCCTTAGTAAATATGCAACAAAATGAAATTTATGACCATATGACCAGTCCAGTCCTGCATGTTATCCAGTCTGCATAAAGCTGTCTTCTAGCTCTGCCCTTGTGGGGCTTCATTGCAAAAAAAAAAACCTAACATTGAAACAAGAAAATAAGTTGTGCTTTTCATACAATTATGAGTTTCTTAACATGTCCTATTTAAATTGCAAAAATTTGTTGAAATCTTGGATTGATATGAGTTTCTTAACATGTCCTATTTCAACAACAGTCTATTGACAAAAAAATTGTTAAAAAAATTTGTTGAAATCTTCAACAAAAAGTGGTCACATGATAAGATGCCTGTAGACTGAGTTTGTTTAGGTACAACAGGAAAATATGTCTCTTGGTCACGTACTTGGTCTGTACATTATGACCTTGAATGAAATATTTTCCTATCCATCCTTATCACTGGGTAGATAAGTACATATTAGAAATGTTCATTAGAAAGTTTTGACCCATCCTTGTTACTGTATCATTCTCACTAAATATTTTATTCCCTTAGATATCTTGATTAAGGTGTCATAATGACTGATTCATACCTTCTCTCATGATAACTCTCCATTGGTTTTGTAGTTTGTTCAGATTGAATTTTGTGCTCTTTTCTTCCTTAATCAGTTTATCCTAGCATAACAACAAAAGAAAATTCCACTATCAGACATTGTTCACAGTGTAGAACCAGTAAGGGAATATCAAACAAAGTGAACTACATGAAAATTAAATGTAGGGGGGGCTTAAGTTTCTGAGGAAACTGTGGTGCTGGATGATGGGGGGGTTTTAAGAGACAATTTAGCTTAAGAGTTTCTTAAGCTGACTTTTTTAGCATTAGAACTTTACTAGAGCAAGTAGAGGAATTGCAGGCTGTTTGTGGTTAGGGTTAGTTGATAGAAAACCAAATTATCTCTCAATTAAAAGTAAATTATTTCAATGTAGAAGTAATGGTTTTCAGGTTAGTCAAGAGTCAAAGACTGTTGTCCGTGGCAGTGACTGACATTTCCATTAAGGGGTCCTGTGAACTGATATACCAATCACAATGCAAGACTCAAAAGAACAAAGTGGAGATGAGGGGGAGGAGGAGAGGGGAGAGGGAGATGGAGAGGGAGAGGGGGGAAGCTATTTCATGAGAGGCAAGTAAACTGCTCGGAATCCTATTTATCATAAAGAGTAATATACAATTTAATTCAGTGATACACGCTCCGGAGATGAGCGAAAGCGTGAGCAAATTATGTAAACTCCACTTAAGTTTTTAAAACTTCTTCAAAATATGTATTTGAAAGATCGGTACGGTTGGCAATTTGCAAGGTTGAAATTTGCAGCATCATCCAGTCTGTCATGATTAACTTTGCGACTGCTTCAAGTCATTGCAAAATATGAGATCCTGGTAATATAACTGCCACTGAGTTTCGCGAACTTATGTAGAGGTTGAATAAAAAATACAAGGTATTGTGCGATTTACCTTCAAAAATTGTGTCAACATGTCCTCCTTTTTCTTCTTCATTTCTTCTTCTGCCAATCTTTTCTGCTCCATATATAGAAGCCTCTCTTCCTCAGTCATCTTTGCAAGTTTCTTTTTGCCTGATTTCTTTTTCTTGGGAGGCATTTTTCCTCCGGAATATGTCGAAAACAAGAAAAACGACACAAATCCTGACTCAAATGGCTGACCCCAAAAGAGTGATCATCGTTGCTTGGCGACGGGAAGGTACATCATATATGGTATCCTAGAGCATACTTAAAAATACAAAAACGAGCGCATCAGACCAATGTCTGGCAAAATAATTTTTAAAAAGTATGAATTGTACCATTAAGAAGAAAAGACGAGTTGGCATTGTAGGATATGGACATATAGGTAGGATAGTTAACATATCCACTCGATTTTACCACCATTAGATCTTAACTAATGATTAAAACTTCAACTAATTTCCAAGGTACCACGAGCTCTTTTTAGTAGTTTAGGCTGGAACGTCGTACACCCACGAAATTCGAAACAACAGGCTTCAATAGAAGTGACACTAGGTCTTTCTTATACGACTCATTTTGGAGTTTTTGCTTCTCATAAAGGATATCTCATCGTCATTAGATCATGATCAGTGGTGCTTTAAAGTGCATTCTGCCTAACTGTGCAAAGAAACTGCTAAGCTATATATGCAATATAACAATACCACGTGCAAGTCCTTTGAGAACAGTGTAGTGCTTTCAATGTCGAGTAATTGATTAACAGACCTACAATTTTTTTCCATTTCTTTTTCGGTAGGAAAATATTTAGTTGAGGAAATATTAAAGAGAGACGATCTTGAGCTCAGTTTTGTTTGGAACAGAACTTCTGAAGCTCTCCGGAACAAAATAGATGATCGCTACATTCTGGAAGATTTATCGTCCTTTGCAGAAAGGTATTCTTGGTAAATTAAGTTTATATTGTTTGAAAAGAGATAATACTTAACTTATAAAAGTGAAAATACCTTTAGAGGATACCAGAATCTTGTTTTAACCCATTTACACCTAGAAGTGATTAACGTATAACTTCTCCCTCAAATATTTACACGTTATACAGCAAACAGGTAATGAGAATACTCAAACTTATCAGGTAGAAGTTGTTATCCTGATCTAACACAAAGGGGCATAGCTTCAGGCTGAAGATTTTTCATTTCAGATATTTTTGATGCTCTAGCATATTTTTTTAATCAAATACTTCTAATATTTCTACATAACATGTATCAGATCCTGATACATATTTTGATTTAAAATAACTGGTTTTTTTTTTTAAATGGTGGTTTTACAGGACTCCAGATTTGATTGTTGAGGTTGCACATCCTTCAATCACAGTAGAGTTTGGTGAATCATTCCTTGATGTTGCTGATTACATGGTATGGAACTGATCTTTTAACATTATTAAATTTTTGTCACCTCTAAATATTTATAATGTTTTGTCTTTCACTTAATGCAGCTATATTTTGATGCCCTACCCTGCATCAGGAGCAGTTTTTAACTCTCTCTAATTTTCTTCCAGTAAAGATGAAAGCCCAGCTATTTAAATGGTTTCACCCCTTTAAAATAACTAACATCTAATTTCTTCTTACAATTCCAGTAAAGGCCTCAACTGTAAGGTGAATAAATCAAGCTGCACAAGAGTGTGGATAAATTCACTAGACCTAAAGTTGTCAGATAATAAATGGATATATTTCTCTTTATAATCTTCTATGTAACACAAAGGAACTGGCCGAGGAATAAAGGCACTATTGATTGCATGTGAAACAAAAGCATTAGCTGATGACATTTTGATATCAGGCATTAATTCATTTATCTTCTCATATTTATTCGCCCTCATCTGGCATACTTTAGGTCTAGTGACATTTCTAACATACACATGGATTTTGACACTCTTGTGCAGCTTGGAATGTTAGGAATGCTAGGATAATATCCTAACATTTCTGAAAAGTACTTACAGTTGAGGCCACTTGCGTCCCCTCATGTAAGGATACAAAAAATAAAGGAATCGATCACCAACGAGAGAAGCTCCTGATTGTTGACCAAATTCTCCTTGTCAGAACCTTTGGAAACATACTGAGAAGAGTATGGAGACTATGCATACTGATGTTAGGGTGTAAAGAGTTAAGCAGAGAGAAATTGAGGGAAGTTAAACAGTCTAACATTAGATATGTATTCTGTATAGAACAAAATTAGTATTAATATTTTCTCCTTAATTTTTTGGTAGGTGGGTTCTCCAACTGCTCTGGCAAACTCAGATGTTGAAAACTGTCTGCGGTGGAAGGCTTCTAGTGGTAGCCATGGAATTTATATACCCAGTGGCACTCTTTGGGGTGGTGCTGATATCAAGAAAATGGCAGATATAGGGACTCTAAAGGTGTGTATCTACAAGATGTATTATTATTTATGATTCATAAAATATTTGTGCTAGCCTATAAAATAAGTTGGGTGATATCTGAAGATACCACCAAAGTAACATTGCTCAATTTTCAAACCTCATGTCTACTACCATAAATCTTTGTTGAAAATTTAATTCAAGACAAGATAACATTTTATGGTTGTTACAAAGGAAGGGAATTTTTTTTGTTTATAAAGTCATACCAGAGAAAACTCAAAAGAAAAAATATCCACAGCAAACAGTAAGCTGTTCTTAAACATGTTTTGTGCATGTTGCAAAATATTTGAAGGATATAAGAAACACAGTAGCCTCTATTTTGCACAAAAATATATAAAAATAGCTTGTAGTTGGCGCAGAAATATACATGGATATTTGTTTGTGGACATTATCTGTTCAAAGGTGAGGACAGTTTTGCGAGAGCAAAGCTTGCGGAAAACTGTGAACTTTGGAGTTGTAGATACAGTTATTGATTTGTTATGATTACATTTACTAAGCATATATACTAGTAAATTTTAATTGCAATTTTAGGGACTGAAAGTAACAATGAAAAAGCACCCATCTTGTTTTAAATTGAATGAACCTCTTAAGTCAAGGAATGAGCAAGTGAACACAGAACCTGTTGTACTGTATGATGGTAGGTTTAAAAAGATTTTTTGTTTCATAAATTACCCAAAGAATAACCTCAGTCTAATTGTTATTGAAAATAATATAGCTCTCATTTTCTTTCAAATCAAAGCCATTATTTTTTTCACCCTGATTATATTCCAAGACCTTCCATGAAGATTTCCTAAGGTGTATTGAGAAGTTAATAAATTCTTGATTTCATGAGGTTGCTTTCCCTTATTAAAAGAATACTCCTGAAAGGCTTAAAAAAGCCAAATTTTTTGTAGGTGGGCATGAAAAATTGGCAGCATGTGTGGTCTTCATTATTAGCATTCTGGCAAAAGTGTTTTTTTACCCTCAAGGAAGTATACAGCCTTTAGAAATGTGAGCCAACAATTAGTGTCAGACCCCATGGAAGCTTCTCCTTACTTGTCTCAGATCTTCCCGTGGGCAGAGAAACACACATCCTGCCGTACTATTTATGAAAGCCTGCTTGTAGGCTAGAGAAATTGGTTGCCAGGGGTGAACTTGTCTGAGCAAGGGGGATTTACCTTCATAATCACATCAGTATTTGTTTCAAATGTTCTACCTGTTTTCCTGTAGGCCCTGTTCGGGAACTTTGTCCTTTAGCCCCAAACAATGTGAACACAATGGCAGCAGCAGCACTGGCAGCCCACAATCTGGGATTTGATAAGACACAAGGATGTATTGTGGCTGATCCAAGGCAAGATGTAATCAGTTGTCTGTTGTAAGACTGACAGATTAAATTCGTTTTGCAAATTTTGTTTGCAAATTTGATTGAATACACTTTGCCTCTGTCCTAAATATTTCAGGCCTAAAAAAGAGTTTCAGATTTTCCATCCAAAGGCAGCTCCACTTTGAAAATCATTGATTTAATATGTGGCAAGTTCGGTCCATTTGAATACTCTTTTCAAAAAATGCAACATACTTTTGTTCTGAAATCTTTCGAGTATTCCAATTATAATTCAATTAGTCTCAGGAATGCCTCTGTGGCAATAGAAGTTTAGTATCCTCAAGTCACAATCACTGGTTTTCTTTCTATAAGCACAGCCATTTTTTTATTCTCTCACACTTTTTCTAAGAAAAACTCTCTCAATAGCGATATGCATGACTGTACTCATGCAAAGTGTCAATCAAAACTCAACTACATTCGGGTCCAGTCTCAGAAACTATAAGCTCTTTGCTATGGAAACCAGAATAAACTGGGTAAGCAATGGGTAATCAAGAAAGATAAATTAACTCTGTACTCGAGTTAAGTGGCTCACCCAATCAGAGCTTGTTCCTCATTCTTTAGCGAAAAAACATGGAGTATCACTACTCCCCCCATAGATGATCGCAAGGTTACCCCCCCTTCCCCCAAAAAAAGAAATTAACTATGCTTCCCTGACATTTTCCTGGTACCCATTTTTCTCCTGCTTGGAGAGAGACTCTGTGAGAGTAAGGTGTTTTGCCCAACTAGATAATCAGGAGTGCAATGCTTATTAAGAAATCCTGTTTCCTGAAATCTCTTTTTTAATTATGATGTTCTATTTCTTAGTCTAAATGCTCATATTGTGCAAGTTGATGTCTTTGGACCCGGTGATGAACAAAACCAGTTCACAGTCAAGACTGTGCGCCATAATCCAGCAGGATCTGGAGCCATCACTGGCAATGCAACATATGCATCATTTCTTTGTAGTATGCTGGGTAAGAACTTACACTTTTAAAGAGTTTGCGATATGGACAGCAGAACAGAAGGCATTAGGAGTGTAGAGGAATATTATAGTACATTCCAGAACGTTCCATTTTTTACATTGTAACTCTAAAGTTGTGTGCTTAGTCAAGCATATCAGTTTGTAATAGGATATGAATTAATTATTTAGACTGTTCTAGACTGTTCCCTTGCTTTCCGAAGACTAGCTCATGCTGATATTTTCAAACAAAATCTTTCTCTTTTTTTTCAGGAGCCCACAGTCAGGGACCTGGACTTCATCTTTGTTGAATTAGCTTTCAAAAAAATTTGTATTTTTAAGAATTTTTCTTTTTTGAAAAAATGGATCCCAAATAAAAACACTTTTTGGTATGTACACATATCAGGGAGTGTTCAAGTGAGTGGATAGAGAGGTTAATCCTTCTACTCTCGAGATCTCATTAGTAATCCTCCTTGGTGTCTGCCATACAATTCCTATGATATTAGTTGGGAGAATAAGAGTCCTTTGGGCCGGTTAAAGGAGAGTTATGCTCCAGATACAGGGGTTTCAAAACAAGCTGGCAACCGCCAGAGTTCTACCAGCTCCTTGATAATAAGTTGCCAGTTTCACTGGTCAAAATAATTACCTTGTGGCCTTTAATCAACTTTTCAATTCACCTACTTTCGCAGAATGATGCCTTCTTCAAAATATTTTGAAACCCCTGCAGATTTTATCTACTCAATATTTTTTGCTTGTGCACTATTGGCTCAAATATACCATGTGATTGGATATTGTCAATTATCCATTTACAAAAAAAGAGGCTAGACTCCAAACTCTGTAGAACTTGTTAAATGAGCCATAACATTTGTGGTGTCAATTGAGTACAGGACACCTGAGAAATGCGTACCGGAAGTAACTTTGGGCTCATTTCTACCCAGTGTGGGAAGAAGAATGGGCTCCCTGTGAACCCTTGGGCAATCCCTTAGCCCCAGTTGTTCGAAGATTGGATAACGCTATCCACTGGATAAAACTCTATCCGGTAGATAACGCCATACGTTTTGCTATCACTTATACGCTGGATAGCGGTTTATCCGTTGGATAGCATTATTACTGGTTACTCGGGCTTTTCGTGCCTGTTATCTATTATCGAAAGAATGCCCTGGGAACGAGGTTACACGAAATCCTGGGTACAGGCGGAAACTTTCCAGGATGTCTTGAATAATTCATCGATAATATGAGTAAGTTGGACATCTATGCAGGTGAGAGGTCTCGTCGCTGTAAATAGTAGTTAACTGATTAAGTAAGGAATAACTACTTTGGGCTCAAAAATGGCGCGTGATGATGACAAAGTTTCGAAAAATGTTGATAAACTCGGAGTCAACAGCTGTTGAACTGGCAGAGTTTCAAGTTATGGAGAAAGATAATTCACCCCCGAACCAAATAAGGGAATCAAAGTTTGTTTCGTCAATGATGTCACCAATCAGCTAATTATTTAAAATCGACCAATATTTCAAATCTGAGGTTGTAAGGCAAGAAGAAAAAGTCTAGAATCATTAGGGTTCTTCTCAAGAGTTAGTTTGGCTTCGATAAGAATTTTTTCCTTCCTTTTGAAATTTCTTTATATTCAGCTACTGCCATACCTTTTTTAAAATAAATGTCTCCCTAAGTTCATTAGTTTGTAGTTCTCACAGTCTGCTAAACCGAAACAAAACAGTTTAATCTCTGAGAGTGTGTGTTGAGCTGGAAAATAAATCCTCTACCAAAATGGCGACCAAAAATTGAAACTGACTTTATGGAAACACAACTCCCATAGCAAGTAAAGGCATGGTTCATATAGAAACTATGGAAAATGCCAAGTCAGTTCAATCCAGCTTATTAGTAAAATAACTGTTTCAAATTTGGTCATATTTGCATACTTTTGGGTTTGGCATACACCCTCAGCCATACAAATGTGTGAAATTTTTTTCAAATTTTAAATAAAATTTTGTGTGGCTTGAATGATACCAGACTGGAATAGAGATGTTCTTTTACTGAGGTCACTATGGAGTTTTTTGGAGGCTAATTTGACCCATTTAACAAGGTTATTAAGACAACCATCTAGCTCACTGCTGAGATTTGACAATTGATAAGGTAAGGTATGAAGCCAATGAAAAAGTATTCAATACATTGTATCATTATAGCTTTAACTATGACTTAAAAAGTTCGGTGACAGTTGCTCGGAATAAAAGAGGAAAGTGATTGTAAAAGCAGGGATAAGAAAAATTATAGGGGAACAATTTTAATCCTTTTTAACATGTTTTTTTATTTCATTTTCTTATCTGATCAACAGATGCTGTAGCATGGTATGTAACATTTTGTTTATAATGTTAAATTCCTTTTAACAAAGTTCTCCAAGTAAACCTTCAAGAGCAATCTATAACCTTACCTTTGTTAGGCTGGGAGAAGTAGGCATAAAGGTATTTCTTAAAAACAAGAGCCATTGTAGTCTGTCCAGTGATGTTAATTAACAACTACGTGAAGTCTACAACTGACCCAAGTAGCCTAATTATTCTGTGGATGCTTTGTCTAGTTTTAACAGCATTAACTTTTTGCACCCTAAGATCAGTATGCATATTCTTCATACTGTTCTCTGTACATCTGAAATGGTATTGACAAGGAAGTTGTGTAGAACAGTCAAGAGTTTCTTGAGTAGGTGATCATCTTCTGTATTCTCACAACCTCACTGTTTGATTCAGTGGTGGTCATGTATAGAGAGATTAGATGCCAGTCACTCCCAGGGGTTATATTAAGAGTCAAACACCTGCATGATAGACTTACTGGCTCACCGATTGGCATGATGGACTGAGCTCATAGTGGTTTAGAATCTAAACCTGACAGGGCCATTCTGTTTTGTTCTTCAGCCAGTCACTGTTCTCTCACAGTGCTTCTCTCTACCCAGGAGTATCAATGGATACTTCTCACCTGTCATGGAAATATGTCAGGGTATTTTGTCTCTAACCATTTGTATTCCTGAAAGGAAAGAAGAACTGTGTGACTAATATATCTTTCTCAAGACTAGGGAACCTCTTGACCCAGTGTAGAGTGAGCTGACTTATAGACATGCTCATCCTTTAGATAACATGTTAGACTCCAAGATTTTTGCTATTAAATTTTTTTTCTTCATTGTAGGTTAGAGGGAGCTGTTTTTGAAAGTCAGAAAATGGGTCATGTTAATCTTGATGCATTAATAAGTGACTGTAAGAATGCATCCCAGTGTGTTCAGATGCTTTTACCAATAGAGGAGGATTCACTTATACGAGTAATAAGTACTGTAGTTTAATTTCCTTCAGCTAGTAAAACAAAGTGCGACAGTAAATGGTGCGATATACTGGCTGAGGAGTGGAAAAATTAGGGAGGCTTGGGTCAGGTCATGCAACATCACATCTACACGACCCAACCCAATCTTTCCTTGTTTTTGTTCTGTTTCTACTTCTGGGCCATTCACTGTTTTGTTTTGTTTTTTAATTGAATGCCTGGAACAGGCTATAGTTCCTTATTTGGAATTTATTTCACTGGTTTTTTTAAGTCTTTTTTTTTTGCAACAAATTTGAAAAATGACATGTAGTATTATGACCATGCAATTAAGCTAGCTTCAAATCTTAATCGTTATAATTTTGACCCTTAGAATGCCCTTGATGAAATTTCTATCTCACTGGAAAGTTATCTTGAGATTCTTCACAAGAAAAAGAGGCTGCTTGACTATGGATACACATCAGACTCAGGTATTATTCATAACTTAAACACTAACCCCTTTAACCTTTAACTCCAAAGAGTGACTAGCCTCAAACTTTTCCAAACAGTTTCACTGCTGAATCAGACATTAAGGTCAAGAGAATACAGAAAATGATCCCTAGACAAAAAGGCTTTTGATGATAAAGCACATTCTCCTTGTCAATGCCATAGGAATGTATAGAGAAGAGTATGGAGAATGTGCATGCTGATGTTATGGTGTAGATGGTTAAGAAGGCTAACATTCCCAGGCTTCAGCCTGAAGACTGATGTCAAACTGTATGAGGCATTTCTCATGTTTTCACAGACACAAAACCACAATAAATCAACATCTATTCATGATGCCCAGTTTACGAGATCTGTAAAATGCCTTAACAATCCCTTATAAAAAACCCATCGGTTTTAATACTTGTATGATGAAAGGAAGTGGTTTCCCTGGTAAAGGTTTCCTCATCTACCTCTCAGCTACCCTTCCTGTGCCATTTTATTTTTTCTTACACATTTTGAGGTCATTTATGATATTTTACTAGACACACCCACAGCAACATGGAATCTATTTGTCGATTGTTTTTACCCTCTAGAAATGAATCCAGTAAAAAGTGAAAATAATGATTGTAGAAGGTGAGCTAATTTATCAGGAGAAACAGGCCAATTGTATTACCCTGTTTCTTACTTTTATCTTACAATCCCAAAAACTCAAATGACAGCCCTGGTGCCTTAACCCTTGAGCCCATAATCGTTGGTTAAATTTTAATCTTGGGTTAGCACTAATTGGCTTTCGAACAACCGGAGTCTGATTGTTAATTCTCTTTTCTAGCTACTATGCATTTCCTTGTAAATTAGTTATGGGAATTTGGTGTTAGATCAAGAAGACAACTTCTGCCTGATAAGTTTCAGTATTCTCATGACCTGTTTGCTGGATAATGTATGGATATAATAGAGAGAAGTTAATCACTTTCATCTCTCACAGGCGAAAAATTGCAATTCAAGACACAATTGTTTCCCATGGTCTTATCAAATTCTGTGATGTTGTTGGCCTTAATGATGCTAAGCAAGCACTGAAAGAAGCTGTTGTTACACCACTACAATTTCCACACTTCTTTACAGGTAAGAACTTACTTATTTAAATGTCTCTGATATGTAAATTGCACAATCAATCTAGAAACATAGGGAATGGTTAGTGAATATTGCTATTTTTGGGTTAAGCATTTGACACAGTGGCCATAAATATATGCATATTGATGTTAGGGTGTAAAGAGTTAAAATGTTTTGAAATTGTGGCGTTTTGTAGGGGGTCGACAGCCATGGAGGCGAATACTGCTGTATGGACCACCAGGAACAGGTACTCCAGTTTAATCTACGTCACTACTAGTCCATCGTTTGCCACCAATAGACCAAAAATAATATCTATTTTAAGGAGAAAAAAGAAAATTGCATCACTCTCTTGACAAGTCAGGTGCAAAACTGAAAAAAACTGTAATTTGTTCTCACGTATTTTCCCGTGCTTCAGGCGGTGTGCTTGGTTTTTCTTTGAGATCTCCTTTGCACTATCTCGCGTGACTAGCCAATGTCCTCATACTTAAGGCTCGGTTTAACTTGATTAAGTCGAAAAGCGCTAGGGCCTGAGTACAACCATTAGAAAAAGTTGCATTAGTTTTAAGATTTGTTTGAAGTCCATGTCACATTTTCGCTAAAATAGGTAGTCATTGCAGTTTATTCATACCGTCATAACTAAGAGTTACTGCTTCTGTTTTTGTTTAACAGGTAAAACAAGGCTCGCGCAGGCTGTGGCTTCAGAGATCAACTCTGTATTTTACAGTGTGTCCAGTTCTGATCTAGTGTCCAGTTGGGTCGGAGAGAGTGAAAAGTACGTACAGCATATGTTGCTATTTGGATGGATGCAATGTTCTCCTAAACCCCATAACTCCCGTGAGTGACCAAGGCAGAATTTCTCCTTACAATGTTTTCTTGCGTTTTTTTGATTGTTTGGTTTTTTGTTGTTGTAAGGCTTATCAAGGAGCTATTCCAAAATGCAAGAGGCCAACAGGTTCAATCAGTAAGTATAAAACTTGTTTTTGTAGCGCGCGAGTCAGTACAAGGAGTCTGCTTCCTTCTTCATACCATTCAAGCCGATGGAATCTCAGTCCTGAAGTAGAGAGTTTTCGGATTTTCTGTAAGCTTCGTTTTTAACTGAGTCTTATCTACGAACGGAGGTGAATCAAAGATTATTTTTTAAGCGAAGTTTAAACTTGATAAAAAAAAAACTAAGACCAATTTAGGCACAGTAAGGTGTACTTTAAGTTGCACAGTTGAAGTCCTTATTAAATTTTTCTTACTAATATCAATTACTGCTCTGAACCACCTGTGTGTTCCTTGGACTTTTTAACGAACGTATTGAACCATATTTGCCAAACAGAAATATTACCGAGGTTTCCATTGGAAAAACTGACCAGGGATGCCATTCACACGCCGAAAGCGCGGATTTTTCTCATGGTTTCTGCATCTTTAACTCCGCTATTATTGGCTAATTTGTTCCCTTTCAAATCAAAGTAGAAATGTTCGATGCGGCACTCATTTTTGTTCACATCAAAAGCCTTTTCAAGTATTTGCTATACTCTTTATATTTTCCAGGTAATTTTTATAGACGAAATTGATAGCATCTGTAGGAAAAGAAGTTCGCGAGAAGAAGAGTACACTCGAAGAATTAAGACTGAGTTATTAAAACAGGTCGGTAGATTTTGGAAATAGATCTTCTTATAGTTAGGTTACTTATCTACTAATCAGCTGCTGACATGTCACTCGCCTTTCGAACCACTCTGTTGACTTTTCTTGTCAGTAAAGGCCTATAGTGTTTATATAATAAACAGAGTAACACTTTGTAACTATGGAATTTCTCTTCCCAGTTGTGTTCAGCTCAATATCTGCGAGCTCGTTCGCTGTGCTCAGTTATCGGGTTGAACACTCGAAGAGAAATTTTGTATCTATGCGCGACCCAAGTGTTCTTCTATATTTATTTCTAAATTCTGTTTTTTTTCTTATTTCTATTAAAGATGGAAGAGGCTGATAACCCTGCGTCAATGAACCATTTCATCTTGCTCTGTGCTACCAACTGTCCCTGGGAACTAGACTCCGCCTTCCTGAGAAGATTCCAGAAAAGAATATACATTCCATTACCAGATAAGTAAGATTTTGGTTATTCTGAAATGAAGCACTCAAAAGCAGAGACTTGAGCAAGAAGCATTCTAATTTATAAGGAACCAAGTACTCGAACTCGCGGAAAGCGATGAACCGCGAGGTCGAAAACGAAATACTCGTAACTCAATCGAAAACGGAGAACCCCGAGCTCGTAAAAGAATTACCCGAAATCGATCAAAAGCGAAGCCGAACCACGAGGTATAAAGTACCCCGAAGTCGGTCGAAAACGAAGAACCACGAGCTCGAAAGCGAAAATTCCTGAAGACACCTTTTAACTCCAAAAAAAAAAAAACGATCGTATTCCGAACTGAACAGAAAGAGAACTAACTACTGCTTTTGTATTTTTTTTGTGTGTGTGTGTGTATGTCTGGGTCGGAAATGCATCGATTTGGCTGTACGAAACACCTCTAAATTGATGAAAATTGCCATGTTTGATACAGACTGTCAAAATTCGCAAATAATAAGGTGCAACGTTTTGTCGAATTTACAGAACTCATAATTTCACCATTTTATTAGTTGTGACTCTTAACTCCTGCCCGTGGACGAGGTTACTTGCGATAGTCACTGATGTATGATAAAAAGAATGATCTGAGAAATGTATTTGTTTCTATTTGTCTACGAGTATTTTACATTTCATAATTTTTATCAAAGTAAGTTTCAATTTCTAAGGGCCAGCGGTATTTTATTTCATAGAGCTGCACGCATTGCATTAATGAAAATACACTTGGGAGTCACTCCTTCATCGCTCACTGCGGAAGATTGGTACCTACTTGGTGACAGGACAGAGGGCTTCTCGGGCAGCGATTTGTCAAACTGCACCTCAGATGCCATGTTTGAACCGTTACGTGAACTTGAAAACACCTCTCGCTGGAAGATGAACAAAGGTAAAATGCAGGAGATTGTATTCTACATTGAGAGCCCTTTTAGGTTGAAATCAAAGTAAACACAACTGCTAATGAGAGGAACGGAAAACATTGGTCCAGAAGATTCGCACCATTTTCCAACCAATCAGATTTAAAATTAAAACCACGACTTGGTCACCTGCGTTTTCCCGCGCTTCAGGCAGTTTGCGCGTTGCTACTCTGAGTTCTCATCGGCCGCTCTTGACCTTTCTTGTCGTCTGATTGGCTTTTATGATTTCTTTGGTTTTGGCACCTAATAAAAAACGCTCCAACTATGTTACCGAAACATAGGACAAGTGGAAGGCAAGAAGGTGGCCCTAAACCATATGATTCCAAACCTAGTAGTGCCGTTTGATTACATTGATTTGTCATCTATTTGTTGTCTTACGTGGCCTTTAGTTGACACCTCTCCTTCTATCAGATTTGTTTTATGTGCCGTGCTCTGAAATTGAAGAAGACGTCATACATTCATCCATGAGGGATCTTCCATCTCAAAAAGTATGTTTTATGTCCTTTTTATCATTCAGAAGTTGCCTTAAACCTTTTACTTTACCTGTGTCTTTAAAAATAACGTTGAGGGTATTAAGTCCTGTAACTTAAACCCTTTTATACCCCAAGATCTGATTGTCAATTCTCCCCTATAGCTGCTACAGATTTCCTTGTATATTAGTTACGAGAATTTGGTGTTGGATCAGTTGTGATCTCTTCATTGAAGATTAATTGATGAAGTTGTTTTCTCTATCACTTCCATCTAGATTCAACCTCGTTCTGTGAGACTTGATGATTTCTTGAAAGTGTTGTCGCACAATACAAGCACAGTTGCCGAAGAAGACTTAAAAAAATTTGAAAAGTTTACCATAAATCTTGGACAGAGGGGATAAACCGTTACTGGAGAAATCTCATGCTAGTACTACAATAAACAAAGTACAAAACTGAACTGAACTAAACTGAACACCCAGTTAACGCTAATTTCCGAATTAACTTCGAAAGTCATATAAGATTGCCGATTGGGTTTGCCTCACCACGCTCTATTATTTGTCGAGGAAACTTGCGCCATCGTCTGAAACAAAACTTGAAGAGCTAAACTAAAACCAATATTGTCTGTTCGCATTTCTACCTATAAAGAAGTCTGCTTGTTCTTACGATGAGTTGTTTTTGGCTCCCTTTGATTTTTCCCTTTGTTCTGATTAACCATTGATTTGTTTTTGGTTTTTTATAACACCCAATGTTGCGCAAATAATTCGGGTGTCGCCTTGTCGCCGTTCATGGAACAGTTATTGCGAGATGATGTGTTACAACTGCTTCACATCGTTTTATTTTTTTTTTCAATATTTTCCTTAAATATTATATTGTACTGTATTCAGAAAACTATGTGTTACAGTTAGACACTAAGTCAATTCTGGTCACTTATAGCAAAGCGAACTGAGTTTTCGGGAAAATCTCAAACTTTGGCCATGTCGTGTTGGATATTGGGCCGTTTGCTATCACAATTCGTTTTACTCACTGAATGACCAGACCTGGAATAGACTAAAGCCGGCACACAAACCTTTTTCGAATAAAAGAGACCTTCTAACCTGAAGAACTGACCCCTTTCGCGCTGTTCTGGGCGGTAGGTGGGCGGCGCCGTTTAAATAGGCGCGGAAATGACCTGGGTGCTAGGCTGGCGTTGTTACGATGGAAAGCAAAATTAAGAACTTTCTGCAGGTTGCGTTCGACTTCGCAAGCGTTAGAAAGTGAAACATTCGGTGTCTTGCTTTCGTACAGAACAATTTAAAGGTTAGTGAAGATTGGTGGGATACATCCTATTACAACGGTTCGTATACTCCTCTATGGTCAACTATTTTAACACTTCAATTTTGTTGATCGAATTTGTTTACCTCAGCTAAATGTTATGTCTGTGAGCTTGATCTCCCTTGTGTTAGTCGGTACAAGACACTCCTTTCACTTAAGAGTTTTCTACAAGTCTGTTAAAAGTTAAAAATGCAGTCGTAACTGTGTTTTTTTTAGTTAATCTTCGGTCGGTGTGCAGCTTTGAAACATAAAGATACTCAAGAATGTTTCCTAAATGGAACTAAGCCTTTCCTAAACAGCAGGCCTTGCAAAATTTGAGACATGCATAATATTTCAGTTACTCAAACCTTCCCTCTTACTTTGAAAGCAAGTGATTCAGGTAATTCGCCTGCTTTTACGAGGTAACGTTCTTGGATAAATTAGTTTGTAAGCCGATAACACATGTATTTACAAAGGTAACCTAATCTCGTGCGAAGCAGAATTTGAAGTTCTTTGTTCGAAGGGCCTGTGCAGGCCGAACTTTTGTCATGTAAAGGTTTGAAATTGAAATGACCTGCTTACCAAGTTGCGAAATGTCTCCGACCCATTTAGTCAGCTTGTCAGTTCTCGGTAATCTGTCAGCAGAGTTAAAATAACAGTGGTTGCTTTTAATGTACATAGAGATGGAAAAATGTACGAGAATGAATGAAGTTTCCTTGTTTCTTAAACTCTAGACTGAGCCATGAGTAGTGGACGCGGACGTACTGCCCCTCATGATGAGGAGAGTATTTATCGTATTCCACCATATTATTACATTCATGTTTTGGATCAGAACACGAATGTCACCAAGGTGGAAGTTGGTCCGAAAACCTTCATCCGTCAAGATAATGAAAAGGTAAGTGCGAGTGAATCTTTCAGTTGGACAAGTATAGGATAATTTAAGGTGAATTTTCTCTGACAGGTGGACGAGTGGATCTAGTTTAAAACTAAATTAATGTCAGTCTGCAGTTAAGATTTTATTTTGCAAAACAGCTGCTAAAACAGAAACACTTTGACATTAACATATTGGCAAGATTTGCGCACAGTTCCATGCTTCATTATGCATACAGTTCTGTTATAAAGGAAACAATGGTGAAAACAATAGATTGCCTTTGGAACTAGGGCTTTGTTTTAGAATAGTATGTATATGTTGTACAGTAATAATTCTGATTTATTTTCTGTTCCATTCACACAGGTTATTCTTGGTCCAGAAAGAATGATTACAATTCCTCCTCGGCATTACTGTGTTGTGGAAAATCCAGTTCTTAGGGATAAGGATGGGCGTGTCGTTATAGATTCCAATGGACAGATCAAACTGGGTCATGCCGATCAGGTAACATAGCGGTTTTACATAGTGCTGTTAATTCAACGTAAAACCAATTTTTGAAAGGGAATTATTCCTTTAACTCCCAGAAGTGATTAACATGTTACTTCTCCCAATAATATTCATAAATTATATAGCAAACAGGTGACAAGAATACTCAAACTTATCTGGTAGAAGTTGTTATCTCAATCTAACACCAAATTCTAATAAATAAGTTATTAGGAAATGATTAGCAGCAAGAGGGGAGCATAAAAAATCAGACTTTGGAGTTGAAAGGTTAAGGGAGGAATGCAAAATCTGATGTTATTATAAGGCAAACAGTAGAATTTAAGATTAATATTGGTCAATGAGTGTATTTCTTGCATTCACTGTGGTGAGAATATTCAAGCTTGTCTGAAAGGTTGTTAATGTTTCATTTATTAGAAGAATGCTCAATTAACCTTGCTTTTAGAAGGATATGTCAGCCATATGGCCTACATAAAAATGCTTATTTAAGATAATACTGTTATGTTCTGAATGTTATGTGTAAATTAAGACAAGTATGGACTTTGTTTGAAGGAAAAATAAACACACAGCATTTTGATACTTTAAACAAGCATTTTAGAAAATATCAAAATACAGCTTTCTTTGCTTGGTCTTGGATGTAAGGTTGTAACAAGTTGATAACAGACCTGTACTCCAGAAAAAATAACCAATCAGTGGTTGTTCCTAGCAAATATTCCAGAAGACTGGAGGTTTGAAAAAAAAACCTGAGAATTAAATTTTGGACAGCAGAAGAGGGAAGGGAAAATAGGGAAAAGAAAATAGAGAAGGGAGTAGAGGAGGGATCAAAACTAAGGAACCTGTGGTGGATGATGAATTATACCATTTGTCATGTATTTTAGGATATTCGTCTTGCTCAAGACCCATTCCCTTTGTATCCTGGTGAAGTTTTGAAGCAAGATGTTACTGGTCTAAGGGTGGTTATGGCTAACTCTGCCATACGACTCCGTGCAATGCTGGACTATGAGTCTGAATCAGGAGAGAAGAGAGTGGCTGGGGATGAGTGGTTGTTTGAAGGGCCAGGTAATACTAATGCTGATTAATATCTTATTGAGAGGAAATAGTATGATTTATAATGGTAAGCTATGCTAAAAGTGTACAGTGATATAAAAACCCTTGCTGAGATAGCCTTTAAGGCCTTTAATCTTCAGTATTGATTAGCTTGTAACTTCTTCTTTTGATTCCAATATATTGTCTTGCTAACAAGTTATGAGAAGAGACAAGGTTATCAGCTAGTGGATGTTATGTTCACTTGATATAATATACATTCTCTTGTCTAATTACAAGAAACTCTGTGATAGTCAGTAGGAAGAAATACTAGTTGGATCTAAATGAGAACTAACAGGTTAATCTATCAAGCAAGGGTCTCAAGAGAGCCATCCTTTTTTAATTATAATATGATAATTATTTAGTTTTAATTTTTAGGTTATATACTTATATATTTCTGAACATTTTGCTGTCTAACTTTTCCTGTAATAAGGAGGTATCCTTCAAGAGAATTGTGAACTTGAAATTGAGAATGTGGTGAATCATATATGATATCAGCTAGATAGCTTGTTGAATTAGTTTCATGCTTTTCTACTCAACTGTAGTAATGATCTTTGGGGAAATTCATAGCATTGAAGTAGATATAGCATATAGAAATAAGTAATTCTTAATCAATCAGTATAATCTTATCACATTTTAAAAACAATTATAAATATTTTCTACAGGTACATATATACCAAAGAAAGAGGTTGAAGTGGTAGAAAACATCCTTGCCACCATCATCCAGCCAAACCAAGCCATCAGACTGAGGGCAAGAAAAGAAACTAAAGTAAAGACTTTAAAGACAGGATTTTTTAAATTTATCATGTATAGGAATAATAATATTTGGTACATGTGCATGCAAGGACCAAACTGAACTAGAGACAGATTGGTGGTTCTGTTTGAAACATCCAGATTCTTAATTTGTTACCTTTTATCAAAGGAAGTGAGACTTAATCCAGAATAAAGGGGATAAGTGTCACAGGAAACTGTGGTTCTACATCAGTAGGAGAATACAACAAGGTAATTCATTATTATCAACTGAGTTGATCACTAAATTGGCCAGTGTTAACCCTCTGTCAGAATGAAAGATGAAGGGCTAATGCTTGAAACAACATATAGCTTTAAAACTCATTATGGTGGTCGGTTTACAGAATGAACACAGTTGATAATACTAAATTACCTTCAAAGTAAAGGATCTGTTTTGAGGTAAATTTGCAACCTCATCTTACTTCTTCTTTTTCTCATTATTTGAAAATTAATCTTCAAACAGGATCGTGATGATAACTTGCGTGTTGCTGGGGAAGAGTGGCTTGTTAAAAAGATTGGTGCTTATCTTCCTGGTGCTTATGAGGAAGTGGTTGATGTTGTAAATGCCTATGTATTGACTGAGAAGGTGGGTGCAAGAACATATTAAAAATGTATCATATTTGATTGACAAAGAAAGATAGATACATAGTGCAGAGGACAGCTACTTAACGGAATTTGATTGGGTAGGAACTAATGCTACTGCAGAGGACACTACTAGCCTGATGTAAACGGAATTTGATTGGGTAGGAACTAAATGCTATAATATTTTTTTTTAAATTCTTTGTTTGACTTTAAGTGAGTTTTTAATTTTTTCTGAGTGTTTTTTGAAGTTGCTTCTAAGTGAAGAGTTTAAAAAGACTAAGAAGTGCTAGCGTAGGCTCTCTGTGCTGTGCATGGAGAAAGGAAATGTTTGTGACAGTTCTTCAAAACCTTTGGTCATCTGACTGCATTCTTTGAAGATTAGGAATAAGGGAGTGAGAAGATGAAATTTTAAGGAGTTAAACCATAGCCATAGGTGTTTGTAGAATCAGTGGAGTTAACTTTCTGATTTGAAGACCAGTCAAAGGAAAGCAAAGTAGCTCTCCCTGGCTCATTTGAATGCTGATCAACAATGGTAAACTACAGTTATGGTATGTAGTTAAAGTAAAAAATTTTCTCCAACCTTTGCAGCTGTACTTTGGTTAAGAACTAAACAACCCTTAAACTCCCAGAAGTGACCAACAAGTAACTTCTCCCTTTAATATCTGTACATTATTCAGAAAAAAGGTAACAAGAATACTCAAACTTATCAGGTAGAAGTTGTTATCTTGATCTAACACCAAATTATTGAACTTATTTACAAGGAAATGAGTGTGCAGCTAGAGGGGAGAATGAACAATCACATCTTGGGAGTTAATTAGGGTTATGTGCTGCAAAATATGTTCAAACACCATATGTAAATCTATGGCATTAGCCAGTACTTTAGAGGATCCCTGAAAAATGCCCCATGAATTGTCAATATTCCATTATCCTAGTGCCTCTTTTGAGCCTCTTTTATTTTTTCATATTATAGAAAGCTTTACATCTGCAATCCACACGCACATTCAAAGATGATACAGGTGTTTTACGAAAGAATGGGGAGGAGTGGTTAATTACCATGGCAGACACAGAGGCACATATTCCAAATGTCTATGAAGAGGTAATGTTATTCAATTGATCATCCAGACTATGAAGGCAGCCATAGATGATGAGGAGAATTATGCCGACCCTGTAGTTAATTGATGCATTAAATGGTAACAGTTTGAGTAAAACAATTAAAATTTAATACATCAAATCTTACCTGTTCCATCTTGTAGGTTGTAGGAGTTGTTGATATCACAACACTGAACAACAGGCAGTACTGTGTCATTCTAGATCCTGTTGATAAAGATGGGAGGCCCCAGCTGGGGCAAAAGAGGCTAGTGAAGGTACTGGTACCTACTTGTCAATCTACAAAACAACCTTTTTTAAGGAGTATGATATATATTGGATAATTTTATTTGTATTATCAACTGAGTTGATAACTTAAACTGACCACTATGAAGAGTTTAAAAGCTGATGTTTCAAGCATTATAGCCCTTCGCTTTTCACTCTTTATGGTGGCCAATTTACATTATCAACTCAGCGGATAATACTAAATTACCCTGATACACTTTCTCACTGACACAGCACCACAGTTTCTTGAGAAACCTACCCCCTTTATGATATGAATTGCACCTTTGAACACAAGGTGACTACAAAGAGCAAAATAAAATACACAGAAAAACTTATTTTACAAGTTCGCAAGTTATAAGGTCACTTAAGACATACAGGACAAGTGCAAACTCATTCTTCAATCTCTTCAGCATATTCCTTCAAGGATAGATATGTCCTTAATGATGCTGAAGAAAGCCGATGACGCGAAGACAATTTCACTCCAATGTGGATTGAATGTAAAAGGAAAATCAAAACTTTTTCTGATGAACAAAATAATTTAAAATCTTGGTTCTGAACAAGCTTATTTTTACCAAGTTAAAATGGGAATGGCATGGAGCTAGTGATTAAATTTTATAAAGTGCAGGACACCTGCAAGGATCATCTTATCATGTTCATAATGTATATATCGCCCGCACATTAAAGTATTATTTATTTAATTATATTGAGATTACTAAAAGATAACTTGCATTTGTTCCTGTCTTTCAGGGAGAGAAGTCATTCTTCCTGTTGCCTGGTGAAAAGCTTGAGCAAGGTATCCAAGATGTGTTTATTCTTGGTGAGGATGAGGGGCTGATTCTGAAAGCAAATGAGGCCTTTCTTGATGTTAATGAAAAGGAGGTAAATAAACAAATACAACAGAACTTTTTTTCAGGATAAATGGTAACTTTAACAGTTAACCCTTTAACTCCCATGAGTGACCAAGACAGAATTTCTCCTTACAATATCAATACAATGTCAACCAGACAAGCGATGAGAATACAGAAAAATATCAATTTGGGGATGATACCCTTGCGAAATGGCTTTTGGAATTCCTAGGAATTCCTAGGATTTTCCTAGGAATTCCTAGGAATAAAGGTGTGAATTTTCACGGTAAATTCGGACTGGGAATTCCTAGGAATTCCTAGGAATTCCCAACCATAACAACTCTGGTTCTAAAAACCTAGAAATTCCTAGAAATTCCCAGAAATTCCCAGAAATTCCAAGTTTATAGCCAACAGGACTTGGAATTCCTAGGAATTCCAACTCAGAGAACCAATGACTATCCCTGAAAAGCTGTAAATCTAAAAAATTCCTAGGAATTTCTGGGAATTTCTGGGAATTTTTGGGAATTTTTGGGAATGTTTAGGAATGTTTAAGAATTACTGGGAATTTTAAGCAAAAATTTGAGGCTAATGATATAAAATAAATACTTTAAATTAAAAAAAACCCAGCTAAAATTCAAGTATTCAATGAAATTTATTTAGAAGCTTAATTTAGGCTTACATGTAAAATATTTTTGATTAATTATTAACATCAATGTGTGGTAATATTAGGATGGAATTTGATTTATTTTTCTTTTCTTGAAAACTTCATATGGATTAATCCTCAATTACAGCTATTCATATAAAATAGTTCTAATTAATCATTAAATTTGGTTTGACACAAATTGTGAATAAAATCTGTGGATTCTTTTCCATAAAATACAATATCTTAAGTTATATTTGAAAACCAAGCACTCTTGGGAGTGAAGGGGCTAATTACAGACAAATAAAATTGATTTTTTGATTAAAATCTTGTTGTAACTGTAACAATAAATTAGAATGAAGTTATCCTAAACTGCAAACTTAGCTGCTGTTTGTACTGTTTGTATTTTTTTTCCTGGGCTCACAATGAGTTGGCCTTGAATGAGGTTGTCAACAAGAACCTTGACCATTTTGTATCTGGATTCCCTTGACATCTGAATTTGAAAAAAAATAATATATTAAAATATGTATATTTAAAGCTCAGACCAGGCTTTTAAGATGGCTATGAGGAAAAGGGCATTCATTGGATTCTCAAATTGAGAAATCTCTGTTATATTGAGTGACTTTTATATTGGAGTTAGTACATCTCTCTCATGGATTTTACTAAAAAAGGGCTGAATACATTATTTTGTTTTTACCAAGGAGGGCTTCTTTATGTGCTAAGGTTTGTTTAATAACAGTTCCTATTATGAATCTTGAATGTTCCCAAACGTGACTAAAGGAATCTTGAAACCTTACTGATAGGTTTATTTCATTGTAAAGCATAAGCTTAAGAAACTGCGGCATGCAAGTGACCGATTCGATTCTCAGAATTATTCTAGTTTCAGTTGCGCCGAGCGTTATGTAAGCTTAATTCAACCTGCTACATCTATTCTTTTTTATAAGATTTTGATCACGTAACGAATATCGCAATTTTTACTCACCACAAACTTTCAAAATCGTAGCTTTACAGATGGCCACTCGACCCTTGTTTGTACCAGTCAATATGTCAACTGTTGTCCCTTCTTTTAACTCCACGGCGCCAACGACTTTCTTTTCTTTTACAACACTCACGCTATTCTCGTTTTCCCATTGAACCACAATAAAAGCTATCTTTAGAAATGTTATATTAAGCAAAACAGTTGAGAAAAGCGATCAACCGATGAAAAGTACATTCAAAGATGAGCGCCAAATGGAGTCTTCTTTGTTTCCGATCACGGGCATGATCACGTGGATCTTTTAGGACTTGTCATTGGCTAGCAGAGTGAATCCGCTGGCTTGCCGATTGCAGTGTTAGAAGAAGTGCCCAACTTTATTCTGACTTCTCCGACCGGTTCTCTACTTCTAGAAGATGGATAGCTTGGTGATATAAATAAAGATGTGAGCTCACTCTATGTAGAAATAATCGACAAGAGTCGATCGTATTACAAATGCACGATTTGTGGCCGAAAGTTGTCGAGGAAACAAAGACTCGAAACTCACTTGAGTTGTGTTAATGGCAAAGGTGAGAAATAACACAAGCCAATCACAGTTTTGAATGCGACTACAAATCGTCTTTTACCCTCATATTTATAAAAAGAAGGATACCACATTCGGAAGTATAAGAGATACATAGATGATCCCAGTGTACCAGTACCTAAATCTACAAAGCTTGACCGTAGCAAGCGTTCAGCAACACGTTCCAACACCGCCATCTCTTTTCTTAAACCTTCACATTCAAGGTATTGAGAATTTCTTAGAATTTATGTGGACCTCAGGGTATTAAAATTGCCTCAAATTCAATTCCCAGAAATTCCCAAGAGTTCCACACTTCTTAAATTATAGGTAGTTTGTAAAGCTGAGAATTCCTAGGAATTCCTAGGGATTCCAAGTCCTCACAAAACTGGAGTCTTCCTTTCCCAGAAATTCCCAGTAATTCCAAGCTTTTTAAATCAGAGTTAATTTGCATAGTTGGGAATTTTTGAGAATTCCTAGGAATTCCTAGGAATTCCTAGGAATTCCTAGGAATTCCCAGAAATTCCCAGAAAACTGGGAATTCAGTTTGCAAGGGTCATTTGCATAATTGGGAATTTTTGAGAATTCCTAGGAATTCCCAGAAAACTGGGAATTCAGTTCGCAAGGGCAAGTTGATCCAATACTAACTTCTCTGAACTAACATAAGAATTGTATGGTTGACATTAAGGAAAATTACAAATTTGGTCTGGGAGCTAAAGGGTTAAGAGTAGAGATGCTCTAAGTCCTAGTTTGAGAAGTCTGGGTTTAGACATATTGAGGTCATAATGTGTTGTGTTCTTGGGCAAAACACTTTACTTTCACAGTGCCTCGCTCTCCACCCAGGAGTATAAATGGGTACCAGCAATTTTTAATGGAAAAAGGGTAACCTGGATTGGGTACTTGGCTGGAATGTAGACTTTACCTCTTACAGTTTTTTACAGTTGAAAATAGTGACATAACATAGATGTTTTCATTTGGGACATATATACACAAGCTTGATTACTCCATCATGAGGAAGATGTAGTTCCAAAATATTTCAAGAGATAAATCTCATCATGGGGGTCCATCCACTTCCTTGCCCTCTTGTGGCGTGGTGGGTCTTTGATAAAATGGAATTACTTAATTATTTCCTTGGATAAGTGTCTGACTAAAAGGAGGGGTGCTTATTGGAAGGAGGGCACTTAATCATGGAGCGCTTATTAAGAATTAAACTATTAACCTACACTGATTCCACTGTGGTTGAAGCTTAAAAAAAGTTTCAAATTAAGTGACAATATAAACAGTTTTTCCGTGTATTCCCTCTAATAGACATAGTGAGAGGGGGAGAAAAGGGGGAGTATCTATTCAAGAGGGCATGTATTTGATATTATGGCTTAGAGGATAAGCATTTTCCAGGAGAGGGCACTTTTAAGAGTATTGGTGCTTATTCAAGGAAATTCAGGAAATGTACATTCATCTCAGTAAGCTTTTAATAAGTATTTTTTAATTTTTGTGTAGAAAGAGATACCAAGACGGCCTGGTGATCGCTGGATGATCCGTGGACCCAGTGAATATGTTCCACCAGTAGAGGTAGAAGTTGTTGCACAACGGAAAGCTATTCCTCTGGATGAAAATGAAGGAATCTATGTGAGGGATATCAAGACTGGACGGGTGAGAGCTGTGTGTGGTCAAACCTACATGTTGACCCATGATGAAGAACTCTGGGAGAAAGATCTGCCTCCAACAGTTGAGCAACTTCTTACTGGGGGGAAGGATCCACTGGCTGATCGTGGCACAAGGAATATGTTTTTACCACCTGAATTGAGTAAGGCCTTTTAAAGGGTGACTGGTGCCTCGCACATTTTATCTGTATTTTTATCAGTATCCATATACTCTATACTTTTCTCTATACGTTTTCTTTGGTACTATAATTGTTTCAAATCTATGATCATAATAATTCCTAATTACTAAACTAATATTATAGTATATGTGCAATCAGCATGGCAGATTTGACAATTTTGAGTAATTTAAGTCAAATTCATCAAAAGGGAAATCAGCTTGGCAGATTTGATGATTTTGATTAATTTTTTGGTTTTTTTTTGTTACTGCATGCATTTCTGGACATATTTCAGAAAAAGCTAGCCAAGGGTAAATCTTGTTCTAAAATCTCTAGGTTATCAGTCTCTTTCCACCCACTGGGATGAAAGTTCCAAGCTGGAACTAAATCAAACTTCACCAAGAAGGCCTGGACAAAGAGGTGAACAAACAACAATGCTTTCAACTCAGTCATTACTAAAAGTCCTTGATAGAACGTTGATTTTATGATAGTTGGAAAAGTATTCATGTTTAAGTTATGCACTCTTTTAAAAATCTAACATTCCTGCCATTTTAGCAATGCTTGAAATCAACACTAACCATTAACATTATTCAACATTAACCCTTTGACCCTTAGAGTGACTAACATCTAATTTCTCCTTACAATATCACCCCTGAATCACACATTAGGGTCACGAGAATAAAGAAAATGATAACCAGTCAAAGAGGCCCCTGATTGTTAAACAAATTCTCCTTGTCAGCACCTTTGTTAATGTATAGAGAACAGTATGGAGAATAGAGTTTAAAAATTAAGTCATAATTTCCTTCAATGTTTTTTGTCTTAAAATTTAACAACTATATAACAATTTTAATCATTTTTTGACTTGCAGCACAAAGAGAGCCAAAAAGCAGCACTGGTAGGAATAAAACCAGAGTTGTGACTTTTAGAGTCCCTCATAATGCAGCAGTACAGATTTATGATTATAAAGAGAAGACTGCCAGGTAATATGTAAGGGTGAACATCATACATTTAGTTTATCTACTTTGTAGGAACTTCATTAGACTAATTAACTTGAGTTTCATGTAATTATGTTGGAAATCTGTGGCAGAATTGTGTTTGAATTCCTGTTATTAGCAAACCAGAACTCACAGGTGCTCTTAAATCTTTTTGCTTTCAGGAGTTAATATAATGTAATTTCTTCTCCCAGTATCAAGATATTTTTAAGTACATGCAGGAAGGTGATGAAAATAAAGAAAAATATAATCTAGGAAACTATCTACCTTGTTAACAAAACAATTTCCAAACTTAGAAATTTCCAGAGATCTAATTTATGGCAGATAATAGAAGGTGGAGGACTTACCAATATTTAGATCTTGAGGGTGTTGAAAGGGTTTATTCTTTCATTCCCAAGGTAACTCTCTTTATTGTCTGCTAGAAAATTCTTATGATGTGAGTTTGGATGATTTGGTATTGGATCAACTGATAATCCCCTAATTGATATTTTCCTTTATTCTCATGTATTGTCTGCATGATATTGTATCGAAATTGTTAGGAGAAATTCTGCTTTGGTCACTTAAAGGAATTAAAGGGTCAGGCTATAGGATGCAGCTTAACCTTACTTTAATTATACAGGTGTATGGTAATGTATGGCAGGAAACTCTCCCACCCCTCCCCATGGAAAATTCTTCTAACTCTGTGACACATTACAGACCTGAGTAGCATTTTAAGTCCTGATAGTTTTGGTACCTCTCCACAGGGTTGTGTTTGGTCCTGAGTTGGTTATGTTGTGCCCAGATGAACAATTTACTCAGCTCAGTCTGTCAGGTGGAAAACCAAAGAAACCCAATGTTATTAAGGCATTGTGTCTTCTCCTTGGCCCAGACTTCTGTACTGATATCATCACTGTGGAGACTGCTGACCATGCAAGGCTGCAGCTACAGCTTTCTTACAACTGGTAATTGGAATTTTACTTCTCTTATGATAAATTGTTGACGGTCATTAGTTTAACTTTGTGATAGGTCATAGATCTTTATAGGTTATTATAGGCTTTTAAAAGTTATAGCAGCACAATTTCACTAAAATTTCCAATGTCATTTAACCTTGTTTTGATTTTTATTCTGAGGGAGAGTCAGTTGGCCTAGTTGTATATAATGCACTGGATCCTGAATCAAAAGGTCCAGACTTGAGCCCTGTCATTATACTTTTTGGTGATTATCCACAACTATAATAAATCAACGGAATACTGACTATTTTATTGACTGACATAGATCAGTCAGTCCTGAAAAAGAAAATCATGCAATGGCCATACATTAACCTTACTTAACAGGCATTTTGATGCTGGAGAGAGGAAGCCAAAAGATGCAGCCAAGTTGTTTTCAGTTCCTGACTTTGTTGGAGATGCATGCAAAGCAATTGCTTCAAGAATCCGTGGTGCAGTAGCGGGTGTCCAGTTTGATGACTTTCACAAGGTGCAGATATTAAGCAAATTAAGCTTAGTTGGTGCGAGCTAAACTGCATTGATTATATATTTTTGGGGAGACAGTCACCAAAGTTTTTGAAATTGTAAAAAAGATCTGATGTCTACTTTAAGCAAGATCAAGACTTAAGACATTTTAGGCCAAAAAAAAGATTTAGAAGCTAAACCAGATCCTCTCTGTTGAACACAGAAAGTAATAAGTAGATTCTGTTTATATTTCAGTTTCACTGGACATTATTTGTTGCTATTAAGGGTGACAGACTGAGTTAAATTTTTTCTTAATTTTACTTTAAAAAAATATGAAAAAGGATATGTTACCCACTATATACAATGTTGAATTTTAAAGGAGTTGATTGACAAACTTGCTTTTAAATCAGCTGCCACCCCCCTCAAAAAAGCTGGCAAAATTAAAGCTTAGGTTCTTGAGGGGATAACTAAAATATTTGCTAAAATAAATCAATTTCCCCTGCAGAACTCAGCAAAGATAATCCGCACTTCAGTGTTTGGCATAGATGACAACCACAAAATCCGAAATAAGTTTACTTTCCCAGCCAATAATCTAAACATCACTAGTATTGACATCCAATCAGTGGAGCCAGTTGATCAACGCACACGAGATGCTTTGCAGAAGTCTGTTCAGTTGGCCATTGAGATAACAACCAACTCTCAGGAAGCCACAGCAAGGTATGGGTCATTAGCTTGAAGCTTTGAATGGAACTAAAGCCATTAACCTCTAGCCTAAGGAAAAAATTTATCTTTCAAACGGCACTCTTAATCCCCTTGGTATCAACAAGCACTTTTCATTCAACTGATTTATTCTTGTTTTCCTGTCACCCATTTACACCAATACCATAACTTCATTTTCTGCATGTAAACATACACAACCCTGTGGCTCTGACAAAAGGGCTAACACTGGCAATGTCAGCCTTAAAACTCTTTACAGTGGCCCATTTACATTTTCTACTCAGTTGATAAAACTTAATTGTCCTGTTGTACTCTCCCACCAGTTCAGCACCACAGTTTCTTTAGAAATTTACCCCCTTTATTCATTTGAGCAGAACTGTTGTGTTGTGCGGACTACAGAACTATTTAAGGGACATATGCCTTGGTTTTAGCATATCATTTTCAGTCCCTTTTAAATGAAATCTCTTTACATTTACATTTATTGTTCCTTTCTTGTTACCTATGTCATATTTTGCAATGACTTTCTTTCACATTGAGGATAGATTTCTACAACTTGCACAAAGAAAATAATCAAAATACTAAGACGTAAGGTAATCTTAGTAATGGCAAATTTAGCATTTGGACTCCTAAGAGTGATTAGCATCTAATTTCTCCTCACAATGTCACCCTTGAATCAAACAGTTAAGTCACGAGAAATAAGGAAATGATCACTAACTAAAGAAGCACTTATCAGTGCCTTAAGAAATGTATAGAGAACAGTATGGAGAAGAAGCATACTGGTGTTAGGGTGTAAAGAGTTACGAACATGAACCTGTTGCGAGACAGCAATGATCTGATGGATTATTGTGTTTGTTTTAGGCATGAAGCAGAGAGACTTGAACAAGAAGCTAAAGGTCGCCTGGAGAGACAGAAGATCACAGATGAAGCTGAAGCAGAACGTGCCAGGAAGGACCTGTTAGAACTCCAAGCCCAAAGTGCTGCAGTGGAGTCAACAGGGCAAGCCAAAGCTGAAGCTCAGTCACGTGCAGAGGCAGCTCGCATTGAAGGGGAGGCTGCAGTTCAGCAGGCAAAGTTGAAGGCAGAGGCAGCAAAGATTGAGGCTGTAAGCATTTTCCTATCCTGGTATTTTCTCATGCCATAGTAATTGTTTTCCTAGGAGAAAAGAAATCTTCCTTGGAAAAAGCCTGTGAGCAGGTTGTTGTTATCAGAACTGTAATGATCTTGTTAAATGCATGTACATTTGTTATGTATGTTTATGTTTTGTCTTATTACTTCTTTAAGGAATCAGAACTACAGCGTCTGAGTAAAACTCGAGAGGCCGAGTTGAAGTACCAGCATGAACAGAATACTTTAGATGTCACCAAGGCCAAAGAAATGTCCAGCATCGAAACTGAAAAATTCAAAAACATGGTTTCATCCATTGGTTCTGATACAATTCAGGCAATAGCTACAGCTGGACCAGAGATGCAGGTATGTGCTGCAGTAACTTGTTGCTTTCCAGATTTGTTTTCAACTAAGTATCAAAAATAATCCAGGGCTGTGATAAGCAGATTATCTCCCAGAAAAGGGTTGCATTGGGTTGTCTTCTTTTTGATGAGTGATTGTTCTTGGAAATTTACATCATCCTCTCAACTGATTAGATGGAAAATGAAAACCTGATTGACATCATGTCCTTAAACTTCTAGTTCTTTTTCTCTCCTCATCAGCTTCAGGTGATTTTAATTATTTTGCCCTGATTGCCTGACACCATTGCTTTTGTTTTGATTTTACAAGACTCAGTGGAAATGTGCTTTGTTTTTGCCAAAATCTACAAGTGATAAACCTTGATTATGGTTCTGTTTACTATATTTACTACACTTTGTTTATTTCCTTATGTTGTTGGGAGTGAGGAAAGAGGGGTTTTAAAATTATTTGATGAAGGAACCTGAGTTTAATGGAAGGGAAATGGGTCAGTGGCTGATTTCTGGTCATTACATTGTAGGTGAAACTTCTACAGTCATTGGGACTGAAGTCTACTCTGATAACAGATGGTAGCTCACCTATCAATTTGTTCAGCACAGCACAAGGCTTGATTGGTGCCCTTCAACAGCCTGGCTCCTCCGAGGACTTCTGATGCATCATGATTGACTGACATGTAGCAACCTCATTGTTTGCATAATTGAATGCTTCAAATGCAATTAATTTAAAATTTTCAATCTCATACTTTAATATTAGTGTAGTGATCAAGAATTATTATCATAGTTTTGGAAAAATTAATATAACTGTAGTTTGCATACCATTAATAGCCAAAAACAATTGCACTGGCAATTTTAAAAGTTATTTTTCTTGCTATAATTATGCCTAATTCCATCATTGAAAAGATTTACACTTGATTTAAACTGGAGGAATCACTTAAAACAAAATTAAGGAAAAAAAATGCAGGAGATGGAATTGAATTACCAATGACAAACTTGAAAAAAATTCAGCTCTAATTTGACATGTTTCTTGCTTTGTGTGTAGTTCCTTTACAAAGTCAAAGTTGGGCTTTGTTTTACACCTTGGAACTATGAATTCAGTAGCTCTAACTCCAAAACACTAAACATGCCACAAATTATTTTCAAGTAAAAAAAAAGAGGAAGAGGTTATGTGCTTTAATTGCACAATAAGACAGTCTGGTAAGATTCTCTCTTATGGTAACCTTTCACACACCTTTTAACTGTTGTTTTCCTGTAGGCTCCTCAGTGCAATGAATTCTCAATATTCTGATGCATGTGGTAATGCTTAGATGAAGGGTGCTGTTAATCTTTAAACAAGAATCATCTAACAAAAGCGAATGTAAAGTGGCTAAGAACCTTTTGAAAAGATTTCCATTTCATGCACTTTGTTTTCTCAGGATGTGATAACATTCCTTAGTGAATAAATATATAATGCAACTGATTTCTTACAATAATGAATAAAATTGCCACTAGCTTTTGTACAAAAGATATGTTTGTTTATTTCCAACTTTGAGTGTTGTGGAAATTTATGTTGGCTTCCTTCACACTGGCAAAGATGTCAATGTCATTATCCCCCTTCATGGTCTGACTCCAGACATTAGGTAGAGGGGAAGGGAACTACTCCTGTTACAGACTGAAAAACTTTGGAGGATCATAAGTTTTAAAGGTTGTTTTTTTGTCGATATGACTTGCATTTTGAAATGCAATGCTCACTTGGGATGTCTCTCTATTGTATGCTTACCTAAGTTAAGGGGTGGTGCCTAATCAAGGGTACAGTTGTGGTAAATCATTCCAAAACTTTTGTTATGGCTGAGAAACAGAAAAACTCCAATGTCACCCAATTCTTTTTTAATGACTCAGTGCCAGACTACTACTATTTAACAGTAATAGTAACCTATGAGGAAACCTTCACAGAATTGTGTTCTTATTTTATATACAAAATCTATTCATAACAGAGGTCATAACAAATTATTTTGCCTACAACTGTAAGACCACTCTTGTAATTAATTGAACATCTTGGATAACTACAAAAATGTTCTAACTAGTGAGTGTAAATACAAAGGAAATATTTCTTCTCTTAAGAAAAACCCACTAGTCCTTGTAATAGGAGTTGAAAGGTGTTTTAGAGGAATTCTGTAGCTCTTTCTATAACTGGATGGTCTTTGATGGTCTGATGATTACTGACCATCTCACAACATAAGTTGTCGTTCACATTCACCTGCACTAAGCATGGTGCTGAGTGGCCTTGCTTTTGGCCACCCTACTGAGCCAGCACATTCTTTCTCTTGACTCCTTTCCTAAACAGCAGCTAGTTATTGAGCTGCTTATTGGAATAATGTAGTGCTCATTATCTATTGACAGTGGGTGCAGATTACATTTGTCCTATCTACTCCTCAACAGTCTGACTTAACACAACATGCTCAGACAACCAAAAGTGATGGGAACAATACTTCTGTGAAGGTCTCCTCCCACATTTCACACCCTAACATTTCAGGTTCCGCATTTAGGTCTTTGAACTCCTTGGAGAAATCTTTCAGGTTCCAGAGATCATCCAAAGAGTCCAAAGACTCGCATTCCATTCCAACTAAGTCTGCTACTGTTATGTCACTGCTGCTTGATTCTGGGACTGTGCCATCTGTGGTTCTGACTTCCTCTTTTGCATCTGGGTTGGTGTTGAGTTGACAGCAGGTTGGGGCAGCTGTGGCTTCTTGTTTGGGCTGAATAAGTGTGAGGCAGTCTCCTTCCCCATCAAGTTCAAAAAGGCCAAAATCCATGTCATGCTGAAAAGACACCAAATCATGGGTTAAAATCATGCCTATCAAAGGTTACTTTTATCATGCTTATGATACACATTCCATCTCCTTGTTTTTTTAATTCAACCTCCCATACTCTTGACCCATTCACTCCCAAGATCTCTTTAGTAATTATACTTACTGTCTGCCAGAAAATATTTATAGGTTTGGTTTTGATAATTAAGTGTTGAAACAAATGACAACCCCCTAATTAATATCATTTCATATTCCCGTTTCTTGTCTGTTTGATGTTGTATTGATGTTGTGAGGAGAAAGTATTTTTTGGTCACTCTTGGGAGTGAAAGGGTAGAAGAGCATCTAGAAAGCCATTCATAATGAAAAAAAAATTGGTGTAAAAAATTTACAGAATTACTGATAATAAATTCAAACAGCTGAACAGATATACTCAAATCCCACCAGTGATGGACCAGCTGTTCTCCTCATCAACAAAAATCCATTACATGACCAGCGTTACCTAGTAACATCAAATGAGGATATTGCCTCTTTTCTAAGTTAAAGTGAATTTTCAGTGGATAACAACTAAGTAATAAAAAGTTCAGCACCTCAGACATTATCCCACTAATTTCACTATCAAGTCTTTCACTCTCTTAAGGTTTAAGAATAAATTTTACCCACAAAATCAAAAAAATATCACCATTACCTGTTGTTGATCATCATCCAAGTCGTGATCAGAGAAAGAAACAGAATCAGGCGTTCCTGCTGCTGAGAAACTGAGAGTGATGCATACTCGTTATATTCTGCTTCTTTCTTGATCACAACTGGACTGTATTTAGTATCTGGACTGGCTTCTGAGGTTGGTGGGTAATTTGTAGACACTGGAGCTGGTGACACGGGGGGTGTAAGACCAAGTCGGACTCTTAACTCCGAGTTTTCGATTGTTACAGCTTCCGAGTGTTTCCTCAAACTTTCATTATCCAAGCGAAGGGTTCTGTTCTGTAAGAACACAAAGAATAGAAATTGGGCGGTCTTAAAACACAACAAGGCATTGTATTGAGGAATAACTACTTTACTGGTCTTGGTGTATCATTGCACAATCATATAAACAAAACTTTTGGTACATTTTCTTTATAACTTCCGCCTACCCGGAGTGGATGACGCATTAAAAAAATCTAACATTGGAAAAATATACCGAGTTCAAAAGATTTATTATTAGTTACGATCAATAATGATCTCGAGAGGGGCCAACATCGAGAAGCATTACGCTTCCATTTTGAGATAATTTTAGTGGCGAAAGACATAAAAACAACTTCTTCAACGAAAGTCTTTCAACGACAACTTAAACAAAAACGAAACACTGATTCGAAACTAAAAATTCACAACCGCTTGCGATGAAACAGAGGAGAATGAAAACAGTTCTACTCACACAACTAACGAAGGAAGTGTATCAAAACGTTTCTCAGTTGAAATTCGAGTGAATTTCTATCAATCGCGAGAAATTATCTGTTTATCGCTAAGTCAGGTTAATGAAGTTTAAGATTAAAAATAGGGAAGACTTAGGAAGATTTTTTTTGACTATTACCTCTTTCTCTAACTGCGCAACCAGTTCTTCTAGTTCTGTCATTCGTGCTTTCTTTCTGTCACGAGCAGTTTGAGCTGCGACTCGGTTCTTCAGTTTTCTAGATAACGCAAAAATGAAATTTCATTGACCCTACACAAAAACAGAAACCTTCTTCGAGATACATCGCACTTGATAGAAGGTTCTATTCACTGCTTCGTTCACAAAGGATCGCCCACCTTCGAAGAGCCCTTTCTTCGGCAGATAAATTGTCAAGTCTTTTTCTCTTTCTAGGCTGGCCATCTGTGGTTGAATTGTTCAGGACAAGTGATTTTAAGACGGCTTCTCTGTCGATACTTTTCGATTCCATTTTACCTTCAACGACTAATTCAAAGGTAAGTCACTTCTCCTCCAGAAAACTAATAACTAAGGCCTTTTGTGTACAATTACGAACAAGGAAATTTTACGGAAAGTTTCATCAGACATCCCAAATATGGTAAGCCTGTTTCCCAAAATAGAATAAATATGTCAGGGTCAGCCAATCAAAAGGCGCCACGAACTCACTTTCACTAAGAGCTTCATCAAAGGAGGAATGGTATGCCCTTACAGCGATCTTCCTTCGCGGATGTTTTTGTTCTAAATATATTTTTAGATATTCGAGAGAAAAATATGGTCATGGGATTTTAATTTAAAATCAATCTAGTAAATTTTTCAAAGACATTATATGGTCTTTACGAAGTAAGTTAACGCATAGGTTGCTGAAATTTACGTTAGTTTATCTAATTAAAGCATCAATGTCCTTGAAGTACGATGGCTTAGAAGAGACATCGACTTCCGAGACTTTTTTTTCCCAATCGTATTTTCCCTCTGCGAATTTTTTATTTCACTTCCGCGAATTCTCCAAAATAAGTCGCTCTTCCTTCCAGGCCATCTTGCTTGGCTTCCTCAAAGGCTCCTCAAGTCTAGGAAGATAAAGGTCCCCGTACCCACCTCCCTCGCGCCTCGCCACATTTCTTCCCCTCCCCTACCCCTAAGAGTATATGATCCTTGCCTACCATGACTCCCTAGTTTTCAAAATTCTCATTGGACAAATACGTTGACCAATCAAAATTAATGATACAAAATACAAATGCTGAACGGAAGGAGTCCATGTTATTGTCGAGCAAATCATATTCGCCTTCAAGAAAGGTTTCTCCGTTTTCGTCACAACAGAGAAGACATGTCGCTTAAAGGTAAATTATCTTTTTTCTCCGATATTTAGGATCCAACTATAAGAACTGAATAGAATATTTTTGGAATGCTAACAACATGTGTGAGTTTCAACTGTGTGCAGCTGTGAAGAGATGAATACGAGGAGTGCCTTAGCCGGTTTTGGAAATTAAATGAATCGGTGTAAAACGAGTTTATGGACCGTTTTCGATCAACAGTGTGTGAAAAATATTGTCGATTCCTTTCTTACTCACAAAACTTTGGTAGCATCAAAGGTATATAAAGAAATATCAATTTGCAATTTAAGGTAACATTAAAGATTGTGGTGGAATGTTCCTTCTTTGGCATTTGGCAAGCTCAGTCTATGTGGGAAAAATCAACTGAATCTCGGTACAAACAGGCCAGACTTAATAACCAACTGCTGTGTGGACAGCATTTTTAATTTCAGTCAATCAGAGACATGCCTGCCACAAGAGCAGCATTGATTGAGCCTACAAACTAACTCAAGAAAAAGTATGTAACCTAAATCCGAAAGAACCAGCACTTGCACCCACAAATAAGACTTACATTTTACCATCGTTGACCTAAAAATTCAAGGCAATGCAACAATTTTGAAAAGTTGTGTTTCGTCTGGTTAACTCTCTGGATACAAAATTTGTTCATTCTAGGTAGTAAGAAAGGTTCTGAGAAAGTTCAAACAGAGACAGTGAGCAGTGAACTCCTAGAAGAATCCAGTAAACGTAAATCAGTGGTTGCTGGTGTTCAGGTAATAGTGAGCGTAGTTAATGAAAATGGTTCGAACATATTTCATAATATCTAAACCAAAATAACTCTAGCTATACACTCACCAATAATTTGGAGTGCTGGTCAACAAATGGATGCAATATTGCCATGTGTCTGTTCAGTAACAGATCACAGATTACATCAAAATGTGGTAAGAACAAGAAAGTGGAGCACAAGGCATAGCCAAGTGTGTACAGCAGTAGTGTAACATATTTCGCATACCCTGTTGCTCAAATATAGCAAAGTGGTGTTTTAGTGAAATAATAATGGATTTATTAGCAGCCATTTTCATTTAACTACCCATACAACAATCAGATCCTGTCTTGGAACAAGATGCTGTCAGCCTGTGTAATTGTGGTTTCTAGTTTAAGAAATGAATATGAAAGCGATCTTTGCAGTAATGAACACTTATTAGGTAGTAGAGATAAAAAGGCCTGAAAAAACTCAGGCCTGTGCAGGATTTGAACCCATGACCTCTGCAATACCAGTGCAGTGCTCTACCAACTGAGCTAACAAGCCAACTGGGAGCTAGTCATTTTGTTGGTTCTTAATAAACCCAGGAAAAGATGAATCAATGACTGCGAATTTATGAAAATCATTTCTATGAACTGGAGTTTAAGAAATGAACATGGAAGCAATCTTCACACCAATGAACACTACTTAAGCAGGAGTGAAAAAAAGGCCTGTAAAAAATTCAGCCCTTTAGTATTTCCAGTGTTGAAATACGAAATGCATAACATTCAGTAAAGGCTTTAACCTTTCTTTACTGCATTCACAGGAAAATATGGATGACAAGTCACCAACCAAGCCAGAAAAGGGAAATAAAAGTAATTCATCTCCACCAGCCACACAAGGAATACCTACAGATTCTGATAATACAGAACAGAACTTACAGAGCAAGGATGATCACCAAAAATTACATGAGACAGCAACAAATTCACAAAACTGTGAACTTACAGAAAGTGACCCAGTAAAGCCAGGAGAAAGTACAGTTGATGAAGAGAACAAAGCTTTGCCTAAAGATTCTAAGAAATCATCTACAGAAAATGAGAAATGCAATAAATCCATTGAAATTGAGGGAAGAACAAAGCAGCAGGCATTTGATCTATTAAAATGGAAAAATAGTTCACCTACACAAGCTAAGGAGAAAAAGAAAAGAATGTTAGTTTTGTGATTAGTAATTACTTAGAATCATGTTTGCCACAAGTAGTTATTAATAATGGTAATAGGACTGAAAGGAATCCAATTCAGTCTGTGATCAAACGAGTTATTAACAAAATCAGACGACAGCAAAGAAGAAGTCCAATCTATTTATTACAAGTATGATTAAAGACAGAATTGGTCAACACAAAGTCCTATTACCAAGAAATCATAACTTAAAATTTCAAAAGAAAAAGAAAAACTGGAAAAAAGTCAAAATTGACAAAAGGTATACACATTGTCTGAAGTTGGAAATTCCCCAATTTTGTAGGGAAGAGGTTGTTGCTATGGCTATTGTAATCAATTATCTGTTTAGTGGATTTAGCTGAGTGGGCCTAGTATAATTGGCTAATTTAACTGTCTGATTACAGTCAGCTGTCTGATTACACTGTCTGATTACAACTCTACAGAATAATAAGAGAAAGATGAAGCAGCTAATGCACATTTGAAGAAATTGTGATGGTTATAGTTAGGATAGTTATAGAAATGATGTAATACAAAGTTGTAGTGTGGAAGATATGGTGACCTAAAGGTTAGCTCAGTGTGGGTCAAGAGGTCTGGGCCTGAGATTTTGCTGGATGATTGTGTTATGCTCTTAAGTAAGACACTCTATACTCACTATTGTAGTTTGCAGGAGACATTCCTTAACCCTTTACTCCCTAACATCAGTATGCATACTCTCCATACTACTCCCTAGACATTTCTTAGGGTTCTGACAAGGAGAATTTGTTCAACAATCAAGAGCTTCTTTAGTTGGTGATCATTTCCTCTAATCTCGTGACTTTGACAATCATCATCCGCTGACAATCATCATGGCGGGAAGAAGCAAAATTTTTAGTTCGCCTATACTTTGGTTTCTTTTTGGCTTTTCTCTGTACATATTGGCATGTTTAAGTGGCAAAGATGCACACATCGGACTAGATATGCGCCTCGTCAAAGTAAACAAGCAAAGCTGGGATAATCATCATTGGTTTTTGAAACCGATATCTTCCATTTTGTTTCGACTCAATATCCGCCATATTGGATTCGTGTGGAAAGCTCGAGTCAGATTCAGGAATTCGAGAGTCAACTACTACAGCAACTCCGATGCAAGCTTCAACTTTGAATATTTACAACTATGTGGCGACATATGTCCTAACCCGGGGCCTGCTTCCCCTCTGTTTGATGCACTTCACGTGGTGAGAGACAATGGAAAGCAAGGAGTATCCATCGGTCACTCGAACGTGCGAGGCCTCCGTAAGAACCTCCCCGAAGTGAAAATACTTTTACAGCATACCAACCTGGATATCCTAACCATTTCTGAAACGCATCTGACACAAGATATAAGCGATAACGAAGTAAACATCGATGGATACCGAATTCTGAGAAGAGATAGGTCACACAAAGTAGGAGGCGGAGTCGCTATTTACTTTAACATTAGCCTAGATTGTGTACGTATATCCAAATATGACAACGACGGCATTGAAGCTCTCTGGATTGAATTGAAAGCTCACTCGCAAAGATTACTTGTGGGTTGTGTATATAGACCTCCTGACGTTACATCTTTCTTTGATGAATTCAACCAAGTATTGAGTACAATTTGGATGTCTCGCAGGAATGTTGTGATCGCTGGTGACTTCAATTCAGATCAGCTTGCTACTAATGGAAATGGTGCGAAATTCAAACGCATCTTACAATCTTATAACTTTTGTAACATCATAAAAGCACCCACAAGAACCTCAGCACATTCTAACACTTTGATCGATCTGATTTTGACTATCAATACCTCAAAGGTCTCAAAGTCTGATGTGATTGAGTATTGCATAGCTGATCACAAATTCATCTACGTTATCTACAAGCTGAAGATCAGGAATCCAAAGCCTTTTATTAAATATGTCCACAACTTCAAGAACGTGTTGGAAAACCCGAAAGACTTCAAACATGACCTGGAAAGTGCTCCCTGGTGGGTCTGTTCCACCTTTGAGGACTTGGATGACATCACTTGGGCTTGGAATTGCATGTATAATATTATTGCAAGCAGTCACATTCCCTTACGTAAAGCCAAGGTTAGAAAAAATTCACTACCTTGGATGAACAGTGAGATCCGGAAAGAGATGAATAAGAGATATAAACTTCTGAAAGCCTGTGATGGCACACCCGCTACTAATAAACTCTGGGTTGATTACAAATCCTCTAGGAACAAAGTATCTAAGATGCTACGACGTGCTGAAGCTCAATATTGGAAAAAGAAATTTACAGAGACCAAGGACTCAAAATCTTTCTGGAAAACTGTGAACGAGGCCACTGGAAAACCTAAGAATAAACATATTGGCCCCTCAGAGATGCTGAAAATAAGGAAATCACAAATGACTACGAGAAAGCTGAACTGATTAACTCTTACTTCATAAATATTGGCAAGGAACTAGCTGAAAAATTCCCCGAAGTTGATGATCCCCATCAATTCATGTACAGAGTTACCCCCACTGTGCAGGTCTTGGAGGTCAACATCAACAAACTCAAAACTGATATCAAGACAATTAAAATTAACAAAGCATCTGGTCCTGATGGCATCTCTTCTCGTAGCTTAGCTATTGCAGGAACATCCGCCCTAGAGGGCATTGTAACTGTTTTCAAGAGCAGCATGGCTCAGTCCAGCTTCCCTAACACATGGAAGATTGCAAAAGTTAATGCAATCTTTAAAAAGGAAACCCAGCAGATGTTTCAAATTATAGGCCAATATCACTTTTAAATATCCCCAGCAAGCTGCTCGAAAGCCAGATCTGCAACATAATTGATACCCATCTGAACAGCTGTGGCATAAAAAGCTGTAAACAGTGGGGGTTTAGCAAGGGACTATCGACTGAAGGAATGCTTACCTCTATGACTGAAGGATGGAAGACAGCAATTGACAATGGTCTGACAGTTGGAGCAGTCTTTATTGACTTCCAGAAAGCTTTTGACACTGTCCCCATTATATTTTATCGCATAAACTACACGCCATTGGAATATCAGGATCTCTTCATGAATGGCTAATGAGCTATCTTACTGATAGATGTCAATTTGCTGAAGTTAATAATTGCAGGTCGGTCACTGACTATGTGCGATATGGAGTCCCTCAAGGCTCGCTTCTTGGCCCCCCGGCTCTACACCATATATGTTAATGATCTCCCTGACCACATCGACTCGGGAGATCTATACATGTATGCAGATGACACTACAGTTTACTGTATTGGACCAAATGTTGACCAGGTTATGTTGTCACTAAATAAATCATTGGAGCAAGTTCTCCTGTGGAGCATTAAGAATCAGCTAACCATCCACCCAATTAAAACTGAAGCAATGATACTAAGTAAAACCTCTTTTGTTGGGCCTATACCTCCCCTCCACTTTAACACTGGCCATATCGACCTGGTTAATTACACCACTTGTCTTGGAGTTAAAATTGACAATAAGCTGACATGGTCTGTGCACATTGACTCAGTGAAGAAATCTTTTACGCAGAAGGTTGGAGCGTTGAAGAGAATGAGAATCCTTCGAAGAAGGTTCTCGAGGAAATATACTTTAAAACAATTATCCCCAGTGTAACGTATGGAATTTCGGTATGGGGAAATTGTTCTCCTTCCGCACTGAACTCTCTAAACCATATTCATGCAAGAGCAGCTCGTATTGTGAATAACCTCGACTCAACGATGGCAGATGACACATGTCTCATGAAATCCGACTGGCTGCCCATCTCTTACTTCTATAAAAATCTGTACTGTTCCTCTTGCACAAAGTATATTTTGGAACAACGACCCAGTCGATATGTGAACTGTTTTCTAAAAAGAGTTTCTTCTAGATCTTCTCGTGTTCCTAACCAATTTAATGTCATTAGATTTAGATCAGAGACCGCAGGAACTCCCTACGATACAGAGGTCCTGTTATTTGGAATTTTGTAAATAGATTAGTTAAAGTACCTGAAAGTTTTTATTCTTTTAAACAAATCTTACGTAAACATGTTAAGACTATTGACAATTTTTCATTTGAGAAAGAGGCAACAGTAGTTGCCAACAGAAAGGACCATTTCATTTACTTTTAGATTTATATGTTAGTCTTAGTGAACACCATTTTATTTGTATATAGTAGTTCTAAGTTATTATTGCAATTTTTATATATATGTAATTCCTAATATTTAGTATAGTAGGTCCACATCAGCCCTTTGGCTGCCTTTCACACAACCTACTTATCAAATAAAGAATGTATGTATATGTATGTATGTATGTAATGTTTGATTCAAGGGTGATATTGTAAGGAGAAATTAGATGCTGGACACTTTTAGGGGTTAAAGGGTTAAAGAACTTGCAAGTTGGTTTTCAACCAAAGATCTTTATGTCCTTTATCTTCTTTGCTTTTAAATTTTTCAGCAAGAAAAAAGAAGTGAAGCATTCACGACAAACTGAGGTTTCTGAATATTTTCCTGTTAGGAGAAGTGGTCGCAAGAGCAAATCAGTTCTTGAGGTAGTAACTTATTTGTTCATACAACAAATTGGCTTTCCTAAATTTCCATAACACTCCTTAGTTTTTGCATGTCTTTCCTTTTTCCTGACTAACGTCAGTCTCACTTTTTAATTGTTTAAGGAAATGTATTTTGATTGTAGAATGAAAAACAAAAAGCTTTGGAGGAGGCCTTGTTATCAGGCAAAGAGGAAGGTCTAGAGGTAAGGCAGATATTCACCCTTTAACGCCCCAACACCAGTATACATTTTCTTTGTACTGTTCTCCAAGATCTGATTGTTGATTCTCCCCTGTAGCTGCTACACATTTCCTTGTAAATTAGTTATGAGAACTTGGTGCTAGAGCAAGATAGCAGCTTCTACCTGATAAGTTTGAATATTCTCATTAGCTGTTTGCTGAAGAATGTATGGATATTGTAGGGAGAAGTTTTATTTTAATCACTTCTGGGAGTTAAAGGGTTAACAATCAAGAGCTTCTTTAGTTGGTGATCATTTCCTTTATTCTGATGACTTCCATGTTTGTTTTAGGGGTAATACTGATAGGAGAAAATAGTTACTAATCACTCTTAGGGGTTAAAGGGTTGAATCTGAGGATGTACAACGATTGAATCTATGATAAGCTGAATTATGTACCCATTTTGATTGCAAAGAGAAACTAAGAGGTTTATCATGATTCTCAAACCAGGTACAAGAAGTAGAGGGTAAAGGAAGAGGTGTTTTTGCCAAAATAGACTTCACAAGAGGACAATTTGTGTGCGAATATGCTGGTGAACTTATTAATTATGAAACTGCAAAGGAACGAGAGAAATTCTATGAAGGAAAGACAGAATTTGGATGTTATATGTATTATTTCAACTTCAAGGACAAAAAGTACTGGTAAGCACTGTAAAAAAGTACTTTGTAATATCTAACAGTGTGTTCCTTTGAGCAGCAGCATTATACCACTAATTTGGTTATGCCTGGTTGTTTTGTTTTAATGACCTATCACTTTTTTGACATAGAAGAGATCAAGGACTCTCTACCCCTCTCCTACTTAGCAACACTTTGGAGTAAAATTACACAATGATCCCCACTCCTCTCCCACTTAGCAAAACTTTAGAGCGGTATTTCCTTTACTTTAGGAGTTTTTATTTACGAAAACGAAACCTAATGCAATTCACAGGAAAAAAGCAGCGTAGATATTTTTTAATTTTTTGTCATCATTATTTCAATTGGTTAGTGTTGATGCCACGAAAGAAAGCGGCAGACTGGGTCGGCTTTTGAATCACAGCAGAACGGAAGCCAATTGTGTAACAAGGCTGGTGTCAATCAAAGACAGACCTTACCTAATACTGGAAACAAACAGAGACGTCAAAGTGGGAGAAGAACTTCTCTACGATTATGGAGAAAGAAGCAAAGACATCCTTCAATTTCATCAATGGTTAAAGAGCTAGTGCAGAAATTCTTAGTAGGATACAAGATCTCTTCGCCGACATGTAAACTCAGTGGCAAGCAACTCGCCGACACTAATGGCCAACTCGTCAGCTCGCTAACCCTAACCAACGTTTTGTCAATTAAAAAATTTCTTGTAGTCTAAAGTATTTATTGTTGTGTTTGTATCGGCTAGTTTTCATTCGAAACTGTTAACTTTGTTATAAAAGGCCCCGATTTAACCTTGTTTTCAATGAGGAACTGACTAAGTGGTGTCGGCGAGGTGACCAATGGTGTCGGCGAGCTGACCAATGGTGTCGGCGGGTTGACATATCGGCAAAGTGACCGGTAACCCTGGATAGTCTGGTGACTGAAGAACTGACTCAAATTCTGTGTTGCGATCAGCCTTATCGCTACGAATGGACTGGATGCCAGTTGCCATTCACTTTTTCTACAGATCGTCAGACTGGATTACGTTTGAAGTATGCTCCTCATCCTAAAATATCTCATTTACACCTTGGGAAGCTGCTACAATCTTTAACCAATTTCATTGGTCTCTTTATGATAACGATTTCTGTGAAATTATTTAAAATTTTTTCGTATCGAGTTTACTTGATTTGTAATGATTTTTGTTTTCAAAAGGGTCTTTTTTCGTCAGGGAATTAAAGAGGATGACCTCATTAGTTTTCTTCGTCCATTATTGGCAATACGAATTTACCACTTCACTCTCTCAAATTCTTACACGCCTATTCGTGTACGGAAGCGACGGAGTGCTATGAATTGAGGGTTGGCGTATCCCCTATGTTTACAGCTGGTACTCGCCAACTAGTAAGTGCGCATGTCACTGTTAGTGAACATAAAATATCGCCATTAATACTAAACAAAGTGCAAACCCATACTCAAATTTTCGAATAGAGTATCCGCTTCCTGAACACAGGGCCGAGCTGTTCAAATGAAAAGAGTCTTTCTACATCCGAGTTCGCCAACTTGACCCAATTCTGATGAAAAGATTAGGAGAATGAATATTTTAACAAAAAAATTTTATACTGCGATAATTTGGTTTCAGTCAAATGAGATGATAATGTAAATTGGCCACCATACCATAAAGAGTTCCAAAGCTGACGTTTCGGAACGTCAGCCAGTTGATAAAAACAAATTATTCCGTTATACTCCCCACAGATGTAGCACCACAGTTTCTTTAGAAAAATACCCCTTTACTACTTTCAGGCTTTACTTGCAATTTCCGCGGCACTGAAACGTGCACCATAATCATTCAATTCAATGGGCCGTATCCCACTGCACGGCCCTTTAAAAAATTTATATTAATTGAAATCTTTCAGAACTTCGGAAAAAAACGAGGCTCGTAACAAGCAGTACAGACTGGGAAAACGAGGTTTGTAAGACCCCTTGCTGGCGTCTGTTTAGCTTGTGAGCAGGCTCTCGCCTTTTAGTTTTCCCTTACGAGCCCTCCTTCGGGCACAGCACCCCCTCCCCCATCTCATCATCTGCAGCTGCTTATGGAAAACGTTATCGAAACCCTTGTTTGTGAAAATACATGACTGGTTAACAGCAGGAACATATCGTCATGATCAGTCAAATCCTCTATGTGACGACAAGTCCTAATGCTCATTTGTCCTTTCCCTTCAATAGAGACTTGAACTTCTTTGCGCCCGACGTTTATGGCAATGGCAAACAGCGAGGATGAACTTCGATTTTACTTAAATTTCGTATGAGCTATACATTGATACTATAGCAAATGGCAAAACAAACACTCATTTTTGCAGATAATGCAAATACCTTCACTTTGGTATTGGAACTGCGGAAATCAGACGACAAGAAGTTCCATTTTAACCGCTAAGTTCTTGCCGTAAACTTCATGCTCTTGGTGCTCTGATCGCTCAAAACCAGAATTAAGTCATCCAACTTTTTTATCACCTGTAAAACACATAACTTCGGCTGAGATAATTTTCTGGCGACTTGATCGATTACCGTCCAGCATGGTTGAAAGTGACATGGTCGGACCTGCCCCGGTGCAAGACGACCCTTAGCTTAGTGCGTTGGGTGTGGTCCTATGTGCATGCAAGCTACCACACTGAGAGTATGGTATAAACACCATTACGATGAGACTAGGAACTTCGGCCAGGAACTTCGGAATGCGAATTTCACTTGCGTATATATAACACTCGGCTGAACTGGTCATCACAACAACAGAAGTGATATTAAAATAGTGACTGACTTAGCACATTTATTCTCCGGCTGTCAAAATTTCGTGATCATCTTGCTTTGAATTGAAACGGTAAAATTCTCAGTTCTTAACTTTTTTTTAGGTCGTTTGTTTCACTTTTCTACATAACGATACCTTCTCTATATAAAGAAATCCATACTTGTACAAGCTGTTTATCGTAGCCTGTTTTTAGTGTTCTATGTGGGTTGGAGGAGAAATGGTACATTTCTCTCGTTCAATATGTCGTCTCTGAATAGGGCCAATCATCATCCTGAATATCCGTCAGGATGTGGTTTCATTTGCTATGCTCAGTTATGAATTAATTTAATATTTCTATCTTTTCTGCATTAATACTCAGTGCTATAGTCTGGAGGCACACCGGATGTTTCATGTACGTATTTGTGTGAAAAGACGGATCCAAAGATAGCTATAGGGTTAGACGCTTATAGTTTATGGTGGTTTCGCCCCATCACAAGTTCGCCCACAGGCCCCTATCACCTTCACGAGTTCGCCGCCTAAAATAAAACAAGTTACTAACTTTCGATGATTTGGGGACGAACTTGTAAAAATGGAGGTGAACTCGTTTTACGTTAGGTAGGGAATTACATAAGTGGTAGGAGGCGAACTTCCGATGAGATGAAACTTCCAGTCTGACCGGAGTGCCCGCCTCACTGACTACTGCCCTACTTTATTTCTGTCTCTCGAAGAAACTTGAGGAGATGCAATTGTTTGTGGGTCCGGGTATCTGAGGGAATGAAATTTTACCTTGGGTAGGATGGAAAAATTAAGGATGAGGAAACAACGAAACATCGCATCTAAGAGTCTCATGACTCTTAAGGTAAATTGATGGGTTGCTCATGAGAAGAACTGGTGATTCGAAGTTGCATTGCTTTTAATAAACTGGTTTTTTAACTTGTTTCAAGTTGCAACGACAAGACGATTTGATTCGTTGTACAAGTTTCAATTAAAGTGATTCAAATAAGTATTATTTCAAATACAACTAGTACAAGTTGTAATACAACTAATACAACTATGATCATGGTACTCGCACCAGGTCCTTCCCATTTAAAACATCCGAGAGCGCCTTAAGAACGAGAATATAACCTGTCGTAGTACCATCTAGAACTATTTATATATATTGGTTGCAATTTCGCTATTTTTGGCCATGTAAGACTGAAAATCTCACTATTTCTGACTCAGAAGAATACAGAACAGAAAGCATATTAATCCCGCTTCAAAATGAGCCAGATTCCGTCAGGACTGTCGCGTCTTAAAACCCCAAGTAGAATTGTTAAACCGGTTCAAGGTGGCGGTGTAGGTGCCGGATCTCAACCTTCAGCTCCTTCAGTAAAACCACGTGGATCTGTTTCTAATTCTTCTCAGGCAGGATCGTCTACAGTACAACCAAGAACTAGTCCTACGGGGGCTAAACTTGGCCAGACTTCAAGTGGAGTAACTCGACGAGGAATGCCAACCAGCGACAATGGCAAATTGAGCGCAAGCCGTGAGCGCTTGGTGAGTCCACGGGGATCTCTAACTGGAGCAGAAGTTGCTCAACCGAGACTTCCTTCAAGAGAGAATTCTCAAACAAGACTGCAGTACAGAAGAGAGAGTTCTAGTTCTAGTTTACGCGGAGCTTCATCTAGAGCTAATGGTGCTCCCGCTATAAGAAGACGTGGCGAAATTTCTCGAGCGCCTTCGGAAAGTCAAAGTCAAACTGCGCCTGTTGACCCGTCGAATTCAAATCTACTCAGCTTGTTCAAACTAGGAGATCGGGTGTTAGTAGGAAACTCGAATCCTGGCTCTATAGCTTTTATTGGACAGACAAAATTTGCCAAGGGTGATTGGGCTGGAGTAGTTCTTGACGAGTGCGTCGGCAAAAATAATGGAAGTGTTCAAGGGGTGCGTTATTTTGAATGCGATGCGGGTCATGGGATATTTACAAAGCTTGAGAAACTCACTAAAATTAACCAAATCGACGGTAGGAGAACTTCAACGAGTGATGTTAAAGTTGAGAAAAAGAAAGCTAACTTAGAAATTGGCGACCGTGTCGTTGTAAGCGGTTCGAAACATGGTGTAGTTCGGTATCTTGGAGAAACTGGATTTGCTAAGGGAGAATGGGCTGGTATTGAACTAGACGAGCCACTGGGGAAAAACGATGGTGCTGTCGCTGGAACAAGGTAAAATGTGTTCTGTTTAATGTTTGGAAATTAAAACTAAACAGGTGTGTCTTTTCTACAGATGATTAAAGACGGAGAGTTTTAAACTCGCAGAATTTTTGTATAGATGTTGATATTGAATTCTATAGCACAATAAATGTTTAATACAATTGTGGTTAATTTTAGATTTAAATGATGACTCTTGGAAACATCTTGGTTTTCGAACGATGCATCATTAGTTCAATACATCACGTGTTTGTTACTGATGCCACGTCGGCTGAAATTACAGTTACGTTTGGCATTTCACTTTCGTGAGCAAAAATTTATCATAGTTATATGTGGAACGCGGTGACTTTATCATTTTGGAATGGTGGCTTTTATATTACCGGTTGAATACTTAATTTTTGAAACATTCCCTCAGGCATTGGATTGAGTTTGAATTTAAAATTATAATTGTTTCTAAGCGCATCATTTTTACTAGAAGCTAGTTGTTTATAATTGCCCATTTATAAACTAATTCATGATTAGTAGAAAGACATTTAGAAATTTTATTTTCGTCTATATGTGCGACACATAAGGTATTGAGTACGGTATAGCATGTTGTCTGAAAATTTGGCAGAGCACCAGGAGAACATTTTTCGAAATCTTTTGGTAAATTATAAGCACATTTGGATCTCCCATAATTATATTTATCACTGACATGTGGAAAATGTTGATGAAGGGAATTACTAAGGTCATTTCAGTGTTATTTTTTGAAAGGCACAGATACAGCCTTTAAGTGTGCCAGAATCAGTGGGGAAAAAAAACAAAACAAAAAAACAGTGGTTTTTTTCTTACAATATGGTGCTGCAAATAGTAACATGCAGCACAGCCAGACTACCTGCAGCATAGATTAGATATCATGACACAAAAAATAAAATTGGGCTGTGAATATTTCATCAGCCAGTTTTTTAATATAGTAGTAATTTTGGAGGACGTTGTCTTTGTTAAAACATCTAGAACATTAATCTGATATTGAACCTGCACTCAGATGTTTGTCAAACTGTGGCTTTTGTGGTTATGTAATAGAAGTATAAATTTTGAAATAAAGGAAGGAGGTCCCTTTCCTCTTTATCATTTGAATAGTTTTAATCTGGAATGTTGCTGATTTCTTGGGTTAGCTAGCATTTCTTTATAGTGCATCAAACGTAATGCAGTAAATAAGCTTAGGTGACATCTTGTCAGTGAATGAATACATAATTTAAAAGTAAATGAGTATAGGAACCCCTTTTGATATTGAGATTTCACTCAATCATCTTTTTTTCTTTCCTTATATCCATCCTTCGATTACTTTCATGCAATGTTCTCTTCCAATTAAAAAAATCCAAATACAAAAAGCCATTTATTTTTAATTTATCAAATTCAACCCATCAATTTTACAGTTTAAGTTTTTATTTTATTTTGTTTTGATCATTGGTGATTCTAGAATAATTAAAAAAAAAAAAAAGAAAAGAGAAAAAAAATGTTATGTCTGAACCTAAGAGTGACTAGAAATTTAGTAATTTCTTTCTACAGTATCACATCTGAATCAAACACTGAGATCATGAGAGCATAGAAGCTGATTGCTTATTCAAGAAAGCTCTTGATTGTTAAATAAATTCTCCTTATCAGTACCAAGGAAATGTATAAACAAGAGTATAGAGAATATGCATACTGTGTTATGGTGTAAAGGGTTAAGTTACAAGGAAGATACATAGGTTGCCAAAAGGCTCTGTCTCTGTCATGGATAGTAAGCACATTTTTATGGAACAAGGGCCTTTTCAATGACAAGATTCTGATCTTTCAACTCTTTTAAAGGAGAGAGTGACAGCTTTTACTAGTTTCACATCTTCTCACTCTTGGACAAATATCGTTCCTGAATTATGGATTTTTCAGAACTTGTCTTGAATGATGTAGTGTGCTTTATTAACTCAGATAAAAATGCACGGAGAATTTAATGGCTGTTTGTTTACAGCTGATACTTTTCTGTGTCAGAGAATTAACCCTTTACATCCTAACGTCATCATGCATATTGTCCATACTGTTCTCTATACTTTTCCTAGGTTCTAGCAAGGAGAATTTGTGAAACCATCTAGAGCTTCATTAGTTGCTGAGCATTTCTTACATTCTCTTGCCTTAAACATTTGATTGGAGGGATAGATTGTAAAGAGAAATTAGAACCTTGTCACTCTCAAGGATTTAATCTTCAAACTTTTGTTTCCATTTAAGTCTGACACTGATGTTCCATTTTATGCACAAAGGATTTGTTGTACTTGTGGCTAACTGCTCTTCTGTTTCCTTCAAGATATTTCCAGTGTGAGCCTAACTTTGGACTGTTTGCTCCACTACATAAAGTTGCTATTTCAAGTTTACCTCTACCACCAAGACTTCAACCGCAGCCACCTCAAGGAAATGATGTACAGAACTCCTTGGGTGCACTTGGAAGTAACAGTTCTATTAATTCAGTTTCTTCAACCCTCAGTGAATCCTCCTCTACCCCTAAGCCATCTACATTAAGTACCTCACAGGTAATAATTGAGTTTTACTGACACTAAAGGCAATAATTCATTTTGATGTGAATTGTTAAGTCGTTACATAAGAGAAAGGACAAGAAAAGAGAAGGGAATAAATGATGAACATAAAAAAAACCATCTGGAAATAAAAGATAATTTGGTTTTATCAATTAGATTGATAATGTAGATTGGCCACCCTTGAGAGTTTCTAATGCTGTTTCCCTCTGACAAAGGACTAATGCTTGAAATGTCGGCTTTAGAACTGACTCTTTACAAGAGCCAATTTACATCATAAGATCAGTTCATAATACCAAATTATCTTGTAATTTCCTGAACAGATGCACCACCATAAGAGTTTCTTCAGAAACTTTGCCCTTTTATTCACCTGGAAACATAATCTAAAAGCAATATTTACCCATTCTGGCTACCTTTTTGCAATCAACAAATTATGATACTGTTTATATTTTGTTTGCAACAGATTATTTCAAGCCCTGAACCAGAGGTGTCTGAAGTTAAATCATCACCACCCCCATCAGGGCTCACCCAGTCTCCTGCATCATCTGGTGTGGTGACATCGCAATTGGTGGCTTTGCAGGTTATTAACTTTCTTATTTGCTCAATTTGCTTGTTTGATAACTGGGAGATACAGTGGTTTAATGTTTAGTGCTGTGGACTGGGAACAAAGAGGGCTTGGTTCTTAGAGGACTGCTCTTCACCTTTAAGTATAAATAGATAACAACAAACTGATGAAAACATAAACCACAACAATTTTAATCTGTTTTTGGCTCTAAAGAGATTTTCTCAATCAAGGATCAAATTGAGCCTATCACGGTTGTTAGAGGTAGTCTTATTAAAATGAAACATTCCTTTATCAATTGACAAATGACCAGTAAACCTTGGTAACTGACAGAGACTAGCAGTATTGGGAAATATCACCATCTGCAGTTGCAGTGACCAGACTATGAGACCATCATTAACATAAAGTATTGCTAAGTATAAAATTAATGCACTTCACATCAGGAAAAAAAAACCCATTCTGGTTAACAATGTGTGTACAACAAACTCTTATAATTACTTTTCTGATTTTCTGAAATGAAATCAGCACATATTTGCTTTGAATTACCCAAGCAAGCTCCTAAGAACTGTTTTTTACTAAGTCTGTGTAATAGTTTGTATGGCCTAACCTAAAATATTTCGCACACAAAGAAAAGTGTCACTTTTAAATGTTAGAATGCCTGAGTTAACTTTGATGAACCTAAGACTTCTTAATTCTTATACATGGGATAAAAACTTAACAGCATGTTGTTTTTCAGACATCTACCGTAATGAGAGATATTTCAGGTTATATTGTTAAAAAAAAGGAGGTAAGAGAAACTCTAAAAAGGTAAATAAACTTAATAGAAAAATTTTATCAACTGTTAATAATAAAGGTAATAATAAACTGTGTGGTAAGAACATGTTCTTGGTGACCAGTCAAACAGTGGGCTGTTAAAATCTAAATTTTAATGGTTAAAGCTTAACTAAGCTTGTGCAGAAAAAATTTACTCTCACTGATGATCATGTGATAGGTGAAATTTGTGCCAGAAGTCTGTCTTCAACTCCTATGGGTGACCAAGACAGAATTTCTCTGTACAATACCAATACAATATTGAGCAGTTATTGCAGACAGTAAAGAGAATTACTAATGAGATCATAGCAAGTGAAAGGGTTAGCATTCATATTTGGTAAAATACATAAATTTACTTACTAGAGGGCCAACACAAACACTCATGTTGAAATTAAAATCTATTCATTTAGTAGTTACTGGTCATTTATTAATGGCTGTAATATATAAATGATAAATGCAAGATGCTGTTCTTTTGAAACAGTATCACTGAATTTAGAAATGTAAATGAAATGTAAATGAAATGTAACAAACCCTTCAAATTGTTGATGTATCTTGCTGAAAAAATTATGGGCAATTTATAATGGCTAAAATGAATTTTTTTTAACAAATGGGTATTAATCAAAGGTGGAAAAAAATCCACTAAATATCAATTTTTTTTTCATGCTAGTGCTTCCTGGACTAAATGATTGTTTATAAACCTTTTGACCCCTAAAAGTGACCAGCATTTAATTTCTCCTCACAAGATCACCACTGAATCAAACATCAAGGTCATGAGAATAAAGGAAATGATCATCAACTAAGCTCTTGATTGTTAAACAAATTCTCCTTGTCAGTTTATTAGGAAATGTATAGTGAACAGTATGGAGAATATGTAGACTGATTTAGGGGTGAAAAGAGTTAAGTGACAGTGTGAAACAAAGTGAGTAAATTTGTGACCTGAAATTGGATTTAACTAACTAATAGGAAGCACTGGAGGATAGAGAGAAGCAAATCCAGTCCCTACTGGCAGATAGAGAGTTTGAACGAGCAGAAGTTGCCAATGCCACAAGTCAAGTTACTAAGGTATTATGCTGTGGTGGAGATTTCTCAGTTGTATCTCAGTTAACAGTGTTCTTTCTCTTCTTGTGTGTCCTGTTTGAGAGGTCTCTGGGTTTGTTTTCAGGACTTGACAACTGTGCAAGGCTCTTCTGTTTTAACATCTCTTTACAAAAATTTCAAAGCTTTTTATTGATTATGGTATAATTTCAGCAACTGTTCTTTGTGAGCAAAACCCTTTACAATATTCCTTAAATTGCTGGTTTTGGTGTGGTGCTATTGATGCAATTCTGTGCAAACTTTGATGAATTTTTTAAAAGATTTTAACCCCTTTTTCCTTGAAATGAATTTTCATTTTATTAGCATAATTTCTTTGTTAACTACACGATTCATGTAGACAGACTTGGTTAACTTAAATTTCATGATTCAAGCTCTTGAATTTGAAATGGGAGAAATGTGATAGTATTCCTCAAAGACTTCAACCCTAAGCTAATGCTTTGATTCATTGCAGGTTGAGGAAGAAGTTGGCAAGCTAAAGGAAAAACACAATGAGGTATTGTACAGTACATGGTGAATGATTGTATATAGCAGGGTTGTTGCTTAGAAATTAGGCTGTTGACAGAAATTTCAAGTCAAGTGACTTGAATGGTATTATCAAGTTATTTTGTTTAGTGATCTTAAAGAACATTGAAACATGTTTGACTTGCATGTATACAGGCTATTCTTGAGAAAGAAAAGAGCATCAGTGAACTTCAGAGCTTACTTGAAACATCAAATAAAGAAAAGGATGACCTCCAGTCACAGCTGGAAGAAGAGAAAAGGTAAAAGTCGAATTCAGGAGTTCAACTGTGTTTGATCGAATTATGGTCAAGTCGCCGATGGTTTAACTTGCCAATGCCAACTCGCTGACATATAAAATCGAGTAGAGATGTTGGCAAGTTGGTCTTCAATCCAGTACAACTCATGAGAAGTTAAACATATAGAAAAGTAAAAGATCTTTAGTAAAAAAACAATTTTTTTTCTTCCAACAAAGTTTATAAGGATCTAATGGTGAATAAAGCAAGGTAAACATTGCCAATGACTATGAAAGATTTAGAAATGAACAAGTTATTGTTTGAAAACAACACTGTAAAGACTCATCTTGTCAATTGGTCAGATTTTAAAGAAAACTTGGCTTTCTAGACAAGATATTAAGTAAAAAACAATTCTTTTTATTTCCAACAAAGTTTATAAGGATCTCAAGGCAAATAAGCAAGGTGAACATTGCCAATGACCAAAAAAGCTTTAGATGTGAATGATCTAGTTATTGTGTGACAACAACTCTTTAAAGACTCATCATAATCTGTCAGATTGAATAAAAATTGGCTTTCTAGACAAGATCTTTGGTAAAAAACAACTATTTTTATTTCCAACAAAGCTTATAAGGATCTCAAGGTGAATAAAGTAAGGTAAACATCACCAATGACCGAAAAAGCTTTAGACGTGAACGAGTTATTGTGTCACAACCAGCGTCATTCTAGATTCACACTTAGGTAGCTCACTTTTGAAGGTGTCTACATTTGGTCCATCTTAATACCAGGCTATGCTGGTGAACAAAAAACATTTTCTAAACGCTTGGTGTTGGCGAGTTGAACCGTTAGCGACCTGACTGGATACTGTTTGATCAATTAACCCTTTAATGTCAGAGGTCTGATTGTTAATTCTCCCATCAAATTGCTACACATTTCCTTGTAATTTAGTTATGAGAATCAGTGTCCGATCAAGATAACAACTTCTACCTGATAAGTTGAGTATTCTCATGACCTGTTTGTTGGACAATGTATGGAGAAGTTGCATGTTAACCACTTCTGGGAGTTAAAAGGTTGACCAGGAAAGCTCATCACTAATTACTACCATTACACGATCATTGGCTGAAATTAAGTTATTTACTGTTATTCATGTTTATACAGGAAGGTGGAAGATTTACAATTTAAATTAGAGGAAGAGGAGATTACTCTTGGAGATGAACTTAAGGTATATCACCTTCTTTGTGATTTAAACATGGTATTTGCTGAGAAATTTTCAGGATCCTTTTTTTGCCTTCCCCTTGAAGTTTTAGAAAGGTGATTACCAATAGTCACAATCATAGAACATCTGAGGTTCTGATCTACTTGTCATGTATGTTAGCAAAGCTGTGCTCTGACAAAGAATCACCAGGCCTGAAAAAGAGAAAGTCTGAGAGCTGTTGTCTCAGATATTTGTAGTGCTTACTAGGTCTTAAAAGCTTCCATGAAAGTAGTGCCCTCCAAGTTACCTGCCTTAAAACATTTATGTCTTTTAGTTTTATCAGGACTGATTGTATCATGAATGATATCATCTTATGCAGAGTTCTGTAAAATCATATATTGAATTTTTCTGGTCGTCAGATTGAGCAGAAAGAAATTGAAACACTTGAGATTGAACTAAAAGAAAAGGTTGCCTCACTTTCCAGAATAAAGGAAGAGCTTGAAACAACACAGGTATGGTTTATTCTTTCACAGTTGGGAACTTATGTTGAAATAATGTTGGAGTTATGTTCAGAGCAATCTTCTATTGAGTGTCATAAAAACCAAACCCAGAGTAATTGCATCAGCCTATCGGAGGAAAGGAAAATACACAGAGTAGCCATTGAGAGCTCAAAGTAAAAACAAGTAAAAACTGGGAAAATGTGGGTAACAAAGTTATGACTGGTTTTAGTTTTGTATCTGATTGATTGAAATAGTGGTGCAAGATTTTTGGACCAATCACTGAGAGCAGTAAAGCAAGACCAATGCAATCCAGAACTGCTTTTGACACCCGATTGAAAATGGCTCCATGTGGAATATGGTTAAGTGGCCTATGATACACTTGCATGCATTTGTTGATGATCAGTTTCCACATTTTTTTTTTCCAGACTGAAAAAAGCACAGCATTATCAAAAATTACAGAATTAGAGAGTGCTTTGTCTGAATCAAATACTTTAGTTTCAAATTTGCGGACATCAGTCAGTGATTCTGATAGCAAGATCAGAGAACTGGAGGCAACACTGTTTGCAAAGCAAGAGGAGCATTCCGGTGATGCCAGCATAAGAGAACAGCAGCTCAGAGAGAATTCTGAAAGGATCAGTGCTTTGGCAAAGGATATAGAGGAACATGCTAAGATCAAGACAGGTCTTGATAGTGAGATTAAAATCCTGGTAAGTGTAGCTTTTGTTTCATCTTATAAATTATCATATGCTCAGTATAGTGTAATATGTTTTAAAAACAGTGTGGTTAGATTTGTGCATAAATGTACCTAAATAATTCTTTAAACAGAAATCATCTTTGTGTCGTTTAGCCTTGTGAGTAAACAGTGTTCTTGAGCACCAAAAGTGGAAGCTGCGAAAATACTCCTCTGATTGCTTGTTAAGTAAATGCTGGCCAATTTCTTTCTTTGGATGGACAAGAAGACAGATATTGGTTTGTTTTGACAACATTATTTTTGTTGCAGAAATCAGAACTTGTGAGGTCAAAGGAAGAGAATGAAACTTTGCAAAAAGAGATCAATGGTAAGAAGTGCTTCTTTTTTCATTTTTTTTATTAAATATCAAAAGTGAAGTATGTTTCCCAACATATGTATGGGAAGTGATAGGTGCATTGGAAAAGGGCAGGCCCATCCAGTGTAGGTAAATGTGAAATCTTCATTTATTTCCAAGGTCTCAGGTCAGCATTTTCTCACATCTTCAAATCAAATTGTAGATCTTACAGGAAAGCTCCACCACAAGGAAGATGAATTTTCTTCCCTATGCAGTGAGCTTCAAGTGATCAAGGACACAACGCTTGGTAAATAATGATAGATTTAGATATTTTTATCTAGAGCAGAAAATAGAAAAAGGTGGAAAATGTTGTGTTGGTGTACATAACACCACTGGGTAAATTTAGGACACTGTGAATACTCAAGAAATATTTGAAGTAAATTTCAACCAATGTGAGAGGTGCCAGAGGGAGTTGAGCATGGTATTACAGGGATTTCAATAGCTTTTTTCATAAGCAGCTGCCAATGTTGAGGTGTGGAATGAACCATGCAAATAATGTTTATTTGTCTTCTTCTTCATGGCTGTAAAGAACTTCAAAAACAGCTTCATTTAAGTGAAGTCAGGTCAGAGAATCTTGCTGCAGACAAAGCTAAATTGGTTAGTATACATTTGAATGCATTCTCTTTTGATTCTACATGTAGTATTGATGGTAATACCACTGCGATGTAATATGGCTTGGGTGCTTGAGGGAAATGTTTTAGAGTGTTATGTTTGTATATATGTTTGTATTAGGTTCCTGTCAAATTTCTTTCTATTACTTTTAATTAACTTCTTTTCTAGGCTGTTTTTGTAACTTGCAGCTGTCTGTTTTCTCTCATAATGCTTTGGGATGAGATTGCCATAGTTATCATGTCACCAAAGAACCCCTGCAATATTCTGTTCATTTGATATGGATTAACCTTTTAACTCCCAAGATCTGACTGTTGATTCTCCCCTCCAGCTGCTAATCATTTCCTTGTAAATAAGTTACTAGAACTTGGTGTTAGATCCAGATGACAACTTTTACCCGATACATTTGAGTATTCTCATTACCTCATTACCATTGACCTGTTTGCTGTACAATGCATGAATATTGTAGGGAGAAGTTACTTGTTAATCACTTCTGGGAGTTAGAGGGTTAAGGTTTCTTCAAAGTATTATTTCTGTTATTAAAGTTTATACTTTTTTATCATGGAATTAATCTGTGCCACATGAAAAGGCACTCAATACCTTTTTTAGTTCCCCACGTTTTTGTCCTTGTTCTTCCTATTTTGTGGAGAACCCTTTTATCACCATTGGTTCCCTTGTATTTGGTTCACTCCAATATCTGACTGTTGGTTCTTCCTATAGCTGCTACATATTTCCTTGTTAATCAGTTACAAGAGTCTGGTGTCAGTTAGTTTAAGTATTCTCATTACCTGTTTGCTGGATAGTGTATGGGTATTATTGAGAGAAGCTACATGTTGATCATTTCTGGGCTGATGAAAAGGGCTCACACACAGGAGTTTTGTATTAAGAGAGTTCAGCCTGATTTTATATGTAAAATATTCAGGTCTTGTAAGTTTTTGAAAACAAATGGCCAGTCTACTGTTATGGAAGTTATCGAGTCATCAAAATCTTTCCATTTTGTCCACAGCCTTTCTTGATTCAGAAGTGGCCATATTAATTAAGTTTACAATACCTGATATCCCTCAGCTGATGGCTGGGTTCTTTTGTATATTCAACCCTTTGAATCCAAGATCTGATTGTTAATTCTCCCCTCCAGCTGCTACAAATCTCCTTTTAAATTAGTTATGAGAATTTGGTTATGGATAAAAATAACATTTACCAGTTTGTTAGATACTGTTTGGATATTATAGGAAGAACTTGCATGTTAATCACTTCTGGAAGTTAAAAAGGTTAAAAAGTGGTATTCTTAAATTCATTGCATCAAATTTTTAATAAGTCTTTTAATTTGTCTTTTAATGAAGTGCCCAGCATTTTATAACAATGTTACACTATATTTGTGTTTTCTAATTCTGCACCTTGTGAAGTTCTAATGTAGCAACAATAAGTCACTTTATGGCTTCGTCAACCTTGTAATGCATAATTTATGATCACTTCATAATGGCCCTCTTTTCACCCAGAAAATCTAGGAACTAGGTGTGGTTTGTACTCCTTTGTGTGGTCTCACCACAGTAAGCAAACCACTTTGGTTTAGTAGGAATTCAAATTCAGTTCTTTCTTGTGCTTTTAAAGAACTCTGTTCTTTAAATTATGTAGATTTCTGTGTCCCTTCAGATTCAAATGCTGAGAGCTACAACCCACTCAGATGGAGAAAGAAAATATTTTGTTTGTCGTGCAATCTTTGTTGTTTTCTGCTTACAATTAAACATTTTTTTCTGTTGAAATGACACTTCTGAAGGAGTAATATGAAAAGCCAGAACTATTTTCAAACAGTTAATTAGCAAAATTAAATATCACCTGAGTGTTTCATTTCAAATTCTCCTACAGGAGTCCCAAATTGCTGAATTGGCAAAGAATTCCGGTGATAGTTCACAAAAGCTGGTTTACCTCAATGAACAACTCAGAGAAAAGGACAGGTAACATGTCGGCTCGCAAACCAGACTGGATCTCTTACCTAAGGCCTGTGAAGAATTTGCTCTTCACAGCTTGCCAAGAGTCTAGTTGCCATCCCATTTTGTCCAAAAGTTTAAGATTACCTGCAGTGCCAAGTTGTTTTGTTTGGTGTATTTCAGTTTTGTGATGTCATTGTGGTATGCAGTACCTGTCTGCTATGTTTGTCCTATTTCCTTTTCAAAAACTTTACACTTTTTCAATATGAAGCAAAGTAAAACTTCTCTTTTCAACAGAAATGCACTGCATATACTGAGACGTGTTTATCCAAGTCAGCTCAAGGCCGGTTTTTGTTAGTTATAAGTTTGTTCAGAAAGCATTTGGTGGAAAGAAATGATAAATGCAGACTTTCAGATGCACTTAAAACATTCACTGAATCAGTTTTTCTGTTAATTTATCGTCATTCATTTAACCCTTTCACTTTTAAGATTGCAAAACTAATTCTCATTACATCTCTTCCGATATTATTTTTGAAGATGTGGAGTTTAATCAAACAGTTTCCACTATAATATCATTTTTTGTATTTGGTTTACCTTTCTAATTGGCAATATTTGGATAACATAGGAATAGGAAGAAATTGCTTCACGGCCACCCCTGTTAATTCTTTGGAAACTGACCCCTTTTAAGTGTCAATCTGTCAGGCTCTCTGTATGTCAGTCCTTCTGTCTTTTTGTGTTTGTCATTTGGTCAAACATTCAGTCAAAATATGTCAGCCTTTTTAGCACCACATCAGAATTTCTAGTGCACTTTCATTTGCTATTGCATACTTGGATGAATTCTTTTGGCCTGTCTCTGTACTTGCTTGGCTACATCAGAAACATGGAAGTTATAAATGTTATTTTTACCAGTGCTGGGCACATACTTAATACTTTTAACAATTTTTCTGGTTTGTAATCTCTAGTTTTTCTGAGTGATGTTCACTGGAATATCTGTTGTAATTTTGTTTCACTTGTCGTCAATCTTCCTTACCCTTGCATGTATCCATCTTGGAAATCAGTTCTTATTTTCTTTTGGAATGAATTTTTGAACAAACTGCATATGAAAAATATACATAATTTTTTTGTGGTGAAGTGGTTTAGATCAGAATGTTTTCTCTGTAGGACTTTGGATAAATTGAAATCTTCCTCAGCTGAAGCTCAAGTCCAGATTGGCAGGCTGACAGAAGATCTTGCACGGGCAAAGGTGGGCCTAGTTATGCTGTTTGATACAATAACTGAGATACTATAAGCCCCCTGAATGGCCAGTTTTGATGTTTTATAAAATAACTAAAATACTACAACCTCCCTGGTTGGTCAAAAACCTTTCATTCATTCCACTGGTAAACCCATAGTTATTTTATAAAAGGAACAGACTGCATTTTCTATTGATTTACCAGCGTAATGGGCATTTGGAATGTTAGGAGAACACTTGAAAAGTTTTGTGTTCCCTCAACATTCTACATTGGTCATTTTGCTAATAAACCAGTAGAGAGTGCAGCCTACTATTGAAATATGAGTTCTACCTTAAAAGTGCATAAGTGTCATTTATATTTAACTCACCTTTGAACAGTAATGGGTTTAAAAGAGTAAAACAGGCCTGGTGTTCTCTAACAGTCAGTGAATACATTCAACTGTTTAACTAGGGGGGGAATACAGGTTCCTTTCATGCAATTTAGGAAACTGGGCTGTTTCATTAGGCAGGGTAAGTATGGTTCTCAGTTCAAATTAGAAAAATTATCAGCTGGCTTAGCCAGCTCTGACATCTGCCCATTTATAGTTTGTGTAAAAAAAACTTAGATCAGATGCTGTGCTAAGATAAATGAGTAAATTGTGAAAAAGTAGATAAAGTAAGGAACTCAAGGTTAATTTTTTGTCTTTGAATTTGATTTATCTTCTATCAGGAGCAACATGATAAAAATGTGCTGGAGATAAAGAAATCCCACCAAGATCAGACCTTAGCTACAGATAAAATGGTACAAAACCTGGTAAGTTATGGTGAAGTTGTGATAGTTTTATTTTCTGTAGCATTTTCATTGCTGGTCAGGGAAACCAGATTATATCCTCTTCAGATGAATTGAATATTTAAGTAGTACATTTGCACATCAGAATTCACAAATTGTTTCTCCTCATAGAAATCTGAGCTTGAGCAAAACTTAAAAAATACTGAAGATATGCAAAGTGCACATCAAGCCAAATTGCAGGTAGGTATTTTTTTTTTAATAGAGCCATGGAGTTGTTTTAGTGCCTTGTGTTTTCTTAAGCTGCGGTTTTGACATTATCTGAGTCTAAGTTCCTTGTTTCATTGTGTTTCAGGATCTTATGCAAGCCAAGGATACTGAGTATTCAGCTGTGGAGGAGCAAATGAAACAAAAAATTAAAGAGATAACCTCGCTTACTCAAGAGCTGAACAAGTTGAAAACTTTACAGCAGGAGACTCTAAAGGAGAACACAGAATTGTCTGGAGTAAAGGTAAACCAATTTGGATGTTGCAAATATCTGTTCATACAGCATCTTGCTCAGCTCAATCTAGGCATATTACATGCTGAACTGTCAATTTCCCTAACTTTCTATTTTATTTTTGAAATGAAAGTAAAATTTGCATTTTAAAACACCAACTTTTTCTCTCCCAAGATCTCACTAGTAATTCTCTGTAACTGTCTGCAGTACAATTCTAATGATCTTAGTTTGGAGAATTTGGTATTGAATTAATTAAGAATCCCCTAGTTGATATTTTTCTCGTCACCTGTCTGCTTGATATTGTATTGATATTGTAAGGAGAAATTATGTCTCGGTCACTCATGGGAGTTGAAGGGTTAAGTTGAACTATTGTGAGATGTGTGGGACAAATAAAAAGCTTGGGTTCCCTGTGAGAGGGTGAGCACTAGCTAACCGATGTTTTGCTGTGAATGCTCCAATAACTGAGGTACAAAGTTTTGGTGAGCTGGACCATTTACTTCAATCACATATGACAAGAGTCTTGGTTATGGAAAGATTATCAGCAAAGCAAGATTAGTAAGGTCATGATATTCTTTATAACTCACTGACTGCTGATTGTCAATTGAATATACAGGAACAATACAATAAGCTTCAGACTGATTACAAGGCATCACAAGATCAACTTGCAGCATCACAGCTGCAGCTGGAATCTTTGAATGCTGAGAAGGGTCTTGTAATGGGCGCTCAAGAAGATGCACAGAAAAAGCAACAAGAACTAACTGAAAAGTACTCAGCACTACAACAAGAGCATCAAAGCTTGGTACAAGCATTTGACACTGTCTCCAAGGTATGTGACTGTGACAATCTTTTGCAACAAGTTATGTGAAAGTAAAATGGTGAAGTCTGTTCTTGAGCTAAGTGGTCCATCCAGACAGAGCCTATCCTAGTTTCCATGGCTTGAAGCAACTAGATGGGATGTCATTCCTTTGTAAGGTTATCCCCCCCTCCCCTAGCATTTCATCAGGCTTCCCTGAAAAGTTATTTCTTTGGTGATAGTACCCAGAAACTTTTCTGGTGAACAAAAATTTTGTTGACTAAGATGATTGATTTTTGTGAAGTGTCATGAATCAAATGTTCTTTCCAACAACAGGAAAACTCCTCAAGAAAAGAAGAGGTGGAAGTTCTTAGTAAGGCAAAAGACATCAGTGAAAAGGAGAAATGTGACATGGAAACAAAGCTGGAAGAATTGAAAACTCATTGTAACAACCTTCAGAAGGATGTAAGTCTATTAAATGACATTAAATCCAGTACAAAGAAAGTACAAATAAAGAAAGTGTAAACATGTTTTATGTTTTGCTGGGCTTGTTCATGGAAGCAGCGAGGGAAACATGAAGCAGATTTAGGGCTTGCAATAACTTTTTTCTTAGGCTGCTGCCGATGGTGCAGTAGGCAGCTGTAACATGGGGGCGGCATTTAAACACAACAGTCAGTTTCCTGTCTTTATGTTCAAAGTACTGATAACATCCCAAATCAGCTAAAGTAGTTAAAAATGCATGAAGGGTTTTGTTGTTTTTTCATTAAAATTGGAATAGCAATGGTTGGAGCTTGGCAGCAAAGAAAAAAGAGCTGCTCCTATTCCTTCTTATTGAGTATATCTGTACGTATTGTTTTCATTGAAAACTTTGGATCAATATCAGTATCTGGGCAACTGTCCACTTACCCCTCCCCTAACCCAACAACAGTCAATTGATAACAAGTTAGGGTTAATGTTGGGTTAGGGGAGGGGTAGGTGGGCAGTTGTCCAGCTATTGATATTGATCCAAAACTTTAACTCTTTGATCACCAAGATTTAATTCTCCTTCAAGATTTAATTCTCCTTCAAGATTTAATTCTCCTTCTAACTGTAAGTTATGACTTCAACCTGATAAGTTTTGAGGATTCTCATTACCTCTATGGTGCATAATGCATTGATGTTATTGGGAGAAGTAACATGTTAATCACTTGTGGGAGTTAAAGGGTTAAGTTAGATCTTGTGCTCTAAGTTAAAAGGCATTCATCATTGTTTACAGGTTGAAGAGGCAAAGTCTTTGGCAAACAGCAAGGAAGAACAGTTGCATTTGCTCAGTTCATCGTCTTCAGATGCAGAAGAAGTGATATTGAAATTGAGGAATCAAGTGTAAGTACTGAATAATGGCCTTTGGCTTGGTAAATAACAATTTAACAAGGTTAACTGCCTTGAACTTAGTGAGCTCTTCTGGTCAGTGGTCATTGTCAGAAGTGCAAGCTCAAGTGGAAGTTTGGAATGTGACTATGGTTGGTATCTTTGAGCTTTCAGCCAGTTTGGTGGTGTGCTCTCCTCACTAGTCTTTAGCGCATTTTAGGGGTTTTTTCTAAGTGTCCCCCTACTCCTCCCTATCAATCTTCCACCCACTGATTCAGCTTGGGTTGACATGTGCCTAATGGCTGGGTCACAGGATTTTCCTGCCATGGAGCAGTATTTTATTTCTGGGTTGGCTGGTCACCATGAAGCTTCTGGATACCCCAGGCACTATCCAACAAAGTAGGGTAGCAGTTGACTTGTAACAGATTTATAAGCTGGCTCTGAAGTCACAAATAATAATATCGGATAGTCAGTGCTAATTTTGCATTGACTGTACAAAGAATTAGTTATTTGTAGGAGACATTTTTTTTTTTTTTTTAAATAGTATCTCTTTATTGCGCCGTACTCTCCAAAGGGAGATGTTAGTCTACTTACAATAAAGTTCAATAATACAATATGAATAACATAAAACGATAACTTTACCATATCCGAATACAATACGTTGATTGAAAAGCTATTACTGCTAAATTACATTTGTGCATTGAGACTTTGATACATTAAATGAGGAACTGTAGGAGACATGGTGGCATAATATAATATTTTCTGCCATCTGAATCGTTTTCAGGGAAGAAGCTCGTACACAGAGAGACCAAGTTACCAAGGAGATTACTGTCCTGTCACAGGAGAACCAATCACTTAAAGAAAGTGTTGATGCCTTCAAGAAGGATAAAGAAGAAGCAACCGTGGAAAAAGACAAGGTTGGCCACACTTTTGTGTTTTTCTTATTTTTTTATTCAATTTTCGATAGTTTTAAATTTGATTTCTCCTCCTACAGCTTAAGGCAGCAATGATGGATGCAAGTAATAAGATTGATGGCATGAGTGTTGAATTAGAAGAAGTCAAAAAACGGTGAGCACTACTTCATACCCCATAGTAAATAGCAACTTGTCTTAATGTAGAAAAACTGAAGCAAATCTAGTCCTCAGGTTTTTTTCAGTCCTTTTTTTTTGTGGACCTAGCAGAGGTGATAAAATCTTTGCTGAAACAGGTCCTCTGTGAGATTGACAAGAATTAATTATCTCTGAACATAATGCTTTCTGATATCAGAAGGGGACATTCTTGAGTTCACAAATTACTTTCATTAGCGGAATGGTGTGTGTTGGGTTATTTGGCCAGCTAAAGTGTGGTAATGCATTTGGAAGATTCTTTAGTCGAGGTTATTGCATTGTGCTCTTCAAGTAAGATGTTTAACACTCTCTGTGCCTCTCTCCTCACTCTGCAAACTGTTACGGAAACTTGGCGACATGCTCAGAGTCGGGGGACATCTGACGGACTATCATTCGATCGGGGGGTGGGGGCTAGGAAGGATAGTAACATTCCTAAACGCTTCACACGACGGAAACCGGAATGAATTCTTGCAGTTGTAAGGGTCAGTCTTATACGCAATGGACTTTTCTTGCGGTTATTTATATTTGTAAATGATGATGATTATTATTACTAATTTGTTACAGGGAAACTCATGCAAAAGTTGCTGCAGATTCTGAAAGAGAAGAATTGGAGATTAAGTTACAAAATGCGGAATTACTAGCAAAGAAAAGAGATGATGAAGTCAATAGTTACAGGAAAGAGGTGAGAGTTTCAACGCCTTTCGATTGAGTGTTCTTTAACCAAAACCAAAATAATCACAGGAACCACTGAATAGACCATAAAAACAATTTTCTTTGGTTTACTGGTGCAATAAATGATAGGTTTTTGACCAAACAAGGTACTAGTTGTATCTTAGTTGTTTTACTAAGTAGTGTAATTATTGTTAGTGTTATAAGCGATGATAAGTCACGGAAATTGATAGTCATGTAAATCGTGTTAGTACTGTACGTTAAGTGAAGCTAAGTTAACAATGTAAGAAATGTTACTACTACTCAGGTGAAGAATCGAAAGTAACTTTTGCATTTGAATTAAGCATTTGTAGCGGTTAAATTGAAAAAAATTATCATTACCTTCTAGAATGAAATGCTAAAGAGTAGACTAGAGAGGAGTATCAGTAATCCTGCTCCTACGTCCATTCAGTCTGTTAACGGTGAGTGATAAACATTGAATGGTAACATTCATTTTTAAACTCTCTCACTCTTTAAAGAGGGAATTTTTCGTGGGTTGATGCTATTGGAGAGGCGAAAGTCTCTAGCACATGAGGGACACATCAGTTTACGCTTTACAGGAGTAATGGATGTTCAGTAGAACCTTAGTGAACATTTCTCATTTTCCTTAATATTATCAAGTCATAATTTCGTGGGTGGATTAGTTTTAGAGGGGAATTATTTTAGTAGAAAAACGTGCTCCTGACCGTACAACATTTTTAATGAGTGATACCTATTTTACATTTGAAATTTCTTGACTCGACGTTGGTTAAACCATGAAACCTTTTGGTTTGCAAGTCTTGAAACTTTAATGCATTTAGCAAAACATATACTTTTTCTCATTTAGCTTCAGATATGGAGGCAGTGATGAGCAAGCTTAGAGAAACAGAGGACTTGTTAGAAGCAGTGCAAACAGAAAAAGGAAACTCAGAGGCACAGGTAACTAACGTTCAGCACGAGTCTACAATGAAATCAAGTGTTCAATGGATATTAGAACAGAAAGAGGTTGGATCGAGGAACACTCAATCTCGTTCCAGTCTCCACTCGCTTAAAGTTCACGCTCCATATCGAACGAAAACAGACTACTGACAATCCATAGCTTATTTTCAACAGCTTTATGAAGTTTTACATGTAGTTATATCTATTACTGCTTTCGATTAGACGGATTATGTATAATAGCAGAGAAAAAGATACCAACAGAAAAATAACTTAGGTGTCTGTTCCTATTGCTTAAAACGATTCAAGAAGTTCACAATGGTAATTCTACTGAATGGAATGCGATTTGGTCTGCGAACATACGCGTGATTTGAAAATTGAAAGAGCGCGCGGCGCCAATTTGATTTGAAATCACAAGTATGATTTCAGACCAAAGTTGCATGTCACGAAGTTTAATTACCACTTTACATTCATTTTGAAATGTTATTGGTTGTTGTGTTTTATTAAAGCTTTGTCATTGGCTGGAAAAGAGATGCGATTTAGAGCGAAAAATGGTGCGATTCGTGAATAAATCACACCAATGAGAGCCACTCAGATTGAAGGGACTACCAGTGATTCTAAAATGAATGTAATAGAGATTTATGAGGCCATTCTTTTTTTTTCTTTTTTTTCTTTTTTTTTTTAACCAAAATTTGTGGAAAATCAATCAAATCCCTGGTCAAAAACGTTAAAGTGACATTGAGAGGTTTACGAATTTTTTTTTATTAAAACAAACCATCTATTTAGAATGAACATTGGTGTAAGTAATGGCTGGTCTTAACTTCTTTACCCATGTGGTGATTTTCCACTCCGTCAAAGGTTTTTTATAAGTTTCGTGTCCAATGATGGAAACAGAAAAAAATGATAATCCCTTCTACTATTTGGGAGTAATTTCTTGGTGTCTTTCTTACAGGTTGACTTCTTGAATTCCGTGATTGTGGATTTGCAGGTAAGATTTGCTTCCTAATGACAGGCTCTGAAAACAAATTTGAGTCGATTTTTATCAAAGGAAAAGGGAGACATTTACATAAAGGTGATGATATTTGAGTAAAGTTGTTAATGGAGTTCTGTCCATTTTTTTTTATGCATTCAGAGGAAAAATGAAGAAGCGGGAAAGAAAATTGAGCTGTTTATGATGGGAAATGTTCCAGACACAAATGGCACCCTTAATTTGTAAGTTATAATGACTGTTTATTCAACCACTGCATCTGTCAGAAAATAACTATATAATCAGAACCAAGTATGTATTACTTTTGACTTAATTTCTGTGCGATATCTGTAAAAGAATTCAACAGGAAGGGGTTCAGAATAAGAAACTTATCAGTTGGAGAATGTAAAACCATTTTCTCTAGACTAATTTTCAAGGAAATGTATAGAGGCTAGTTGGGAGAATAACGTATCAGATCTCGGGAGCGTAGGGGTAAGAAGTCTTAGAAGAAGCTATTCACGTCTGGACTTTGATTTTGTGTAGATCTGACGATGATGAGCCAGTGAGACCGGGAATAAGACAGCGCTTGTTCTGCGATATTTGTGACGTTTTCGATCAGCATGATACGGATGACTGCCCTCTGCAGTCTTCAGATGCACCGGACAACCTGGGAACCCAGCACCATGGAAACAGAAATGAGGAAAGACCTTACTGTGACATATGTGAAGGTAGGAGCATCTGGTGTTGTCTTGACTGGGCGGCAATTGCCCAAAGTGCAAGACTGAGTAGAATTTCATCGAAACCTGTCATGAAGTGCGTTAGGCAGCTTACGCTGATTGGTTAATTGCGGACGGATTGTTGAATGATTGGTTGGGATAACCGAGATACTACGAGCGCCCTGATTTGTAAAAAACCTCTCGTTTATTTAACGGCCTCTGGCTCGTGATTTACAAACGTTTCTGGTGTTCAATACCCCGCGTGGGTTATTCCGCCGGTAAACTGATGGGAAGTGCGGGCTCTTGCTTAAATGATTTAGTACTAGTTTGTCGAGTTACCATGAGAAGACATGTGTATTACCTCATTATTTTTACGTGACGCATTTGGAGGTGCAGTTTACAATACCTGTAAGGTGAATGAGAACCTACTTCTCCACTCCAAAACGAAAAACCTGCGTGACTCCTTCCATAAATTTGACTAGCAGTTGGTAATTTTTTTGGGTCAAAGTGGCTTCAAGTTATGAACTAAATGTGAAAGTTACTTGTAATTTTAGCTGAAAACTAATCAATTCTACTGTGAACATCCCATGTAGTTTTTGGACACTGGACTCGAGATTGCGACGATGAAGAGGTTAGTTTTACTCGTTTTTTTTTTCTTCTATTGCCCTTAATTTCTTTTGTTAATAATACAAAAGTACAAACATTTTTTTTTTTTCAAAATGCGGAATGTACGGTGACATAGTGGTCAGCGCGTTTTAACCGCCAGGGAAACCGCGTCAAACGCAAAGGGGGTAATCTTGCATGCCTTGCAGCTCGGTGGAGTAGTAGTACTCCTATACTGTAGTTGCTTCATGCAGTGGAAACCTGGATAAGCCCTGGAGTTGATTAGCTACCAGGCCCCCAACTCAAAACCTAGCCGCGTCTGCACGCTTCACACGTGCCACACGTGATTGTGTCACGCGCGTAAATTAGGGGCGTGCGCCAGTTGATTTGGCTTTCAAATACCCTGCTCTCGTCAGTGGCTCTAACCCATTTCCAACGTTCACTTGTATCTTTCACAGACGTTCTGAAAGTCATGTCGTGGAGGTTTACATGCAAGCTATGAAAGACATCAAGATGTTGTCCTCGCTCCTCGCCTTATCTTTCTGATGTATGATGTAAAAAGTAACTAACAACTAGCAACACATAACCTTTTTATGGGGTACTAGAAGCAAGCTTTTTTACCTTCTCGTTCCTCGGAGGGGTGGGATAGAGAGGGGAAATTTCATATCCGACTTTTCCTGAGTCGTTTTCATGACGCGGGTGGAGACGGAGCGCGGGTGTCAATGAGGAAGGAGAATGAGATGAATGTATTACCTCCTAGGATCTCAAGTACTTAGAAAGTGCGGTTTTCTCTCTCTCACTCCAACTCGCACTCTTGTGAAGTGCACCAGTGTTATAAAGACGTGATACTGATTCAAATGACGTGTTTCCGGTGGCCTTTTTTTTTTCTTTTTTTTTTTACATCAGTAGCACAGTTCGTGTTAACCTCTACTTGTGTGACCAACAATAGCTTGCATATTTAACTCCCAGAGGTGATTGACATGTGAATTCTCCATGCAATATCAACAAATAAGCTAGCAGACAAGTATTGAGAATAGACAAACTTATCAGCTAGAAATTATAATTATTGCGCAGAGCACCAAATTGTTGTAACTAATCTACTAAGGAATGCATAGTAATTTGGTGGGGGATTTCGGCATTAGCTCGTTTAAGTCTGACTGATTAATGATCGCAGACTTTATTTAAGCGATCCAAGTGAGTTTAATTTAACCTTTTTGAGGGGGGGCGGTGGAGGGGCGCGATGAGAATATTGACTCCAATTGAGCGCTATTGCATTTTATACTTACCTTATTTATTATAAAATTGTTTTGTACTCTTTTTCAATCGTTGGATGAAGGGGCAAGTATGTGCACAATCGTTTTCTGTGAGATCTCGTGGATGAGGTTACTAGAGATGCGTGAACGCCTTAGTTTGAAACTTGAGTTAGGGTATGAAATAACAGAGAATGGAATATTGGAAAAATAGAATGGAATGTTCAAATAGTAGTCAAAGAGATTTCTTGATTCGCTTTCATGTTGCAATGTGGTGAAACTGAGGTATTTAGAGTAATAGGAGGTGAAGGAAGCACGAGTGCAAGAACTCTCAACCTGTTCAGTTTGTTTGTTTCTTTGTTTGTTTTGTGTATTTTGTTTCGTGGTTTGATTTTTGTTTTGTTTTTCGCGTTTTTGGCTTGTTCCTTTGTTTCTTTGGGTTATTGTATGTTTTAGATCTTTTCTCTTGCACAAGGTTACCCTTTGCCGCCCAAATATGAGGATAGTTGGAATTATTAAAGAGGTAGACTACGGGACTGTCCCTCCTTTTCGGTAGTCCGTTCACTTCTGTGCGCGAGTCGGAAAAAAAAACGAGAAAAAAAAAAGAGATTGATGTTCGCGTGCCAGACAGAACTCTGGGAACGAGTCACCTTCCTCCCGCAGTTGCAAGCGGCGCGCTGACAACGTCGTCGTCTTTTTCCGCTGATCATTTTTTGACTCGCGCGACAGACTTCTCTGAATAGGAGGGACTGCTGGTTGTCTATTTTAAATAGAGGTTACTATCGTATATATTATTGTAAAGACAATTTGCTGTGCAGATTTTGTATCTCCTTATTGTCTATCGTTATCATGGTGGCCTTACTACATTATTGGCGTTTTTTTATACATTAATAAGAAACTACGGCCATACCATTAAGAAAATTATTTTGTAATGAACTTAGAATAATGGGCAAACACCATTTGGTTTTTATTGATTTGTTTGGTCTGTGATTTCATTGATTTTTCACTCCCCGTCGATCTAAATTCTTGTTGAGTGGCTGGCTCCTCTTTTCACCCCTTCAACTTTTTTACAGTTAATGACACCAGCCTCGGTGAAAGCGATTTGAAGAAATCGATGATTTTCTCTGTTTTTATCTTCTGGATCCCTATTCGTCATCGTTCCTCCTTTGTTTATTTTTTGCTTCTGTATATTTCTTTTTTATTGAACAAATCTTTAGCGCTTCCCTCAAATTTAAGTCTTCCGGTACAGGTGACCTGAAGAACACAGTAATTCAGTTCAGCTTTTCATCAGGCACAGTGTGACTGGCTTGACTACAACCGCATCCTTCGTACCCAGATTAGGTAAAGACCTCTGCATCTCGGATGAGTGAAAAGCAAGGCACAAAGTTCGACAACTTTAGGTTCCCCTCCCTCCCCCCCCCCTCTCTCCCCCCTCCTCCTCGTTGGTCTGTATCCAAGACCTCTTTATCTCAGGAGAAAGAGAAACCCTGAACAGGAAGAGGGACATCATCAAGTTTATGTCCATTCTTATCCGACCCTCTTGGTGACTGTCAGGGTATTCACTATGGTGATGATGTTTTCCCTGGATTTGGAACTTTGCGTACCATAAAATACACCCTTGTTGCCTTCACTCGATTTTATTTTCCTTGTTAGTTTGAGAAGTCGGCGGCATCTTAAGCCTGTGTAGCTGTCTGGATTCTTCGCGCATTGGCTTAATTGAGCAAGGTTAATCGTAGTTCAATCGTGATTTTTAAATTTGTAAGGAAACTTTCACTATCGAAGGCCTTTTATTGACCCCTAGGTAAGATGTTCTCTAACTCTCTTATCGTTATCATCAAATGATAAACAATTTCTGGACAAAACACCATCCATCAATACCATTAGTTACAAACAGAATATGAAAATAAAAAAGTCCTGTCACTCTTTATGTACGAATAATCTGAGGCTCGTATCGTGCGGAGGTCTGGTTCTAAATCCTCAAATCGAGGTTGAATCGTCCTTTTCAATATGGCTTCCTTGTGGAGAAGAGTGTCTTCATGGCTTTCCCCTTTGTGCGGATCATATCTGAAGAGCTTTGCGTCGTGATCGACCGATCATCTTCAAGAAACTAGATCAATAAAATGGCAAGGCATAGAAACTACAGAAATTATGCCTACGAAGACGGTATAGTACATGTTGATTGTTATTCATTCAAACCAAACGTTATCTTGTTCTGAGTTACATCGTGAAGCCCAAACGTGGAAAGTAGAGATGTTAGGCTTTCTAAAACACGCGCTGATCGTAGTAATTCTATTAGCTCAGATGTATGCAACATGAAGTAAATGTATCAGATTCTCATTCGGAGAGCTTTACGGAAATTATCACCAAGATTTCAATGTACATTTCACCCCATACTTCATTATATATGCATACGTACAATTTTGCAACATAGGATAAGTCTCGGGTATTTCAGGATTGTCCATCTCGTAAAAGACCTTCACAGATAGCAAGGAAGGTTTCATAATCGTAATAAATCATTGGGCTGCAACAAAATCGTACCAATTCACTCGGTTGATTCATCCCCAAGGTCTTGTTATGTTCATGGCTGTAAACTTGCAGTGATCAATGTGGGGAAACGAAAATGTCTAAGAATGTCTGATCAAATGTGAAATTGAACTCAGTTTCAACAAAAAGTGCAACACCACATGCACATGATGATTTGTCAGTGATTGGTACTGACTATATTTTGTAGAAGTTAACTTAGAAGTAAGACAATATATGTGTTGCCTTTTGGTCATCAATATTTTTGTTTAACTGTAGACATGTCTGATGATGTGTATGGTCATTCAGTGGAGGATTATGACATAGCAGTATCACCAACCACTGGTAGGGGTTATGTATACTTTTAAAATTTGGTAGGGCTAAAAGGTGTAATTGGTATTACCCCTTTAAATCCCAGAAGTTATTAACATATAACCTCTCCTTAAAGTATCTATACATTATCCAGCAGACAGGTCATGAGAATACTCAAATTTATCAGGGAGAAGTTGTTATCTTGATTTAACACAAAATTCTTGCTACTAATTTACAAGGGAATGTGTAGTAAAAAGAGTTTGGGTTTACCCTAAGGTAAATATTGTTTGATGAAATTGAACAACAAGCTGATGTTGGGTTAGAAGAAAGTCAAATTTTTTTATGTTACTTGTAAGGAACCATAAATTCATGTACGCTGTATGTGACTTACAGAAAACATAATTTTTTGGATGAAGAGAATGGCTGTGAGGGGAGGTCTGTGTGAAATTATTTAATCAGTTGGTCATTAAAAGGTAGTAAGTTTAAAAAACTTGTGACTGTGTAAGTCATGTCATAGGTGTTGTTTAATTGAGTGGGACATAAACTAACAATATTTCATTGAATTTTATTGCACATCAGCTGAGGAATTCCTGTTCAGACGTAGCAATAGTCGGGACCCAAATCTATCAGCATACATGGCTGATAGATTTGGCAGAGTGGAAGAAGAAGATGAAGAAGAATCTGATGACGAACCTCTGGCTACATCACAGGACTACAGAAGACCTCAGTTAGATCCCAGGAGTGAAGGTAAAATACTAAAGGAAAAGGAATGAAAACAATATGGAGATAAGGGAAATCTGAATTTCAAGGCTGGAACCTTACACTAACATCTTAATAGATATGCCGTAACTGAAATCATGCAGATTTGTGGTCAGTCCATTGATTTAATTTAAAATCCACACAGTTATAGTGTTAGACTTGAGCAAAAAAAATACTTTATATGAAAAAATGAAATTGTGGTTATTTTTTTAACATTTTTATTTTGAGTGCAACTATCTGGATACTAAATTTACTATCTAGTTTAAAATTGATCATCACATATGACTCTCTTACACTGGGTTTTCAGAAAAATTATCCTCTTGTTTGGATCAACTTCATTCTATTCTTGGAGAGAACTTAGATGAATGCACTGCTGTGACGGCAGTTATTCAGCACAACTTTGACTTAGAGAGGGCTCTGGATCAAATTCTTAGTGGTGGTATGTTCTACTGTGTATGTTACAGGTCAAATTATGTTCAGGTTCATAATCGTACAGGTTGGAACAATTTTTTTTACAACGAGGTACATGGCAATGTTGATTAAACCTTGCTAATTTTTAATTTTTGTAATTATTTCATTTTTTGGAATTGTCCTTGTAAAAATATTTTGTGGCTGGTGCTACATGGCATTTCATCTCGCCCGAGAGACTTATCAGATACTTTTTGTAAATTCCAAGCAAACTCGCTAAGCATCACACTCAAAGTCATGTTTGTGAAGTCAAGATGTTGGCAGTCTGGCCCTCTATGACAGAAGGATTCCTTACTGCACATTCACAAGTAACAAAAATCGTGCCATGTCTAATGAGAGAGTTCGGGATTTAGGATTATTGTTAATATGTTGTCTTGTGTTGTTTGTCTGCTAACCATAGAAGTGTTTAACAGATAGATGAAGGTGGGTTGATTTCATTGATTTCAGGTTAATTCTGTTTTTATTTTGTTTTTCCAGGGGAAAAACATGACATCAAGGATATTTCACGTCCAGCTGGAAGTAAAGGTGAGCTTATATAAGAACACAATGACTAGAGAAATTTTCAGTTGAGTACTAAAAGTTAACCCTTTACACCTAACATCAGTATGCAAGTTCTCCATACTGTTCTTTATACATTTCTTATGGTGCTCGAAGGAGAACTTGTCTAACAATCAAGAGCTTCTTGAGTTTCCAACCATTTCTGTTATTCTCATGAACTTAATGTTTAATTTAGGGGTAATACTGTTAGGAGATATTAGATACTTATCACTCTTAGGAGTTAACCCTTTAACTCTCATGAGTGACCAAGAGAGAATTTCTCCTTACAATATCAACACAATATCAAGCATAGAAGTGATGAGAATAAAGTAAACTATCAATTAGGAGATTATTAGTTGATCCAATACCAAATTCTCCAAACTGACATCATGAGAATTGTATGTCAGACAGTAAAAAGAATTACTAATGAGATCTTGGGAGTTAAAGGATTATGAGGGGATACTTTGGTTGTACGTCTTCTGGCTCTATGATAATATTAGTCCAGAAAACTTTTGTCACCCCAACGAATCAGGTGCAACGTCAGAACCAATTGAGATCTAATCTCTGGCATTTTCTCATACTTAGCCCCACAACCCTTGACTCCCAGATCAAATTTGTAATTTTCCTTACTCTCAACCATACAATTCTTAGAATGTTAGTTTGGAGAATTTAGTTTTGGATCAACTATTTATCCCCAAATTGATATTTTTCTTTAATCTCGTCACTTATCTGGTTAATATAGCATTGATATTGTAAGGAGTTTAAGGGTTAACCCTTTAGAGTGACCAGCATCTGATTTCTCCTAACAATTTCACCCCTCAATCAATCAGTTAGGTCACAAGAATAAAGGGAATGGTCATCAACGAAAGAGGTTCTTGATTGCTTAACAAATTCTCCTTGTCAGCACTTTAGGATATGTATAGAGAACAGTATGGAGAATATACATACTGATGTTAGGGTGTAAAGGGTTAAAGAAGAAGCATGCCCCACTAACCATATAATTTTATATAATAAGTTCAGTTATGCACGCATTCTGATTGGTTATCACTTATGATCTATTGGAGGACAGACATATAGATGACGTCATCATTAAAACTTTTTTTAATTCTTTATTATACAAAACGAACAGATTCCAAGTTGCCATGCATCTGTTCAGTAATAGATCACAGAGGGCATCAAAATGTGGTAAGAACATCACTGACACACTCGGCTGCGCCTCATGTGCCACTTTTTTGTTCTTACCACATTTTGACATCATCTGTGATCTATTACTGAACAGATGCACAGCAGCTTGGAATCTATTTGTTAAGTTGACTTCACCATTGAGAAGTTTTTATGAAATTGTAGCACCATCATCATTATGGTCACTTTTAAGTATTGCCTTCAACAGTTCATAAACTAATTTTATGCCTGTTTGTTCTTCTTTTCCATGTTCTTCCTGTTGTATGGCTTTCACAAGGTAAGATTGTGAATTATTTCAAACCCAGTCAGAAAAACAGGTTCAAGTCAATGAGCAAAATAGACTATGCAAAAAAGCTGTTGCAAAGCAGTTGTCTGCAGGTAGAAAAAAGAATCTCAAAACAACTAAAGAAACAACTTTGTTGGCAAATAATTCTGGCTCAGTAAGTTTGTCAGGCATTTCTCCTACGGCATTATCTTTAAACACTTTGGCTCAAGGATCATCTGCTGACAACTCGTCATCAAATGACAGTGTTTTGCGCAAACCAACCATCGCAGCATCTTTGTCTTCAAACTCAAACACAAAATCTGTTGGGTCGTTTAATATAGATGGAGTATCTGTATCTGAACCTCCTCACACTGTGTCACCTCCCACTTCATTATCATCGGCAGCAGTTGCTCAGTCGCACCAAGCAAGAGTCAGTGATGGATCAGAGATGCCAGCACAAAGTGTTCTGTTAGCAGCCCCTCTAAGTAGCTTGTCTCGCTCAGGAGGGTCATTATCTGTACGGTCAGTGACATCTCTTTCAGTTCCTCTTAGCCATCTTTCTGGCCTAGGAGGACTACCATCTTTGTCAGAGTCACAGAACACAGATAATAACAAGCTCCCCCTGACCTTGGGCAGTCTATTGCAGTTGTCTCAGCAAGGTCCTTTGTCAACTCAGCCAGTGACATCTTCATCATCATCTCTATTGTCAGTTCCTCTAAGCAGTCTTTCAGGGCAGTTAGGAATGTCATCAGTTTCAAAGCCAGTGAAGGATGGCACTAACAACCCTCCCTTGACTTTGAACACTTCACAGTCACAGTTATCTTCCCAACAGGGCTCATTATCAGGACAAGCATTGCCATTGTCATCATCATCTCTTCTTTCAGTTCCTCTCAGCAGCCTTTCAGGCCAAATAGGAGAATCATCACTGTCAGAGCCGCCAAACAGTGGTCTCCACAACCCTCCCCTGACATTGAAGAGTTTGTCAAGCAGCCCTCTGCTCTCACCTCTTAATAGTGTCTCACAGAAAGGCAGTGCATCCACTAGTGAAACAACCCTTGGATCTTTACTTAACTCTACATCCAAAAGCTCTGCATTTTCCTTACCCCTTAGGAACTTGGCTGAGATTTCAAAATCAGGGTCAGAATCAGGAGAGGTTATTACACAAGGACCTTCATTGTCAATGCTGCATGGCAGTTTATTGCATGTAGGACACTCTCCAGGAAGTGGAATGGACACATCACCCTCAAAACTGTCTCAGTCATCTGGCGCATCCCTTTCATCAAGTCCACTATCAAATGTTGGTACTTTAAATGGAAATTCTTTGGTTCTCAAACTAACTGACCTGAAGATCCATGGCAATTTAAGTGGCATTCACCAACAGGAGAACGATCATAATCACAACCAGACAATGGAACACAAAGGTGTAAAAACACCTGTGATGCCCTCCATGTCTGACGTGCCTGTGAACCAAGAACAGTTAAAATCAGTGCATGCTGGGAATAACAAACCAATACGTGTTGCAACAAGTGCAAAAAAAGATCCTGTCAATATTTACAAGGGCAAAAGAACAAAAAAGCATTTAGAGGTAGAAAGAGATGGTGGTAAAACACAAATAAGACCGTCTCCATTGAGAGCAAAACCGACCATGTTTGCTTTAACAATGTGCTCTGCCCATAATGCAGCTGCTCAAAGAGTCGTCAAGCAGCTTTACAATGCAGATCTCTCCAACATAACCCCTTTTGACTTCTCCTTGCCTTCACCTGATGATATTGTGAATGAAAAGCAAAAGAAAGCATTTTTAAGAAAGAAATGACAGTCAAAAGGAATTCAAGAAAAAATTACACATTGATTAGGCTTAGATATGCAATATACCAAGCACGGCTGATTTTATTTCATTGCTTGACAGTAATTAAATTGAAACAGAGTAAAACTTCATCAATATAATATTTCAATATGAAGTTTTAAAAAAAAAACACAATTCTAGAAAGCAAGATAATTTTTCCCCCTGTAATTGTCTATATTTTTAAAATTTGTGTAAATTTGCTGTTGTTTTAAATATTTACAGCTAAATGTATATGTTGGAAAGTTTGACCCAATTGTAAGTTTTATTGACTAAATTATGTTGCTGGGGAAACAAAGAACAAATTGTAATGTCTTATTTGTATTTTAAGAGATCATACTGCACCAAAGTTGTTTAGTTGTGTGATGTTTGTCTAAACACTGCATTTGAATTCCAATGTCAGTATTGCTGTTAACCCTTTAACTCCTATGAGTGACCAAGACAGAATCTCTCCTTGCAATGAAACATCAAGCAGAGAAGTGACAAGAAAAATATATCAATATGGAGAGTATTAGTTGATCCAATACCAAATTCTCTAAACTAACAAAACAAGAATTGTACGGCAAAAAGTGAGAAGGTTTACTTATTAGATCTAAGGAGTGAAAGGGTTAAATTTTCTCTCAGGTTGATTTGCAATTTCCTCTGTTACATGTCTTGATTTTGAACCATAAGGTAAGACGACAATTATTAAAAAGAAATTTAAAATCAACCTGGGAACTCTCTCTAACTCTTTACCTGAAAGGAAAAATAAAGTGCAGTCTAAAAATTACTTTCTTATAAATGTTAATTGTATATTTAGTGATATAGTGATTTTGCTGTGATATTCTTTGAAATAAAATCCTTCAGATTCAAATGTTCATAGTTTTTTTTTTCAATTATCAGTAACTAGTAGATTGAAATACACAGCTAGAGATAAGGTTATAGACCACTTAACTTATAGTACCTCTTTGTACAAAGGGGTACATTTTACCTCCCCACAATGAGCTTTCCTTCTCTGTTTTCCTCTTCTACCAATATTTATCACTGGTTTGTCAACCTGCTTTTCAGTTCTCCTTATTTCAGTTTGTGAGGCTCCTATCACCTCAGGCTTTCCTGCAAGAGTAGAGCAGGATGCCTTTCCTCTGGTTGTGGAGGAAGGGAAGGGGGAGACAACCTCCTTGTGTTATCCCTGCCTTCTGTTCACTTTGCGTTAGTCATCCGCTCCCCCTTTCCCTTCTAAAATGATTTTTGTCGTTTTTCACTCTTACCATGCCATTTAATCCTTTCACCCCCATGATTCAAAAATCAATTCTCCACACTGTCTACCATACATTTTTTTTAGATTTGAGCTCTGAGAATTAGGTTTAAAATCAAGTCATTTCCCTCAGGTGATATTTTTTTTCTTTATTTTTATCACCTTTTTCCTGGAAAATATATTAATGCTGAAATTTCTCTTTGGTCACTCCTGTGGGTGAATGGACTAACCTGGATATTATGAAAAAAGTGGCAGTTTTGAAATAACTGTTATGGTTTATACATCAGGTAACTCTAGCAGTGTACAAAAAGATCCTGAACCACAGATCAAGCTTCATCATCCTCTCCTGAATAATGCAGCAAGCAACAACAAGAAGGAAGGTGTGTTGGACCCAGTCACTCCTCTGGTTACAGCTCTGTCAGAAAAGGCATCATTGGGCTTTTCAACTCCTTCAACTGAAAAAAAGAAATCAATGGAAAGGTAAGAGTGAAACCACTTTTTGACAGTACTCCTTCGCACCCTTAAATCAGTATGTATATTCTCCATACTGTTTTCTACACATTTCTCAAAGTGCTAAGAAGGAGAACTTGTTTAACGATCAAGAACTTCTTAAGTTGGTGATCAATTCTATATTCACATGACTGTAATGTTGGATTCATGGGTGATATTGTGAGGAGAAATTAGATGCAAGTCACTCTTTGGGGTCAAACTGTTAATTTATTCAAATTTCTTTCAAAGTCACAACTAGCTTTGCACTTTCCTGCATAACTATCAAAAAATAGATGACTGTGGACCAGCAACAAAAATAACACACTGCAAAGATTATTTTGATTAAAATGTCACTCTTGTGTTGATAATTCTAGTTCATGCCTTTCTTATCTTACCTTAGTAATAAACAAGAGCTGCATTTTCCTTGCTCTTTTCCCCAACTGCCAGCTATGCTCTTTTTCAGTCATCAGACTTCTCAAATTCTAATTCAGAGGATGTGTTAAGTTTTAAGTTTCTATTCTCTAGCTCTCCTGAAGTACCACTTGAAGAAGACACAGACCAAGCTAAATCAGCAGACACTAGCAAACAAAGAATAGCTGCCAAGAACAGAGAGAAGGAGGTTGAAGTCATCATTTTTTCATATTTTTTGATATTCTTATGATATGCAGTTCATTCCTTTATCATAGTCATTAATCTACAGTTACTTGTTTGGCTTTAATTCTCAGAAGTGATTAACATGTAACTTCTCCCCATAATATCCATACATTACTGAGCAAACAGGTAATGAGAATACTCAAACTTAGACAGGCAGAAGTTGTTATCTTGATCTATCACCAAATTCTCGTAACAAATTTACCAGGGAATGAGTAGAAGCAAGAGGGGAGAATTAACAATCAAATCCTGGGAGTTAAAGGGTTTATTAATCATTTTTCAATTTGAGTTTGAATAAAGACATTTAACATTTAAGCACTTGAAAAGAATCCTGAAAAAATTAGGCTTCTACAGGATTCAAACCTAGGCTTCTCAGATACTTGTTAGGCGCAACTACCAACTGACCTACAAAGCGACAGGTTGGAAGCAGGGCAAATTTTTTAGGGAGTTCTTCTTTCCTGTATAGCTCATCAGCGAGGATCAATGCCTCATTTGATCTTCAATTGTTAGGTCTAACGAGATCATTGCACTATTTGATAATCAACCTGTAGGTCTAATGAAACTTTTTCATCACAAATTGTATCACATTCCTCCATGGGAAAGAAGCCTTGCTAGCAACTTTTGCTTTATTTGGTAGGTCATTATTATCAAATGCCTCATAAATTGTATTCACTTCAATTTTTGACCACAGGTGCAAGAAGAGTATGACAGGCGTCAGAGAGGAAAAATTCTTCTTAATTTGGTGGTGATTGGTAGGTAATTCCACAATTCAATTTTCCTGAGTTAAGATTATAATCTTGGAACAAAAAAAATCACCCTTAAAAATGTTTAAATGTGGTTGAACTTTAAATGATCACCATCTATGTCTAAAATTTGCTGACATCAAGATGATAAAATCATGGGCTGTTGGTTAGCTCTCTCAAAATCACTGTTAGCTAATAGAACAGATTATTCCTACATCAATTTTCAGTTGATTGAGGCATGGAAAAAGTTTAGCAACTGGGCTTTTATGGTGAAGTAACAGTGTTGTCACAGGCAACCTTCCTTGGTTCCAATGGTAACCAAATCTCAAGGGCTGTGTGTCACCAACCATCAAACGTAAAAGCCATCAAAGGAAGTCAAACAATAATTTGCCACTTGAAAATGTGGTCTTCAAACTTCCCTCCTGCCCCACTCAACTGAAAATCACAGTATTTTGTCAAGTACTGACAAATGACTGAATTGCAATTAAAATTACTTTAATTTTTTTGTCAGGTCATGTTGATGCTGGGAAAAGCACACTCATGGGTCATCTTCTTTATCGTCTTGGAGATGTTTCTAAAAAGTCGATGCATAAATATCCTTTTCATTTAAAAAATTTATTCTATAAATTATTTGTCAAATAGTTTATTATAGTTTATACATTGTAGAGGATTTTTATAATTTTTACAATTTGTAAGAACGATTTGACATTGTTTATTCAAATCATCAGAGCAGGGACAAGAGGATTATTGCTCATTTAGGATCCTGAATTTTAAGTACTTCCATTTATATATTACGAATTAATACATGTAGATCTTGCCTTCCTAAAAAGTTTTTTTAGTGATAAAGTAACAATGGGATTACTGAATTGTGATTTGAAGAATATTTTGCAAAACCGGTAGCAACTAAAACTGAATTTTGATGGCACTTTCTATGTAATGCTTGTCTCCTCTTACCACGTTTTTGAAAAACCATCCAAGTTAAAATGTTTCCCTTTGAGACAAAGTCTATAAACCCTTTACACCCGATGATCAGGATCCATTTTCTCCTTACTCTTCTCTCTTTTGATACTAAAAAGGAGAATTTGTTTAACAGTGCAAGCTTTTTAGCTTGGCGACCATTTCCTTCATTCTCATATTTTTAATGAATGGATCAGCAGTATTACTGTAAGGAGGAATTAGATACTGGTCACTCTTAGGGTTTAAAGGGTTAAGATTCAGGAACTTACCTGGAAGCTTGGCACCCCATCCCATTAACTGCACTATAAAGCTTCCAGGAAAGTTGGCATTCTGTTAGTTATCCTTGGCAATGTGTCAGTAGCCTGTGAGCAGGAGCTCATTTTTAGCCTAGCAGGACCCGCATTTCTCCATGTGTGGGCAGATTTTAAATGAGTTGTTGGGAGGTTTACTGGGTATCAGGCTTTAACCATGTGCTAGACCCATTGCAGATCTTTAGCCGGCTTGTACTAACAATGTAGATCTCACATAAGTAACCTTTTCTTAACTGGAATACATATGAAATGGAGAGTAAAAAAGCAGGAAAAGCTTCTTTTGCATATGCCTGGGTTCTGGATGAGACTGGCGAGGAAAGAGAAAGGTAAATTACCTATTTAACAAATAGATTCCCTGTTGCCATGCATCTGTTCTGTAACAGATCACAGATAAAGTCAAAATGTGGCAAGAACAAAACGTGGCTGGTCTCTGATGTCCTGACCATATTTTGACTTGTCCTGTTATCTTTTACTGAACAGACCCATGGCCACATGGAAACTATTTGTTTCCTTTGATAAAAGGCAAAATGTTGTTAATGGTGAGGTCATCTATGGGTCTTGTCCTGTAATAGATCATAGGTAAGGACCAATCAAAATGCAAGCATAATTCAGCTTATTATGTAATAAACCTAACCCTAATCAATTAATTTTGTACTGTGGCAAGGAAGGGGATATGTGTTGTTGTTAACCAATCTGAGTGATATGTTGATTTTTTGACAGGGGAATAACAATGGATGTTGGTTTAACAAGGTTTGAGACAGAAACCAAATTGATAACACTCATGGATGCCCCAGGACACAAAGACTTCATTCCAAATATGATCACTGGAGCAGCTCAGGTTTGTTAACTTTTTGATTCCTCAGCTGCATTAAGTGACATAAATAGTTGTTAATTGACAGGGTAGTGTTGCAATACTACAGAAGTAATGAGTAATTACCATAGCAGACAACCATGAGTCTATGATCAGTCCATCATAGATGCTGCTGCATTGCAACATGGGACAGGCCTCCGCAGCTTGTTATGCTGCTTCATCACACATTACTCAATGCCAAGTAGACTTTGCACACGAGCTAGAGAATCAGGGGTGTTCAATGTCCCCACCCACCCCATGATGGTAAGACCTCATATATGGAGTCCATGTGCCGTGATCTTTCAGAAAGTGGTGTAAGTTTTCATCTGCACCCTCTGAATGGATTGAAAGAATGTAGGAGATAAGGCAATAGCTTAAAGTAACTTTTTGGTTTTTCAAAAATTGTGGTCACCTGGATGAAAGCTTTTAATGATAGTTTGCAAGGGTAGATAAACCCCAAAGAAGAAATAGTAAACTAAACGAGAATGAGAACGGTGAAGAATGGACAAGATAAAGCAGATCTGAGATTTAAATGACAAATTGTAAATTGAAGGTAAAATTTTGAAAAACTTTCAAACTGTGTGTTAGCTGCTGTAACATCACTATCTAATATGTTTGCCATCTAAACTAGCATGAGCACTTTTTTGCAGACAGTTTTATCTTGTAGTTTATGTTTTCTCTGTTGTTGTTGTGTTATTTTTGGCTCTGTTGTTGTTGTTGTTTTTCTTTGGGCTGCATTGACTGGTATCTTTGGTGATCCCAAAGAGTGAGTAACATCTAATTTCTCCTTACAATATCACCCTTGAATCAGATATAAAGGTCACGAGAATAGAGGAAATGATCACTAACTTAAGAAGCTCTTGATTGTTAAACGAATTCTCCCTGTCTGCACCTAAGGAAATGTGTGGTGAACAGTACGGAGAATATTTATACTGATGTTTGGGTGTCAGGAGCTTAGAAGAAATTGTTGTCTGTGCAATTATCTGTCAAAATGATATTCTGAGGTTTAATCTTAGGCTGACGTCGCTGTGTTAGTAGTTGGCTCCAGCACTGGTGAATTTGAAGCAGGATTTGAAGCTGGTGGACAAACGAGGGAGCATGCGTTGCTTGTCAGATCACTGGGTGTAACGCAGGTCATAGTGGCTGTCAACAAGCTTGACAACGTAAGTAGTTTTTATATAATAAAGTAGAAGTTTTGTATGAGCACGCAAGATTCTATAAACAATTTTTTATGGAACTTGCTTCTTGAGTGATATCCAAACTATCCAAGTTGTTCATATTTAGGTGAAGGCACAGTAACATCCTGTACAAATGTTTTGTTTTCAGGTTGACTGGTCAGAAGCCAGGTACAATCATATTACAGGAAAACTCAAGCACTTCCTAAAACAGGCTGGGTTTAAGGTATGTTCATCTTTGTACAAGTTACGTAAAATGTGTAATACCTCCCTCCTCTCCCCTCCCCTCTTACCCCGGGTTTGATTTCGCTCTTTCACTTTGGAAGATAACCGTAGAGAAATAGGTCTCATAACAATTTTCTGTCCTTGATAGGAGTCTGATGTGGTATACGTTCCCTGTAGCGGTCTCACTGGTGAGAATCTAACAGGGTCTTCCAAAGAGCCTCTGCTGCGCGCGTGGTATAATGGACCCTCCTTACTGGACAGGATAGGTACAAAATCAGTCCTTAAAGAAAGATGTTAAATATTTGTAACGAATAATGAACATAGGAATGAGTATATTCTCCGTGATGCGTAAAACACTGCCAGTTCTGATTTGGTTGTCAGACGCTTTGCCAACCTAAGGGAACTCTTTGGCAAGTTTGGCCTTATACTAGAGTGCAGTTCGGTTGATTGTTGTTAAGCCTAAACAAGATTTTCCCCATTGGCCAGTCGTAAGAAAGGAAATATCACAAAGAACCAATGAGAACCTAAGGTAAAAACACGGTAAAGTCTTTTAAGCGGGGGAAACGTGACTTGCAAATTCGCGATTGGCTTAAGTTTTGAATTGGTTGATTTCACGAATGGCGCGAGTTTTCTTGACCAGCTTGAAAGCGTGCTGAAGAGAGACAAAAAGCCATCCCAGACTACTTTCAATTGGAAATTGATTTTACGTGTCGAGCACACTGCTATTGCTAAGTTCAGTAGTCATTGTCAAAAGCATCATGCGTGATTAGTAAGAGGAAAGGATGCGAAAGATAGAATAGCGAGCTTGTTCGTTCAACATGTAAGTTGAATGAATAAAGGGGGTAAATTTCTAAAGAAACTGTGGTACTGCGTCGATGGGAGAATATAACATGGTAATTGACTTTTGTCAACGGAGTTGATAACGTAAACTGGCCACCGTGAAGAGTTTCAAACCCGACGGTTCGAGCGTTAGCACTTCGCCAGAGGAATTGTTGGTTGTGTGTGGGTTTATATGCAGAAAATGGAGCCACGTTCTGCACATAAACAGACACACGGGAGAAATTATTATTTGTTATGTTGAAGCATTGATGTCACCTGTAACAAAAGGTCAAATATTTCCAGTTCTGGAAATTTTAATTTTTTTTTTCAATAGACAATTTTAAGCCTCCAAAGAGGGACTTGGACAAGCCATTTCGGTTTTGTGTGTCAGATATTTATAAGGGTAAGTTTTACTTTGTGTGGATCTGGAGTAAACTTGATATTTAACTATTTCTTTGGAAATAGAAGCTGGTTTGGGCCAGTTTTTTTTTTTAAGGTGATTAAATCGCCATTATTGCTTGATCTTATCCTTGTTTTTAAAGCAGAGATAAAAGTCTAATTACTTAACCTTTACATTCTAACACCAGTATGCATGTTCTCCAATATGAGGTCTAGTTTCATTAAAACCCTAAACCCATTCAACACGAGACTTTTATTATTACAATGTTAGAACACTAACAACACTTTTTTATGTACTTAGGAATGGGAGCAGGAATAAACGTAACTGGTAAACTGGAAGCTGGTAGACTTCATGTCGGTGACAAGATTGTCGTTATGCCAGCAGGAGAGCAAGGACAGGTGAAAGGTGAGCAAAACTTAGTTTACAAATGATGGTTGCGAGGCAAAATTAAGGAAGAGCGCACTTTGATTGACTGGTTAAGTGATTGATAGAAAGTCGCAATGGCCAATCAGAAAAGGAAAACATTGCAAGCACCCAATGGAACACAAGTTGATTGGTCGAGAATTCGGCGCGAGTTTCCTAGACTAATCACAAAGCGTGATGAAGAAAAAACCAACGCAATTCAGTATTGCTTTTGAGGCGCAATTTTAAATTTCCCAGACTAACTTTGGGCCTCATTAGAAGCCAGTAGTGTATGTAAAATCCTGGCTTCAATGAGAAGTAGTAAGTTGTTTGGTTTCAACATTTGTGTTGCCGATTCTAACTTCTTGGACAAGCTGAATGAATATTCATCAGAGCATGTTTGAGTCAGTTCCATCAAAAAGGATAGTAATAATTAAGCCGCCGTTTTTATCATTTCGGAGCATGCTGTTCCTCGTCAACAGTTTTAGAAACGGTTATACGCTGAGCAGAATGTTTTTTAATCCTTGCTGCAAACCGTTGTTGGGCTAGCACAGGCAGCCCAGCATATGAGAAAGCCTTTCTCTTCAGTCTTGGAGCAATTTGATCAGCTCTCGACTGACTATGGTCATCTCCAGAGGAGTCCCTGAACTCTTCTGTGTTTTGGACTTTACAGGGTGGAAGCTTGGCAGAAGGGCGGAAAGTGTCCATCTGTTGTTCTTTTTGTAATTTTAACAGAGTCGGCAAAGCATCTTTTGTCACTAGTGTTCCTGTGAACAAATTAACTATAGTTATACTTTTGAACTGAGTTTGGAAAATAATGCGGAAATGTCAAAGTTTTGTTTGCCCTCTGAGTGGTTCAGGAAACCTGCTCTATTCTCTCGTCCAATCAGGCGAAAGTCTGATCGTTAACTGGTCACCTGCGTTTTCCCGCGCTACAGATCGAGTCTGATTGGCTCCTTGTGTAATTTAAATGTTGTTGGCCACGGTGATTACTTTGGTTTTGGGTTTCATGACTCTGAGTCAAAAGCGCTGTATAATATTCTACCGATGTATTATGAACGAACTAAAGTTGCCACCGTTAACATAGACGTTAATTACACTTAAACTTCGCAATTCCATGCTGTCTAGCTCTCTTGACAAACTCAACTCAGACTGTTAGCGTCCTCAGGTGATATTACCAGGTTTATTATGTGTTTCAATCTGAACAGAACTTTAACTTGGTGTAACTTACCAGTACGATCAAGAAGCTTATGGGGTTTGTCAAGCTTGTCTTGTGCCGACATTCTCGCCTGAAATGCTGCTGATCTTTTAATGTGAACAGTAATCGTGAGCTGTTTTGCCACTTCTGGGAACTTTGCGCTAAACAAAGAGAAACCAAAGTAGAATTACTATGATCTTCCATGAACCAGAAACTAAGCCGTTTTCTGCCCGTAATCACAACTGTGTTAATTTTTTTCCTTTTTAATTGGCCGTTGTGATTACGTTAGTTTTGGTTTTATAATATCAAAAATGGGCGTTATTGATGAATATGGACTGGAGTACCTAAAGTAAGGTGATAGCTTCTGAGATGCACGTGTTGTCCTCGTTCTTCTCCATTCGTCAGCATTTTTTAAAACGTGATTATCACGTGCAGCAGTGCTCGCTTTACCACATTCTCGGAGCAACTGTGCACATCGGATATGCCCCATTCTTTCTGCTAATATCAGTGGAGTTTCACCCAAGTCGTTTCTCTGATCAATATCCAAACCGTATTTCCTCATCTGTTCAAGAATCATTCGTGTTATCCCAAGATTTCCTGAAGCAGACGCATGATGCAAAGCTGTGTTTCCGTTGCAGTCTTTATCAAGCCACGGAATCTCTCTCTTCTCTATCATGACTGAAACTAACTTAATACACTGCTTCATACAACAGTAACTAAAAACTGAGATACCGAATTCGTCTTTATGCTCCACTCCGGCCCCATGTCGTAGCAAAATACGCCCCAAAGACACCCTTAAGAATTCATTGTCAAGATCGCAGACAAGGCGTAGCGGCGTGCACATGCGCGAATCGAGTTTATTGACGTTGCATCCCACATTTGTTAGAAGACGTACTTGTTGTTGATTACGACGAATTATTGCCTGATGAAGTGTTGGCATGGCTGTAATTTAGAGACCTAATGACTGTTATCGGGATCACGAGAGTTACTTGCTGCCTGAACTGAAAATACACAATTGTTGTTAATTGCTGTGACAATGCTACCTTGCCAACAAAAGAACTGAGCCTAAGGGTTAATCGTAATTCAACACCTCACCATTAAACCGAGCGTGCTTTTCGGTACAATTTATGTCTAAATCTGGAGGCCAAAATGCCTCATTTTGTTACGTTTTTCTTCATATTTTGTGGATTTTTCACATTGTTACAGAACATTTTCCTTAACCTCTGTGTTCTATTGTGGAAAACGACAGTAATTGCGGCCCCCATACTCTCTTTGTTATTTTCCTCCGCAACAATGCATAATTCACCTTTGATTCGTATAATCAATTTTTCCGTTTTCAATTCATATTAATCCGTTTTAATCAGTTAACTCTAACTAATTTGAACCAAAATTACTTTTGATTGAGCATAATTCCTTGTTAATTAATAACAGGATAATTAAAATTCAATACCAACCCGATTAGTTGAACCCCCGCTATCTCGAATGATTTGTTTCCCTTGGGAGTTCGAGCTAGTAGAGTTCTGTTGTATTGATATCATTTTTTTTTCTTGTTTTAAGCCATGAATATCTTGTGGCTTTTTCCTATTTGAGGAAATTTTCAATAATTACATAGCAATTATTTAAAGCATACCCAAATACTATGAACTAGCTCATTTAAATTGTGGTTTAACGTGTTCGAGTTGAAGTAATTTTCAAGGTCGCGATTTTTTGCTTATTTTTTTAAAGCGTTCCACTCGTCTCTTGCGCCTGTATCTGGCCATGAAATTTAAAATGGACCGGCTATCAAGAATTTTGCGTAGATGCTCATAAAGAACCGGCGTTATTTCAATTTAAAATCGTAGAAGCGGGAAAATCTTACATTAGACTCATGCAATCCAATTGCATTTTAATACCTTGTGTAGTTCACATTTTCCAACCTGTTGTAGTTTGTGCCATACGCCTAGTAACAAACTTCGCGTTCTTCGGATTGAGTTGGTTTGATCTAAGATGTCGCTATGGTGAAATCAGTTGGGGAAAGTGAGAAGTTACGAACTAACTAAGAACTATCGCCTATGTATGCTGTGGTCGGCTTTTTGAAACAATTAAAGCCGAAATTCGTTTCTTTGATTTTATAATTACGTTCAACTAATGAGGTAGCGGCAAGGTTAATAGGCATTATATTTGTAAACACGCTAAAATACACCAATGCCTTCAAATTACTGAATAGTTAATTATTAATGTAAGTATGTTGTTGTTGGACTTTCTTGTTTTTAGAATCATCTATTTGAGGATCATATACAACTATTTTGTAAAGGAAAACGCAAAATCTAAAAGAAAAATAAACAAACCAAAACGATCTATAAGGTTAATTTGTAAGTGATGTAAATGTAAAAGACCGTCTCCGAAATTACTGCTGGCAGTTTACACCAGTAATTAATAAATTGCGCACCCCTGATATTTGTGCCCACTCCAAAATATTCACCGTTTGGGAATCTTATCTATTTTTTATGTAGCTTGCTGTTGTTTCATCAGTGAAAATTTAATTAACTCTTCCACTCCCCAGAGTAACCAACAAGAACATTCTTCGGACATTATCGTTACATTTTCAAAGCAGATGAAAGCGAAAAGAAATATCACTAGGGGTATATTGTGTACTTTAGACCCAAATACTCAAAGCTCAGATTTTAAGAAATTTACGACTGACGGTTAGGATAATTGATATCTAATGTGAATGAAAAATACAGAAATTCGTGTGACTGGGGTATATCATTACATGATCTTCTCCGAGAAAAGAAATGTCGCTAAATCTGAACAATTTCTCTCGATTACCTCTTTGATCGCTTAAATTTTACCAGATATCGCTCGCTTGTAGCATCTCAAGCAGCAACTAAAGCTTCTACTTGACTATTCGTTCATTTTTCAAAGGAAGGCTATGTTTGTTTACTGTTTCCACTCAGGCCTAAGCATACATGACGAACCTGTGCAGTTGGCGTGCGCCGGGGATCACTCCACATTGGTTCTATCGGGCTTGGACATGATGCATGTCGGGTAAGTATGGGATAGCTATGGCACTTAATTCATAGAGACACCTGTTGTACTGTTGAAGCTAGAAGACTATCAATCAAACAGTTCAAAAGGGACCTGATTTCATTGCTGGTTGGATAACGGTAGCAGACAAATGCCCGCCTACAATTTTTTTACATTAAACGAGTTGTGTTATGGGTTTTACATCTTGAAAAATGTATGCTGAGTTTTTATTCGGCTTTTTTCAATCCTACCCAATTTCCCCCATCCCTATCTATTCACGTATCTCTCTGTAGTCCTTCACGATGAAGGAGAGGGGTGGGTGGGGGAGTGAATAGTAGTCTTTTCGCCCTTCCTCCCATCCCCGCCCGCCGCCTCTATGTCCAAAACAAACATGGCCGGTTGAATAAACGATCGCGAGCTTCTTAAAGTTAAATCGAACTTCTAAGATGCCCTAAGTCTCGTTTGTTTATTTTTTTTTATCCTCAGATTGGGAACTGTTTTGTGTCCACCCCGCTCGCCGATCAAGTGTACCACCAAATTGAAAGCTCGCATTTTAGTTTTTAACGTTCGTGTTCCTATCACCAAGGGATTCATGGTGAGTAGCCATTGTGGATTTTTACAAATAAACTATGTTAGGAAGATTTTTCAGATTTTCTCGGATTTTTCAATGATTTTATGCCCAAAAAAAAATACATTATTAAGCTTGAAAAGAGAATCTCTTTGACGAGCGGTTTCAACTCACATCATTGGAATCTAACTTGACGATGTTAAATATTTTATCGTGGCTTTTTGGAATGTGAGTCGCTAAGGATGGTGGTCACTCTTAAAAGCATTTCTGGTTTCCTTGTGAAATGCAGCCTCCTAATTAACTGGCAGAGTGTTAGATTTTGTGTTAAGAGGTCTGAGTTCAAACCCTGGCCGGGTCATTTTACGCGATAGTTTACTCTGTGTGCATGAGTACAAGAAAATTGTGAGAGAAACTTGAAGAATCAACCCTTGACCTCTAAGCTTGACTAGCGCCTAATTTCTTCATACAATATCAGCCCTGAATCAAACATCTAAGTCACAAGAATAAAGAAGCTCTTGATTGAGAAGCAAATTCTCCCTCGTCAGCACCTTAGGAAATGTATAAAAAACAGTATGGAGAATATGCATACTGATGTTAGGGTGTAAACATCTTTAACCTTACCGTTCGAAATAAGTCTGTCTGTACAGTCACGAACAAGCCTGCTTATTTGCCTACATTCCTTTGCAGACCCCTTGTAAATATAAGAAAGCTTGCATGAGGCTCGATATTTTGAGAGGTTTTTAAGTGATTTTATGTGAGTAAAAAAATATACACTCAACTGGGAACTGACTGTTCAGTTCACATCCAAATACGGAAACTGTGGATGTCGCTTGACTCAGTTCATTAATTAACCGTTCTTAAGTTGTTCCTGCCGTCGTGTAGGAATTTTGTTAAACGTACGAGATAAGGAGCGAAAATAGCAAACCTGAAAATACTCCAAGAGTCGACAGAGTAAACAAAATAAAAAGAGTTGACGTAATCGACAGAGTTTACAAAATAAAAAGAGTTGACGTAATCGACAGAGTTTACAAAATAAAAAGAGTTGACGTAATCGACAGAGTTTACAAAATTAACAGAGTGTACAGAGTAGACAAAATCAACAGAGTGTAGACAAAATCAACAGAGTGTAGACAAAATCAACAGAGTGTAGACAAAATCAACAGAGTGTACAGAGTGGACAAAATCAACAGAGTGTAGACAAAATCAACAGAGTGTACAGAGTGGACAAAATCAACAAAAAAACAACTAAAAATCAAAAAGCGGACAAAATCAATGCATATCTCGGTATCACGAACATTTTGGTTGTTTTTTCGCTTACTCGTTAAATCGTGGTTTTCAATAAAACGAACCTCCGACATAACGAACAAGTTTCCCCAGTCTCTTGGCACTTCGTTGAATTGAGGTTACACTGTATCTTAGTCTTCTGAACGTTCAGTACAAGGATGGAAATGCAGTTACCACTTCATTTCCCATACGGTCATAAATAACTCTCGTAACGTAACACTTACATTCCGTAAGACCATGCTCGCCAACAGCGTCCTTAAACCTTCTTTTTAACACAAGTGTATTTTGATAATTTTCATCCATTTCCTCCAAATCAGGATACAACAGAGTCGCCCTGCAGAGTTCTCTAATTTCTTTAAGTTCTTTACTGTAAAAAACACTTTTATCCCTTTTCTTAGGGTACATGTGTGTTTTGGCGATATGTACCCAATTTGGCTTCCTCATCCATTCTTCGGAACTTAAGTTTACCTTTAATGTCGGACGTTTTCGTACAGCACACCTTTGTTGAATTCCTCTCTTTTTCATAGGCATGTCGATGTGGAGACTCTTGTTCTTATCTCCCTTCCGCCTCGGGTATACACGCTGCCCTTGCCGAGCGTGTATTGCTGATTTGTTGTCCTCGTCTCTCTTCCAGCTTGTCCTCGTATATGCACTTTCCTTTTCCCAAGCCTTCTCAGGATATTCTTGTACTATCTTTTTGCTTTTCATTCCGTACTTGTACGTTTATTTATTTTTTGACGAAGTTGACAAAATCGACAAAGTCGACGTAGAGGTAAAACTCTAGCTATTATTTTTTTCTCAAGTGGTTCTGAGTGCGGTCCGTATTGTCTGCTTAAGGTGCCCGTACTGTGCACGGTACTAATTAATTTTTGTGTTTTCTTCCGGGCATTATTTTCAAGCAAAGTATTTTAACGCAAAAGCCCATTAATAACTCAGTAATCGTCTCTTTTCTCACTCTTAAATCACTTTGGTTGCCAGCAGAAAATTGTTTTCGAAATGAATTTAGGGTAGCAAGTGTGTCATTTGAGTGATTAAGCAAGAGGACGGTAAAGTCATTTCAGAACGGGAAAGCGCGCCGATAGCATGGACATGACTCTATTTCGACTTCCGGTGTGGAGCGTTGCCGTTTCCCTCAACAAGTTCAGAACGTCATTTCGCAGGCTTTCCCGTCACGATCAAAACGCCTGGGATTTGCGTAAATTGTGCACTTATAAATGAGATAATGCTGTCTGGAATGATTTCAGAACTCATTTCCAGCATAACCGGGTCACTTTCTTTGTTTTATTCGGTGTATTTAAATGTACCGCTACATTTATGCTGGATTTCCGAAAGGAAATACGATCGTTAGCAAACGATCCAAGATTTCAGGGCTCAGTTCGCTTTTAATTGAGCAAGGCTTTAAACAACTTAAGGGCTTCTCTTTGATACATTTCTTTAACCCTGTATGAAAACTCTAAGAATGGGATGCTGTTAATTTTATCGTGAATTAATTCATCAATAAATTAAACTTGCTTCATGTTTAAGTTTATCAAAATGAAATATTACGAAGCTTACCTACTGTATTATTCAGTGTCATTTCTTTAAAAAATGTTCTACGAATTGAAGTCAGAGATGAAAAAATTCAATGTTAATACAAAGGAACCATCCAACTGGAAACCATTCTATTCATATGCAAATACGAAACGTGTGGATGTCGCTTGTTCATTATCCGTTCTGAAATTGTTTCTGCCGTAGTCTAGAAACTTTTTTTTTTAATGTTCATCGTGGTCCATCTTCTCTTGAGGTTACGAGATAAGTAGCGAAAATGGCAAACCTGAAAACACTCGCTATCGACAATATCAGGTTATTAATGAGCTTGAGGCAGTTTCTCAATGGGAATCCTTCCTTCGAGTGCGAGAGGTTCCAAAGATGAACCAAAAATAACAAAGTTTTCAGTAACAGCGTCCACTGATACAGACTTGCCTCCAGTGACGGGTGGTCCCAGGTCACGTTCCTCGTCTTAACCCCTCCTACGCAGATAGCTGACACCGTTATGGCAAATATC